TGAAGGAGGAGCCGCTGATGGTACCGCTCCCACCTTTGTCTCGGCCCCACCTGATGCCCCATTGACTATACCCACCGGCACACTCTTGGAGCTTGGAGCCCTGCGAGCGCTACTGGCGGGAGTCGTAATTGTGCTCCTCGTGCTCCTCCGCAGACTGTCTCGACTGACGCTAAGCGAGGTGTCCTTGAGCTGCTGTGGCTTCTCCTTCTCTGAGACAGTCGACCGACTTCCGCTGCTCAGACTCGAAGGGGGCCGCTCATTGGTCCGCGCTTGGGACAACGTACGGTTCATCGTCGTCGGCTTAGGACCGCGGCTAGTCACAGTGGTTGAGCGTTGTGCCTCGGTACCTCCGCCTTCAATACCAAAGGCAGCAGCTGCACTTCCTGGGCCGAAAACGGGCCTCTTACTTCCTGTAGTGGTAGTTGGAGTCGCCTTGGTACGCTTGGCGGTAGCTACGCCGTTCGCTGTTCCAGATCCAGCAGTTGTGGTCGGACGCGATCCTGGCCGCTGAGCAGTCTGTGAGGTAAGTGCCGAGGTGCGCGCTGACGATGCTTCCCCGTTCTTGAGCTGTGGGACTGGTGCAACTGTCCGCGAGGTTGCGCCTGTCATTGTGTTGTCCAGATCGCTTTCAGAGGTCGGTATGCCTCCAAGGGAGATCATCACTGCATCTAGAAAGTCAGTAGGTGCGTGTCTTATCTGTGAGGAAGCGAATGCGTCCTTGGCCTCGGGAGCAGTGTCTGCCAAACATTCGCAAAGGAGTCCCTCAGCTCGATGATCATAGGTGTACACGTCTTGCTCGAATCAGACTCACCAAGTTCGCATAGTCCAACCCAGGCTCCCCAATTCCACGGATCCCTCTTTCGGGCCTCCATGAAGTGATGTGTTGCTGCTTCGAGCTGCTTAGCATCTTTCTGTAGGTAACCGAGCTGAGTGAGGCCCGCTGCGGCCTTCCTGTCATCGAGTCCAACCAGCTCTGGCATCTCTTCCTCAGGAAGAGCAGGCTGGGAAGACGAAGAGATTGTAGCATTCTGCAGACACCAAGCCAGTACCTCTTCAGCCTCACTGCGTCTGCCTAGCGCTTTGCAAGCCTCACTCCAGATCTGAGCGCATCCAAGGTCGCCGAAGATATCTACTGGCCCCTGCTCAAGAATAGCCAGGGCAGCGACAGCTCCTCCTCTTTGACTTCTTTCTTGCAACAATGGGAAGATGGCTCCTTGGCCTGCGAGCAAGAGACACTTGGCTCTAAGACGACGAGCATCTACGCTTTGCGGGAAGAGCGTGAGAAAGAGGAAGGAGTAGAAGGAGGCAGACGTCAAGTCTCCAAGGCTCGGATCCAAGTAGCATTCTACGAGGCCAAAAAGACGCCTCTGTAGGGATCGAGCTTCTGCGGGGCTGGCAGGGATGGCAGGAAAGATGCTGATGCCATCCCTCTCGGATCTTTGCAGGTCGACCTTGATCTGCCGGAAGACTTGTCGCCTTCTCTCTGATGGATCGACCACGGCAGGCCGCTTGAATGGCGAGGAGCGCAGACTGCTCTGGGTTGGAAGGCCTTGTGCGAGCTCATCTAGGCTCATCTCGCGATCTCGTGCTGCTCGTTCTCGGCTTGCTTGAATAGAGGAGGGTACGGGTGTCTTTGAGCGGGATCGCTCTGCTGTGCGCGACGCAGTGGGCTCCTTCGCGACACTAGCATGACGACTCGAGCTTGCAGAGCCTGGTCTGGAGTCTGCATGGGGCCTCTTGGTGGAGGTAGTGGTAGAGCTCTGAGTCCGGACTGAGGCAATCGGTCGCTTGGCAGGGACAGTGGAGCTGCTACTGGCGCTTGCTCCGGCTGACGTTGCCCTCGATGATGACGCTGAAGTGGCAGTCGAGCTTCTGGCTCGGTCCGAAGTGGATGTAGGCGGTGGTTGAGCTGGTCTCATTGCTCTACTAGCGGCATTAGAAGGAGGCATGCCGCTTCGCGAGGAGAGGGCAGCGGTCGAAGACATAGGCATGCCGGGCAGAGATAACAGCACGACTTGGCCGTTTACTGGCTCAGAGCATCCATCTGTGTCCTTGGAGGGGTGGGACTTGGTTGCAACGGCCTCGACTTCAGAGAAGGGATCAAAGCGTGACGAGTGGATGCGCCGGCGAAGGGGCAGGATAGTCTAACCAACGGAAGGAGGACATCAACGTCGCAGGCGTGTGTGGAAACAAAACACGGGCGCTGCCCCGACGCAACAGCATCGGAACGGAGCGGGCCTCACCTCGGTCTCCACCTGCAGGGCGACTGAGTCCAGCGGGAAGCGGGGTGCAGCGTCCATGCAGATGTTCGAGGCTGGAACATTCTCCCTCCCCTTTGTAGTATACCGGTCCAGGATACCAGCAATTGAAGCCATGACGTCCAGCCAGCCGAGGTGAGCACCTTTCAATACGCACAAGGACTGACCTTGATGACACTTCGGGGTTGACATGCCTTCTTCGCTGCTACAGATATGACTACTATCAGACCGACACAGCAGTCAATCTTTCCGTCTTCGTAAAAGGTCTCACAGAGAATGACGTTGACATCAAGTTTGGAGAGCATAGCGTAAGTAGAAGCGCATCGAGACGAGTGTTACATCTCATACTTCATTGACTCACCAGTCGACACCTCTCCTCTATTGATATGCTCAGCTCTCATTGACGCTTCACAGTCCTAGCGCACCTCCCCAATCACTGGAGCTACAGCTGCACGACGACATCGATGGGAGCAACTCTTCCTTCAAGGTTTTGTCCACAAAGGTCGACATCTTGCTCAAGAAGAAGCTTCCGGGAAGGCGGTGGCCGAATCTGGAAGCTCAGGCTGGTGGAGCTGGTGAGTGACTGGGAAAGAACCATTCCAGGGAGAGTTCACGATATCTCTGAGCTCACTCTGATGAAACCCTTTATCCTCCTTTTCTTGTACAGTCCCATCCTACGAAGCTGCAACTGCCTCATCAGCAACAGGATCCTCGGCAGATGGTCCTCTAGCACATTCATCGGCTCCCGCGTCTTCTGGCGCCGCTGGAAGCCGCCCGCGCTCCAAATGGGATAAACTCAAGCTCGAAGAAGACGAAGATGGCACAGGGGACGCAGCAGCAGGCGGGACCGCCTCAACGGCCAAGGGCTCCGAGGGTGGCATCGACGCCTTCTTCCAGAAGCTATACGCCGATGCAGATGATGACACAAAGCGGGCGATGATGAAGAGCTATCAGGAGAGTGGTGGGACAAGTCTGAGTACCAATTGGAGTGAGGTGGGCAAGGGAAAGATGGAGACGAAGCCGCCCGAGGGGATGGAGGCTAGGAAGTGGTAAAGACGAAGAAGTGACGGGCAAGAAACTTCAGCGCTTGTCTGACTTTGATGAGGTGATTGCAAGACATGGCCAATCAAATTGTGAATAGCATTGAATACATTGGGCATAGAGCACGAAATCACCGCATTCACTGTCAATGAAGACTTAGACAAGGCCTCAAGCTTCTCCCTGAGCAATTTGGACCTTGATGCACTGCTCTCCATCTGCGATGAGGACGCGTGAGGTATGCTGTCAGTCACCAAATCTGACTGTTCACGACCTTGCTGGATCACGACCGCCGACTCACCTTCTCCTTTGCCCTTCTTGGTTGCCTCGAATGCCAGGATGGCATCCTTGAAGGCGTAGCGATGGGTGACGATACGGCTGACATCAATCTTGCCAGTAGCCACGAGATCAATGGCGGTCCTGTAGACGCCTGCTCCGTAGCGGAAAGATCCGACCATCTCAATCTCCTGTTCATTTCATGGCAAGGAGGGCGGAGGTAGAAGCGGTCAGAAACCAATGCCAGGTCAGTCTCGTCCGTACAGCATGACTCACGTAAATACCAATTCTGTGGATAGGCAAGCTGAGCGGCGAGCCTCCCATTCCGATCTGCACAAACCTCGACCTCTTCTTTGCGGCAAACAGGCCCATCTGAATACAGGGCTCTGCGCCCGTGCATTCCAGTACCAGATCGAATCCTCCCTTGGAACGGATATCGTCACTGGAGGCTTCGCTTGCAATGAGCTCCTGAGCGTTGCGCTCGCTGCCTTGCACTCGCGTCTCGCCTTCCTTGGGCATAGAGGGCTTGTATGTGGCGTCGGCGCAGAAGGACTTGGCGAATTGCAGCTTGGAGTCGACGATGTCTACCACGACACTGTTAAAGAGGACAGGATAAGCTCTTGCTTCAGACTACAAGTTCATTCGATATAGACTCGGCCCTGTGCCGGTACTCACACTTTCTTAGCTCCGAATGCTCTAGCAACGGCAGCACTGAGCAGTCCGATGGGTCCAGCGCCAAAGACGAGGACATTTTGCAGAGGAGCAACCTTGCCCTGGTATACTGTAGCGTAGACTGCGACACTGAGAGGCTCCATGAGACTGGCTTCCTCAAGGGTGAGAGTGTCAGGGACCTTGTGGGCAAATGAGGCATTCAGGTTGTAGTATGTTGCGAGGGTTCCATCGAAGGGTGGAGTTGCTGCGAAGGCCATCTGTCGTTGCAAGAAGGCGGTAGTACATCAGCTTATTTGCAATTTTGCAGAATGCAGTGGCCAGTCTCGCTACAGCTTACCTTCTCGCAATGATTGTACAGTCCACCCTTGCAAAGATCACACCGCAAGCAAGGCACACCTGGCTCGAGAGCAACACGGTCTCCGACCTTGTGCGAGTCTACGCCCGGACCGACCTGAGTCACGATACCGGCGCTCTCGTGACCAAGGCACATGGGCTTGGTGAGGACAAAGTCGCCGATACGGCCGTGACACCAGTAGTGGACGTCACTGCCGCAGATACCTGGAGGTGGGGTGTGGAGTGAGTAGCGTAAGAGTCCTGTTCGCAAGTCACAGAGCTGCCACTCGGATCGCCAGCATGCACTGCGATGAGAGACGTACCTGTCTGCCTGATGTTTACCTCTACCTCTCCTTCCTTGAGCGGCTTCCTCTCACGCTGCTCAAAAGTCATGTCATCGACCTTGTTGAGCATCAGGCTGAGGTTCCCATCCGCCTTGGGGACCTGCAGCGAGTTGTCTCGGCCAAGGGGCGCCGCTTTGGGCGCAGGGTTGCCTGGCACGTCTTGAGCTGAGACGTTGTTCATGTTTTAGTTATGCTGGTCAGTACTGGTATGTGAGAGAGAGGGTCAAAGAAGAGTCGATAAAGTGTGGGGTTCTGACAGGAGTGCGGCTAGTAATGAATGAAATTCAAGCGTCGGAAGACACCTTCCCCTCGGACATCTGGACTCGGCGAAAATGGAGTGGCTGGATCGCCGAAGATCACCGAGCCGGAAATCTCTTCAGCGCCCGCCGGAGAAGTCTTCCTCCTTCACCCCACTCGCTGTGGAGCAATTGCATTGCATTGCATACGCCCCGATCACTGCCCGAACTTCCTCTGCCGCTTCCATGCTCCGCCAAGATCCCTAGCCAATTCGAAGAAGGGCCTCTCAATGATTGCCAGTCCTTCCTCTGACGTCTCACTGCCCATCGGTCTTAGTGGCCCGACGTGCACCAGTGGCTGGTACCTGAACGTGGATCGGATCGTCCACCAGGGCGAGTCTGCCTCCGCTCCGTCTCGACCCTGGCGGTCGTCTTCCGAAGATGAAGTCAATTCGACTGCTAGACGAGTCCTGCGTCGCGTACCGGCAGCGCCATTGACGCCGGCGACACTGCTGTCGCCTTGGAGAGGTACATTGGGGTTCTCCCGGGCAGTCAGGAGCCAAGTTGCTCCATGAAGCACTAGAATTGCACCAGCAGGCGAGTTCACCCACTTGATCCCACTCGGCCCGTCCCTGACAGATGCAACCTTGTTAGCAATCGCCTTTGCGAGTGATTTCCATTTGGGCTGTTCACTGCTAGCGCCTTCCTCGAGATGAACAATGCGAATGCTGCCGTCTTGCAAGGCCACGGCAGCAACGTCCGCATTGTTCGGGTGACAAGCGATACCGACGGGTCGACACGGCAAAGAGGGCAGAAGGCGCGGGTGAGGTGACAGCACATCCAGATTGTAGCTGAAGATATGCTGACCGGCTGTGCAGATGAGGAATTGCAGATCCGGAGTGACAACGAGGTGATCGATGCGACTCATGCTCTTGTTACCTTGGTCTTCCTCATCAGAGTCAGACTCTGATCCAGAGGACGCCGCCGACTGGCCGTTGGAGTGGCCATTGACTTGACCGTTTGCCTTTGCGGCTCCTCGGCCAGTGACTGCTCGCCGGCCCTGTACGGCATTGGATGCTGACCAAGCCTTGACGATACTGCAGTCAGCCGTTGCAGAGACTGATACGATGTACACAGAGCCTGTTGGCCAGCTGGCAAAAGCCAGACGTCCGTCTGCCGTGAAGGTCATTGCACTCGAAGCAGGTGCCTCTTGCCTTGCGCCGAAGATGGTAGAGAAGCTCTTGATCTTCCGCGGCTGCAGCTCCCCGAGTGATACTTTCAGAGAGTAGAGCTTAGTCTCGTAGAGATCCGACACTGCCAAGAGCTGGCCGTCGGGGGAAACACTGTGTGAGACGAGTCTGGAGCGTCGCTTAGTAAGCTCCATCTGCAGCAAGCAACGGTAGGGTGCCGATGGTTGAGCAGGGGGCATTGCCGCCTCTACTGGTGCCGCCTCTTTCTGAACCTCCCAGATCTCGATGGCTTTCTCTGTCCTCAGCACAGCCCACCCTCGAGCAGAGCACAGTGATACATCTCCGACTCCACTGCCGGCTAAACTCGACCCGGCACTTGCAGCGGGAACGTAGGGCATCCTTCTCTGCGTAGTGCTAGCGAAGGTGACAAAAGCATTGGAAGATACTGGATTGGACGATGGCGATTGCGCTGCTTCCCCGGTCTTTCCCGCTTTCTTGCCCTTCGACTTGATTATGCTGCCCTCCGAAGGCGGCGCAGCGGGAGTCAACACAAGATTGAAATCTGCACTCGCTGAGATCAGAATGGGCGTGATCGTAGACCTTTGAGTCCTGATTGGCGATAGAGGAGGGTCGACCACTACCGCCTTGACATCGTGGGCATGAAGACGTCTTGTTGCTGTATGGACCCACTTCTTGCCGAGCAAGGCGAACTCAGACACCTTCTGATCCACGCTGCCGCTGTAGAGAGTCTTGCCATCTGATCCAACGGTAAGGCACAAGATATCAGCACCCTTGTCGTGGACCTGGAAGCGGCCGTCCGAGAGGGGGACTCGGCTCTTAGCATCATAGAGGGTGACAAACCCGAGCGAGTCTCCAGTGACCAACGTCTTGTCTGGCAGGACAGTGACACTCCAGACGATGGTTTGTTCGTTCCTGGCCTTGGGCAACAGCAGCTTCTGTGAGACTCGACCAGTGGGCAGTGCATAAATGAGGGCGAGCGAAGAGGTTGTACCTGCCAACAAAAATGACTCTGTCCAGTCGTCTTCCTCCTCGTCTGAATCCGAGTCGGAATCGGAGGTCGTCTGGGCAGCAGCTGTAGTTCGGGCTTTCTGAGCAGGCGTGAGCGTCTTTTGCTTCTTGTTTGGTGGACCCCAGGCCAGACTGACGATTCGGGTCTTTGCCATGTCCGTCTTCGCAACACACTCTCCCACGCCAGCCTTTGCGGCATTGGTGTGAGAGAGATGCTCGAATCGATTGTCTCGGATGTCGATCATCCGGATATGACCATCTTCACAGCCAAGGGCGACATAGCGAGCTAGTGGTGAGACGGACATGCACCAAATGACGCCGCCCTGCGAAGAGAGGATCCGCGCAGTGCCTGGAATCTCGATTGGACTCTTCCTTGATGCGGAGCGCTGGGCAAAGCGGGCGGACGGCCCATATTCGGCTGGCAGATAGTGCTCTGTGAGCATGCTTCCACCCGAGACAGAGAACAGACGCAGCTTGTTTGGTCCATAATCCTCCCCTGAAGTGATCGCGAAGGCCAGTGACTCGATCTTCTTGGGCGAGGTCCCGGATGGCAGGAGCGTCGTCTGAGGCAACCAGCCCTTGGCGACGGCACCATGATGACCTGCTACCCATGTACAGAGATCGATGGACCCATTCTGCCGTCCGATAGCGAGAAGGCTTCTGCCAGTCGCTGCCACGGGTTCCGGGGAGAGAGCAAGAGCAGTGGGCGCAGAAGGTGAGACGGGCAGGAAGCGCAACCGGTGGATGGGCAGCGAGGAGGAGGAGGAGGCTGCCGAGGCAGGCATACCGGACATGTGAACGTCCATGTTTGCGTGCGTTGATTACCTGGCAAGGCCCTTGGGAAGGCTCTCTTGCATTTGACGGTGATGGGAAGAAGAAGAAGTTGTATGGCCTGCTACTGTTGCTGCTCATCATCATCAGCATCGCCTTCCTTCCGCCTCTGCTCCTTCCGATCAAATTTTGCCGCGCCGTGCTTCGCCTGACGCTCCTCTTTCCGTGTCTGCCTCGGCTGCACCCACGCAACGCAACACCTCACACACACGATCCTCACCATGCACATGGTCCTCTAGAAACAGTGCATGTATTGGCTCAAGCCGGCGAGCTTTGATGTCAAACGATGCTGCAACCTCATCTCTGCCAACAACAACTCTACTGGAGGGCGGAAATGGCCAGCTAGCAGAAGCCTTAGCCTCCCTCTCGATCGATGGCCGGGAGCCTGGCTTCACTCAGGAGCAGGCAGAGGCGCTCCTCGCCTACTGCGAACGCGAAGCTCAGCCAGGACACAACCCACATAGACTTGTCTTCCGTGGACTGGCCACATATCTGAATGTTGCCGGGAAAAGCTCCCAGCCCCTTGACGCGGGTGCTGATTTTGCGAAGAGAGTGCTCAAAGTGGTCATCACCGCTCTGAAACACGCCCTATGTACCGACCGCTCAAGAGGGTCATCCGAGGACATCATGGAGCAGGCTTCCTTGCTGAGCGCTGGCCTCAAGGCAATACATGCTGCGTTTCTCTCCAAAGAAGCAGATGGCGCATATTGCATTACGTTGGACCAGCCTGATCTGTCTACTGCTGTGGAGCTATTACTTTCCTGCGCACATTACCTTCCTCGTCTGCCGACGTCTCAAAGTTCTACCATAAGGACGTTCGAGCCCAACAGCTTCCCAAGGAGAGGTTCTGCTGTCAGTCTACGCGCAGAAAGCCTCTACGGGACAGACGACGGTACGGATTGGGGCTCTGATGTCACAACTTCTCAAGCGCCTTCAACGGAGGCTCAACAGCGGAAGAAGATCTCTAGCACAACTCGAACAGTCAGGCAAAACGCAGTCTCCTGCTTGGCCGCTCTGAACGAGATCGTGCCCGCTCAGCTGTTCTCACACTGGCCGAAAGTACTCTCCCGTACCTCTCCTTCCGTGATGCGACTGTCCGGGCCTCTGAATGCAGCTCCACATTCAGAGCCCATCCTTTCGGTGATATGGACCGACCCAGTACTTAGCGTTCGACTAGGTGTCTGTCATTTGCTCGAGAGCATGTTCAAGCAGGCGAGAGCACGGGGCTTCCTGCAGAGCGGAGTGGTCGAACAGCTGTACGGAGGGATTGGCTCACGATTCACGTCCCTGTCCGCTCGTATGGGCTCCCTCGTATCAGAGGTCAGGTCCTTCATGGTGGACTTCCTAGAGGTAGCTGCTGGTGGTGCGTCTTCCGCTCGGTCAGCTCTGCGGGGCGAACGCTCAACTCCACCTGCTGCCCTCGTAGAAGCCATGTTGCGAGCCACTAGTACGTTCATTATAGCGACGCGTCTCGCAAAGCTCAAGAAATCACATGCAGACGTGCTGCGAGACCCTATTCTGCGTCTGACATCTCATGCAGAGCCAGGCATCGCTATCGCAGCTTTCAATACTTTGTCTACTCTGACAAAAGCCTCAGGAGCTGCGACGAGTAGCAGACAGGCGTCTCGCGCGTCGCATTCGATTGTTTCACCGCCGAGCAGTGCGAGCTCATACACTCACGATCAGGAAGGAAACTCGGCGGCTGTTTCAAGCTTGATGCGGCGGCTCGGGGAGGATAGCTCGAATCCAGGCGTGCTCGCAGAAGCCTGGCATGCTCTGCTCGGTTTTGCTCAGCAGAAGCCCTTGAACATCGCGACGCATCAAGACTGGCTACATCAGCGCATCTCGAAGCACCTCACATCCAACGATCAGTCCCTGAGACACGCTTGTGTGACATTCCTCGTCTACATGGCTCGCACGACAGCTAGTACTGAAGACGCGACATCGCCGACCGTGCTTGATTTGCTGACTCCGGCAGCTGATGACGTCTCACCTTTGGTTCGCGCAGAGGTGCTGCAGGCTCTTCCAAATCTGCTCGCATCAGAACCAAATAATGATCAAATCCGAAATCTCCTCAATAGGCTGATCGAAGACGGCGAGGGCACAGTCAGGGCCGCAGCTATAAGGGCCGTCGGCTTATTGCTCGTGCCAGGAGGAGACATCGAAGACGGCCAGGCCGCAAAGCCTTTGCCTCCCGCCATTGCTATACCATACGCCGCCGAGGCTCTTGGGCTGGATATCGACAATCAGACCCACTCAAGTATGGCGCCGACGTCTCCTCTGACGGACACTATGCTCCTCGTGCGGCTCCGAGCAAGCTGGACCCTTGGCAACCTCTGTCAATCAATCAAAAGTCTCGCCTCTCCCTCTGCATCGCCTAGCACTCCTCATCTGCTCCTAATTCTCCTGACGGCCTCGACCAAGCTTCTCTACGACGACGAGCGCATCGCGATCAATGCGCTCCGCTCCACCGGTCTAGTCTTGTCCATCGTAGATGCTCAGTGGCTACACGACAAAAAATCTATCGCCCTTTCTCCGCGGAGTGTGCACATGGAGCGAGCGCTAAGAGGTCTTCTGCAGGCAGTGAGAGCAGCCAAGAACCCAAAGACGAAGTGGAATGGACTTAACGCACTGCAGGCCGCCCTCTCCAATGAGATCTTCCGCCAATGGCTCAACTCAACTTCGACCGCAATCTCGACCGCAACCTTGACCTCGACCTCGACCTCGACTTCATTTCCGGTCTTGGCCGCTGGGGACAGGCACGGCGAGCTCCATGGCCAGGTCATACATCTCCTCTCTGAGCACCTGGCGCACAAGACGTTCAAAGTCAAGCTCGCCGCAATTGGCTCTCTCCTTCTGATGCTCCCTCTCCCTCTTCCGACCCTGACACCTCCAGGCCTCGACCTCGGCCTTGAGACGTCCGCCGCCACCGAGACCGAGACCGAGACCGAGGCCGAGGGGAACAGGGAGCAGAGTCTCACTTCAGCAGTGCAAGAGGCGCTTCAGCGACTGGATGCAGAGGTGGCAGAAGGCAACTTTGCCGAAGTTGGCGTCCATGGCGTATCTGTTCGACGTGGCTTGGAGGAGCTCATGGAGCGCCTTGCTTGCCCTGTCTGAGGCTGGAGATCAGACGAGGATGAGCGGAAGTGGGAGTGAAAGAAAAAAGGTAGTTGGGTAGTGAGATTTGAGATTTGTATATAAGCAAGTGGTAAGAATGAGACAAGCAGGAACTACTAGTGGCACATGATAGGAATGAAATGTCCCGTCTTGAAGTGAAGGATGAGAAACCTCTTCCGAGCGCCAGAGGAAGAAGCAAAGTCCGTGAATCCCCTCCCCAACCCAAAGCAATCCAACGCTTACTGCAGATACAATGGCTGTACATCGCTAACAGCGAATGCTCCACCGCATGAAGGACACTTCCTCTGCCTCGTCTGGATTCGCGCCTCGACGCAAGCAGTGCAAAAAGTGTGCAGACACTTTGTGATGATCTTGTCCCTGTACCGATCATGACACGCCGAGCACTTGAGCAACCTCTCCAATGCCTCGAATTCTGCCGAGCCAGGACCATTGAGCTTCTTGTTGCCCAATTTCCCAGAGCCTGAGCCGCTAGAGGCAGAAGCCGCGAGTTGACGCTTGGCTTTTTCGAGCTCGCGCTCCATCTTGCCGAATTGCTCCTCGATGCGGACCCGCCGCGCCTTCTCCTGCTCTGCTTCGGCAATGTGGAACTGCATCTTCTCCTCGGCATGAGCGCGGTACTGTGAGCTCTCGCCCTCGCGCATCCTAGACGTCTTGAGATCTCGCTCCAGCTCGGCGATGCGCGTAGAATACCCAGAGATCATCTTGCGTAACGACGTCACCTCGCGTTCGTGGGCCGCACTCTGACTAGCAAAATGAGATTCAGCCTCGGCATACCGCTCAATGACCTGAACTTGTCTCTCGACAGTACGAAGAGCAGAGCGCTTCTCGTTGTCGACAGCGTCTTTTGCCCTCATAGCAGCAAAGTACTTGTTGTCCGCCTTTGACTTCTCAGTTGTCAATCGAATGACCTTGTCCTCCATCTTGCTCAAATCCATCACTTTGCTGTTCGCTTGGTCCTTCATATCCGACCAAGCCTGACTCAGCTTCTCTACTTCGTCGCACAAGGCAGAGGTCGACTCGTTCGCGGCAGTGAGCTCGTCTTGGAGTTGCTGTATCCGCTGTTGCTGATTTTTGAGCTTGTTTGATGCATCTTCCGCAGATGACGCTCCTTGCAGAATTGAATTTAGAGCATCAAGCTCCTTCTGGAGAGCAGACGTCTTGGCAAGTAGGTCAGTCTCGCTTGGCGATGACGAGCGAGCATCAAGCTGACGCTGGAGATCGGCAGACTTCTCCTCAGCCTTGATGAGGCGATCTTGTAGTGAAGCAATCAGCTCTACCTCGTCTTCCCCAACTCCATCTGACTTGAGAGTTTCGACAGCAGCAGAGTCGCCCCGCTGTGCAGCTAATGACATCTGCAGCCTCCTGACCTCGCTCCGCAACGTCTCGATGCGGAGATCCTTGCTGGAGGCAAGCTGCTTGATCTCGTCGATCTGTGTCATCTTGACTCCATCCCGCGATCGTCGGTCTGTCAGTTCAGCGTTCAGATCATCTCGTTGAGCTCGCAAGCGAGCAACGTCCGCATCACGAGACTTGAGCTGCTCTCTAAGGGAGTCTGCGAGGGAGTGAGCTTCTGACTGTGCGTTCGACTCGAACTCTGTGCGACGCTCCCGAAGGTCGGTGTTCTCGGCTTCCATGGCGTCGAAGATGCCTTTGAACCTTTCCAGCTCATGTTGCGCGTGAGTGAAGTGTCCGTGAAGATCCCGATACAGAGGCGTCTCACGAGTCCGGTCGTCCGGTATACGATGTAGGTCCAATTGCATCCTTTGGCATTCCTGGCGTAGCGAAGTCACTTCCTGGCGAAGCTGTTCTGCCTCTTGCAAGCGGGTATGAGCCAGTTCCTCGAGCTGCGCAAGTTCCTCTCGAGAGGCAGACGAAGCGTGACCATTGCTGCCAGTGGCGGCATTCGCGGCAGCATCAGCGCCCGAGGTCTCGGCAGCCTCTTTGCGCTTGATAGCAGCACGCTGCTCGGCCTCTGCAGCCTCTACTCTTGCCTTCTCCGCCTGCTCTTCGGCTTCGGTGGATGGCCTTTCGCTCAACAGAACAGAGCGGCTCTGAAGTCGGTCAAGTCTCCTCTCCGCTTTCCTGAGCTTCTCTGTAACCTCTACAAGCTCTTCTGTGGTCCTTTGTAGCTGACTGGCAGCATCAGCAGACTGCTGTCGTAGCGTACTGGCCTGTGGACAGGGCGGGCGAGAAGGTATGCATTTTAGCGATGGTCTCGAGTCATCTGTACTGATCTTTCATTGACTCACCTCGTCTGCTAGCTGATGGCATCTGACCTGCAGATCGTTGACCTCGGGATGTGTTGATTGAGGAGCTGTAGCCGCAAGCCTCGTGAGGACGGCTCTGATCGCAGTCCCTCTCTCCTGGATCGAGGCAGTAAAGGCGCTTTTGCTTGGCTGGCCAGCGGTAAACGGGATGACGGAGAAGAGAGCTGGGATCGAGATTTTGTGGGAACTTAGGTCAGTGACGATGTTGACAGAGTCGGCGCTCTCTCGAGATTCGACAGACTTGCAAATTTACTCACCTGCTCTGTGCTCTTCCAGCGTATCCTCTTTCTGGAACAGAACACGAATGTCCTCGACGAGCTAGGGATGACGAAACGATTCTTCTGTCAGCATAGTACGAGGAGGGGCCAGTCCCGCCTGCTACACTCACCAGATCCCAAAAGTGATTGAAGGCCGCCGTCCTCTCCTCGACCTCTGACAGAGATCTTTGTAGAGACCTGGACTTGCGTTCGGCCCTGGCTAGATCTCTCCGCGACTCTAGCATCTGACGGAAGATAGCCTCCTTGCGGTACGTCTAAAGGCGAGTATAAAAGGAAGAGGGAGTGAGCAAGAATTGTCCCAGATCTCGAGAAGATGTCCTGATGATCTGGGCGGCCGCCGAGTGACTGGCGACCTGCGACAGAAGGAACTTACCTCAAGTCCCTTGTAAGCGGGCGAAGGCTCTTCCTCTTCTTCCTCATTGGCCTCTAGCGCTGCGCGCTGAGCCCGAGCGGGAGTGGCGGTATGGATGCCATTGGGAATGGTTGAAGAGACTGGCGTGGAATCGATTTGTAGCCTCTTGGCGGGCGAGTCTGTGCCACCAAAGGGGGGAGAGGAGACATCCAAAGGCCTCTTCCTGTTGTCCATGACGATGGCGGCAGTCATGTGAAGAGGTCCAGTCTCAGGGGGACTCGGGGCGAGGCGCGCTCTTTGTCGAGCTGAACCAAGACAGCGAAGCCTTGATTGAGCAAGAGCGGCTGACTGGAGTCTTGGTATCTGAAGCGCAGTGGTCTGCTCAGGTCAGTCGCATCTGATGTTGCGGATGAGACGAGACAGAGGACAGGGTACGCTACGGAGCAGACGCTCAGAGTCAGTGGCCACCAAGTGATGATGGGATGGCGAGAAGGTTGACCAGGTCTAATTTTTCGCCGCCTGTGGGCCGTCCGCCTGCCAACCTGGCCAGAGGCGCCTCTGCGCGGCCGCCTGGCGCACACACACACACACACACAAGGGAGAAAGAGGCACAGGCAGACGTGGTCAGGATACCGAGGGCAGCATCTACAGTTCGAGGCCTCCAAGGCGCAGAACATAGACGGCAGAGGTGATGATGGGCAAAGGTCAGAGACAAAGGGTCCTTTTGAAGAGGCACATGGTCACAGCTGACAGTCTCAGGGCCAGAGGAGGCAGGTGCGGCTTCGCAGAAGACACCTACTGGGCGATGCGATTGGCTCTGAGGTAGGGGTGAGATTTGTGGCGATGGTTGTATACGCAATGATGGACGACTTGCAGTGCGAGTGCTTCATCACTGTGTTACGAGGGTGGCAAGCCTGAGACGTTGGTGTGGTCAGTGGCCGTAAGGATCCCCTCGGCGTGTGTGTGCGTGGTTTGCCTGCCTGCCTGCCTCTGTGGCGGGCGGGGATTGCGCCATTTTGCTGCGAGTGGATGGCGCAAGAGGCAGCTGCCCCGCGTCCGTCGCTTCTTCTCGCCTGCAGATTGAGAATTTCCACCCTTGGTAATCCCAGCCTGCCATCCTCACCTTTGCCCTCTCCCTCCCCCCATCCTCGCCCCAATCCTCGTCATGGCTGCTGTCTCTAGTCAGCGTGACCTCCTCTCCACTGCAATCACCTTTGCTGGTGGTCTGGCATTCGGACTTGGTGGAGCCTACGCAATCTCCAGAGGCTCCTTCAAGCCCGCCACGGCCCCGACCAAGTCCACAAAGTCAAAGGCCGAAAAGGCATTTGGCACGCCTCCTTCTCCCAAGCTCGCTGCTGTACAAGACGGTCCTGCCAAGGCAGCGCCCGCAGAGCCTACTCGTACACCTGCCACCACCTCTACCACCACCACTCAAGCCGAGCAGCCACCCGCCAGTGAGCAGCTCGATGAAGTTGACGCAAAGGGCCTCGGTCCCGTCGCACCTCAGGTGGCCAAGGGCAGCGGCGCTGCTCTTCATCAGAGGCAGCAACCCTCTCCTCACAATGCCCGAGCTGTCACTGGTGGGGACTACCCTGAGCCCGCCCCTCAGAACCGAGCCCGAGTTCTGGACCTCAAGGCTGACCTCACTGCCCCCGCCCCTGCCCATGGCGACGAGCTCCTGAACGCTGAGACTGCTCCTGCTCCAGTCTGGCTCACCGGCCTCACCGCCTCGGCTGCCACTCGCGATACCACCGCTGCTGGTGCCATCGAGGGCCTTGCTTACTCGGGATCCCAGGCTCTCTTCGTCTACGAGAGCCAGAGCAACGGTTCCTTCGGAGCCTGGTCCGAGAAGGAGGCCAAGGAAGCCACTGCAAAGGGCTGGATCGCAGGGCGACCAAAGGTCACCAGTATGCAGACTAGGGCCGGCGCCGGTACTGCCATTGCCGGTTACCTCTCTTCTCGAGGCACTGGCAGTGCTACTGCTGGCTCTGTCACTGACAAGAAGACTGTCACTGCTCTCATCAATGCTCCAGGTCTCCTTGCCATGGCCCCTGCCATTGCCACTCTCCCCGCTGCCGCCCAGGGTAGGCTCGTCGTGCAAGTTTCGAGCGCTAGCCAGGACATTGAGGCTGGAAGTCTGGCCGTCAACAATGACTACGCCTCGGTCCTCTCCGCTGCTTCCACGCTCTCAGTCAACGAAGACTTCTCCGTCATTCTGTCCGGATCCCGACAGGAAGCCGTCGACGTCGCTGCTGCCACCTATGCAGCAACTGAAGGCCACGTAGTCCACGTCTTTGATGGCGCCTTTGCCGCTCGTGAGGTCGCCCACCTCAATGTGCCAGCCAAGGCCGACGCCGCTGCTGCTTCTACCGACATCATCTCTGCCCTCAAAGCAAAGAAGCTCGGTCACTTCTCCTACTACGGACCTCGTGCTCCATCGACCGTCGTTGTCATGCCCAATGGCTCCCACGCCACCAATGCTCGAACAATGCTTGCGGTCCTCCCTGAGGAGGTTCGATCGCACGTCGGCATTGTCGCTGCCCGGATCGTCCGCCCATGGTCTGATGAAGAGCTCGTCAAGGCTCTGCCTTCGACCGTAGAGAGTATCTTCGTTCTCGAAGAGACACGAGTTGCCGGTATCACTGGCCCACTCTTTGAGGACGTCCACTCTGCCGTCTTTACGGGTATGATCGGTCGTGGCGCCTCGCTGCCCAACGTTCTTCCCGTTGGTCTGCCCAAGGGAAGCACCCTGCAGCCCGGTCAGTGGGCTGCTCTGCTTCAGACTCTCTTGCACAGCCGCTCCGCTGTCAATGCCGCCGAGGTCATTGCCAATGCTGCCTCTTCTGTGCAGAACAACATCGCCACTCTCGGAGGTGCTGGAAGCCGCATCGTGACCTTCTACGACAGTGACTCGAGCTCCACTGCTCATCTCGCTTCTTTCCTCGCTCGCACTGTACGAGAGCACCCCGAGCTGACCGAGTCGGCTAGCTTGCTCACTCGCTACGACAACTTCGAGGCTGGCGGCCTAGCCAGGTCTGACCTCCTCATCGGAGCTCATCCAGCTGCTCAAATCCCAGTCCAGCTTGCGGCGCAGCAGGGTGGCACTTCCACTCTCGTCATCTCTGACCCCGCGACCGTTCTCAAGAGCTACAAAGTCTTCGAGACTCTTCAGGTCGGTGGCACTATCCTCTTCAACACTCCTGGTTGGGACACTGCTGAGTTGAGTGCCAAGCTCAGGGCCGAGGACAAGAAGATTCTTGCTGCCAAGAAGGCTCGTATCTACATCATCAATGCATCTCAAGTTGTTGAGAATATCCTTGAGGAGACTGCGATGAGGAAGGGCGGCAAGTCGAAGGTCTCTGACAGTACCGTACCCAAAGAGGTAGCTACTGCCGTCCTCGCGGCTGCTCTGTACCGCATCCAGTTCGGCTTCAGTGGCGCTTCCTTGATCAGTGTCCTGAAGAGGTACCTCGGAGTCGCTCCTGTCGGCATCGATGGTGTACCTGGCCTCGTAGCTGCTGCAGAGAAGGCACTGACTCTATCTGCATTCAGCCACGATGACTTTGCTGCTGCCGAGCCTCTCGAGGCCGAGCTCAAGGGTACTCCTCGACCCGAAGTCTTCCGCTACAACGGCTTTGGTCCTTCTTCGGACGCTGCCACTGTCGGTCAGGAGGCAGTCCCCATCAGAAACACTTGGGCGCTATCAGCTTGGCAGATGATGTTCTCCGAGGCATACAAGCTCGACGACAAGTCGCTTCGACCAGACCTGCCGGAGAAGAACTACGTCGTGACTGTGACAGAGAATCGCCGCCTGACTCCTATTGACTACGACCGAAACGTCTTCCACATGGAGCTCTCCACTGCCGGCACTGGTCTCAAGTACGAGGTCGGTGAGGCTCTGGGTGTCCACGGCTGGAACGACGAGGACGAGGTCAAGGAGTTCGTTAACTGGTCTGGCTACGATCCCGACGAGCTCATTGCCGTCCCTTCTCTCGAGGATCCCTCTCGCTACGAGACCAGGACCGTCTTCCAGATCCTGCAGCAGCGTCTGGACATCTTCGGCAAGCCAGGAAAGTCCTTCTACGAATCTCTCTCCAAGCTCGCCCTGGACAAGGAGGAGGCTCGATGGCTGCGATTCATCTCCTCCGCCGAGGGCAACAGTACCTTCAAGAAGCTCTCCGAGGTTGAGACGGTCACCTATGCTGAAGTGCTGCAGATGTTCCCCTCGGCTCGTCTGCCACTTGACATTCTTCTCCGTGAGGTAGAGATGATCAAGCCTCGTCACTACTCCATTTCCTCTGCTCAGGCCGCTGTAGGAGACTCAGTTCACCTCCTCGTTGTGACTGTCGACTGGCAGACTCCCTCTGGCTCTCCACGCTACGGTCAGTGCACTCGCTACCTGGCCAATCTTCGTCCAGGAAACAAGGTGACCGTCTCCCTCAAGCCTTCCATCATGAAGCTGCCTCCTTACACTAGCCAGCCCATCATCATGGCTGGTCTCGGTACGGGAATGGCTCCCTTCCGAGCCTACGTCCAAGCTCGTGAGGTGCAGAAGCGCAACGGAGAAGACGTCGGTCCTCTTCTCCTCTACTTTGGTTCTCGAACTCAAACGGCCGAATGGCTGTATGGTGAAGAGTTCGAGGCATGGCACAAGGATGGTCTGGTAGAGCGTCTAGGACTGGCCTTTTCCCGAGATCAGAAGCAGAAGATTTACATTCAGCACAAGATCAAGGAAGACGCCAAGCTCGTCGCAGACTATCTCGCACCGGACCTTGAGGCGTTGCGTGCTGCAGGTGGAGAGGTGGAGATTTTGGACAAGCTAGACCCCAATGAGACCGACCCGAAGAAGAAGGGAATGTTCTGCGTCTGCGGACCTACCTGGCCCATTCCGGATATTACCGAAGCTATCATTTCCTCCTTCAAGGGACGAGGTCTGTCTCAAAAGGAGGCAGAGAATGTCATCGAGGCGCTCAAGGAACAGGAGCGCTTCGTTCTCGAAGTCTACTGAGCCAGCAGTCGTCCCGCAAAGGAGCTTCACTGGGCTCTCTCTCTCTCTCTTCAATGCCACTTCTTGTTTCGAGTTCCTCGTAGGCTTGTCTCCCTGTCTGCTTGCTGTATCCAATGCCTTTGTGTTGCCTCATTCTAACATGTGTGAAATCCCCCTCTCCTCTCCTTTCTGATCTCTCATGCTTTCGCTTACGCACTACCCCGCTTCCCCCCACCCCCCACCCCCCTCCCCCTCTTCAAACCATCGCAACACCCAATCCACTCCCCTTCATCCAAGTCGTCTTTACTCCTGCTCCACCAGCCAATACTCCCTCTCTATCCTTTCCCCTCTCCCTTCCCCCACTTCCACTTGCACTTGCACTTGCACTTGCACTTGCACTTGAACTTGCATTAGCAGTAGCCAAACTAGCTGCCATGGCTGGGTCTAGCTCCAGCTCACCTGGTCGTCCACCCATTCCACCAGCGACGGGCGAAGCCTTCCAATTGTAGAGGTACCAGCGAAGGAACCCGTCTCCTGGACCGAACTTGAGGTCGTTGAGGAAGAGGTTGTTGTCGAGGGTGGTGAGGGAGTTGAGGACGTCAAAGTTGTTCTGAAAGGGGAGGAGGAAGAACAGGGTTGAGGAGGGGGTGTCAGTGCTTGTTCCAGTAGGGGCCATCTGGGCACTCTATCCCTTTTCTGACTCACCTGCTTGGCGATGACCATCAAGTCTCCCACAAGGGCCTTGAGCCTAGCAGTTAGCTTGCGCTTCACTTCATCACTCTCCTCTTCCCACCTCACGACGCCTTCCTCATCCTTGAGTTCCTCTGCACTGAGACCAGTCAGTAGACTGCGCTTCCAGGCAGGTAGCGACTTTTCCTCTTCGGTCATGGGTCGCGCTCCTTGTACTGCCATGGAAGAGCTACCAGCTGCTTGAGACGAGGAACTCGATGAAGGCTCCGTGCCGGCTGAGGCAGTGGTGGCTGTCTCACTCCCGGTGTGCTGCTCGGCAGGGAAGACTACATCTGTGGCGTAGTAGAAGAGGTAGGCAGCATTGAGCGTCTTGTGCTCTTCCGAGTCCAGCACCGAAGAGGGCAGCGAGTAGAAGGAGGCCATGTCTGTGATTCTCCCTGGCTTCTCCGGGTCGTCAATGACATACGTCCACACCACCTTTTGCTTGCCCTCTCCTCCACGCCCGCTCAGAAGTACATGCCGTACTTCCTCGTCAGTGAAACGAGGAGCCATGTCGAATCTCCGGAGGTAGCGTCGCATCAGCTTGCCCACTTGAGGCACGTCCTCGTCTCCCATCTCCCGTAGACCAGCCAGAGACCCCTTGTCTGGCAATGAATAGCGAGCAGCCCAAGTCTTCTTGCTGAGGCCAGAAGGAACAGAGGCGAAGCCGATCTTGAGCAGCTTTTCGGCATTGATCGTTCGATGGTAGTACCTCGCACAGCTCAGCGGTGTGGGCAAGACCGTACCGACGGTGTAGATGGCTTGGAAGATTCCAGTCAAGTGACACTGCCTGGTGACTTCTTTGATGAGCACCGGTGCCAGACGCTTCGACCGCAACTTCTTGTGAACACATAGGAAGTTAATCTCAGTCGAATGGAAAGACTTTTCTCGGACTCGTAGCTCGTGCGGGATGCCCGAGATGAAGGCGACGAGCTTCTTTGTAGAGACGACTCTCACTCCAACGTGCCAGGTCTTCTGGTAACCAGGATGCTTCAAGACCCAGTGCAGGAATGCTGGAGAGTAGTTGAACCTCAGGCTGGCATCATCGTCCTCGACATAATTTGCAGAGAGAAGCTCATAGACTTCCTTGAGCTCCTCTTCGTCGTCAATGTCTACCGTCACCCATTCGAAGTCGGCTGGGAGAGGGTAAGGGTCTTGCTTGACCTTCTCAGGAGGGGCATTGGGCTGAATCGGGCCTTCTTCCGCAGGAGTCAGAGGAGCGCTCTCATCTGGTCATACATGCGGGGTAGTAGCCCCGAGAAGCAATCAATACCTGATACCTTGCAGTCGCTGATCTGGACGAATACTCACCAGCCTTCATCACCGGCTGCGTCTTCCAGAACTTGTGATCTTTGATCTGATTCAAGTTGGCCGATATGCCCCGAGTCTTCTGCCCTTGCAACGTAGCATTCCTCTCCAAATTCATCAGCTTCAGGACCTCCTGCAAATTCTTGACATTGACCTTGTCGGCTGCCTGTTCTCCATGAGCCTGAGAGACTGCCGACTGTACTTGTGAGAGCATCTCTGGTGTGACTTGATTTCCTGCACTGCCTCCAGCGCTAGAAGACTCTTCGCCATTGTTGCTACTTTCCAATCCAAGCTTCTTCTTGAGCTTCTGAGCTGCCTTTGACTTCTTCTTCTTCTTTTGCTTCGATGTCAGACCAGCACCGGCGTTACCTGGTGCGCCTTCGTCTGCTGCTGCTGCGTCTGCCTCGCCATCTTCGGAGCCAGAGTCGACCGCATCGGCAGCTACATCGTCGGTGGCTGCTCCAGCGGGGACTTCGGCTCCCGTGACTGGGTCCTTTGCCGCGTCTTGAGGGTGAGACAGCTCAGACATTGAGGAGGAAGGGCGATGAGTTGGAAAGACAGAGATGCAAGAGGTACGGAGAAGGTGTTGGTGGGAGGTGTTGCTCCAAGTGACGCCTCGCTTCCGTGGCTGGGTGCGCACCGCACAGCCTTGGCTCCACAGCCACGACAATACCCCAAAGGGCGAGGTGAGGTGACCGCCAAAGGTCGGACGACACACTTCTTCTCAGCAGACAACCAAGGTCCAACCGTCACACTTGTTCTCACCACACTTCCTATATCACTCGACGACCATGGCAGACGCTGCTACAGACGCACCCGTAGCTCCCGAGGCCAAGAAGGTCCTCTACTGCCCGCACTGCACCTTTCCACCCGAGTACTGCACCTTTTCCTCCTCGGCCTCCAAATGTCGTGCCTGGCTCACAGAGACCCACCCAGATCTCGCCGAACAGATCTATGGATCCTCTTCTGCCTCAGCTGCCGACGCCGGCGATGACGGGAAAGGCAAGAAGGCCGCCGATGGCACTACAGGACTCGAGGGCAAATTGGAAGAGGGCCTGACACTCAAGCAGAAGGAGGATGAGGATAAAGAGAGGGACAAGAAGGAGAGGAGAGAGGAGAAGAAGAAGGAGAAGGAAGAGAAGGAAAGGAAGGTGAGTACCGCAGGCATGGACTACTTTGTATCCGTCGTCCAGATGAGGGCTCATCCCAGATTCACCCCCTCTGCCTGTTCACAGTCGGCCAAGATCGTCCTGACGAAACACTCGCGTACCAAGAAGAAGGCCACCACCTCCATCAATGGCCTCCACTTCTTCTCTCCTCCCCTCCCCGCCCTCAAAGTCATCTCCAAGGCTCTCGCCTCTAAGCTAGCTACGGGCTGTTCCGTCTCCAAGAGTGCCAACAACCCAGGTGTAGAGGAGATTACCATTCAAGGAGATGTGGCAGAGGAGGTCAAGGAGATGATCCTCAATCGGACCAAGCCATTCAATGAGTTAAAGGAAGGGGATATCACAGAGTCGCAGGTCAAGGTCGAAGAGGAAAAGAAGAAGGCAAAGGAGGCAAAGGAGGGCGCTGCGCCTGAGTAAGGGTAGGGATACATGTCTTGATTTTCTTTCAATCCTTGCGATCCTGGTCATCACGGAATTCATCGACACTGCCTGCAGTGTTCAGTCTCTGCCCTCTCAGAATCGCATCGTCTCCAAAATCTGTTGCAACGGGATGGATAGCGTGTTGTGTCAGGGAGCGCACCATATGATCCGCTCAAAGACCTTGATTGTGACTCACTCCTTCTAGGATTCGCACCGCGTTCGGCTTGTAGAAGGTCTCGCCGATGTGAGGCTGTCAAAAGCAGCAGGGGAGAGGCAAGTATCAGTCGACTGCGAGGAGACGAAACTTCGGATCCCACCTGCACTCACAAAAGGGGTGTCCCAGCCACCCAGACAGAGAACAGGAGCCTCGAGCCTCAGGAAGGCTTCCTTCTGGATCACACTCGCTACTTCACTGGACACGCTCCCCGTCACCGGCGCCTCGCTAACAATGATGCACCTACCCGTCTTCTTGACACTCTCCACTACTGTCCTCCTGTCCCAAGGAGAGATGGTCTGCAGATCAATTAGCTCTACACTGGCTTCCCTGAGCGAGGAAGGAACAAGGTGCTGCAGTTTCTCGGGTGGGTTGCGGAGAAGGTCCATTGCTTCAAGGCAGGTGTAGAGTGGTGCGCCCCATGAGATCAGCGTGATATCGGATCCTTTGCGCAGCACATCAGCTCGGCCAATGGCAATCGAGTAATCCCCAGTGGGCACCTCTTCGACAGAGGAACGGTACAGCGTCTTGGGCTCCAGCACAATCGTCGGATCTGGAGAGCGGATCGCTGCTAGCAGCAGACCCTTTGCTGTGATCGGTCCTCGAGGCATGACTACATTCAACCCAGGGACAGGAAGTAGGAATTGTTCGATGCTCTGAGAGTGGTAGAGTCCTCCATGTCCGACTGCTTGACAGGGAGTGCGAATTGTCAGACCACCGGCATTGGTCTGGGAACCACTTCGATAACGAAGCTTGGCCGCCTCGTTGACGATCTGGTCAAAGGCTGGAAAGAGGTAGTCTGCGAATTGGATTTCGGCAATGGCCCTGTGACCCATTGCGGCGAGCCCAATGCTGAATCCTGCGATGCCCTGCTCACAGAGTGGTGTGTTCTGGGCATGTAAGAGGGTGGGCACGAAATCGAATCAGATACGGCTATCGACAGTGCACCTTCACAGACTGTGCGACTCACGAATACTCTCTCTTCGCCAAATTGCTCACGAAGACCGGCAGCTGCGCGGAAAACTCCACCGAACGCAATGTCTTCGCCCAGGACGACGGCAGTTTCATCAGAGGCTAGGGCGAGCGCTTGAGCATTGCAGATGGCCTTGAGAAGGGAGCAGACGGAGAGAGTGAGTGCACAGAAGGGTATGACAGAGAAGAGGAAAAGGAAGTGTCAGCCATTGTACGATACGCTCAGAGCAGTTTGACCGAAAGAGGAACTGCAGCTCAGAAACGTAAGGGGAAAAGAGGAATCTTGATTGAGTCGCTTCTCCCCAGGAGACTGACCCGAGGGGATGAGAAGGGAAAATGTGTACAGTGGGGTGGGAGAAAGTCTAGATAAGAGTGGGACATTAATGCTGGAGGCTACATGGGGGATTAGAAATGAGAGAGAGGGAATCGAGGGGCGTGACCGAGGCGATGGCTGCCTGTGAAGCTGACTACTGCGCCTTCTCTTCTAGCTGTCTCTTCCGGCCTTCGAGCGTCAACGAAAGCTGACCACCCGAAGCCATCGAAAGCACACTAGCGAGCTGACTAGCAGGCGAGCTGAGCAGGCCGACGATCTGTGACCTCAGTGTCTGTAGATCCGGCAACTTCGAAACATCCCGCAGAGCTGGGACGTCCACCAACCGGTTGCCTTCCACGATCGCTGCCAACGGAACCATACGGGGGTTCGCATTGGCTGTTCTCGTGTGGGGCTTGCCAGCCGGAGCAGCCGGGGACAGAGCACGGTTGCCGAGCGCCTTATCAATGACCGACAGAAGCCTGGAGACGTATGGCGGTGAAAGAGAGGGGCACGTGAGCATCGCGAGTGGGCCGGAGAGAATACTTTCCAGGCCATTCAGCTCCGCCTTTGTGCTCGACCCATCCTTGATCGCCTGACGCAGCACAGGCTTCATCACGCCCGACCTGACCACCGTGAGGCGTGCCCTGTTACCCGAGTCCTCGCCCTCAGGCAGAGGTACAGCTGCAATCTCTGCGCGGATGGCTGTTAGCTCGGCTACAGAAAGATTATTCGGCTGAACGAGCAGCATGAACTGTGACTCTGACAGCAGGCGCGAGTACTGCGAGAACAAGAACGCCTTGCGCGGCGTGTAGACGCGCGGGGACGAGTTCTGTGGCATCGCCGATGGTACAGGCGGTACGCCCAGAGACGAGGCAAGTGGGGATGCAACAGAAGACGCGCAACGAGTCTGAATGCCAAAAGCATGAGGACGCACCGTGCACATGTTCATCTTTCGAGTCTCACGCGACTCGCCAGTCTGAGCGCTTGCGGAGCTCCACTCAAGTCCAGAAGTCGCGAGAGCTTGCTTTGAGGTGGAGGAAAGGAAAGATGAAGTAGCGCGAGGGATTCGGGAAGAAGAGAAGCCCCGTCGCTGCATCAGCTGCTGAATGACAGTAGAGCCGCGCGTGCCGTTTGTCCTGCCTCCAGAGAGGGTGTGGAAGCGTGCGACAGTCTCGTTGGGCTTGTTCTCGGAATCGGGGGCGTTTCGAGGTTCAAGGTAGTGACTGTTGCCGGACGAGGAAGGAACACCAGCCTCGTGGGGCATGGAAACCTCGATGCTGTCCGTCTTGAGTGAAAGGAGACGAGTCTGGTCGGTGCCGTCTTCGAAGATGTCCTCCTTGACGTTCCAGGCGACAGTGGGATCGACGACACGCTGAATCGGCTTGTTCTCGGCTTCCTTGAGGAGGTGCTGGACGTCAGCCCATGGTAGCTCGAGCTCTGTAGCTGCGAGGGACTCTTGCATGCGCTCCACGTTTCGACTTCGTGTAATTGGATTGATGCCACGGGCGAGGTGCCAAGCGAGGACGGCCTGCGCTGGAGTCATATTGTTGCGCTGGGCAACATCCTGGATGATGGGATCCTGAGAGTACTCTTCCACATACTCGCTGCTGCCGAGGGGGCTGTAGGCCTGAATCTTGATCTGGTGTGCCTCACAGTAGTGCAAAAGCTCATCGTTGGGGACTCCGTAGTTGACCTCAACCTGGTTGGTGGCGGGCAGAATGTCGGCCGAGGCGAGGAGCTCTTCTACTCTTCGAATGTTAAAGTTGCTGATTCCGATGTTACGGACCTTTCCTTTCTTGACCATCTCCTCAAGGTTTCTCCAGGTCTTCATGATGTCCGCCGAGAGGATGTGGTTCTCGATGGGTCGGCCATCCTGAGACTTGAGAGAAGACAACTCCGAGTTCTTCGGGTTGGAGAAGGCGACTGGCCAATGCATCAAGTACAGATCAAGGTAATCTGTGCCTAGCTCCCTCAGACTGGCGTCCAGACCCTGCATATAGTGAGGAACACGGCTGCTATGTCAGTCTCACCTCCATTGACTCGGGTACACCAGACAGCTGCGACGGCACTCACCATCTCCACATTGTCTCCGTGGAAGCTGTTCCAGAGCTTGGAGGTGATGAAGAGGTCCTTGCGAGGGATGCCTGACTGTTGGATTGCACGTCCAGTAGCATCTTCGTCTACGCACCGGAGGGAGGAGAAGGGCGAGGTGCAACGGCGAGAGGTCAGCACACAAGTCGGATCGTCAATGCAGCGATTAGTCAACAGTTTGACCTCGATTACTCACTCTTGTATGCCCAAGCAGAGTCGATGTGCCTGAAACCAGTCTTGAGAGCGTCAGTGACCGAGCTGTGTGCCTCGTCTCTGTTCAACTTCCAAGTTCTTATGAGGGGAAATACGTCACACAAGCCGTGGGATACTGTCAGTGCCTCTTGAGTGCCGGGCGCGGTTCTCTACCTACTGGCTTCTGCCATCACACTTACCCGAAGCCAATCTTGGGAATCTGAGCACCAGATGCGAGGGTGAAGACGTTGTTGGAGGTGCCGGCAGCAGCCGCTACTCGGCGAATGGCGAGGGTGGAGTGCATGACTAACGGACCTAGTCTTGGAGGAATACGTGGCCAGAGTGTGATGTGCTGGCACTGTTCGTTAAGCGAGAGACGAATAGAGTGCGGGTGGAGGGAGAATCTGGGTATCGGGTTGGTGCTGATGTATCTTGTCTACACAATGGTCTTGTGAGCCCAGGAAGCTTGGTGTGAAATGCGGTCGTTCTTGTTCGATGCCGCTGAGAATGTGCGTGGGGGTTGGGAAGAAGGTGATTGTGTGCGGGGAAGGGGTGGGGAAGGGGTGGAAGGTGAGGACGGGGATATCACAAGCGGGGAAGAAGGTGCGACGACGGACAGAGAGCGGCTCGGGCCCTCTGTCAGCACGCAGAGGGGTGTGAAATCCGCCTGCAGAGGCCGGACAGCTTCAAAGTCACCATCGGCCCTGCGCGCGCGCAAAAGCCGACGGGGCGGAGCCAATGTCTCCCTCCGCCCGCCCGCCTGCCTCCTTTCCGTACCCCCTCGCCTCGCTTCGCCCCGGGACAAGAAGGAGTCCGTGTGCGTACTGCCTCAGTCAGTCTAGAAGTTGCGGCAGCTCACAAGGGGCACAGCTATTCACCGTCACTCGAGTCACCCTCTCGCAACTTCAGCATCACAAGAGGCAGATCTATCTAGCCCATAGCCCCACGGGTTCCAGGTTCGGTCCCGCTGCCCGTGACCGGAGCCATCTGATTCCATCGCGGCAAGGGCAGATAGAGCGGGACCTCACTCGCAATGGTGACAGCAACAGGCCCCGACACCTCGGCATCGACGTCTGCCTCGACAATTTGGGCAGCCTCGTCACTTGCGCCCCGAGGTCTGCTCTCGTCCCTTTTCCACAGCCCCGGCAGCGCCTCACCGTCGACGTCGGCACCAAACCCCTCGGGAGAGAGGAGGACGATCTATGGCGAGGGGGACAACGAGCAGCTGACCGACCTGAACAGACGGCCATCAGCGCAGACCAACGACTCAGCAGCCTTGGAAAGATCACCATCTGCCAAGCCGCTGTCACACACAGGAAAGACCGCCGAGCAGGAGGCCGGGCAAGGCCTTGATGCAGCTGCTGAAGCTGCAACGGCGACACTGGCGGCTCAAGCGCCGGAGGACCCCTTGTCGACGATGGACAAGAAGAAAAAGGTCAGGGAGAAGAGGGTATTGCCGCCCCGCATGAGAAGAGTATCATCCTTACTGGCAGGGTCAGGGCTCGAGGAGCAGTTGCTTAGCGCTGCTGAACCAACCCGTGAGTTGACGTGACCGCGACCACCGCCAAAAACTCTCGTCTCACTCGATTGTGCTCTTACCCCTGCCCAGAGAGCCAACGTATTCTGCCCGAAGGATGTGTAATCATCTTGTCGGCGGATCCACAACACCTTGCACAGGCTTTCGAAGCTTCTCCGGAAGATGTGGGCATGGACAGTATCAGCTTTTTCTCGGATCCAGATGTAGCTCAGGCCTGCAGGGCAAAGGCTTTGATAGAGACTCCGGAGTTCAAGCTCCGTGACGACTCTTCACAAATGGGCAAGACCAGAGGTGGTGCGTTGAAGTCTGAAGAGGACACTTCCGATGCTGCTTACGAACGACGCCATCGTCGCCCCGACAACCTCGAGAAAAAGCAGAGAAGGTTGGAGAAGGAGAGGCTCGTACGCGATCGCCAAAAGCTGAGAGAGAGAATTGAGCAGCTTCGCACGGTCGACCCTCGAATGCTCGTCCCCATCATCGCAGCTAGGGAAAAGCAACGGCAGACTGGCACCGCTGCTACAGATGATCCTACAAGTAGTAGCTCGTCACTACGAGGCGCAGAAGCGGCAATGGGGCTCGGCAAACAGCACATGTCCGCTGAAGCTTCTGCAAATCTACGCAAAGTGGAGCGACTGCGAAAAGAGCTGATTGCAGAGGCTACGGAGACTCTGCTGCGGTATGACGCATTGCTGACAGAGACGCCCTCTGTCGTACCCAACGAGAAACGCAAAGCTGTGGATCAACCCGCCGACAACATGGATGGCTCGGCTTCCGATGAACAATCTCGCCAACCCTCATCCACAAGGGGTCGCTTGCACGTGACATTGGGACGGAACAGAACTGCCTCTCGGACCGACGCGCCTTCGACATCTCGTCCGGTGAGCACAAGCTCGCCTTCTCACCGACGTGAAGACGGGAGCGGCAAGGTCGAAGTGACCAGGATCCACGCTCGCACGTCCGGTGGCAAATTTGCTCCGAAGACTGCCATTGGAAGCCCAGGCGTAGCGGCCGTCGCACCTCTCGGATCTGCTGATCGCGGAAGAGGCCCTGGATCACCTTCAGAGCATCGGCCCCGGCCGCCGCGTCCCTCAGAGCTACGTGCAAAGGCTGCCAAAGAAGCTGAAAGAGCTCGCTTGGCAGCTCTGAAGGGCGATGTTGCGGAATCTCCTCCTGCAGTGCCACGGACAAGTTCAACCGTCCACCGCGCAAGGCGTTCCACGTCGAGCCAAGAGCTATCGCCTGCTCCTGCTCTTGTCGCTTTCCTAGAGCACCGTCGTCAGGCCAACAAGACTGGACCGTCCCTGACCGAACTGGATGCATTCGATCGCCGCCCGCTGCGTGTCAAGTTGCGACTAGGAGCTCGACCCTCGACGTCGAGCAAAACCGGCGAGGGAGAACAAGAGGAGGCTGCTGTCAAGACTGATGTGGCTAACTTGGCAGAGCCCGGAGGCAGACGGAAATCGGCTGAGGAGGAGGTAGAGAACCGACTGCTTTTTGCTGCTCCTGGCGCTCTATCACTCGAGCAAGCGCAAGCTATGATGGCGGCTGCGATGGCCAGAGCCAAGGGAGAGGCGGTGTCAGATCAGGGGGAAGATGCCAAACCCTCCGACTCGCCCGCTGCCGGGGCAGGGAAGGGTCCTGTGGAAGAGAAGGAGACACCGGCCTCATCGTCAAGCACTCCCAACACGGTCGCCGTGGAAGACTCAGGACCCGTCAAGGTGGAAGAAGCTGAAGCAAGTGCGAACACTACAGCATCAGGCTCTGCAACTACGTCTCAACCTTCGGTTGAGACACTTGCACAAAATTCCTCCTCTCCTACAAACAAGTATGACTCGTACAGTATCTCGCCGGCAGCTGCTTACATGCCAGGACGATCGGCGGCGGCCAGAGAGAGGGCCGCTGCCAACATCCCCTTGCGGCGGGCGTCTGGACGCGTCAAGGAGCTGACCAAGGGCGCTTTTGGCGAGAAAGTTCCTCCGCGAGCGCTTGTCAGGGAGGACTTTGGCAAGTCGATGCTAGAGCTCTATCAAGCTTGGGGCGGCGTGACTGGCGCTGGTGACGGTGGTGCGGTCGCGACGAGTGAAGCAGTGGGGGATAGGGACGCCAATCAAATGGATCTGGATTGATGTATGTAAAGTAACGACTTGTGCTACGCCTTGCAATGTTACCTCACGCTTCCTGGACCGAGTACCAGCTTGAGTGGTAGTATTGACTTGCCTACAGCCAGCCAAGCAAGCAGGCGAGGCTGCCCGAGGTGTCCCGTGGCTTGGAGGGTCAGGCGGGGCGCCCAACGTTGCGCGCCTCTCCCCGCCCCGCGAACCCAACGCCTCGTGGCCTGGCGGGGCAGCGCGGCCCAGCAATTTACTCTGGCACAACCGAGTCCAAGGCCCATCACACATCTCACCCACCCATCTCCACCCCCCCTACCCTTTCCCACACCCACTGCCTCACCACACCCTTTGCACATCTTCAACCCCCATCGTTGCCAATCATGTCGAGCAACTTGGAGATTGGAAAGTGAGTCGTCTGTAGCAGTGTTGTCCGTCGCTCAGGCGCGAGGAGGGGAGTTACGAGCTGGATATACCCCACGAGACTTTGTTGGGGCGGAGTATCGTTCGCCTGGTATCGATCCTCGCGACGGCGGATCACCTCTATAGGGAACGAGTACGATCTCAGTGATGAAGCTGAGGATATAGAGCATTACTCGGTGCCATCCATCGCGTCTCCTCATTAACAGCATGGCTTCAGACTCCTCTCACTGCCCGAGCAGAGCACTGACCAATACCCCTCTACACCTGATCGCATCCATCATCCCCTCCTCCTCCGTACCCCTCAGGAACAAGAACGCCGACTACGTGGCACCTACCCCTCAGAACACTCCCCTCAGCAATGCTCCGCTGACCAGGGAAGCTCTGTCTCGACCTACCGTGGGAACCATTGGCGAGGAGAATGAGGATGGAGCTGGTGAGTGATGGACCCTCAGGTAGAGCCAGAGGGTGCTGAGTCCCGCTTTAAGGACCGTTTGCTGATCACCTCACCTTCCCACGCCATCGTTTCCTCTCTCACTCGTGACTCTGCTGCTCGGCCATGCTTTCTCGCGATCAGAACTTACCGGAGCTCTGCAAAATCTGGATCTGAGTGGTCTCGTCGAGAACAGGCTTGGCAACTTGGTCGGTCGTTCCTCTGGCTACATTGAGAGCTTGCCACCACACATCAAGCGACGTCTAGAAGGTCTGAAGGGTCTCCAGGTCGACCACACCAAGATCGAGGCCGAGTTCCAGAAGGAGATCCTGGAGCTGGAGAAGAAGTACGCCACTCGCTATGCTCCTCTCTATGAGCGAAGGTCTGCCATTGTCAATGGTCAGGAGGAGCCGACAAAGGAGGAGGTGCTCAAGGGAGAGGCTTCTGAGGCTGACGAAGAAGATGAGGACGAGGAGGAGAAGACTTCGTACGCTGATGTAGAGACTCCAGCTGATGCTGAGAAGGGTATCCCTGAGTTCTGGCTCACTGCTCTCAAGAACCACGTTGCCCTGTCGGAGCTCATCGAGGAGAAGGACGAGGAGGCCCTCAAGGCTCTGATTGACGTGCGCATGACCTACCTCACCGATGCCTCTGGCTTCAAGCTCGAGTTCGTCTTTGACCCATCCAAGAACGAATTCTTCACCAACAAGTCCTTGACCAAGACTTACTACTACCAGGATGAGATCGGATACTCTGGTGACCTGGTGTACGACCACGCCGAGGGATGCGAAATTGACTGGAAGGAGGGCAAGGATCTGACGCACAAGGTTGAGACAAAGAAGCAGCGAAACAAGAACACCAACCAAACACGAACGGTCAAGCGCTCGGTCCCCACCTCATCCGTGTTCAACTTCTTCAACCCTCCCAAGCCTCCCAAGGGCGACGAAGCTGATGAGACTACCGACTTCGATGAGATTGACGAGCGTCTGGAGCTCGACTACCAGATCGGAGAGGACCTCAAGGACCGCATCATTCCCCGTGCCGTCGACTACTTCTCGGGCAAGGCCTTGGCCTACGAAGATCTCGACGACGATGACTTCGAGGATGAGGACGACGAAGACGAAGACGAGGAGGACGATGATGATGAGGAAGAGCGCCCCAGGTCGACTGCTTCGCAGATGGCCGGCAGCCAGGACCCGCAAGAATGCAAGCACCAGTAAAGGAGGTGCGAGTAGGCTTTAAGACATGCTAGCATTGAAGAAGAAAGGGGAGCGTCAGGGCTCTCCCAGTGTCAGTTTCAAAGGGTGCTCAGGCGGGCTGAGTGCTGTCAGGGGTGTCGAATGAGATATCGTTTCGTTTGCGTTAGATGCCGGTTTTGGGGGAGGCAAGCCCGGGTGACTGGCTGCAGTGGACTTCTCCTTCCCCAACATGCGAAGAGGGAAAAATAAAGCGGCATTAAGGTGGGCCATTGCTGCTGCATCTGTCTGCGGCTCTTCCCTTCTTCCCTTTCTGTTCTTCTTGATGCCTCGTCTCTGGCTGGTCAATGTTCTCGGTCTTGATTTAGGAAAGGAGAGCTGCTTCTCGCCATCTTTTGAATGGTGAGGCCAAGTCAGTGCTCTGAACCTCAAGGCCTCCTCTGATCCTGGACCCGAAGAATTTTCCGCCCCCCCTTCTGCCCGTTCCCCATGTGCCTGATCCTCTTGTCAATCCTCAGCCCTCTCATCTATTGTCCTCTCTCGATCAAATAAAAATCCTAGTTCAGCAGCAGCATGGCGGTGAGGGTGGTGTGATGGTCGTGATGAGTGATGAGGAAGAGCTGACGCGGAGGTGGGTGGAGAGCGGGCCGGAGATACGGTGGCAGAGTGGAGGCCGGGGACAGGACGATTTCCAATGGCGCGAATGCCGTACAGATGCCCCTCGCCCGGGCTTCTTCTTGCCCTTCCTCCATTCCCTTCTACTCTTCTTGTCTCGATTCATCAAGCGACTGATGCTTGTTCCCTCGTATCGTCGCGTCATCTCCACTACTCAACCCATCAAGTCGCTCCTTCCTTCCAGCACAAGACCCTTTGCCACTGCAAGGACCTCACGCACACGACTTCCTCTGCCCCGCTCTATCCCCTCCCTTCTTCTGCACTCTTCCTCTTCATCTAGACCAACGATCATGTCACCTCCCACTCCCCCCTTTCCATCATTCACTACCGTCAACTTCTACTCGGGCGGTACTCTGAATCGTCTATCTTGGCTGCGCGATGATGCCAGCTTCCTCAATACTGCCCTTCAGCAGCCGAACACGCGCATCGTCGTAATGCAGAATCTCAACCCATTGACGTATAGCGGCAAGGCCACAGAAGGAGAAGAAGGCTACTTGGCTACCATGAGCTGGAATGAGGTCAAGGAGCACGTGCTCAAGGCGGCTAGGGGAAGTGGCAAGGCCACTGAAGATGAAGACGTCTTTGGTCCTGCTGCCTATGGTGTGGAGGCTCCCTCTCATCTCGAAGGACGGGCATTGGAGGCCTTTGGAAAGGCGACAGCCAGTATCGGACCTACAGAAGTGGCCTTTGTCTTCCTCGGAGTGGACGAGGAAGGTCAGGAGATCGCTTCCCTGCCTGGACAGTTGGCTACACGAGACGGACCGCAAGAGGGCGCAGAGCACTCGTCCTCTTCTAACGTCCCTGCCGGTACACCCTACTTTGCCCTCTCCCTCACCTATAAGTCCAAGAGCGTTGCGCCTTCGGATGCCTCACCAATGAAGCCATTAGAAGACGCCTTGGTCAATTCGGGAAAGTACGACTTTGTAGACACTCGCGCCCTTGGTCGAGCCGGTGAATGGCCAATGCGGGACGCTGCCCTCGTGGCCCAAGCCCGTGCCCTGCTAGACTGGAATGAGCGCAACCACTTCTGTCCGAGCTGCTCTCGGAGACAGTACAGCGTCTGGGGCGGGTACAAGCGTGCCTGTACCAGCTCTCTCACCAAGCTTGGTGTCACGGCGGACGTGGGCGGTTCGGCGGGTCACTACGTCAAGTCTTTGATGAGCGCGCGGGCTTTGGAGCATGATGTGGCAGACAAGGAGCACGGCGAGTGTCCCACTACCACTACGCTTTCCAATTGCTGCTACCCACGTACGGACCCAGTGGTGATCATGGGCGTCTTGTCGCCTGATGGTGAGCGGATGCTCCTTGGACGTCAGAAGAAGTGGCCGCCGGGCTTCTGGAGTTGCTTGGCGGGATTCCTGGAGGTGGGCGAGTCATTGGAGGAAGCCGTGAGGAGAGAAGTACTGGAAGAGGTAAGTAGACTGCACACACCTGCCGCGACAGCACCTGAGGACTTCCTCGACTGACCTCGACCATGCCTCCAACCCTTTCTGCTCCATCTCAGGCCGGGGTCCCCATCGAGTCCGTCTGCTACCACTCGAGCCAAAGCTGGCCTTTCCCCAGTCAGCTCATGAACGGCGCCTTTGGCATCGCCAAGGCCTCTCCAGGGCACGATCTCCCTCCCATCCGTCTCGACTTGGACAACGAGCTCGAAGCAGCCCGGTGGTACACCCGTGAAGAAATCCTCGCCGTCTTAGACTCTTCTGCCAAGAAGCACTTTTCCCGACAGGACGTCAAACGCATCGAAGATGCCCAAAATCATGCTGGTGGAGCGGAGCAGAAGGATCCTGGGTCGATTGCCAATACTGATGATCCGAAAAAGGGGGCAGCGGAAGTGGACTTTAAGATTCCACCTTCGACGGCTATTGCCCATGTGCTCATTGCTGCTTGGGCTAGAAAGGAAGCGATCCTCCCGCTCGCGAATGGAACTACCACGGAGAGTAGCTCAGCAGTGGAGAAGCGACAGCAGCAGTCGAACATGTAGAGAGGTCGGGGGGACCGAGAAAATGGGCTCGTTCACAATCATTTGATTTGAGAGACGTTGTGCAATGTGCTCGACTTTGTTTGAACCGCTCTAATCCGATCAAAGATACAAGTGTCAAACCCGTTACAGCCCCTGTCAGTCAATAATGCTCTGATTATGTAGTGTATATCTCTATGCCTGTTTGCTGTCTTTGTCCTGTCATCCTGACTGCCTTATCACCAGCCATCTTTCTCTTTTCTAGATTCATCATGTCTACTTCCCTTGCCCAGACCACTCCTGCTGAGCATAGATGCGGAAAATGTCCTGCGTGGTAAGCTCATTCCATAGACTCACATCCTCCCTCGTGTAGACCTTGTCCTCCTGCAGCGAATTCAGGATAGCGATGATGCCCTGTTCGATAAAGTCCACTAGGACCACATCCACCTTGTTCGTCGAGTCGGGACCGAGCTCGGTGGTGTTGCCCTGCAAGGGAGTGGCAATGTAGCTCGGTACAGACGTGTAGGGGATAGCCCTGTGCAGCGTATCGTCGCCGCGAGGTCCGTTGCCAACGGAAGCGGCGCAGGAGTCGCTCGTCACGTAGCCAAGAGAGCCATTCTCGTCGGCGTGCATGCTAGCATCGGCGGCTTGATCTAATTCGAGCAGATCGGAGAGGTATGCATCACTTACGCCTGCGAGAGCATGGCGGGAGCGGTCTTCCTTGACCTGCAAGGCGTATTGCGCTGCGCGCCAAGAAGAGAAGATGGGACCTACTTCGCCGCTCGCATAGGCGTCTCCACGATGCAGAACTGCCGCATCGGCCATGCCATCGTCGCGTTCGCTGACTTGACGACGAGCAGCAGAAGGGTAACCTCCTTCGCTCAGACGGCCGAGGATTTGCCGGGCGTACCGATACTCGACGTCCTTGATGACGAAGAAGGCATCGGTGAAGGGACTGACGATGTACTGGTCATTCTTTGTAAAGTCGCCAGAGTACAAATCGAAACGAACCTGGGGGAAGTAGATGTGCACAAAGAATGTAAGTCAAACACGTACACGTTGTGAAGAGACAGGCACGGCTTCGTGACTCACCAGGCCTGTATTCGCAATGATGAACCTGGGTGTGTCTGTCCTGTCTGCATTCTTCTTGGAAGGGTTGCTCAGGACGATCTTGGGAAGTATCGAGCTTCCCAGAAGACTGATGACAGACAAATTGGAGGAGATAGGGTACCTGTCCAGAAAGTAGTCCTGCGGAGCTATCCCGTAGATTTCAGTCAGATTCCATTCCTTTGCGATGTCAGACATCTTCTCAGTGATAGCCGAGCCATCTGGTGTATCGAAGCGCGAGTCACTCAGCCCCAGATGATATGCATAATTGCGACGATTAGCATCGATGTAGGACCTTGAGTACGTCATCGCGCCAGTTCCCTCGGACTTCGTCAGATTGACGGACAGCCATCCTATGGTCTCGAGGTACCTTCCTGCCTCGATACCAATGGCATTCTCGTCGTAGGTATAGCAGTCTCGAATATGTGTGTGTCCTCCAGATATCAGGATCGGCGTATCCTTGTGGACTTTGCGGATCGCGTCGACCACAGTCGGCCATGAGCCCCACCTGACTGGCATGTGTCCTGCTAGGAGGAAGAAGTCGGGCTCTTCGGCGATGGCCTCTGCAAACCAGCTCTCCTTCACCATGTCGGCAGGGGTCTGAATTGTGATACCGCCATCTTGCCCCTTGAATTCGAAGAGGATGCCTAGAGAGGTGACTCTGCGGCCTTGAGTCGTATTGAACTTGATGTAGCGTTCGCCCATGATATGAGAGATATTATGGCCTGACTGCTCATCGTAGATGGAGATGTTAACATTCGAAGAGACATACCTGTGGTACAAAGGACAGTAGTGTAAGTAGACGGAGAGAGCTTCTCATGCTCCCACGCCTCCTCACCTGCCCTTTTGAGCGGGGACAAAGTTCTTGTACGTATCAAAAGCCACGCCATACTTGTACAGCTCGTGATTGCCCACCGACAGCAAATCATATGGTACTTGAGAGTGGATTTCGTTGGAGACGTGTCCATCCGTGTCGCCCTCTGGAAATCCGTCAGAGAGTCCGTCCCCATCGTGAAGATCTCCAGAGTCGACTACGAGGAGATCCACGCCTCGTTGGGCGGCGAGATTGCGCAGATGCGAGACAAAAGAGGCAAAGTCGCCAAAGTCTCCGCTGTAGTTGGGGTCCGGCTGGGTGGAATGCAGATGCCCTTGGTACCAGCCGTGCTGATCAACAGAGTGTATGGCAGGCGAAGGGGGGCTGTGGTCAGTCTCACTACTCTTTAGCACAGCTCGGTGCCTGACTGCTCCCCAGCACCACCCACTCCTATTCGAGGTACACTCACGATATCTGTCGTGGCCACAATCTGTACATCTCCCCAGACCAGGGGTGAGAGTAGATCAGCTCCTCCTGTAGGCTGTGTAGCGTAGCGTGAGCTCCTCTTGCTAAGTCCATGCTGAGGATCGAGGTCCCCGCAGGCTCGTACCAAAGGACACAACGATGTGAGAGCCAGTAGCACACCAAGGAGCATGCACAGCTTCCGCTGCTGCGCTGAGGAGGTGCTTCTGCAGAGCATGGTGCTGGGGACGCTGTGTACTAGCAGCTTGCTTGCTCTTGCTGATACGATCCTCTGATGGTATGTGGACACTGCAGATTAGATTCAAGAAGGGAAGGCGAATTACAAAGGGGAGGTATTTCAAGCGAGGTGTTTGTCGCTCCCCGTGCACGGGCGGGACGGAAGTGGACAACGTGCAGTCGGGCGAACGTCGGGGCAAAGAGAGACGGGCCTTCAGCCTGGGAAGGCCCGATTTCTGGGTGTTGGGCACATCTTCCATCACGTGTCCCGTAGAACCACTCACTCGCTATTCCCACGCTGCAGCACATTTGGTCATGGCCCTTCTGTGCAGCCCACCCTGTTCCACTGCATCAGCGGGGCTGAGGACCAATTTACGCGAGGCCTCCACGCTCCGCGTTCCGTGGGACGTGCTTATCCTAGCAAATGTGGAGTGAACACACCAGAGGTGCTCATGCTTTCAGAAGTTCTCGTGCTTGCCTCTTGCATAGGTACATAGTAGCACCATTCGGTAGCAATCACGAGGTTCGATTGAGATACCAGTCTACCTCGTAGCTCGATACTCATAAAATGGCACCCAAGAAGCGAAGCGCTGCTCAAGGCGGGCGAACCAAAAAGGCTCAGAAGAAAGAGTCTCCCAAGCCCCAGGAAGAAGTGCAGCTGGACACACGCGCCCTCCTTTCCTGGCTCCTCAGTGATGAGGCCCTCTCGCTTGCCTATCCACCCATCGAGCGTGGTAAAGGCGAGGTAGACTGGTCCGACGCAGAGGTGCAAAAGGGCGGTAAGAAGGCTCCACCCCCTCCTCTTCAACGCAGTGGGGAGGGCAAAACTGCAAAGGACGGAGGGAAAGGAGAAGAGGAGACGCCTCTCCTTTACCCTGCCCCTTATCCCGCCTTCTCTCCTTTCCTCACCTTGGTCTCCTCATACCTCCTCTCCAAGCCCATCTCGCACAAGCTCGGCCTACGCACCATCTCCACCGCTCTCAATGCTCCCTTCAACCTGCGTACTCGCAGCGCCTGGGAAGAAATCGGATACGAAGGCAGGAGGAGGGTGATGTGGGAGGCCAAGACACAGCACAAGGAAAAGAGCGCAGAGCAACTCGGTGAAGTGCTCTCTGGTCTTCGGGAGCTTGAAGGGGACGAAAAGGGGGATGAGCATGAAGATGAGTTGAGGAAATTGAAGAGCGAGGTGGATAAAGCGGCAAAGGATACCAAGGGCGCGGAGAGTAGGGCAGGAGCGAGGGAGGCTGTGCAGGAGCACTTGACGAAGATCAAGGGGCTGGGCAAAGGAGCTTGCGAGATCTTCATAAGGTGAGCAGTCTGAGCAAGATGGACCCCTATCATATATTGTGGACCTATACTGACTTGGCGCTTGTGATTTCCCTTCCTATACCAATAGGCGAATCCAGCACCCTTGGGCCTCTCTATACCCATACGCCGACTCCCGCTCCCTAGAGTACGCCCACGAGATCGGGCTCCTCAAGGAAGGCCTGCCGGAAAAGGACTACACTGCACCAGAGGACATGGACGGTCTGATCCTCGAGCGCTCAAAGGATCTCCTTGCTGTGTTCCGAGAAGGCGGACTCGGCGGTGCAGAAGGTGGTGATGGGGAGAGGGAGAAGTTCGTGCGCCTGCTTGACGTACTAGTCGGGTTGGGGCTGCAGAAACAATTGGTAGAGGCACGGAAGAGGGCTGCTGGTGGAGGCGCTGCAAATGGTGGTGGGAAAGACAATGTGAAGGAGGAACAGGAGGCTGGTACCGCCGTGGCGTGAATCTGAAATACCTGGTACTTCTGCTTTCTGCGTCACATTCTCACGTCTGTGCGACTCCGCGCTCCACATCGTGTCAATGTAAGGAAGTCTATTGCTGACTTCACTCGTATCATCTGTAATTCTCACCGCCTCGCCCTTCCTGCCTCGATCGCCCTCTCTTCGAGTCGACTCTGCAGCAGCGATAGCCTGAGTGGGTCATTCTCTGGAGTCCCCACCATTGCGTCAGTGGTGACGACTGTTCCTTCCTCCTTGACCTGCGCATTTGCTAGAGCATCTGCCTTGCCCTCGAGAATAGCCCTCGCTCCCCTCCTGTACTCATCACCTCCCGACCACTCTCCTGTAGACTCTGGCCTCATCCTCATCTTGCTTGGAGGCGCGCCTGGCGCTTGTGATGTGGACAAAGCAGCGCCTGGGCCCTGAGCAGCGGCTGCCCAGCTTTCCAAGGCTTGCTCTTCCTTGAGGAACCCGCGATATGTCTCAGGGGCGGCATGCCAGACTCGATTGCCATAATTCTCCTTCAGGAACTTGGGAGCTGGCGGGTTGAATTGAGCGCCGTACGCTTGTGCCTCTAGGAGAGCATACCTCGAGGCAGTCTCGTGCTCGGCGCGCAGGGAGTGGTATTGACCCAATGCATGGCGGTATGCTTTTGCCAGTGATAGTGAATGATTCTCGTGGAGGTGAACAGTCAAAGCAATGACGCTGAGTGCGAGAAGAATGGGTGCAGAGGTCAGCCAACCGAGATGCTTTTCTGCGAAAGCTGACCCTGAAGTTGCCTACTCACTCCTCTGGCTGTGGATTCGTCGACCACCGTGTCAATTCTGTCACCTCAGCAGGGACCTTCGCAGGCTCTTCCACCTTCTCCTTCTCAGCAAGGATCCTCGGCCTTAGCCCCTCCCAAGGATGATCGAGGTAGAATTGCCTCCTCACACGGTCATGCAGGTAAACGATGGGCTGTGGTGCTAAGCTGGGGGTCCTTGTCCTCATCTTCTTCTTCGAGTTCATCGGATCCCTCCGACGAGAAGGATCGCCTTCTGCATTGCGGGCTGCCTTCACTAGCGACTCTGGCAGGTCCTCAGTGGGTCGAGGGTAGGGAGCTCGCGGAGGAAGTGTGGTGGGAGGATGGGCAAGGAGAGCCTGGTAGGAAACGGGCGGCGTCTTGATGTAGCCTCCTTGCATGAGACGAGAGATGGTCTGAGGTACCTGCGCTGCGATACGGCGAGGCATGTTGGGCAGATGTGCGTGACTAAAGGTGTGTGGACCGGTAGCGGGAAGGTCGGGATGCAGGAAGGATGAGCAATGCTCAAAATCCAGAGGGGAGGCCACTCGCGCGCAGAGGCGCACCACCACCCACTCCTTCGGAAGCAGCACAGGCGGAGGACACGGCCAGTGAGAGGAACACCTCGCCTCACCTTTAGTCGTGGTAGAATACCAACACTTCGTACAATTATCTGGGGAGGGTCAGCTCAGCCATGTCTTCAACCACGAGACGGATAAGGGTGAGTGGTGATCGGGCTCAGGAGAGCAGACATAAAGGCGGCCATGGCTGACCACGCTTCGCCCTTACCACATGTCTCACTACTGCAGGGCATTGCCATCCATCGACCTCTGGTCATTGGTTCGACGGCAACTCCCCTCACAGCCGCAGAGAAGATGTCGGCAGACCCCATGCATACCCATAAGTGGACTGTGGCAGTGCGTTCCGCAGCTTCCAATCCCTTGCCCAACCATCTCCTCGATGGGGATAGCAGTGCGCCCACGGGACCCACCATCTCACCCACTACCTCTACAGGAGCAGCAGCTGGGACGCGAGGCAGGGATACAGAGACAGACTATCACAAGCACGTAGGAGGCAAGGACGACATTTCGCACTTCATCAGGAGAGTTCAATTCAAGCTACACGACTCTTTTCCACAACCAATGAGAACCTGTGATCGCCCGCCATATCAGGTCAGCGAGACTGGATGGGGAGAGTTCGAGGTGGGCGTCAAGATTTGGTGGGCGGCAGAGAGCGGGGAAAAGCCACTGCAGACATTTCACTACTTGAAGCTGCATCCGTGGAACCCAATTCCAGTAGCCGCGCCAGGCACAGGAGGAGCTGAGGCAAATGAACAGACTGGGCTGCAAGATCAATCCATGGATGTATCAATGTCGGCTGCTCCGGCTGAGGGAGCTGAGGGGAACGGCGGCGAGGTTGCCCCCAAAGTTGAAGACAATGCAGCCGCCGGACCTTCAACTCCTGCTGCTAGCGCAGCTGCTACTACACCTGCGGCGGCTACCGACGGTCAACCCGCGGTCAGTACGCCAGCTGCCCGGACCCAAGCTCCAGCTCAGCCAGACATCGTACTTCCGCTCGTGGTCCACTCGTGGCAATATGATGAGGTCGTCTTCCCCGAGCCGACAGAGGCGTTCCACAACACCCTGATTGAGCATCCACCAACTCCGTGAGTAGGTTTTCTTGCGCAGAAAATTTCGATGGGCCTTACTGACCTCTCCATGTCTCGCATCACTGTAGCCTCCCATCGTCGATCAGTCAAGCTTTCACAGATCCATCGAAAGTGCGCACTGCCCGACTGCAGAATGGCTTCAACACCGTCTCCTCGGAGTCTGATGGTCCCCCTTATCCCCTTCATGCCCCCTCCTCCCAACCTTACCTGCATGGCATGTCAGCACCTTCTATTCAAGCAGAGGGAGATCGACTGGATATTGCCAGGATTGAAGCGGTCAGGGAACTGGAGAGGGAGAGGACACGGCTGATCGATGTCGAGAAGGAGTTGAGAAAGGTCAGAGAGAAGATTGATGCCCTCACGAGCACTGGAGCTGCAGGGACCTCGGCGGCTGTAGGAGGAGTGAGAGTGTAAGGAGGGGGCAGGGCGAGGCTAGCGACCGATACCACCAGACAGAACTTGACACAAAATTTGTACTGTACATGTTAGCATTTAGATAGGTCCGAAATCTTCACTCTACGGCCTGAAGTAGTGGCTCCTATCTAGTCCGTGCTGACCACATCGGCGTATCAGTCCACCAGAGGAATGCTCCGACTGCCCCTAGCGAGGTCACGCATGGCAAGAGGTCGAGCTTGACAATACAGTAGATCCACAGGGAGCCTAGAGGAGGTGTCTGTCGGATCACTTGCTCCCACGGAGCCTGGAAAGGATTTCGAAAACGTTAGGAGGAGGCAGAATAGATTGATCAGTAAGGAGACACGGGAAGACTTTTACCATTTGGCTCACTTACCTCGTGGAAGGTCCACAAGAAGGCACACCCGCACGCTACTGCCGTCGCGAACAGAAGAGGTTGCATGACCCGAGGCGAGGCAAACGGCCGGATAGTGGCTGTATGATGGCCGGACAAGAATCACTTGAGCTCACATATAGCGGCCAGCAATCGCTACCCTCAACGCTACTCACTGAACCAGACAATCGCGAACAAGACGGGAACTGTACCTATCATCCTTCCCACCTCCTGCAGCGCAGTAGGATGCATAGCATACTGGTCCTGAATCATAATGTCAAGCAACACGAAGAGTGCCGAAAGAGGTATGGACCATACCAGCAGGTCGAGGGTGTTCTCCATTCGGGGTGAGAGCTGGGTAGCCTGCGTGTCTGCCATGACAGAGGCAGCGGTAGCATCTGGGTCGATGGCGGCTGAGGCGGAGGCGGCGAAGAGGTCTAGGTCGTCTGAGGCTTCCGTTGAGTAGCCCTCTTCTTCTTCCTCTTGTTCCGATTCCTCAGCTTCTTCGGAGGAGGAAGAGCCGACCCATTGGCTGTGAGACAGAGCAGCAAGAAGAAGCTTCGAGGTCAGCTAGGGCCGCAAGGCGTGCAGCGCTGCAATGCTACTGACCTTCGCTGCTGCTGCGCTATCCTCCTCTGCTCTGCCCTCTTCTCTGCATCATTTCCTGCCGATAGACTCGGTCCTGCTCTATTTGCAGCCATGATGAGTCGTTGTGAGCTTTGGAAGAGTAGAGCCTGTCAGTGCGGTAGGGTAGAGGGTGGAAGTGTGGAGGAGCAATGAGAGAAATCTGAAGAGCAACACGGAAAGGGCGCCGACACGCGGGGCCGCGGCTCGAAAGGGTCCAACGAGTTCAGCCTGGTACGGCTTGGAGCAGTTGTATTATTTGTAAACGCCTGAAAAGGACGGAAGCAAAGCTTTCGAGTACATGTGAATCCCATTTTGGTGCTTACAAATAGTGACGCCCTTGTCGCAGCCCCATCCTATGCCATACGTGCTAAAGTAGAGAGTGAGAGGCGCCAATGGCGGCCCATGCACCCCAAAGCTTGCCTCCCGCGGGTGATGGCGAGCTTTACGTGCAGCTCTCTGAGTCAGGAGAGAACCCGGACGGATGCATCTTCTCCATTCATCAGTAATTTGTGCCTGCAAATTGCTGCCCGGCAAGAAATCCCGGAATTGTCCCTGGCCGAGGCAAAGCGGGTAGGAAGTGCGTTTTGACCTGCCATGGCGCCGCACTCAGCGACTGCCACCATCTCTCTGAAGTCACAAATCCTACTCTCTTTCCCTCCCACCGAAGATTATCTGTGAAGATCTCTCTTAGTATGTCAGAGCTTGTCGATATCAAGACGGTGGTCGAAGACGGGACGGCCAGGTCAGCCAAGTCCACCTCTGTCGACATCGACGATGGCTTCGACCCTGCCGTCATTAAGGCGCTCAAGCGCAAGATCGATTGGAAGCTCGTTCCCCCTCTGGCTGCACTATACGCGATCTCTCTCATCGATCGAAACAATCTCGGCCTGGCAGGAGAGGCAGGCATGACGGCCGAGCTGAAGCTCAACATCGACAATCGATACTCGCACGCAGTTGTGGCCTTCTTCCCACCATATGTAGCCCTCGAGCTCTTCTCCAACATTGGTATGCGTAGGGTTGGAGCAAGATGGTGGCTGCCTAGTGCTGTTGTCGTATGGAGTCTCTGCCTCTTCGGTACGGCTTTCGTCAAGAATTGGCAGGGATTGACGGCGTTCAGAGCAGTAAGTGGAAAGGATGATGCGATGCCCAAGCTGGCTGCTGATCCATGGAGCATCCCTCACGATCTTGTTCATCTATAGATCTTGGGAATGGCAGAAGCGACACTCTTCCCTGGTACTGTGTACCTACTGTCATGTTGGTATCCGAGGCGAGAGATCGCTACGCGAATGACTGCCTTTTTCGTGGTAAGTGGCATCGTCCCAAAGAGAATCCCGGAGCTGCAGGGCCTTTGTTCCTATGCGACGCTGATCTTGTCAATCGCATCTTGTTGCAGGCCGGCTCTGCTTGTGCAGCGTGGAGCAGTCTGCTCGCTTACGGTCTGTCTAAAATCCACACAGGCTCTACCCTCTACGGCTGGCGCTGGATCTACCTGGGAGAAAGTCTGCTGAGTCTCGTGGTGGCCATACCTTGCTACTGGCTCATCGTCGACTTCCCTTCCTCTCACCGTTGCAAATTCCTTAGCGAGGAGGAGAAGCGCATCGTCGCTACTCGCATTGAGAGGGACAGGGCAGACTCGGAGCCGGATGGCTTGACGATAACCAAAGTAGCCAAGTATGCTGCTGATCTAAAGCTGTGGGCCTTTGCGTACTGTTACTGTAGCACGACGTTGGCTTCGTATGCAATGTCTTACTTCTCACCCGTACGTGGACCGCACAGTCGCACTGAAACTCCCGCATGCTCCGCTGACCTCGCACCCTTGCTTCTCTTCTGCGACACCAGCGCATTATCGCTTCGATGGGATTCAAGGGCGTGGACCTCTACCTGCTCCTTGTGCCGCCTGCGGTGCTTGCCATCTGCTGGGGTCTTCCAATGGCGCGTTGGAGCGACAAAACAGGCTGTCGCCTGCCTTTCATGATTCTCAACTCTGTCATTGCAATGACGGGTCTTAGCCTCTTTGCGTTTCTGCCAGTGCATGCCACAGCAGGTAGGTACTTTGGTATCTTCATCGCCACGGCAGGCCTGCACTGCAACATTCCTCTCACCAGCTCTGCCTCGCAGACTGCCATTCGAGGTCAAGCCAAACGAGCATACACCTCGGCGCTAGTGGTTGGCTTTGGCGGGGTTGGTGGCATCATTGCTCCCTTTGTCTTCCGACAGAAGGACTCGCCTCGCTATTTCTTTGGTGTCAAGTTCGTTCTGATATCTCAAGGGATTGCGATTGCAGTCTGCTTGGTCTTGGGAGCATGGTTCCGTCACTGCAACCGGCTGGCCGAGCGTGGGAGAAAGATTATCGAGGAGCACCCAGAATTCAGGTACCAAATTTGAAATGAAGTTGGAGGCTTGGCGAGGAATATGGTGCCCCACGTGCGAGATGGAAGTGAGTCCCCCGTGTACGCGACCTTGGCAAGCCCCTGGTCGATGGACTGGTACGACGCACAGACAATTCCAGAGGTTTGAGTCCCGCTGTGACGATGACCCTTGTCTGCAAGGGTGCAATCGATCGATGGGCGGCGATACGCGCGTGGCTGTGGCTGCGTCTCTGCCCCAGGGAAGTGAGCGACTTTAATTCCCGCTGCAGGCGGACTTTGCACTGAAGCGAGGCATTGGGGTCCACCGCCGCTCAACCCAAGCACCGCACCACGCACCACGCCCGTCGCCGCCGAGTGCCTGTGCCTGCCTGTTTGTCTGCCTGCCTTCCTTCGCTCCTTCCCTTTCCTCTGCCTCTCGCCTTCCCTGCGTCTTCCCTTGCCTTCCCTTCTCTCCCATACAAGCCATCTCCTCATCCACTGTCATGGCCGACACTACCTTGGTACCCGTGACATTCAGCTACCGCTCCACCACCGCCAATACCATCGAGGTATCCGGCGATTGGGACTCGTGGGCTGAGCGCGTATCCCTCCACAGGGTCGCCTCTTCCGACGTCTGGCAGGCGGATAAGCCACTCAAGCCATCGACAAAGTTCGCTTACAAGTACATCGTCGATGGACACTGGCATGCAAAGGACGACCTCCCCACTGAGCAGGACGCCAGTGGTAATGTCAACAATGTCATTGTCAGCCCAGAAGCAAAGCACCCCACAAGCGATGACCAGAACAAGACGCCAGGTGAGTAAAAATTGCAGCAGATTCAAGAGCGCAATACTGGAGTCAGTAGGCTCACTACATCAAGGTGCACTTCGCCATTGTCCCCGATAGTTGAAGCTGGTATTGCCGGTGCCGTCGCCGCGGCAGGTGCAGCCATTGCCAGCGTGATCGGTGTGGACCCTCTGGAGGGACAAAAGGAGCCTCTATCCACCTCTACTGGCCCCACCTCCAGCACCGAGAAGGGCACTCTGGACTCTACCGAGGCTGGAAAGGGCCTGGCCCTAGGTGCTGCAGGTGGGGGCCCCACCGTTGGCGCACCAACTTCCCAGACCACTTCGACTAGCGCTCCAATGTCGGGGGCTGGAGCAAGCACACAGAGCGGCTCTACTGCCTCGCAAAGCGACTCGACTCCTGAGAAGATCGCTGCTGGTGTAGGTGCTTTGGGCCTTGGTGGAGCTGCAGCTGCTGTCGCCGGGGAGAAGCAGACAGCTTCATCTGTCCCAAAGAACGCGCCCGTCACTCAGACGACGAATGCTCCTGATGCATCTTACAAGGACACCTACGCAGCCCCATCCAGTGTCTCTTCCACTGGCGCGACTTTTGCAGCTCCTGCCTCTACCGCACAGACATCAAGCGCTGCCCCTGTCACCGCTGCAGGAGTTCAACAGACAACTGCTGCTGGCACTGCCAGTCACAGTACACCGTACGACGCCAAGCCCATGCCAGAGACCGCTTCCAAGCAGCAGTCGCTCTCTTCGGGCCCATCTGCCAAGTCTACTACCTCTGCTGATGCTGCACCCCTGGTCAATCACCCCACGCCCGTGAACAACGCATCGGCCACAAGCAATGGCGCTAAGCCACAGGTCACCAGCCTCTCGGGCGGAGGTGACAGGTCGGGCCTCGGCGCTACAGCCGCTGCCCTGGGCGGAGCTACCCTTGCTGGCGCTGGTGCTGGCGGCGCTGCTGCTGCTGCTAGTAAGCCGTCCACGGCTGCTGCTCAGGCACCCCCGGCAGCCTCGTCTGCGTCTTCTGCAAATCAGACAACGCCTGCCGTACCCGCCAAGAGCGCAACGAGCGGTGCCAGCTCATCGGGCGTTGCACCTGCTTTGACCCTCGGCAAGCCCGCCTCCTCTGCCACTCCTCCTGCGACTGCTGCCACCTCGGGCCAGTCTGCACCTGGCACGACAGCGGCCCCCTCCACACAGCAGCCTGCTCCATCGACTGCTAGGGCCGCTTTCGCAGCACAGTCTGCCCCCGTCGCCAACAAGGCTCCCGCCGCCTCCACAACAGCTCTCCCTACTGAGCAGTCTGCCCCAACCGCCAACAAGGCTCCCGCGGCCTCCACGGCAGCTCCTTCCACTGAGCAGTCTGCCCCATCGTCTGCCAGGGCTGCTTTTGCGGCTCAGTCTGCCCCGGTTGCCAACAAGGCACCGGCTCCCTCCACGACTCCTCCTCCTACGTCTGCAAAGACTGCTGACATTCCTGTAGGAGCCAAGCCTGCTCCTGCCACCACTACCCAGGGAGCTGCTGATTCGACCAAGACTGCACCTTCAACACCGGCCAAGGGCAAGACGGACACGATTGGGCGAAAAGCTGAGCCAGCAGGAGGAGTTGCCAGTGGAAAGTCTAGCGTGAACAGCACGCCCAACCGTAACGGTGAGCAAGGATCCCAGACTCCAGGATCGGCGAAGAAGAAGGGTCTCTTTGGAAAGATCAAGGAGAAGTTGAGCAGCCCTTCTCAGAGCCCTTCCAAGTGATGTGGCCATGAGGGGGCCAGAGGGACGAACTGGTCGTCTATCTTTCTCTTACTGGAAGAGATCGAATCGGCCCACACTCTCTCGTGCTGCTCTTAAGCTCGCGTGCGGTCTTCTGAGGACGGCTCAGAACGTACCATGCCCATGCCTAGGGAGAGGCTCCCTGGGCGATCGGCGTGTGAAATGGGAAGCCCGCTCTGCTGTTCCGGAATTACTATTACCCCTGGCTCGATCTATACTACCCGTTTCTTGCGGACATGTTTCCTCATCATCAGTTTCCATTCCTGCCCCCCCCCCTTCCCCTTCGTTCAACCCCCTTTCCCTACCAATTTGCTCTTTCTTCACGCACTCGTTTAGGCGCCACAAACCCACCGCCTCCAGTACGAGCTGTTGGAGAGACCTCTCTTCCCACTGCTGCTGCTGCCGCCACTGCCGCTGCCGCTGGCACATCGTCCTCGACCTCCTCTTCTATCCCTGATGCCAAGAAGACGTCGCCACCAGCACCTGCGCCAGTAGCGCCAGCACGCGCACCAGTAGCAAACAGCGCTCCGAAAGCAACACCACCACCACCTCCTCCTGCGTCAGCGCCCAGCAGCAAGCGCAATCACCAAATCATAGCAGCAGTGCTGGGTTGTCTAGTCCTGTACCGCTTCTCACCCACACTCTCTTCGCTGCTCCTAGTAGGAGGTGTAGGAGCGGCTTTCTGGTTTCCTAAAGCCTGAGATCCTGAGCACCCTAGAGACTAGGTGGGAGCTAAGGGCTAGGGGCTAGGGTCTAGGGTTTAGGGGGGAGATTTGGTAGGATGGGATGTGGGCCACGCGACGCTACGCTGTGCAGTGCGGCGCTGTGGCCCCATCCCCCCCTCGCCTCTTTTCGTCCTTCTTTCCTTTATGGGCCTTCATTGCTCGGTCGGCTTGGGACTCTAGGGCAATCTTCGTCTTTCGTCTCATGTAATCCCCCGCATCCCCCTCCCCTGCCCCCCCCCCCCCCCCCCCCCCTCTTTCCCTCCCCCTCTCCTCTCCTCTCCTCCCTCTATCCTTGACTTGATTTCATTTCACTCGATTTGCTATGCTCTGCTTCGTTTCCTCTCGTCCGTCCGTCCGCAAATCGCAATATGCACTGTGCAACCTGTTCCACCTGGAATGCTCCGCACTGAGTGCTGAGTGCTGACTGCTGACTGCTGCTCCATCCATCCATCCGTGCGTCCATCCATCCGTACCTGATGTGTGGCAGAGCTCTTCTGCACTGCCAGAACCATCTCTCACATCGCCAATCTCAGCTCCCCATCATCTCTTCTCTTCTCCTCTTTAAGTGCAAGTGCAAAAGAGGGCATTGTAACAGACAAGTACTGTATGTACAAAGACAGGACGAGGACACGGGGTCAGCAGAGCAAGCACACTCTCACAGTCAGTCGACTGTCCCTGTATTGTATTATATTTATTCCAATACTGCTCTGTACAGCACAGCACAGCACTGCCACTCCACACTGCATACTCTGCACTGCCTCCTTTCCTCTCCTTCCTGAGGCAGCGCCGCCCTCCTCCTCCTCTTCCCTCCTCTCTCTCTCCTCCTCTCTCTCTCTCTAGGCATGTCTTCCCAATCTATCCAAGCTCCGCACTCCTTGTTCATACCACTCTGATCGACTAATCCAAAAGGACTCGCGCGTCTTCATGATATCGGCCAAGACGGCACCACCGAGAAAGACCATGTGCTTTCGACGTGGTGGATCTTCCACGCGGAGCTTGAAGTTCTGTTTACACAAGGGGTGAGGAGAGTAATGGAGGAAGAGGGGCGGCAGATTTGTCAGTGCGGTGATTCGTGGAGATTTCCACTTTCGGTTCTAACCCACCTTTAGACGACTGCCATCTCCATTGAGGACCTTGCTGAGGTAAAGCTGCTTCATCTCCTTTTCCAACCGACTCGGTAGACCAGGGTACATTGAGCTACCACCACTGAGGACAATGTGCTTGTACAATTCTGTTCGAACATCCACTGCTGCCGACTGAATGGTGTTGAACAAGAGCTCAGCCACTCCGGGTTGTTCCACGTCTACCAGGTGTGGCTGGAACATGCACTCGGGAGCTTCGAAGCGCTCTGAGCCGACCTTAATCACCCGGCCATCAGGGAGCTGTCCAAGAACATGACAAAGTAAAGTCAGCAGCTGCGTAAGACGCATCCCTCCGTCATCATCAGCGGCCACTTACTGTGTAGCTCTCCACCAATGTCGTCGTCTCCTCTGCCAGCTTCTTGTCCAGCGCTAGATCGTAGCTGGTGAAGCAGACCTTCTCCTTGAGCTTCCTGACCGTCTCAAAGTCTGCCGTTCGGTTAAAGGCATACCCTCTCAGCAGCAACAGCTTGATGAGATACCTCGTCACATCTCGTCCTGCCACATCGAGACGTTTTGTGAGATGGGGCATGGCGAAGCCTTCGTAGACGGGCACTACGTGGGTCACACCGTCTCCCGAATCGACGACTACTCCGGTTTGCAGACCTGACAGCAGCAGCAGCATACATGTATCGGGTCAATGAGCGATGCCTGCCTTCGAACGAGTGTCTCATCCACCCCCCTAACTCACCTTGAGCGTAGAGCGTCAAGACTGCCTGAATTGCTATGTACACTCCCTCGAATCCATACTCCTCGAACATGATCTGACACATTTCCTCCCTGTTCCGCTTGGGATTCATGGGTGGTTCTGTGAGTAGAATCTTGCGACCAGCGGGATCGATGCGAAGCTTCTCATCAAAGGTATAGTTCCATACTGTCATGGGCGCGTGGGGAGGAGGGACAGGGTGGAGATGAGTCTCCAGGTTGTTCCCAGAAGCGACTGTGCCTGCCACACGGCTCCCCTGGTGGTCACTCACCGTGTCTCATATCCCCAAAGTCCTTTACGACACCGTGCTCCATGGGTTGGTTGATCTGAAGGTAGTTCCTCAGCTCCTCTGCCTCATCTCCCACCATGATGTCCTTGATCTGCGCAGCTAGGGACCCTGCATCCTTCTCCTCTACTCTCAAGATTGGTCTACCGACGATGGAAGCAAAGACGTGCTCTGGGAAATTGGAACCAGCATACCCGACCTTGACGAACTGTTGTAAAGGGGGGAAAAGGGGCGCCCAGCAGAGCAAGGTAATGATCAGATGTCGTGCGGCAATGTCATTCGGATTGTGGGTGCATCCCTTGGCGGCTGCACTCACTCCGGTACCATTGTCTACGACGATGGGCCTCTCGTCAGCCATTCTGAGGGTCTACTGTGCGGCGACTGATGAGGGGGCGAATCGTCTACTGCGTTGCGTACAGATCTGAGTAGGGATGTATGAGGTTACTAGGTAGACTACCAGCAGGGAAGGTGAGGTGAGGTGTGTCCAGGCGCTGCTTCCCCAGCCAGGGCCGAATGTGGGTGGCCGATGCTGGCTGTGCGTCGCGCGGGGGGGCCATGGCATGGCAGGGCAGGGCGTGGCAGGCCAAGGCGGAGCCACGCCCACGACGGACGGAGCGGAAGCAGCCAAGAGCAAGGACAAGGGACGCACACCACGGATAACTTCGGCCCAAAGGGGACCACTTCTTCCGATCTACGCCGTCGCTGCTACGGGGTATTTCCTTGTTGTTTCCCTATCCATTCATCACTTCTAGTCAGAAAGTATGGCAGACCAGAGCTCAAGCCCATCCGACTCCTCCCCCGCTAGGCGCAGGCATCGTGAAGGCCACATTCAGTATGCCTACACATTACAGCGAGTGAGTGGCAGCATCACCGGCGACGGACTGGGCCTTACACTCCCGCTCCCACTAGGCTCCCTCAGCCTGAACGCTGACCCTCCTTTTACTTGTGGAAATTCCACTCACCCTTCCACTAGGACGCAGCAGTAAAAGGCATGGTCATCTGGGGCTTCCTAGGCGCCGGAACCTGTTTCCTCGCCCATAACATGTTCCCCGCCTTTCGAGCCCAAACCCTCGCCCTCAAAGGGTTCCTCACAACCGGTAGTGCCATCTTTGGTCTGGTCACCGGTGCCGAAGCAGTCCTCCAAGACTACGAATCTCAACAACGTTCTGATGAAAATCTTATTAGAGATCGAGCTAGAACAGAGTTGGGTAGAAAGGGAATGGTGGCTAGTGAAGCGGAAATTGAAAAGTGGAAATTGTTGGAGAGGGAGAAGTTGTTGCAGCGGTATAGACAGAGACAGGATGAGGCGAGTGCAAATAGGGGAGAGGCCGATAAGGTACTCTCGTAGATTGGGTTTGGGAGAGGGGGTTCAGCATGCTAGACGACGACAAGGACCCATACCCCGCACAGATCGCGGCATTGTATTATGTAGACACACAGCACCACCACCACCACCACCACCACTGCTTCGAATCGGCGCACTCATCGAAAATCACAAGCATCGTACATTGATACCATTGAATTGAGATTGCCCTAGATGCTAGTACCTCTGGCAGCCCCACCGCCCAGCGCTCCTCTCATGCTAGCTCAGGCTTCTTCCTCTGAATCCACCCTTCCAGCTGACGCCAAAAGTGCGCACTGACTTGACGATCATGATGGCGCTTGTCCTGTTCCAGCGGAAGCTCCGTCACATTCCACTCCCTCACATTGGGGTCTTTCGGACTGTTCTTGTAGTAGGCGTATAGACCAAACACTGCAAGAGCGTGGGAGAGACTTTGATTGTTAGCGCTAGTCAAGGGGATATTGGCGCAGACTGCCGCTGCATCTATGCTTACCATTCTTGAACAATTCCCTGCCTTCCTCCCAGCGGTAACCCCTGAATTGCCACTTTTGTCCAGTAGTCACAACGCAGACAACCCTCTTCCATGGATCGCTACCTGTCCCATCTCGCGAAGCTCCCAGACGATTCAGAGCGTCCAGACTGTCGATGGCTAAGAACCTGCCGCCCTTGGGTCGGTTGATCACGACTACCTCGTTTGAGCCTCCAGTGGGCGCTAGCATGGAGCTAGAACCTGCCGGCACATATTGACCTTCTTCCAGGAACAGCTTGATGTTCGCAAGCGTCAGGAGTGACGAAGGGGAAGAGGGCAGGATGATGATAGGATCCAGACGACGATGTTTTGCTGATCTGCCCAAGTTGCTTGCCGGGGGAGCGGTAGGGACCGGGCCTTTTGCGGACGATGTAGAGGGGGCGCCCGGTGCTGCTCCTTTCCTGACAGCTGCGACCCTTCCCATTGCACTTCTCCTCAGGCCAGTGAAGTCCACGTCCTTGCTCACAGGTGTCTTGCCGTTCATGACGGTTGCAACTCCTCCGCCATTGGCCCTCTCTGCTTGTTCATCATCATCTGCTCCACCGCCTGAGCTGGGCTTCACACACCTAAAGGCCCACGTCCGGTCGCGTAGCACCACCTCGCTTGCTCTCAGGCGCTTGACAAACGCCTGGTCCTGCTTAGAGGCAATGTAAGGACGCTTGCTAGTCGAGAGGAGGGGATGCAGTCCAGCGCTGATGGCCACGAGCGATGCATCCGAGATACCCGCATCTCCTTGCTCCCCTGTGACTGCCTCTTGACCTGAAGCAGGAGCAGCAGCTGCTGCACCGGCCTCCCTCCTACGATTCCTGGCTGCACATTCTTCTTGGCTCAGTACGACTTCGCACTGAGATTCCGTCTTCTTGCCAAGCAGTAAGTCGAGGAGACTAGGTCGATCCAGAATCTCCACTCGAGCTACCCTCTCCCTGGTTGCTTTGGCGACGTAGATACCAGCTGCATCGCCCTGTGTCTGCAGCAGGAAGACGAGAGCATCCAAGGGCATAAAGTCATCTTCTTGTCCTTCTTGCGGCGCTTCTGGAGTCGAGGCCGATGATCTCTGCAGAGCAACGCTGTTCCTCGATCGGACGACTCTTGTCCTTGTGCCTCGTGCGATGGGCGCGGAAGGTTGTGAGGGAAAGTGGATAAATGAAGAGGTGAGAAGATCGGATGTGGGGTTACCGGATGAATCTGTATAGGTGAGGTCGGGTAGGGAAGCGGCGTGTTGAAGAAGGAGCACGAGGGGATCAGCGACCTCTACGGCGACCTCTGCGGACGAAGATGAGGAGGCGGCCATCCTTGAGTAGACGAGGCGATGTGGGGTGTGCACGCGGTAGGAAGGATCGCGGCGGGAAGGGAAGAAAGGAAGTGGTACCTCCTTCACGCCGCCTGCTTCCTCACTGTCGTGGTGAGAGGGCCACGCGCGGTACTCGATGCACTCGTGCTTCGCCCACATGGTCGCCTTATTAGGGCCAAACGTCCATATCTGAGGCCTGTACAATTCACCATGCATTACTCCTCCCGTCCCAAGTATGTCCTCCTTTTCCCATGGCTTCGTGTCTTGGGAAGATTCTGAGGATCCCTCGAGTGGGGCCTCTCGGAACAGCTGGGACGGCGGCGGCCCCTCCACCCACATCCCGAGCGTTTTGAGGCGCCCGGTCTCGTCTTCGGGACCAAACTCATTCTCTCACCTCACAGCACCTCCTGCCATCGAATCTCCTGTTCTCCATCAACACTCGCTACCTCTCACACCTTTAGCCCGGGCTCTAGCACGAACAGGTACTTTGATCAACTTCAACTATTCAGACGGGACTGGTCCAGTGCGATTCCCCTCATATCCAGTTCTTCGAGCCCTACAATCACAAGCAATGCAAGCTCAAGAAAGTACAAGTAGGGTCGACGATCGTTCCACCAATTTTAGCCCGGCTGTTCGTTCTCCTTCATCTGCTAGCTCACTCTCCTCAGCCGTCGCATCCGAGGACGAGGAGAATGGACAGGAGATGGCTCTGGACGAGCAGGACCAGGAGGCCGACGATGAGGGAGCCTCTGGCGAGCAGAAGGCTTCGGCTCGAGGTCCGAATACAAGTGTGAATTACAAGATCAAATTCCAAAAGGCGAGAGAAAAGTACAATCGCGTACAGGCTGTGAGTATGCGTTCTGCTGAAGTGGGACTGATGGTTTGGTAGAGCTGCTGACTGACAGGCCCGTACGGCGTCCGATCCCTCTCTTTTTGGCAGGACTCTGCATCACTCCTCAAGGGACTGCAAGACGCTCAGAAGAAGGAGAAGAAGCTGGAAGAGGAGATCAATTGGCTCCTGGACACTATAGCGTCACGCAGACCTGACCTTGCCAATCTCGATCACTGAAGGCTGTACAATACGACACGCCTACGCGTAGCTCGAGTCGCAAAGCACAAACCATACAAAAGTCACCATCAACGCTCTCTAAGAGATAGCTACCTAGGCATACTATGTTGTATTATATGTTGTTACGTTTCATGATGGTACAGGTAGAAGACAGGAAGCGGCACTCGTACCTTTGCGACCTTTCCCTCTACTGGTGAATCCAATCTGGTATATCCATCCCTTCCTCTGCGTGAGTTGTACTGCTAGATGGCTCATAGAGGCCTTGCTACAAGGCACTACAGGCCTTTGGTCTTGACCGATTGCACAGCCGTGCCTCCATCCTTCACCTTACGCACTGCTACACTGAGCTCATCTTGAATTTCGTAGTATCACTGACCGGCTTTCCACAAATCGCACAAAGTCCCTTTTTATAAGCGCAACCACTACAATAAGTCGCCTTTTCTTGACTGACGGTCCCTTTACAGATTTTGCATTTTGAAGTCAGAGGATTGTAGCGATTCTTCGAGGCGATGAGCTTGTTGGACGCAAGGGGTCGCGAGGGACCTGCTGCTGATGAGGATGTAGAGGGACCTGCTGAGCCAGTAGCGGAAGGACGGGAGGAGATAGATTTGAGGAAGCCCTGAGAGTCTCGATTGCGCTGTTTGGCAGATGTGGAAAGGTGATGTCAGGTGAGCGAGTGAGCTGCCTCTGGGATTTGTGGATGGTGCTGCAGCGCTGAACACTCACGTAGGGATCCGAAGCTGCGACCCTTGTGAGCTTCTTCTCGCACTTGGCACAGACCATGAGGTGATCCCCTGTTGATATTGGCGAAAGCTCGATACCCTAGCCAATCAGTCGAACAATTGCAGATGTGGGTCAGAGGTCACCCGGTACGAGGATGGAGGCGGAAGAAGTGATCTTGACTTGACGGTGACGGAAGTGGCTCAGGCTGTGGCTGGTGTGTGCGTGTGCCCGTGGCGAGTCGCGCGCCTGGCAGACCAACGCCTTGGCTGCAAGGGTGTTGCTCCTGACGTGTTCCCACCCTTCCTTCTCCTCTTCTCTCGTACAGAGCAGCACCTTCAGGACCCAGACTTGGAAGCGCATCCTCTTCATCTCTGCGCCAGGACCTCCTTTGAAGGTAGCCAGGATCCGACTTTCCCTCCTTTGCTCACACGCCTAGCAGGCCACACAGTCAGCATGACCTCCCACCTTCCTTACAAAGGGCTATCTCTCGCCCTCCTCGCTCTACTCGTATCATCCAGCTCAGCCGCCGAGATCCAGAATCTCGTGAAGCGTGCCGAGGCAGCTGCCACTCCAAAAAAGTCCTTCATCGAGGCTCACTTCCAGAATGAACACCACATCCAGACATTCGACTTGGCCAGCTTCTTCTCCCTACACGATCTGAACAGGGATGGCATTCTTGATCGATCTGAAATCGAAGCCATCTATGGAGTACATCACTCGCTGTCTGTCAAGCATTCCGCCAACTATGAGACTCACGATGCAAAGGCAGATCTCATCGTAAATGCTGTGCTGGCCAGTCTGGATAAGAACAAAGACGGGCTAATCACCAAGAGCGAATTCATCGCAGGGGGAAAGGATGGACTGCCCTCCTTCCCAGAGTTTGGCGAGAATGCGCTTGGCCACCACTACGGTAAGTAGTACAACGGAGGAGACGATGAGGTATCGATGAGAGCTGCCTGCTCATGCGTCCCAACTTTACCATTTGCAACGCTCTCCAGATGAGGAGTCTGAGTTCTTCATGCACCACGAAGAGATCTACCACAACACCCCAGAGAGCCAGAAGGCAGAAGCATACACCCACCCAGAGGACCACGAGCATTTCGCTCACCACCAAGAGATTGAGGATGAGGAGGAGCGCAGAGAGCGCAAGGCCGAGGGTATGCCTACAATGGAGGAAGATGAGCGCCTGAAGAAGGAGGCCAAGGCCAAGGGAGAGAAGTACGTCTCGCCCTACGAGGCCCAGATCCCAGTCAAGGGATCCACGCCGCCAGTGCACGAAGGTTGGGATGCACACGAGGGTGGTGGAGCTGCGAGCGAAGCAGAGGCAGGCGCTCAGCACGTTTTCCGGGGTCCTTCGGGAGCTCACGTCGTAAAGACGAGCGAGGAACAGGCCATCAATGCCCAGCAAGCCGTGCTAGAGCACGACCTTAAGCCCGATCGACTCGAAGGCGAAACGGACCACGGCTACGAGGACCGTCTGAAGGCGGCAAAGGAGGCATACGAGTTCAAGCACGCAATGTACAACAATCAAGTTGCCAATACCGGAAAAGGGAGGGGTACAGTGCAGTTGAGCAAGCTGGCAGACGAGACGGATGAGCAGTATGAGAGGAGGATAGCAAGGGCTAAATTCGATGCTGCTAAGAGTCGACCTGGTATGGCGCCGCCTTCGTCTGGCAAGGGTCAGGCTCCTAATAAGGTGAGTAGAAGCCAGATAGACACGGCCGTGTCGAGGAGGAAACGCTACAAGGTGGTATCATGAGATGAGAAAAGGCCTTGCTCAATCTGTCCCCCGTGCTCTCTCCCTCTCTTTGCTTCGCAGTATCCCCCGATTGGAGGAAAAAGGAAGAAGGGCTCCTTCTTCGGAGAGTTCTAGAGGCCGAGGCTGAGTGGGATGTTCGGTGTCCTGTTTCATCGTGGCCGATCGACTTGGCTTCGAGGAAGGGGACGACCTTCTCGAGTGTTGACGTTTGCCTACCGCTTCGCTACTGTGCCAACGAACAATCCCTGCAACTCGTTCGAGCTCAGCCACTAAGAGGGCTAGTGTGACCTTCGTTGACCTTCAGAGTTGAGACGAGGACCGTTCACTGCTCAAGTGGGAGCAGGACCACCTCCTCCGCCTGCGCCTCCTGTACCACCTCCTCTTCCACCACCTCCCCTACCCGCACCTCCTCCCCCTCCAGCACGTCCCCCTCTTCCACCTCTACCAGCATTCTTAGGTCCCGTAGGCGGTAGGCGAGCCTGTGAGTCTTGAATTTCACCACTACCACCAGCGGACGTAGCGGCCGTGGTGTTAGCTGGTACGCCTGCACTCTCCTGCCCTTCGGCCCGCTTGAGGATTACTGGTTGCGCCTGGGACTGGGATTGGGGAGCAGCGGCGCCTGCTTGCCCTGCGGTGCTCTTCTTCGATGGCCCCTTTTGCTTCTTGTTGTCGCTCTTTGGTCCAATGGGAGTTGGTAGAGCAGAAGCAGTAGCAGCATCTATCTTGATCGAGGTAGAGGAAGTATCGTTTTCATGCTGCGACTTGTTCTTGCTGACGACGGGAGTAGCGCCGCTGGATTTGACCTTGCTCTTGTCCTTCTTGACGCTCTTTGGACCAGTAGGGATCGCAGGTGCAGCACCCCCTGTGGTGGAGTGCGCAATATTACTCGCTTTTCCTTTGCCCTTTTCTTTGCTCTGACCTGCTCGATGGGCTAAAGCATTTGCGGCAGCCGAGGTTTGACTTGCAATACCCTTACCCGACTTGCCCTTCGCCCCAGCCGCTCCTGACCCACTGGCTCCTTTGCCCCTCGCACTCGCCTTACTGGCCGCTTCTGCCTTCTTCTGATTGCGCAGATGCTCCAAAAGGGGTGTATGCTTCGATGCCTCCTGCAGGGCGTCGCGACTGGCATGACTCGACGTGAGATGGGCCATGAGCTCCGTGTCTGTCTTCTCCCGACTCTTCTCCCCCGCCGCTCCTGCCTCACTCCCATCTCCTCCTCCTCCAGGACCGGCAAGCGTCTTGATGAATTCGAGATAATCGGGATCCTCCTCGATGCTTCCTTCCTTCTTATCTCTCTTCTTCCCACCGCCCGCTGTAGCGCCCAAAGGAGGGCATTTTTGATATGGAGCCCACTCCACGAGTGCGACAGATTGGTTTCCCGCTGCATCCCGGAAGACGTGTCCGTCAAAGTTGCGGTGGAACTCTACCAGGTCAGGGAGGGTCTTGAAGCGGAGATAAGCGCGAGAGTAGGTATGCAGAATCGAGGGGTCGCGTGATGCAGCAGCGGCTGATGTAGATGCTGAGCCAGAAGCAGACGCCGAGCCAAAGGAAGGACCGGAGGACTTGAACTTGCCAGGGAGGTAGCGTCGCCATGCGAGCTTGTCCTGGCCTGGCGAGCCAAGATCGATCAGTGGACCTGACTTGACGGGGATCGGCTTTGCTTCTGTCGTGGTAGGAGTAGCGTCTGGAGCGATCTTTGCTTCTCCGTCCTTCATCTCCGTATCCTGCCCTGCCGCTGTCGTTGAGCTCTCTTCTGCTGCCGCCTGCGTTGCCTCGGGCTGCTTCACCTTTGTCTCCTTCCCCTTCGCAGCCTGACCCACTGGCGGCTTCTTGCCCTCAAGTGTCTGCTTTCCAGTCCATGGTTCAACGCTCCTCCAGAAGATCTCCTCGGGGAGATGGGGTGGCAGACGCCTGACTACCACCTTGAGTTTGACTCTGGCCTCTGCCCCTTCTTCCTTCTTCTTCTTCTTGTTCTTCTTCGTATTGCGAGCTGGTGCAGCAGTAGCACTTGAGTTGGCAGCGCCAGCTTTATTCAAGCCTTTCGAAGCGCTCGGATTAGTCTTGGGGATGCTGTCGCCATTGCTGACCGAGGCTCGGCCTCCTTGAGGATTGGAAGCTGCGTGAGGAAAGGGGGGCTCTAGTTTGCTGCCTCCCCTGCCTCGTCCACGCTTTCCCCCTCTACCGCTGGTAGCTGCTGCGCCATTGGGCGGCGATGCAGCACCATTCGTCCCAACAGGCTGCTCCGGACGAGGTCGCGGCATCGTCGTTGTCAGATGTCGGGTACAAAGAGACGAAGTAGGTAGAGTAGACTACGATGGCAGAGTTCCAGATTACTTCCACGGGACAAGCGCCGCCTCTCTGCAGCCGTGCACAGACGCAAAATGGCCAAAATCCTCCGACCCGAATAATCGCAACCCTCGCCACTGATTCCCCTCCTCCCTCACCACACATATCACCAATCCACCCCTTCTCTTCCATCCCTCAAGCTCATCATGGGCAACGACGGCGGGTCCATCGCCCGGCGTGACGAGCTCGTAAAAGTCAAGATCACCCACACCAAAGCCGACCCTGCTCAGCTGAAGCGGGTAAAATGGACTCTCTGCCATCTCTCGCGCCAGCCACTTCGTGAACCAATAGTAGCTGATGGATTGGGAAGGTTGTATAACAAGGAGGCCATTGTCAATTGGTTGATTGAGAAGAAGGTGGCAGAGAGTGGGGGTGGGGCGGCAGTAGAGGAGAAAGGTATGGGACATATTCGCGGACTTAAAGTGAGTGGTAAGCCTTGTCAGAGAATACGAGTAGATTACTGATGAAGCTTCTCTTTGACCTCCACGCTTCCTTTAAGGATATGACCCTCCTCAAATTGCATTCCTCAAAATCTCCTACTTCGACAGAAAGCGAGGATGCATCCTCCTCATCGAATATCTCCTCGCCCTTCTCATGCCCACTCACAGCAAGACCCATGAATGGCTCACACAGATTCGTCTTCCTCCTCTCCTCGGGAGCAGTCATGTCCGAAGCAGGTCTCAAAGCCATCGTCTCCGAGACTACCTCTAGCGCCAAAAAGACTGCGTTTGTCTCTGCCTCCGCTGGTGCCACTGGTGGCAGCTCAGTCGAATCCGCTTCAGCAGGTACGCTCTTCGAGTGCCCCATCACCTCGTTGCCTTTCCTCCCTGGTTCTCTCCTGGGCAAGAATGGAGCCGCGGCACAGGACGCAGAGAATGTTGGAGATGTCATCCTGCTTAATCCCTCGGAAAAGGAGGAAGAGGTGCTCAGGACAGCAATGTACAAGCGCAGGGAGGGAGAGGGCGGTAAGAAGCGGAAGAAGGACAAGGGAGGAGCGAAGGGCAAAGCTGCTACCAATGAAGGTTCTGCACCAGTCGAGAAGAAGCAAAAACGACCAAGTCCACCTGGGGAGTCTCCCGCTCCCGCTCTGGCTTCTACTGACAGGGAGGATCGCCTATCAGCTCCTGCCTCTGCAACGCACCTGGCTGCACTAGCCGCCAAACAGGCAAAGGGTAAGCCGATGAGTGCGGCTCTGGCCAGTATATATGGACATGGGCTGCAAAAGGGAGAGAAGGAGGGATGGATGGTCAGAGGGACGGGGATGGGTAGATAGTGCGAGGCTGAGACGTTTGCGAGTGTACTTGTAGCAGCAGGTGTATAATAGACTGATGTGAGATTACGATTGATGAAGCGCTGACGGAGAAGTCAGGAAATCTTGTTGCCAAGGACAGCCAGCATCACTCTAGTCCTTCGCACCGTACCACCTCACTTCTTCCCCTTCCCCTTGGCCTTGATCCCAGCAGCCCCACCCTTCTTCGGTGCTCCCTTGAATCCACTTCCACTCTTGCCAGTCTTGGCCTTCTTCCCAATCTTCAAGTCCACTTTATCCTTTGCCCCTCCACCAGCACGACTTCCCATTTTGAGCTCCTGCTTCTTCCTCTCCTTCTTTGCCATTCGCTTCGCCTGACGATCCGGATCGTTGCGCTTCAATGCCATTCGGGCCAAGTCGGCTTCCGTGCGGGCGAATTTGGGTGGTGGATTGGGGATGAGGGTGGAGGAGGACGAAGGGAATTTGCTTGCTGAGCCAGAGGCGGAGGAACCTGTTGCGACAGGAGGAGGACGAGAGGGGGAGTCGGAGCTGTGGGCCACCTTGGCCTTCTTGCTAATGGCAGAAGGGGAAGTCCCGTCTGGGGTAGGGGCACCCATGGAGCGACGACGGTTGTCTGCCTTCTTCTTGGGCGTAGAAGCCTCACCTTCACCATTGCTCTGCGTGGACTTCTTAGCAGCAGAGGCAGACTTCTGGCCCTTTCCACCACTGGTGTTCTTGCACCTTGCAAGCCTCAGAGGTCTCTTGTTCAGCTTCAACCTGCGCTTGAACTCCTTTCGGCTTCCATCCTCTCTCTTGCCGTCATCCTTGCTCCTGCTGCCAGGCCTGCCTGCAGAGAGGAACGCTTCGTCTGCTTCCCAGATGGCCATGAGCTCGTCGACGCAGACTTCGTCAAGGAAATTAACATAGGCGAAACCTTTGCCCATCTGAGTTGCTGCATCTCGGATGATCCGGACAGAGTGAACCCAAGTTGCCTCGACAAAGGCTTCAGACTCGGTAGTCGCAGCTTCAAAAGGTGGCAGAGAGCCGATCTCTTTCCCGAGTGGGCCAGACGATGAAGGTGGAGTTCCCCGTTCCTCTCGTACGACTGCTTCCAGCATGGCCCGCAGATCCTCCTCATCAGCCTCAAAGTCGAGGTTGCCCACAAAGAGCGTCCGGGACTGGTCATCCTTGCTCTTTCCTCCCCCGGTCAAGATTCTGGTGAGGATGTCCGAGGTAGATGGAGATGACACTACTCTGTCGAGACCAGCAGAGACGAGTTCTGGCAGCGTCAAGGGCACGGCCAGGTCGGCTCGTAGATGGCGACCTTCAAATAGTGAATCATCAACCTGAGCTGCAGTTAGAGCGGCCAAAATAGGCGCTGTAAGGTTGCCACTCCTGGCTGTGCTAGAACCCGGAAGACTGTTGAGCTTCTCGATGTCCCTCTCGGTCAAGTTGTCGAGAGTGAAGTAGGCATTGACGGCCTTGGCCTTGTCATTAATCTCGTGGTTGATGTATGCGACCTTTCTCTTTTGCTTTGCATTGAGGTAAGGCTTGCCGTTCTTGGCCACGTCTCCGTCTTCTCCGGCATCGACGGCATCCTTGAATGACCTAGCACGGGCCCTACGCTTCTCATTTGAGGCCGCATCGGCACCCGACTCTGCGGCATAGTCTGCTGTGGGTACGGCAAAGGCCACAGAGCGGTATCTTACAGACTCGACACGAGTGACAGAAGGATAAGGCGAGAGTGCGACTATGTGCCTCTTGAGAGCCTTTGTAAGAGTCTTGCTTTGGACACAGGCGATGGGTATGTTGGCTAGAAAGATGGAACGCTTGTCGCGCACCTCCTTTGACTCCAATTCCCGCTGCTCGAGCTTCTTCCTAATGCGTTGCTGCTGACGAGAATTTGCCAGCGACTCGTGAACGGGCGGCTTGGCATCTGCGTCGTCTTCTGAGATTTCTTCGTCGCTCGAAGCCGCTACTTCCTCTTCCTCGGAAGATGCCTCGTCTGCTTCTGCCTCTTCTTCCTCCCCTTCATCCTCGTCTTCTTCATCAAGGAGCTCCTCGTCTTCGTCATCGCCCCTGGTCAAGCCTTGCTCTGCAATCTCCCTCTCGATCTCTGACATATCGAGGGATGCATCATCATCTTCCGATGCTTCGTCCTCGTCCTCTTCCTCTTCGCTATCGTCCTCGCCGTCCTCTCCACTGTCGCTGCTGGCTTCCTCCTTTCGCTGCTTCTTGGCTTCGGCCGCTGCTAGCTCAGCCTGAGCAGCCCTTGCACGCTTCTCTGCCTTGCGTTCTGCCTTGGTCTCAGCATCGTCTCTTTTGCGCTTTGGTACGGTGGCTACCTCTGTCGCAGTCGATGCGGCGGCTGCCTTGCTTGGCACTGCTTGTGCTGGCTTTGCTTGTGTGAAGAGGGCGTCCAATTCGGCATCGAAGCTGGCCGGAGGCTGAGAGGGCTTTGAGGCAGCGGCGGCAGGAGCATCTCGCTGCTTCTTTTCAGCCTTTTGTTTCTTGTCGCTGCCTGCCATGGCTGGAAAGAGACAGGGTGAGAAAAGGGGGAATGGATGAGGATGGAGAAGTGGTGAGTGTATGCTACCTTTCTGTCTGCCTGCCTGTCTGCCTGCCTGTGTCCTTCGGAAAGCGACGCGCCCTTGGAAAAAGTGACTGAGTGCATCTCCAAAATTCCTGCGAGGCTGGGTGCTGCCTGTGCGGGGCTCGACGGGCGTGGCTGATTCCGAGGTGCCTCGCCCGCCGCGCAGTGGAGTGGACCGGAAGGACTCCTGCCTGTCCACCCTTCCTTCTTCCCCTTCGGCACCACCATCACCATCATCACCATCATTCAGATCCCACTGCCCCCTCGCCATGCCATCTGAGCAGCTTCAAGCAGGCGACGCGTTTCTTTCCTCCCTCGAGAGGGACATGAGGGACAGCTCCAGCCGTTCTCAGCGAGACAGCCGCGATCGAGGCGCTCCCAGAGACAGCCATCGTGACTACGACCGCTCGGATCGATCCAGCCGGAGGTCTCACAGGCGGAGAGATGAAGAGGATGATGACGCAAAATATCGCTCTTCACGAAGGGATCCAGAAGAGGACGACAGACGGCATCGCAGGTCCGAACGCGATTATTCACCCTCGAGAAGTAGCAGGAGGCGGCGAGATGATGATGGCTACTACGCTGCTCGACGCGAGGACGACTACAGTCGCTCTTCGCGGCCGCGCAGGGACGCCTATGACGATCCTTACGACCCTTATGGAGCACGAAGAGATCCGTACGACTCTTACTCGCGTGGTGGCGGTGGAGGCGGCTGGAGGGGCGGAGAGTCAGAACCTACACCAGCCAGGATGCGTAGCCCTACCCCAGAGGGGACTCAGCCGATCAGCAAGAGAGTCAGGAGAGACAGCAAGTGGAATGTCAGGGCTGAAGGATTTGAGGACGTGTCGGCAGCGCAAGCCAAGGCTACTGGCCTCTTCGGCGTTCCGGGTCAATCTCGTACTCTAGGTGTACCTGGCGCAGTCATCGGACGAGACTCTACTGGTCAGGCGGTGATCCCAGAGGCTCTGCCTCCAATCCGTTTCGGCGGAGCAGGCGATGGTGCTGCCGGAGCGAGTGGAGCTGGAACAGGCGCCAATGACCCAAATCAGGTGGGCTCAGGCATGTCCAGCGCCAATCGCCAATCACGCCGTCTCTACATTGGCAACGTCAGCCACTCTACCACGGAAGCAATGTTCGTTCGCTTCTGGAATGATCGCATGAAGGAAATGAGGTTCAACATTGCCGACGGCGAGCCTTGCATCTCGTCCCAAGTCAACCCTGACAAGGGATACGCCTTTGTTGAGTTCAGGTGCCCCGAGGAAGCCACGAATGCTATGTCGTTCGATGGAGTCGTCTTTGCTGGCCAGGCTCTCAAGATCCGCCGGCCAAAGGACTACACTGGCCCTGATGTCACTCCGAAGCCCCTCCACGTACCCGGAGTCATCTCCACCAATGTCCCGGACGGTCCAAACAAGATTTACGTAGGCAGTCTACCCACCTATCTCAACGAGGATCAGATCATCGAGCTTCTGAAGGCTTTTGGTGAGGTCCGCGCTTTCAACCTGGTCCGCGAGGCCAACAATGGTCCCTCCAAAGGCTTTGCATTCTGCGAGTACGTCGACTCAAGCATCACCGATCTTGCCTGTGAAGGCTTGAACGACATGGAGCTGGGAGACCGCAAGTTGGTTGTGCAAAGAGCCAGTGCTGGACAGAGGACAGCAGGGCAGAGCGGTCTGGGGGCTACGGGTGCGAATGCGGGTCCTTTGGGAGGTGGTCGCGGCTTTGACCTCGGATCAGCTGCTCAGGGAGCTGGTGATCCTACAAGATGCATGACGATGCTCAACATGGTCACCACCGACGAGCTGGTAGACGATGTGGAATACGGAGAGATCGTCGAGGATATCCGAGAAGAGTGCGCAAAGTACGGTCATGTAGCAGACGTGAGGATTCCTAGGCCTGTGGCTCAGTCAAAGGGGTCCTCAGCTCAAGCATGGAGACGAACACAAGATTCCAGCGCTGGGTCAGAGTCGAATAATGCAGATGGCCAACCTCGGGAGCGAGAAGGTGTAGGTCGAGTCTACGTACGCTTTGTCGAGGTGGACCAGTGCGAGAGTGCACTGAAGGCCATTGCTGGCAGGCAGTTCGGTGGTAGGCTGGTCATCTGCGCTTTCTTGAGGGAGGAAGACTGGCCGAGCGAGGAGGACGGAGGAGAGAATGCCGAGGCGACGGCCCAACAGGCAAGCGGGCCCAAGCCGGCCGAGGAGGCCGCGGGGGCCCAGGGGCCTTCCGAGTAATGTACCCAAAAGTGGAGCGTACCAGCAATGTTGCTGCATCTGCGTGCCATCTGTAAACAGATTCATCTTGTCAATGCCTTGTTATTGCTGATGTCTTGATGACTGCTATCGACCTTTTGGCTGGTCCTGCGTGTCCTCTCGCTGCGCGGCGTGGAGCTGCTGCTCATCTCGCCTCTGCCTCCGTTCCTTCCTTCCGCTCTTTTGGTTGCTCCCGCCGCCAACCCCTCGGCATCCTCGTTCACTCCTCGTCCTCCACCACCAATCCTCTCCATTCTCGCCGTCCTTCTTTACTCTTAAGCAAAGATGGCGCATCAATGGTGGCCTCCGACGGTGTCCCTCGCCTCCTCGTCCCTAGAAGTGATGTCTAAACACAAGCATCCATCCTCGTCCGATTCCGACTTTTGTCGTGCCTCGCACGATGCCTTTACCATGTCCCTCTCCATCTTCCTCTGTCTGGGCCTCGTCGTCTCTTACCTCCCGCAAATCATTCGGATCATCACCAAGAAGTCATCGCTGGGCTTCTCGCCTTGGTACCTCTTGCTGGGCACCACGAGTGCAGCCTCTTCCTTTCTGAACGTGGTGTCGCTGCAGTGGGGCGTTGTTAGGTGTTGCAGGTACCTGGTAAGTTGCGAAAATAGGGGCTTGTGAGATTAGTCAAAGCTATTCCAAGAATAGAGCTCACCTTTCTGCTTTACCGCCACCTCACTGCCTTGATAGTCTGCTGGTCAGTGTGCCGAATCAATGCTTGGAGTTGTGCAGGTGGGAACGCAGTGGATTCTCTTCGTATCGGTGTGAGTGAGCAAGCTCTGTCAGACCTGTGTCTCCTCTGCAGTATCTGACATACCGAGATCCATCCATGCCCCTCCATCTGACCAGCTTCGTACTGTTCTTGGTCTACTATCCAAAGGACCACCGCTATGAGAGAGCCATTGCCTTGCCCAGTCAAAATAGGCTTCGCGCAGCGGCAGAGGAACAAGAGGCTCAGGAGGAGGGTGATGAAGACGACGACGAGTCCATTGGTGACATCGACTCGATCGGTTCCCACGTAGTCAACAACTACTCTACCATCGACGCCAACGAGAGCGGCTTCGGATCGGTGTCAGGAGTCAACAGCCCGGGTCAGAGCAACTGGACTGGCTATGGCGATGATTCACCCGATGCATCGGCTATCGCATCGCGCTTCGCAGGCCCTGGAGACAATACCGACGACGATCACTCCTCGAGCGCCTTCCATCGTCTTGTACCAACCTTCTGGCCGGTTTGGAAGGCCCCAGCCAGGAAGCATCCAGGCCCCTCAAGATTGGGTCCTGGTGTCCTCCCCGCTACTGGCCCCACCCCCGAGATTGGCGTCCCCGCTTCTAGCCTCGGAGGTGGGGGACCTCACTCTCTGCCACCCAATGCTACTTCCGCCGCCAAGGTAGGATTTGCCCCAGACACCAGGCGGGCTTCCAGGTCTGCATTGGCAGACGTGCCGAGGAGTTTGAGGAAGAGGAGGAGGGTCAAGCACAAGACGCCAGAGTGGAGTTTGGCTTTGGCACTGTCGTGGGTCGCTGTCCTGCACTTGTGAGTTTGCTGCGAGAGCTGGCAGACCCTGAGACAGCCGTCCTTGTAGCATCTCATACTGACTGTCCACACGTCTTTCCTATCACTGCCAGCGTCTTCATTCTGCTTGGCACTCTCCTTCTCATCTCAAGCCTACCAGCAAGCGCATTCCCCTCGCCGCACGACACCGTGTTGCCCATTCCAAAGCCACAAGGCAAGTCCACATCCGAAGAGGACCTCATCTTCAACACCTTTGGCCCTTCCTCGCGCCTCCTCGTGTCCCGCTGGGCTGCCTTCCTTGGCATCACCTCGACCCTGCTAGCTGCAGCGCAATACATCCCTCAAATCCTTCACACCTACAGGAACAAGACGGTGGGCTCCCTCTCCATCCCAACAATGCTCCTCCAGGTGCCAGGAACGGCCATCTTCGTCTACTCTCTGGCCGTTCGGCCCGGAATCGAGTGGACAAGCCTCGCTGCGTACGTCTGCTCGGGAGTGCTGCAGCTCGTCTTACTTGTGCTATGTGTGGCTTGGAAGAGGCGGCAGACAAGGATGGGTGTAGACGACTTTGGACGACCCCTCTTGGCTGCGAGGGAGGAGCCAGAGGTGGATGGGCAGGGCGAAGAGTAGAAGAGGAGTAGAAGAGGCGAGAAAAGGGAAGAGGACAGGAGATGGGAGGTAGTACAAGGAGGAAGTGGATGAACCCCTGTCAGATCCGAATGACATGCGATGCCATGCCAAGACAGGCGATGTACGTCCAACGTCCCACCTCCCACTACTTCGAGGTGCACATGTGCCTCCCTCCTCAATACAAGACGATTCTTGAGCCAGCAACAGCATTTGTTACGGCATAGATGCATCTGCTTGGTATTGAATAGCGACAACAGACAAAAGAGAAGAAGAAGAAGAGCACGATGAGGTACAAGAAATGGACGAGCAGTGCGCCGCCGTGAAGAATTACGGCGACAGGAGATGACGTGACAAGGAAGAGGCAAGTGGCAGAGGGTCCACGATCCGTACGAGTTCGAGTGCAAGTGCAAGGGCGAGTGGAAGGGTATGGAGAGAGAGGAGAGGGGGAAGCTTGCAACGGTAAGAGGGGGATAGGAGCGGCCAAGAGTGCTCCCCTTTTGCTTCTGTTGGAGTTCAGGCCATGCCGATTCCTCCCCAATGTCCACGTATTCTCCTCGCTAGTTGGATATCGCGCTGCATGATCGTCACTCTTTTTGCGTGAATGGCACATAGGTTGCTGTGCGGGGCAGAGGAGACAAGAACGGGTAAGGGAGAGGGGATGTCGTCAGTCTCATTCGTACTTGCATGCATAATCTCGGACCAACGACCTTTTTCCCCATCGACTGTCTCTCTTCTCCACCTGAGTGATACTCACGCATCCTCAAACAAATGCACCAAGTAAGCCTCTGTCGCTTCCTGCAATGCCAGAATCGCCGAGCTCTGCCACCTCAGTCCAGCTCCATGATCCGCATCGTAGACTGTGGTGATGAAATTCTCTGCGACTTCGCGCACGACGCGAGCAAAGGGCAGCTTGGCAATCAGGAGATCGGTTGATTTTTGGTACTTTTTGATCTCGCGAAGGGCGACGGTTCCCGGACGAAAGCGACGTTTTGGTTGTGCTGAGGGTGGGAAAGGGAAGAGGCGTGGATAGGGTAGAGAGAGGGGGGGGCGGGGGGGCCGATATGGTTAGTCTTGATATTCAGGGCAGGGCTTGGGAGCCAATACCACCTCCATGCTCTTACTGAAACGTAGCTGCTCATACGTTCCTGTAAGCATACGCAAGTTCACGTCCTGACAATTCAAATGGCATGTCCCAATCCCACAAGCCATTGGCAGCAGAAGTCTCCTACCGAACGCGCTTTGACCAGAGAGATGCCTTCACTCTCTCAAGCGAGAGTGAAGGCATCTCTGTGCCTTGACCACTTAGTCTCGACGATCTCACATTCTCCCGATCTCCTCCCCAACCTCATCCTCGCTCCCTTCTACTTGCCGCCCATCTACCCCTCCCATAGATCCTGACCGCGACAGATACTCACCAGGTTCACCAACCTCCCGCCGCACCACCCTCCCCCCTGTAGACTTTCGCGCTGTGCTCTTCCTGCGACTCGAACCTCCTCCCCCTCCTCCTCCTAGTGATGTCCTACCTGCTGGTGGCATGCAGAGCTATATGACACGATTCTGTACAATGGTACTGTAAAGCGGCCTCGACTCCTGCGTTGTAGATCTAGATCCAGATCCAGATCCAGGTCCAAAGGAGGGAGAGGCGAGCAGAATGTAGAGCTTCCGTGAGAGAGCGCCTTTCGTCACTTTGCCTGCCAGTAGCTATCAAGGAGCTGACGACCCGAGATCTAGGGATCTGCCTGACTATCTGACTGGTGATCTGATTGAGTGACCAGCTAAAGGAGCGTTTCTGGGAAGCAGCCGGATGGATTGCTAGGATGGTACGCGCTCCTCTGCCTGGAACGTATCCTAGCCCTAGCGCAAGAAGAGCTGGAGAGATGCCAGCACGAGAGCGGTCAGGAGTCGGGGGGGTAAGTTCGAGAGAGGAACTTCCAGGTAGATCTGGTGCCGTCAATTGATCTAAGAGGGTGAGTGTAGCGCCAAGGAGAGTATGAATCGCGGTAGAGTACAGAGCCGTGCTCCCGCTCCGATCGCCCTCGCCCCCTCGCAACACGACGCCAAAAACGGAAGGGCCAGAGGCGTGTGCGTGTGCCAGGGCGAGGGGCGAGGCGTCTGGCCATGTGAGGCTGACTCTGCACTGGCTTCACCTCAGCCCTAGTGGCCCGTTTCACTTCCGTTCCGTTTTTACACACATCACAGACGACGACTACTGCACGTAGAGTACGTCCTCAAAGCCTCGAGCTCGAGAAGAGATGGAAATGCACGGAGAATGATTGCGTTTGGAATTGATTGGTGGGCGGGATTGGGAGTGATTGCTACTGCCGTTTGTTACTCTCTCTCTCTTCTCTACACATTCTACACCCAGAGAGCGTTCAGAAGCCGCGCTGCTGGCCTCTTGCTAGAATTTGCCTTCAGACCCTTACTCCCGCCCGGCCACTCGTCTATGTAATATGATGTTGTCCTATGCCCTCTCGTCTGGTCTATCAGGCATTGTTTCCGCTCGGTTCTCTCCTCTTCTGCCATTTTTAGGCTGCACTTCTATCCGCGAGCAGCCATGACATCCTTTCCTGTCCGCTGGGAGATGCGATCTGATAGAGCCTCAATGATCGTCCACGTCAGTCCATGCCTGTGCGGTAGAAACCAAGAACAGTGAGGAGGGCGAAAACCGATCAGCTTCTTTGCCTTCTCCCTGCTTGCCTTCACACTGACTCTGTATCGACTCACGAGATGAAGCTCCTCAATGCGCTTACCCCCAGCCCTCTATACAATCTCAAGAAGCGCCTCACCGCCGTGTCCTGCTTCGTCGAGTCCGCCGGCGGCCTTGCCCTGAGCAGATGTGTGAAGAGCTGATAGCCAGTGAGCTGCTTGGGGTGATTGCTAAGCTTCCGCTGCTGAACGTTCGTCTTGAGCAGATCTACCGGGTAGACGATCAGCCAGGAGAGGATACCTGCAGTCGAGCCTGAGAGGAAGGAAACAAAGGGTCCAGGGACACCAAAGAGGGACCCATTGCTCGAGACGTTCCGATTGACCACCGAGCGGATTGAGTCATAGGATCCAAAGTACAGGGCCGTACCCAATGTGTCTCTTGTTAGGTGCAGGGGGAAGCCAATGTAGAAGCCCCGGATACCGCCTTGATGCCGGTAAATGTCAGCCGCCGCTTGGAACCCAGAACGAGCCTGGAATTTCGCCGGAGGACCCTTCTTGGCTCCTGCAGCAGCCGATGATGGCGGTGAAGAAGTCGTTGCCTGAGGTCCACCCTGACCGGCGCTGCCTATCAGCCCCCGCTGCACGGCCGTGAGGTATTCCAGCTGCCGTTGCACCTTGACCAGCTCAAAGGGCGCTGATCCGCAGCTGATGATGACACCACTCGTGGCCCCTCCTGCCATACCGCTCAGGGCTACGTCACGGATCCGTGACTTGTCTGCCAGGCGTCCAGAGTTGTGGAGGGACTCCTTGGTATTCACGTAGATGCTGAAGGACGATGTCCGCACAAAGGAGATTGTGATGAGGGGTATGAAGACGCCTGAAGAGGGGGAGAGAGGAGGAGAACGTGAGTTCGAGATATTTAAGAAGACTTGGTGAGGACGCCTCGTCTAGACCTACCTCGAAAGAAGCCCTGAATCCCCTCTTCCCTGAAGACTGCCTTTGCGCAAGACCATATCGAAGGGTAGTGTTTCACCTGTAATCTGGATTTGACACTGTCGAACTGCGAAGGTAGGGGGAGATCGTATTCGGAGTGAGCCGACTATTCGGTAGCACGGAGCTGACCGGTGTTCCGAAACTTACAGGGAAGGAGGCTACTGTAGAGACCAGGGAGGCCGTGCCCGCTGTGAACACTGTCCGATAATCTGCGATATCAGATAAGGGGAATATGGTCAGCGCTGCAGCTCTGTCCCCTTCTCTGCTAGCTATCTCACTCACCCCAGAGTAGCTGATCCACCTCCTCTTTTGACATTCCCGCAAAGCGCAGGATGCTCTTCTCCTCCACTCTGGCTGCATTCAGTATTTGATTGCCCACCTCTCCGAGCACCTGCGTGCTTCCTGTACGATCGCTGCTGCTACTACCACTGCTACTGCTAGCCTCCGATGGCTCTCTGAGTGAGCCTCCCCCTTCTATTAGCCCTGCCGAAGTGAAAGGAGGGTATGTCCACGCATCTCTCCGCCGTGAGGGAAGTGACGATGGTGATGATAATGGAATCGCCGAGGAAGAGCTGTGATCCGACGGTGAGAGGGAAGAGGAAGAAGGATTGGACCGTAGCTTTTCGTAGGTGGAAATGGTCGAATAGGCCGCATCTGCCAGTGTAGACTGGGCAATATGCGACAGGGCCGTGGCCGTGGAGAAGAGCGTCTCCATGGCTCCCGGCGAGGGGAGGGGCGCGGAGGAGGCGGAGACGAGCCTCTCTAGCCCAGCTGATCTAGCTAGCTGGCCAGAAGAGAAGACGGTCGATGACGGTGAGAATCTGAGTGTCTCCTGAGGGTGATGAGGATGCTAGTATTGGCCAAGGGACGCGCCGTAATGATGATGCTCTGGGAGTGGCTGGAAGCTATAGGCCCCTGCCGAGGGCGGAAGCGATGGGAAGGTCTGAAAGTCTAGATTGGGGGCCGGGCGCGATGGGCAGTCCTAGGGAGTTGTTGCCTGGCAGGACCAGCAGCGAGTGGACGGAGATACTATCGAGCTTACCAATGCGTGTGAGTAGTGAAGCTATGTTGCAGGCTTTGTATCTTCTTCAAGGTGTTGGGGAGCGATGGTGCGAGTGGGAGTGGGTGCGGGTGGGGGCCCTTCCCTCGGCGACATCTTCCTGGCGGCTGCACCCTGCAATGACAAAGACGCACCACTGAAAGTCTTTCGCCCACGCACGGGAGTCGAAGACCACACACACTCCGCCCCGCTCAAAGCCGCAAAGTGGGGCGCACAGACGAGGCGTCAGGACAGGAATACCATTCATCAGAGAAGCTACACAGAAGCTACTGGCACGCAAGACGAGGCGAGGACGCAGGCTTCCTTGACCTCATCATCTCGCTGCGACCAAGTCCCTCGGTCAATCCTTACCTTGAGCCCTGGCGCATCGCGATAGAAGTGCGGCGAGCCCCACTCAACTCGCCTGGCCCCCTTTCCGCATCATCGTAGACTGTTGCACTACCTCCTACCCTCACTCACTCACGCCATGCCCGATCCAAATCTCCAAGCCTACCTCGCCCAGCACTACCTCTCAGGACCCAAGGCAGACGCCATCCTCGCCCGCCAGAAGCAGCAGCAAGAAGACGAAGACGCTCAAGGCAAAAAGAAGAAGAAGAAGCGTAGGAAGATCCTCCCGGAGAGTTCGGGACCTAGTGGCAGTGGCAGTTCCACCTTGGGTCTGAAGCTAAGGGATGAGGCTGATGATTGGAAGAGAGGAGACGATGAGGATGAAGGAGAGGCGCAAGTTGTGCGTGAAGAGAAGAGGGAAAGGTTCAGAAAGGGAGGATGGGCTTCCCTCGGGCCTGATGGCAAGCCGGCTGCTCAGCAGGACGTGAGGGAGCAAGATGGCGAAGGCGAGGGCGAGGAAGAAGGGGAGGGGCCACAGCTCGTTGGAGCAGACGGTCTCAACCTGGACGCTACTGCCGCCGAGCTAGCTCAAGCTCAAAAAGAGGAGCGCGAAGCTCGTCAGAGGGCCGAGGCTTCAGCTGGTCCCTCTTCAGTAGCGCCTCCGCAGCCCGTTTCTGGCCTTCGGACAAAGGAACAAGTCAAGGCCGATCGACTTGCGAGAGAGGCAGTCCAACGTCGCGAAGAAGAGGCACGTCTGGCTGCTGGAGAGCGAGAAGGTGAGGAGGATTCAGAGGCTCAAAGAGAGGCCAGACTTGCACAGACGACCGTCTATCGAGACGAGCGCGGTAGACGAATCGATGTAGAGGCAGAGGACGAGTTGATCAGAAAGGAAGAGGAGAGGAAGAGACGTAAAGAAAGGGAAAAGAAGGATTGGAATAAGGGAGAGCGACAAAAGGAAGAGGAGAGGAAGAGGCAGCGGGAGCTGGAGAAGGTTAGGACAGAAGGCGTAGCTAGGTGAGTGATCGGCCGAGACACATATCGAAGTACTAAGCCAGCTGCTCACCACTCCAGTACCCTACCCCACCGTCCACAGATACGCAAGCGACGAACGAATGAACGCTGAGCTTCGCGCCATAGAGCGAACAGACGACCCGGCCCTTGCCTTCTTGACAAAGAAGCGGCCCAAAGGTCCTCAATTACCCAAGTACAAAGGTCCTGCCCCACCTCCCAATCGATTCGGTATTCAACCGGGTCATAGATGGGATGGTGTTGACCGGGGAAACGGGTTTGAGAAGAAGCTATTTGAAGCGAGGGGGGCGAGGGTGAGGAGGGAACAGGATGAGAGGGCCTACGGGACTTCAGACATGTGAGGCGGGAAGGAAAGGGGGAGAGCCTCTCACACTACACACAACTGTACGAGTATCAGACATAATTGCAATTTGAATTAGGCTGGGAACTTGTTGGAGCTCACCCATGGCAGACGTGCAGGCCAGCTCGTAAAGTGTCATGAATATGTTCTTGTTTCCTGCTGATAGGTATTCAATATCCTTACAAGGAGTTACGTAAAGCAAATGTCCAGAGTCAAAGCAGGACATGGAAGTGTGATGAAGGTGAGAATCTAAATATACATATGGGTGAGAAGAAGGAGCAGAAGCTTGGGAAAGAGAGGCCCGCGTGAGCGACCGAGAGAGGAAGAGAGAATGTGCAAAAAGGTAACGGTGACGATACAGAAGTGGAAAAGAGAAAGGGGTGGGCGAAGCTAAAGAGGACCCGTGGAGAAGAAAGGCAAGTGAAACACATTTGCTCTAGAGTGCCGTTGGGCGCAGGTTCTCCTGAGAAATGCCATCCCTCGAGAAGTCAGCACCGTAGTACTCTGGGTCGGCACCGGCAACGCTTTCTTGGCTATGGGGGAAGCTCCTGGGCTGGTGAGGTCGGTGCGGGTAAGATGCCATGACGGTGCTGTTGGGCGGCTCTTCGTAGCGTTCCTCGACGGTGGTGACCTGAATACCCTGGTCCAAGTCCAATCTTCCACCCCTTGCCATGCTGTTGAGTCCGACGTTTCCGGAATTGCCCTGACCGGAGACGAAAGTGGAAAAGAAGCCACCCTTTGCACGAGTAGGCGAAGCAGGGTCTCCTTCTGCACTGGGACTCCAGCGCATCTGGCGAGAGCCAATACGGTTGGTGTGGTTGGCGCCAGAGAGAATGTCCTTGCTCATTGCACCACCGCTGCTGCCATCGGGCTGCATGGTCTGTCTCCTCTGGTTGAGCTGGTTGGCCATCAAGGCACGGGCATTGAGAGTAGACAGGAGCGAGTTGGTATAGAGCTTGGCCAAAGGCAAGTTGAAGACCAGGTGCAGCGTAGATCCAGACGCGCAGAAGGTGATCAGGTCCAAGATGGCAAAGACACTAGTGGCCATACCGGTCTGTAGAGTGACTCGAATCAGACGAGTGATGACATCGTCGGTAGGAGCAAAGCCGGTACGAGACTTTTGCAAAGTCCAGACCAAGGCGAGGGTGATCATCAGATCGGCCAGGGCAGCGCAGGCGAGCCAGATGATCACGACTACCTGGAACCTTTGGAATTCGCCGAATTGCTTGACAATCTCTACACCGATGGTTGTTCCCAAGGCTCCAAGGAAGGAGGCAAAGCCGACCAAGACGATCAGGGCAGGTGCCCACCAGGCGTGCATCAGACGGTACACGCGCCAGGCGAAGAAGGACTGGCATGCCAGGGCAATGCAAGCAGTCAAGACTGGGTCGGACGCGAACATTGCATTGGCGTTGACGGCTGTGGTGAGCAAGGTAGAGGGATGGGAGAAAGAGATGCCGGTCAGTACTACTGTCTCACTTTGGTTGCTACGTCATTCCATGTCAAGTGGTGTAGGGGTCAGATTGCCGATTGCTCACCATAAGCTGCGTCACCAAAGTGCGTGACTAGATACTCGAACATGAATCCAGAACACATGACGGTGTGTAATGTATCGGCTACGAGCAGTGCGCCAACGAAAGCCCTCATGAAGAGCTTGTCGTTCTTGAAATTGATAAAGTACATGTATACCTGGACGATGCTCATACCGTAGAGGAAGATGTTGAGGTAGAGACCTGTGAGCATACAGCCCAAGTTGAATTCCAGCGTGACCATTCTGGTGAGTGTAGCGGGGAGATGATGCTAGGAATTGTAGTGAATGAGGCCGTGCGCTTTGACGAGATGTCGACGCGTTTTGCACGGCGTTTGGGTGGAAATATCCAAGAGGAGGAGTTGTGGATATATAGAAGACCGAGACCCAGACAATGACGAGGAGAAGGCGTCTGACGAGACAGGGGCGATTGGAACGACTCAGGGGGGGTTAGCTAGATGTAGTGTGCAGAAGAGAGCAGAGGGGGAAAGGATGAGATGGGGATGGGATGAGGGAACGATGAGGCGACGATAGGTATACCCGCCAGCTGCTCTTTCAATCGACCAACCCGTCTGAAGCGAGCAAGGGAAGACTCGAGACCGGGCAGGGGCGCAAGGACTGGCGAGGGAGGGAGGGGGGAGTGCGGTTGAGCTTCTCTGCCTGTCAGCATCGGGCCCCTGTCTTCTGAAGTCGACTCCCAGGCGGATCCTCTGTGGCGATTCGCCGCCAATCAGACGCGACTCCGAAGGGTGCCACCGTCGAAATTAAGGCCAGTAGAGGGGCCACGCCATGACATTTTCGCAGTGCTCTCTTCCCTGCTGTAGGAGCTGCCCGGCATCTGGACAGTGTTGCCAGTGGTACCTCGGTGGGGTGCGTGGCAGTGGCCCCGTTGGCCGGAGAGTGCATCGAGGCTCCCATGGGTCTCATCCCTTGCTGCCATGGGCCCCTGCCCTACTCCGCCACCTCGGTCCCCACCTCTGCTCTTTCAGCTGTGGTGTGGCAAACAAACGGCAAGGCGCAGCCTCAAATGGGGATCCCTGTCCTGCACCTTGACGCGCGTCTTTTTTCCTCTCAGACGCGATTCTTTCCCTTTCCCCCCTTCTGAACGCGAAATAGAAGCTATGCCGCCCCACCACGACTTGCTCACTGCTCAGAGCTGGGTGGTATGGTGACGTTGCCAATGGGGACGCATTTAGATACTCCCCCCGCTTTTAGTCTGCTATATACGGACACCAACACGTGTGTTCTCCTCTGACGGAGTGGAGTGCTACTGCTGACCCATCATTGCGGTGAGGCAGCGTCCCGCATCATTAGGTTCGAAACATTGGGGTCGGTTGCTCCTCCTCTTCCCACCGGAGCTGCCGCCCTGTGATTGATCGAGGTCCCGACACTGTTCCAGTAAAGGCAGATGCAGAGGTCCAAGTGGCGTGAGAGCGGGCGGGACTGACTGACTGACTGACTGACTGACTGACCCACAGACAGGCGCAGGCAAGGCGACTAGGAGCAGCGGAGGGGGGGACCAGCAATGCACGGGGGCGTGCGCGCCCCGCCGTCAAAGGCTGCACCCCTGCCTCTTGTGGATCCCAACACCAGCGCATGTACCTCTAATGAGCAGCCGCTGACACCCACACGGCACGTCTCGACGCGAAGAACTGCACCTTGCCCCCTCTTGACGCTCAGACCTTACGCTCAGACGAGCAGATCAGGACTAGATAGCTTTCATCGGCGTCTCTTTAGAGCGTTGGCGCCTACACAATATGTTCGCCCGCACCTCACGGTTCAAGCGTCGGCAAAGCAATTGGTAGTCAGGACCACACCGACCTGTGACGGCTGAGCGAGACAAGGTTCAAGCGCTCATGGGCGTCAAGAGAAGCGGAGCAATGTGCTGCTCCTAGCTTGCGCTCCTGAAATCAGCGAGTAGGTTGGGAAGGCGTGCAGCACTTCGACATTACCCCTGTCGCAATGGATCAGAAAGAGCTGTCGGTCGGCATGTGATTCAAGAGAATTGGCAGAAGCATCTCTTTCCTGCTCTCGTTGCAAACACACACTCCTATCGTACAATGCCACGTCTCGCTGCAATCCTCGTTCGTTCGATGGCCACACAATCCTCTTTACGCTAACGGTTCCGAACTCGAGCTGAGGCGGTTGAGATGTAGGCTGAGTGAAGATAGTAATGCGACAAAAGAGAGATTAGCACGTGGAAGAGTAGATTGCAGTCAGACGGAATCAGAGGTCCCACTCACTATACGTCGGTACCGTAGCCCTCCATTGAGATGAGCTTCAAGTCTCCACCGAAATATCTGGCATACTGCAGAGACAGGCGTCGAAGGGTCAAATGTCAGCCACGTAGATCAGAGGTACACAAATGCTCTTCAGACTGAGGGTATTGACTCACCAGCCTGGCGAGCGGTAGACCGTATCCGAATCCGGCCATAGGCGCCTTGAAGTCGGAAGCATTGAAGTCAGGATCTATAAAGAGCAAGTACGAACATTAGCTCTGTGCCCTGACGACTGCTCTCTCTCCCTTGTGGAGAATAGCTGAACTACTCACCTAGATCCTCAGATTGCGCCGTCGTATACATATAGGTCCACACTAGTCCCATCTCACTCCTCGGAATCCCACCACCCTCGTCGGAGATCTTGATCGTGATGTCCTCTTTGCCCTCCACTACGATGACCCTGATCGCTGGAAATTCGTCTTCGTTTTCTACCCCATAGCGTTCCACAACGGCTCGGAGAGAGTTCTTGAGCAGCTCAAATAGCATGTGCTGGGATGAGCAAGGAGGGTGGACCCGTCAGCAGGGGATTCGATCAGGCTGCCTGGCCTTTGCGTACTCACATTCAGATGACTTGGGACGTACATGAACGTCAAGTCCTTCGGACACACGAGCTGTACCGGTGGGCCCTTGAAGAGACCATAATGCTCCTCGCAGACGAATCTTGCATTCTCGATGGCCTCGTGAGCCATTGCGCCCACATTGGTATTTGTGCAGATGATACCAACGTACTGCTCCGATTCTGGATTCGTCAGGGAGCCTGCACCGGATCCTGGCTCGTCCTCGTCTGCGCTGTCAAGAGGATTGTCCTCCAGAGCGCCTTGTGTGGTAGGCGATGTCCGAGCCAGAGCGATATGTTGTCCAATCAGAATACGAATACCTATACGCGACATGTAGAAGCGATCCAGGAACCGTTGCACGTCCGCTTGCACATCTTCGCCCGATCGAGCTCGCTTGTACTCCAGCACTCCTTGCGCAACAGTCGTCACTACGGCATCGTGCCGCTTCTTGATCTTTTCCAGTGCCCTTGTGAAGTGCTCGTTGTAGTCTATCACCTCAGGCGGCCAATCGATGTTGTGGAGGTTGGCATAGTACCTGTGCGCCAATGGCACACGCTTCTTTGTGCTCATGGCGCTCGAACCATTGCCGTTGCCGTTTGCGGAAGACATTCTACCAGCCACTTCCCCTTCCTCCGCCCCATCCTCAAATCTCGCCCTCTCGTCAAAGACGGGATTGGTCGTAGCATCTTCCAGTCCAACGGCATCTGGGGAATCCGACCCGACAGAGCTTATCGTGCCTTGCTCCTCATGTGGTTGAGCTGAAGGCGAGACGGAAGGAGTGGAAGGGAATTTGGAGGCAATTGATTTTGGTAGTTGTGGTTTGGGGAAAGCAACGAGTTCCTATGGGGAAGGTGGACACATCACCGGGGTCCTCTTCTGTGAGCAAATACTCGCAGGCTGCCTTGCACGAGCTACACTCACCTCGAAAGATTGAGCATACCAGTCTTTAACCCGCACGATGGAAGGCATCTTGTTCAGTCCATTCGGCAGCTCGTCCAGCTCCTTTACTCTATGCGCCAGACGAATAGGTAGCTCCTCTGTTGCACCAAGTAAGGGCACAGCATCAGCTCGGCCGTCTATTGTCCCTCCATCCACACTGCCCTGCCCACTCACCAGCTAGAAAATTGCCCGCCTGTAGAATTGTACCCGGGTTGGGATTCCTACCGAATTGAACCATCTGCCTCAGAGAGATGCCCGTTTGCGGAAAGGAGGCAAAGTGATGTAGCTGGGACCATAGCTGTGGTGAGATCTTATACACCCTGAGGTATGCAAGAAAAGGGCAGACGAACGAGTAAGGGCGACGTGGTCAATACGCTGTGAGTCTGACTGTATCCGAGGAGCTCTTTGCTCATGGCTCACATGGTTGGCAGCGATATGGTGTTCCGATTCTAGCAGCTCGCTTGGAGTGGAGGGAGGTCAGGTGACAGCAAGCAAGCCCACCGCTCGTGGCCACAAGGGGGGTCTAGGGTATGCCTCTGTCCGTCACAGGACCGGTATGAGCAAGCGTGGGTAGTGCTAGAGCTTCTCCGTGCCTGGTATTGTGCAGGTTGTGAGGCGACTTGGTTGCCGGAGCACCAGCGATCTTCGTGCGGGGTGGAAATGCAGCAGGCCCTGTGTATGCGCAAGGTGACGCTGGGTCAAGGGTTCGTAAGGGAGACAGCCGTGAGCAAGAGATGAGACAGCTGGAGGAAAAGAGTACCAAAGAGAGACGATAAGGTGAGCAAGTGTGGTACGGAACCCGGGGCGATGTCAGGAAGAGCAGATGGGAGGGGGTAAGATCCGCTAGCCGGGAACGGACGGACGACTGACTCGCACTGGCTGCTGCTGCTGCTGCTGCATCTTTCCCCGCAAAGCGGCTCAACCGGGCACAGGCGCTGTGAAAGTTCCGGCACTTGCCGCTTCCGCTTCGCCTCGGCTCGGGGAAGGACCCTAAACCCCCCGGGGACTGACAAGTCACGAGACGAGACACACTCCAACGAGGGAGGACACGAACCATATAACGCCAAAAGAAAAGTGTAGAAGCATGGTGACACAAGAGCGTTGCGACTCTACTCGGACAAAAGGAAAGGAAAGAGCTAGCGATCTATAGTACAGAGCTCCTCACACAAAAGTAACTGTTCACACGCCAATGCGACCCTCGATCTCGTCACTGAGCTTCTCCCTGTCAGTTCCGTTGCTAGAGTCGAGATCGCTGCTCATCCTCTCCACGGCCTTGCCTTTGCCATTGCCGTGCTCGCCTCCGTCCGCCCCTCTGCGCCGGATGCCCGCCTTGAGACCAGCTTTGCCTGCCAGTCCCGACAGGCGCTCAGTGAGAGCAGCCAGCTCTAGACTGCCAGTATTTCTCTCCAGGTGAGCTCCGATGGGCCCAGCTCGAGTCTTTGCCCACTCCGTCGCTTTCCCAAGTGCTCCCAGGACGGGCCGGCTCACGCCTCTGCCAGAAGACTCGAGGGGATCGCCGATCCAGTAGCCGGAAGAGACACATTCCTGCGCATCTCTGACCATCCACTCGTACCACATCAGGGAAATTGGTACGGTACTCAGATGCCACAGAGCATGGGCATCAAGAGCTCTGCCCAGAGGCGGGAAGTCTAGAAGCTCTAAGCCGGCTGCGAGCGTGAGAAGCAGAACAATGAGACGCAAGCGCCTTCTGGCCTTCTTGGATGTGGACGGTAGGTTGAATCTTGCTAAAACAGGCGCAGGGGGCGAGCCCTTCGTAGGGGTGCTCAGCCCTGAGGCATTCTGCTTTGTAGTCCGCAGGGCAGTCCTGGTTGCTCTGTAAGGGTCTGACGATCCGTCTGGGAACATGCCTGGAAAGAACGAATAGGCGAGCCATAAGACGTTGTGGCCCAATGCGAGGGTTACATTGACTGCCATGTTGTATGAGTAGTCGAACCTCGGGATAATGCAGAGGTAGAGGATGTGCAGGAGCAAGGCGCCTGAGCAGATCTTGAGGAAGATCGAGAATCGCGGGTTGCCAGGGCTGAGCCTGTAGAGCCTTGATATCGTGAAGAAGAAGCCAGACAGTATAGCTGCGCCTGCTGAGAAGTAGTCCAGCTTCTCTGTGAATGGCTTGTCCCTTGCGTGAAAGACAGAGGACCAAACCCAAGCATTGGCGCTGATGAAAGCGTGTGCCAAATAGACGATCTTGAGCGGGAAGACGTCCGGCAGCTTTACCCTCAAGATCGGGATGTATTTGAGATGCACAGCTAGATTGGCCAAGCTGAAGAGTACGCTCAGTGGTTCTTGAGCCCCTAGGAAACGGATAAAGACCCACTTGCCGTGGTACTGGACCATTTGCTTTTGCACTGGCTTTAGGCGAGCGAGGCGACTGTCCACCTTTGCCCTGATACGCTCATTGACATCGTTCCTACTAGCTCCAGCTCCACCCGCCTTGGTCGCCTGCTCCACCTCTGCCCAGATTGCTGCTTTAGCCTCCTTCTTGATCGCCTTGACCGTGGCGAAAGCGTCGTTTGTGACGCGGTGGGTACAGTGGTAGGAGCAGTCATCCTTGCATGTCCAGAACGTCATACGCAGAACCCATGGTAGCCTCAGAGGCGCAACCATGCCGTCGCCATCAGGAGCCATCATATCTGCTGCTTGATGCCCGCAGACGTCTGCTGTACACGAAGCAACGCAGCGCTTGTATTCGAAAGATCGGTCTCCTTGCGATGCCAGCGCTGCTAGAGGCAACAGACAGCACAGCACCATGAGGGGAAACAGAAGCGATGAGAGACGCGGAGGTCTCAGGCCCGAAGGTGTGGGAGATCTCGCCGCCCGGCGGGATGTTTGCCTCTTTCTCCTTCTTTGCGGCATCTTATTATCGCAGGAGCCATCTAAAGGGATGCAGGAGGACGTAGATGCGTTCGTCACCCCGACAACTTGAGAGGATGTCGAAGCAAAGGATGCGGAGGTGAGATCGTCCATGTTGGTATCCGCGATCGAAGAGCGGACTCCGGGCAACCTCTTTGAAAGGGTGGCGGGGGGGTTGGTCTGGCCCAGAGGAAGAGTAAGGCTGTGAGATTCGGGGGCAAAGGATCGCGGGGCCCGGTGAGGTGACGTTTGCGCTATGGAATGACTGAAGGAAAAAAAGTGAGAGTGAGACGATACCGGTCGGGAACAAGTGGAAGAGGAGAGGAAGGAATGCGATGCGGACGATGATGGTACAGGGAACAATCGGGGTGGGGAAGGCGAAGGAGTGAGGCCGTGGGGATGGCTATTCGTCTGCCTGGACTTGACTGCAGGTCGCCGCCGGCCGCCTGCCTCTGCCTCTGCCTTCTGTCTATTTTCGATTCCCAGGCGGCGGCGGCGAAGGCGGCGGGTGGCGGCGTCCGAAGACTGCCACGCGGAAAGTGGCACACGCGGACGGACGGAAGAAGTAGACTACGAGGACCCTACATCGACACCACCACCAGACGATCACAGCTGCAGCGATCGAGTAGCAGACGATACAGTATGAGTGGTCCAAGCAGCGCTTTTGGGAAGCCTCTCATCTTCCTCGGCACCAGTGAGTATCGCGGAGGATATGCCTGCCCTTCATGTCGATGCTCAGAGACCACTTCAATCGAGCTCACAAAGCTGACTCTTGCTCCTCGCCATCGCCCACCAGTCCTACTGCTGCATTCGGCCTACTCAACCTATGAGCACTCGTCCATATCCAAGAGTGTAGGAGTTGCTAAGCCGGTTGTCCCCCTCGATGTCAGTACTCATGCTGGACAGAGCATGGCGTGCCAGCCGGGCTGACGGATACCTTCTGTGCTCCTTCTCCTCCACAGATCACGCTCGAGACGGTCCTGTCCCTCGTCGTACTCGTGATGGGGATCATTCAGTCGTCGCAACCACTCAAAGAGATCACATGGGCAGCAGAGATGGGGAAGAGGTGAGGATTCGCAGCTGAATCTTAGAGACAAATGGCAATGCTGATCGCCCATTCCTTCCGCCTCTCTCCTCCCTTCTGATACCATAGGTCACTCGACGAGATTGATGCCAGGCCCAACTTTGCCACTTTCAATCACAGAGGTCCGGCCATGTTCGGCGGCGTGAAAAACTAGACACAAAAAGAGCAGAGGATTGGTATAGAGTAATGACATGATGAGCTTGACATCCAGATTGGGTGAGCATTGGCAGCGACATTGGAGTGATGTGAAGGAACCAGCCAGCCTCAACGAATCGCAACCGATGCCAGGGATGCATTCAACCCTGCAGCATTGCCAGTCTCTCCAGCACCAGCAGCACTTCTGCCCTTGAGCCGACTCTTCAGCAAGGCTCGGTTCGATGCTCCTCCACTCTTCTTGGCAGGGGCCATACCATGCCTAGGCGTCCAAGGACCCAATGAGTCATTGGCGTAGAAGTCCATGGGGTAGTCGCCGCCTGCAAAGTCGTTCTTGTCTCGCTTTTGTTGACTAGCGGTCGGGTCCGCCGTTGCTGCTGCTGTCGCTGCTTCCTCGTCGGCTCTTGCGGCGTCCCTGCGCATTCCCAGACCTTCTACTGATTCCTCCCAACCCTTCGCCCGGCCCAAGGCAACAGCGGCCTCGTAGGGACTCAAGAGCGGCTTGGGAAAAGCACTCCCCCAGTCGATCGATAATCGAGGGCAACTTGTCTGGATGAAGGCCGACAGATGAGATCCGAATAGAGCTAGCTTTGCCGGAGAGAGTTCCGAAAGCAGAATCGGTACGTGGGGAACAGGAGGAGAGTGGGAGGTCAAGGTCGAGCGAAGGTGACTGAGGACCGATAGAGAACCTTGACGACCTAATGTGCCCAGAACAACGCCCCACGATCCTGGAGCCTGCCCTTCGGCCTCTTCAGCGGCTGCAGCGCGAGGCTTGACTGCGACGACGCTCTGCTCCGCTTCCCTGACAGCGTCACCTCTCATCTGCCGCATCTCAGCATGATCGTAGAGCTCTCGAACGAATCTTTTGGTGTATGGATCGTATCGAAAGGCCGGTATCCGAGGGTTAGCGATCATGACGCTCTCCAAATGAAAGCGGCCATCACCAACGTAGATGACAGCATCGACATCTGACGGAAGACGTGGAGATGTGCAACCTAGAATCTCTCCTGGACTCAAGGGCTTGATCTGAGGCACTGTGATCTTATATGTACCTGTGGCGTAGCTCTGCACTGTTGGCGTTGCAGTGGTAGCATCTTCGCTGGCCGTTAGCATCAGCGGATTCAGCTTCGCTTGCGAAAGTGGAGCACCGTTCTCATCGAGCGGCTCGGCTTCCTCCAGGGCGGTACGTAGACCCTGCAAGGCATTGATGAACTGTACCGTCCCCACGAGAGCCAGGTGGGTTGACGCATCGCTGGTCTCTTGTGCAGAACCGTCATTGCCTTCGACGCCTATGCCGATATGAGCTCGCTGTGACGGAGAGCTCTCTACATCATCTTCTGCATCTGACGCTCCAAGAAGCTTCGATCTGAAGTGCGCCTTGATGCTGGGAAAGTTGGCTCGCACGGTCGAGCCGAGGTGCATTGGATCGATTGCAATTTCGACGAAGACGTAAAGGGTCTTGATGGAGGTTTGGTCGACAGGAACCAAGCAGCTGTGACCGTAGTGAACCAGCATATCACAGCCTAGGGCCATAGCGGTGTAGTCATCTACACAGCATGCCCCATATGTGACATCGCCCATGATCACTGTCGTCGCCTCGGTGAACCTCTCGACCAGATCAGCTATGCCCGAGGCCCATAGCGTTAGACCTTCGGGCATCTGCAGTGCTACACAAGTGGACCCATTTCTTCTGACATGATGGATGGTCTTGTGGATTTCGAAGTTGTAATTGGAGGGTAGAATGGCGGCAATCGCGGCATTCAAGGCCGGATCCTCCAGGATATCAGCCGGGATGGCATTGGAAGGGGCTGCTGGCGGCTGGGCCGAAAGCCGGGAGCCGGATGCCGCTGTGGTCTCTGCTACTGCGCGGGTGAAGTGCTTGCGCGGAGCAGCGGCGGATGATGATGACGATGATGCTCCTTCCATGGCGGCCATTCGTTGCCTAGAGGCAGTATGGAGCAGAGTGAGTGATGTCAAAAGACGTCAGAAACCAAAATCTTCTCTTCCCGCCACGACGGAAAGAGCTCAGGCACAAGCGGAAAGGCGCGCTGGGCCACGCACGACCCACGACACCAACACCTCCAAAGCAACACCTCCCCTTCTTTCCTGTTCAGTCCAGTCTGTCCATATCAGTCTGCTCGCCTCCCCCTTCTTACACTCTTGTAATGGGCACAGAGTTCCATGGCGCCGAGCTCTCGACAGCCTGGGCTGCGTCATTGGCAGCCCTCCACCCCGGGTTCAACGACGTCTCCACTACTGCCTCATTGGAAGTCCTCGATGTCAGCCGAGCCAAGCTCACTCTTCAGAGGTACTTCTTACAGACACAGAGGACGTCGGCGGGGGGCCCATCGGTGAGCCTCCAAGCCCAGGCGACAGGAGCCATCGAACTGCTGAGACGCAGTGGCTTCGATGCGGACGCGGAGGCTTACGCCGCCTTGCGGATCGCCACGGAGTCCAGGATGCTGGAAAGTCAGGCACAGCATTTGAACGCTTTGGAAGTGACTGGTATTGCCGGCGTCCCGCATGCCTTACAGGCTCTAGCTGCAGAAATGGGTGCTCTGAGAAGTCTAGCATCTGAATTGGGACTGTTGTGAGTGTAGGGCGCTGGAACTTGGAAGCTTTTCTTTAGCTCACAGGAATACGTGTTTCTATACAGCGACTCGAGGAACGACCATACCCACCTTCTAGAAAGCTTGACGAAGGAGCTCCTGCTTGTAGCTCTGAGGCAGCGACCAGCAACACTCGCTATATTGAGAGACTGGATCGGCATAGCATACTTCACAGAGACGTCCCAGGCCGGCCTCAGCCTTCCCGCAATTCGAGATGCTCGACGTCACTTTGTCGAGCTCGGGCTTAAGAATCTCATCCATCTCGGGGTTGAATATGCTGCAAGGAACACGCTGAGGAGAAGAGTGCATTATGAGCTCGGTAAGGAAGAGGACACAGCCGTAGCCAGGGTCGATGCTGCTGCAAGGCAAGCTGACGAGCTCCGCCTCAGCTACGCAAGACAAATGCGTGCTCGGGACGACATTGAAGCATCGACCGCATCCGATGGCGATACGGATCCTGATACCCTGTTGCAGTCACTGGACCCTGAAAAGGAAGCTCGCCCTCTGCTTGTCGACTTTGTTGTCAACAACTTGTCCCGATGTAAGCTCGGGTGGTACACAGAGGCAGGGGAAACCTCCTATAGCGACCAGGCACACTGGCAAGAGAGCTTCATCTACTACATGGACACGCTCATCACCGAGATCAGATCTTCGCAATTGTTCGATCTCATCACTGACTGGCCTGCGTCCACGCCGGCGCTTGCAGATCTCAAGGCGTCCCTTCTAGAGACTCGAATGAAAGTCTACGTCAGTACGCAGCTTCAGTCATCTTTGGAGAAACGTCTGCTTCATCCTGGAGCTCGGACGAGGGACATCCTGCAATTGTATGTGTCTCTTGTCTACGCAGTAAGATACATTGATCCGTCTGGTGTCATACTGTCCCGTATTGCGGGACCGATCAGACGCTATTTGCGCTCAAGGTCGGACACCGTTCCAGTGATTGTTGCAAGTCTGTTGGGCGATGATGAGGCCTTTGTCCACCTAAGAGGAGAGCTCGACGCCGCTGGCAAGAACGAACTGGTCGGAGCTGCCAATCAGGCTGACACAAGCCTTGGCGGGGGCGATCGGGACGAGGAAGAGGAAGACGAGCAACGCTTACTGGCGGATGGTCCCGTATCTCTCACTGGCCCCGCTCCTTCCAAAGTCGTCGACTACCAAGATCCCAACTACGAACCCCAACCCATAGATGCTGGTCCTTCCTACAAACAGACGAGATCTGCAGATGTCATCGCCATGCTTGTCTCCATCTTTGACGACAAGGCCTCCTTTGTCAAGGCCCTGGAGATCTCTACAGCCAAAGCTTTGTTGAAGAGCGAAGGTTACGAGGTTACTCGAGAAGTAAGTCTGACCTTGATTTTGCAGCTGACACGTAACGACTCTGACTCACTGCTCTCATATCGACCATTCCATTTCCTGCCCGCTTCTTAGTATCGCAACAACGAAATCCTGAAGCGACGCTTTGGTGATACTTCTCTCGCCCGGTGCGATGTCATGCTTCAGGATGTGATAGACTCCCGGCGGGTGGACTCTTCGGTTCGTCAGCTGCTGTCTACCCCTCTCCATCATCTGACCTCTCCCACGAAGAAGAAGCTGCCCGGCGATCCGGCCACGAGTGGCATGACAGAAGAGTTCAAGGCGCTCAAGCCTCTGATAACCTCGAGGCACTTCTGGCCTGACCTAGAGGGTGCCGAAGTACCACATGCTGCGCCCACAGACGCCTCGGACAAACCGGTCAGTCTAGCGAGCATCGGGCCACCTCCCGGTGGGCTGGACCTTAAGCTTCCCTCGAAGATGGGCAAAGCTATGGACGACTACAATAGGACATTTACAGCACTACGCGACTCCCGACGTCTGCGATGGCTGGCAGGCTACGGGCGCGTCACCGTGTCTGTGGAAATGAAAGACGGACGAAGCTGGGAGGAAGCGGTAGATCCTATTCGCGCCGGAGTGCTCTACCTGGCGGCGGAGAAAGCAGAGCAGGGTGAGCCTCTGATTGTCGCAGATGTAGAAAGCAGCATGAACATCCCCTCAGGCAGTCGGGAGCTGGAGGCTGCAATAGGCTACTGGTGTACAAGGAACGTATTGGCTCCCGTCGAGGGCAGGAAAGGTTGGTTTGTGGAATGCGAGCTGCAGCCCGAGCAGGCACAGCTGCCGACGAGCGCGTCAAAGTAGACACCGAGAACAGCGTACCATGTCGAAAGCAATGAGATACCCGTCTGATCCCCATTGTCACCCCAATTGTGTCCTTGCTCGCCATCGGCGTGATGGAACCCCTGGCCTCGCATAGTACGACGTTGGCAATCTCATAGGGAGCTCCCCGCGTCCAGAAGGCCCCCGGCGTTTGGCCGTGGCTGGACAATCTCTGTGGCGGAGGCCTTGGCAGTCTGGCTCCCGCTCGCCTTGCCGCTTCTTGCTCTCCGGACAGCCGGCCCCTTTGCACCCGCCCCTCTGCAGCTCCGGCCAAGGCCCTGAACAGCATAGGCCTGGCTCCTGTAGCATTGCCATCATCGACCCTGCGCTACTTCTTGCCATCCTCCACTTCGTCTTCACTGTACCTTCACATCATCTACCTCGTTTGCCACCTCTTCTCTGCTTGCCAAGCCCCTCCCATCAGATTCGACAGAGACGGTCACAGGAGACCCCATATACATTTACCCGCACCCCTCCCTCGGCCCTTCGCTTAGTACGTTTGTCCGCTCCGCCACGCCCGAGGTACTGCTTGTCATCCTCATCCATTTGCCCGTCAAAGCCAAGCCAAGCAGCAGCAGCAGCAGCAGGAAGCGAAGCGCCAAAGCTCAAGACGTACCGTTTAGGTCCGCCTTCACGCCACACATTCACGTGGGGGTTGCAGAGCAGACCATCTTATCTTGTTCCTTGCCCTCCTTCCGTTCAGTGCTTCAGGACAAGGAGGCAGCGAGTGTCCATTACCTTTCCACATACAAGCGGAAGACTCAGCAAGAGCAAAGCTCAATACTCTTCCGTAAGGGCGAACTGCAGCAATTGTAGCGACTGTCTCCTATCGCGGACAGTCGTTGGGAGCGAGCGCCTCCGAGGTTTCGGAAGAGTCCGCAACTTCTCGCATCAGTCATCATGAGCCCTGTCTCAACCTCTCACACTGCAATGTCTCCATCATCATCCTCATCCTCGGTTGCTCTTCCTTCTACACATCGTGACTTGAGAGCTCTGCCTCTGGAGATTCTGGATAAGATTGGCTACTTCACTGCTCTGGCCGCAAATCCTCCCTCCTCCTCCTCCTCCTCCTCCCCCTCCTCCTCCTCCTCCTCCTCCCCCTCCTCCTCCTCTTCCTCCTCCTCCTCATCGTCTGCCACGACCTCATACGCAGCACCGCCACCCCAAGCTCTGCGCGATCTCCTTCTGACGTGTAGGCATGTGAACGATCACCTCAGCGTCAGTGCCAATCCGCGACTGTATGCACGCATCTTCAAGGCCAAATTCGACCTGGAACCAATAGCGAGAAGGTACGGCAGGAAGGCTACAACGGTCGAGAACCTCGCCGGCGAGCTGAGGAGGAGATGTGTGATACTCAAGAGGATCAGGTGGGCTGTGGCAGTAGGGCAGCTCAGACCAGAAGGGGAGACTGCGCTGAGCGAGATTGAGCTCAAAGAGAATATGTGGCTGGCGTATCTGATGATGACAGAAAATGGTAAGACTGGTATCTATTTACCTACCGGCGATTCATGTGGCTGATCAAGGGTCCTGCTCCCTCCTCGTATAGATGGAAAGAACCTCGAAGCTCTCTACTGGGCAGACATCCGCTCCTACCTCTCACTCCACCATACCCAAGAGATGATTCGCTCTGCGCTTCAACCTGGATACCCACCTGAGTCAGAAGACCGAGCGCTAGCAATGCACATCAGCCATCTGCTGTCAGATGCAAATCTCTTGGCTACAGAGAGTAAAGAGGATGCGGACGAGAAGTTGTTCGTCCTCCGGCCTTACGTATTTGCTAGCCACAGATTTAATGGCTTTTACGCCCCCTGGCCTCTGCGCAGCCTCCCAATAGGAACCGAATCTCCTTTGACAATTGCAGAGAGCACCGCTTCAGCATCAGGGCAGACTCTCCTTGAGAGAAACCGGGGCGCTCCAGTCCCCATGCCAGCAGCAGCTGAGGGGCAAAGCTCCACTGCGCCCCGGGCCACCCCTGGCGCCCCGACAAATCCTTTCCTGGCCGATCACACGCCAGAGGACCGGTCGACCCTTGTCCATCATGTTGGCCAGACGCTCACCATCCGGCCGCCTTGCATCGTACATGCTGCCTACCACCTCTTCTTTGGGCAAGTGGAAAGGAACCCTGGCCTCGTCGGACTTACTGCTATCACCCGTAGGCATCCACCTCCGGGCTCTGGAGCAACCGGAGCTACAGACAACAACGCAGATGATCCCGCTCTACAGCCTTCCACATTAGCAGGACCACTTCGGCAGCTTCACGCCGATCCCATGAGACTGAGGTCTGCCGATCACGACCGCGATGTTGCGCGGTTGCTCTACTGTCATTCGCCGATGCGTGGCCCTGGCCTCAAGCCCTGCTTCTTTGCAGGCATCATTGATGGAGCCTGGGAGGGTCGCTTTAGCTTCTTTTGCTTTGACAGCTACCGAGAGATGCTCGCAGGCAGGATGAGATCACTATACGAGGGACCCTTTGGCGAGCAGCCCCAAGTGTGGAAGCTCAGAGAACACTTCCTCCGAGTTGATGAGAGCGGTACCGGCAGCGGAAAAAGGGAGGGTGGTCTAGGCTCCATGGTCAACGCCGGCTTTCCTACCGATGAGCCCTTTGAGGACACTCTGGCACTTCCCCGTAGTGTAAAGGAGCTTCACGAGCGCGAGCGCGAAGTGGCTGGCACTTCGGGCAAGCGAAGGGGCTCCACTTCAAATCATAGCGAGGCAAGAAGGGAGCCGCCCGCAAAGGGCAGTCTCAGGGCACAAGGGGGACGTCAGCCGATCCCCATGATGATGAACGACAAGTACTCGGAGGTCTTGCGGGCCGTTCAGCATGACGATGTGATCCCTCCCGACATGGGCCTCTATCCACAATTTTCGGAAGAAGACGGAGGCCCAGCGGCAGGGTACGGCTACCTTCCTTCGCCGCCGCCAGGCTCACGTTCTCATTCACTTGCTCGAAGGGGAGATGAAGATGAGAATGCAGAGGTGGACGGAGGACGCTACGAGATGCTCGTCTCTGGGTCTGGACACTCAGCCTGGGGATCCTTTGTCCTCCGTGGGCGCATTCGCGCCTGGGATGGAATGTTGATCCTCTCGAAAGAGTATCGACCGGATGGACGCGGGCGATGGCTCTACAGAGGTTACATTACCGCTGGAGGATGTCTCATCGGGCGGTGGAGAGATAGCTTCACGCCAGGCGACATGAGCGGGTACGAGGGACCATTTGTGCTCAACAGGAGGAGCACGGGGGAGGAAGAGGTCTGAACGAATGAAGAAGGGGAACCAGGCTCAAGGTAGCTGCGCATCATTGTTTTTACTTATTCTGAATTGCAACAAATACGCCAGATGTCAGAGCACCGGCTATTAAGCGACACAGAGTGGCACGAAGCTTGCGCACTATCTGCGCTCAAGCACAAGGTGAGCGAGATACTGTGGACGTGCACAGTCGACGAGAGGGAGCGAGGAGGGTGGTTCTAATCCCGTGCTCCAGCTCAGTTGTCTTTTGACCATTCTACTGCGCCTGTAATGACGGTGGCCAGGAATAAGCAAGCAGCGAGCAAGAGGGCAAGCAAGATCCGGCAGAAGATTCTTCTGTGCTTGTCAAAGTGGTGAATGAGGCTGACCAAGCACTCCTCTTGTGTGGGCGAGCGCTGCATAGCCTCCCGTTGTGGCCTTGCGCCCGAGCCTGAAGGGCGAGCTTGGGCTGTCTCTGGATTCATGTGAGTGGTATGAGCGGCACCTTGCTTGTGCGCGTGAGCTTCCCCATTGAAGTGTTTGTGCTCTGGATATTTCTCTTCGAAGTCCTTGTGCTCCCAATCATCCTCTTTGCAGTACGACCTAGGAGAGAGATCCGCCATTTCGATGATGTGTTCTTCGTGATGATATCCAAGTGTCGATGAGGAGCTAGCTGCAGGGCTGGGTGGTCCGTTGAGAAGTTCCGAGGAGCCAAGGTCTCCGCTGACTGCCTTGATGAAATCTTTGGCGCTGCTGTCACTCGATGCTGGCGTCATATTCAAGTCGTAGAGAGGTCGTAGAGAGGTTTTAAATGGGTATCGTCACTTGTAGAGGCGGAGAGGAAGTGATGGCGGTCGGTGGTGGGAAGGAAGGTGAGGAATGATGAATGGGCGATGATCACACGATGTCATGATCATTTGCTCCCGCAAAGGTAACACCTGAGACTGATGATGTGAGCCTGAGTACCACATTGTCTCTTGTCTTTTCAGCTTCCGGGCTCCTGATGAGAATGTGCCTCCGCGACTGTACTGAAACGTGAGGTTTCAGAATTCTACCTGTCTTGTGTCAACACACATTGCCGCTCAGCTGGCCAAGACGAGGATCTGCTTCAGCCCTTTGCGAACGTCATTTTGGCATGTATGCTACGACAGATGGATTGAGCAATGGGAGCAGCCAATGCCGCTGTAGCTGCGGCATCGTAAACCTCATTTTCTGAGCGATGTCCGGCTTGGACCGCTCTCCGGAAAGGACCGGTGAGACCATCGACGCAGTGCAGTGTAGAGGGTGCGCTCGGAAGGGCCACGTGGCGCGGCATGATTGGGGAACAAAAGGGCAAGAGCAAGCAGGGCAACCCATGGTAGCAAGCCACAAGCCGAAACCATGTAGCATGACGCCCAACCGCCACGAATGATATCCTCGAGGCTGTCTCCCACGGAGCTACACCTAGCGCTTGAGCAAGCTTCGGCTCGATGACCGCGGCAACGAAGCTGACCCGCGCCTACCATGCCAGCCTGAGCCTCTGAGCGATGCCTACCTACCTCCCGGAACAGACCCCCGAGACATAGCACTCGAGTATAATCCAGAGGCTGACCAAGATGATCAGCGAGGACCTCGTGAATCGGAACTCTTTGACCGCGTCTCCGGTCTTCCTAGAATTCTATGCTCGGCGGGTAGGACATTGTGGGGCCCGGATCGCATCCGCGGCAAGGCAGCTTCGATGGGAGGCCCGAGCGCAGGAGCTTATATTTTTTTTCCAGGGCCATCGCGATCGTCAGGGCGATCTATGCGGCAAGCAAACAAAGGCGCGTCTACGACAATGCCCTGACAGCTTTGTTCCTCTTGGCGCATTCATCCATTCACCATGGCACGGCCCCTGTCCTGATGCGGCCACGACCATCAGCGCCGGACGTTGCTCGCCAGTGTCTCAAACCCAACACCACATTGCTACCGCTCCTTCCCATGATACTGTCCTCAACGTCTGCGCCGGCTCAACCAGCACGCAGCCCAGATGAACAAACACTTCCTCGACGTCGCGCTCGAGCCTAAACTTGCGGTACGGCAATACCAATGCCGGATCGCAGCAGCGCCTCAGTCATTCATCTCATGCAAGTAGAAGGCGAACACTCCACGCTCACGAAGTGGCAGGGCTCCGAAGAGAGGCTCTTGCCTGCTACTCTTTGTCAATGGGTCCCGACTAAGACACAGCCGGCTTATGCTGTTTGGATTAGGGCCCGACCCAGCGGATCTCACGGAGCCACACAGTACCTGCATCAAAGGGACAGCGACAGGAGATGGGCGTAATGATTCTTCCACGGGCTGCCCACATATAAGATCAGGGGGGGAGACAGAACAAGCTGACCTGCTGCCAATCATCAACGAACGCTGGAACTACTTCCTCCTCTTCACTACCCCTTAGCCTCAAAAAAAAAGAAACAAAAAAATCAACCCAGCAGGTCTTGTCCGTTGGCATCCTGCTACGCCTATCCTTTAGTAACCACACTACGCCTTGACCTCAGGCCTCTCTCGCTTCACCGGATCGGCGCAGGCGCTTCTGTACCGGCAACTCTGCCCTTTTTCACCTAACTCTCACATCCTTCAAAGGCTTGAGCAGTATGTCCCGCATCCGTGAGGTTCTCCGCGGGGCGACCCCGACATCACAACAGCTCGAAGATGAGAAACTTTCCCCATACGATGCCCAGTCCACGGGCATGGCAACGCCGGGCATGGCAACGCCAGCGGGCTCCCTCTATGGTCATAGCTTCCGCTCTCAATCCCCTTCCCTTCAAGGTACGACGCCAAGCACGGTCACGCACGGCAACGTGTCTTCCCTGCAAAGGCAGACTGCCTACGAGATCATGGCGGAGACTCTCTTCAGGTATGCCCAACGAGCGCGACTCTTCTCTGACAACCCAATGGTTTGGAACGGAGTCGCACTGCGACTGGCAAAGGGCAGGTACGTCTGCTCTCCTCCTGGCGATCCACGTCTACAGCCATGGATCCAGGCATTGGCACTGCTCAACGTCACCGTGAGTAATATGACATTCAAAGTTCTGAGTGCATTGTACTGACATGCGATTCGTGACTATACAGGCTGTTGTCTCCGTGACATCCACCGTCGTTGCTGGTATCGTCACTAGCCTGCCAGAAGACGCCGAAGAAATCGCTCTCGCACCAGAGCATCGTATCCAGATGATCGACACCATGGAAGAGCTAGCGAGCGCCAAGAAAGCGCAAGGTGCTGCCTTCGTTCGCAGCGAAGCAAGACTGCTCGTTTGGACAGACAAGGTCGAAGAGCTCATGACGGTGGCAAAAGAGGTCGAGTCGAAGATGGTCCGCTACGTTTGGCAGCAGGCTACCGGAGGCGCTATCTCTGCTTCAGCAGTCGGCATGGACGGATGCTCCCGTGAAGTCTCGAACCCTACACCTCTTCAGGAAGAAGGCGTCCGTATCGGCGCTGGAGGCGAGAAGCTCATCACAACCAAGGTCATCAACGAGAAGACTGGGGACATCGAGGCTCTCGAAACTCACCAGGAGCGCCACACCGTCGTCATTGCCGCTGTTCTGCATGGTTTGGCCATTGCTCTGAACATCTTCCTCTGCTCGCTCTTCTTCAGGGCACTGATCATCCAATCAGCCGTCGACGGAAAATGGCTGCGATGGGCGATCGCAGCTGCTGCTCCCGGCCTTTTCATCGTCATCCTCTTCTTTGCCGACAACATCATTGGTGGTCTCTGCATGGTGCTCGGTCCCGTCCGACAGATGAATACGAACTCTAGGTACTATTCAAGTGTTCCACCTGAGCGCATGCGAGGCAGTCTGCCCCACGTCACCATTCAAATGCCCGTCTACAAGGAATCTCTCGAGACCGTCCTTGCGCCTACGATCGAATCGCTGAACAAGGCTATTCAGACTTATGAGCTGCAAGGCGGCTCTGCCTCGATCTTGGTTTCTGAAGATGGACTTCTGCTAGTCGATGAAGAGGAGCGCAACAAGCGATTGGAGTTCTACGATCTGCACCATGTAGCGTGGGTCGCTCGTCCGGGACACAGTGTCGATGGCTACGTCCGCAAAGGACGTTTCAAGAAGGCCTCTAACCTGAACTTCACCTGCGCTCTCTCGCTTGCTGTGGAAAAGCTTCTGGCTGCTTGGCGACCCACTTCTGGGGAGCTTTTCGAGCGCTGGTCCTACGCAGACGAGACGGCTCTCTACGACGATGCTCTAGCCCATGCTCTGGCTGAAGCGCACCCCCTAGCGAGAGCGTCCGGCAACATTCGTATCGGCGAGCTCATTCTGCTCATCGACTGTGATACTCGTGTGCCAGAGGACTGTTTCCTGGACGCTGCCTCCGAAATGACGCAATGCCCCGAAGTGGCCATTCTGCAGCATTGCTCAGGTGTCATGCTGGTCACAGAGAACAATTACTTCGAGAAAGGCATCGGCTTCTTTACCCGCAACGTAAACTTCTCGATCTCGTACTGCGTTGCTAATGGTGACACAGCTCCATTTATGGGCCACAACGCGTTCCTCCGATGGTCGGCCATGCAAGAAGTAGCTGCGCCAGACCCTGATACGGGCATCAAGACGATCTGGGCTGAATGGACGGTGTCTGAGGACTTTGAAATCTCTATGCGTCTGCTCATGGCAGGCTACATTACTCGATGGGCCACTTACTCCAACAATGGCTTCCTGGAAGGAGTTTCGCTCACAGCGCAAGACGAGCTCAACCGATGGCAAAAGTACGCTTTCGGCGTGTCCGAGCTCCTCTTTCACCCTCTTTACCAATGGATCTACAAGGGGCCTTTTACTCATCTCTTCAGCAGTTACGTCACAGCAAAGCAGATTCCCACCCACGCCAAGTTCGGAAGCGCTTCGTACATGTTCTCCTACTACGCCATTGCCGTTGCCTTTCCTCTCACTATCGGTCTGACGCTATGCCAGGCTTGGTTCGCACCTACGTTGGATCACGCATTCATGGAGCCTTTCAAGGTCTGGGTCAGCGTCATGGTCGTATTCTCCGCCCTGGGCAACGTGGCCTACATTATCTGCAAGTATCGAGCTCAAGCCGTAAGCTTTACCACTAGTTTGATCGAACACGTCTCCTGGCTCTTCTTCATGATCGTCTTCTTCAGCGGCGTCTCGTACCACGTCTCTACCGCTCTGATCGCCCACTTGGTTTCCTACGACATGACGTGGGGGTCTACCATCAAGGACCTCGAAGATTCCAATTTCTTCCGAGAGATTCCTGCTATCTTCAAGAAGAATTGGGGTATGCTCGTGCTCTGTCTCCTTATCCTCGCGGGTACGGGGGTCGTCTTTGGTGACGTCTTGCCCATCGAATGGCAGGGTCATGGCGGCTTCTTCGTCTACTGGCCCCTCGTGGCGCTCACTTCTGGTCATGTCCTCTACCACCTCGTCCTTAACCCTCAATTGCTGCGCTTCTCCTTTTAGAGTGTCCATAGATTCCTCTTCGTGTACTATAGTCACTGTCACTCCCTTCATCTTCCTTTTCTCTTCCATGGACGTTTAACTGGACTAGATTGTTTCCCCTAATGTTCATATAATACCCTCAACAATCATCGTTCTTCCTGAAATGTCACTACTTTAGACAGCACACAATGTGACGCGTATCAGCTCCTCGTCGGTATTGTAGCACCCTGCGAAGCGCAGTGGTAGCGAGCGCTATTGGCAAACAATACTCGCCATAGCCAAGGTAGAGGTGGCAAAGAGAGTGCTCGCACCCTCATAGTAGTCACACAGGAGAGACTCACACGATCGAACAATGGGAGGAGCCGAAATCAATTGTAGACTGTTTGTATTCGACTTGGCCCATTTTGGCAAGGTGGCTGGATGGCTGTTTCAAACGGGAAAACGAAGTGACGATATGGCACTGACACGAGTGGGGTGTGACGCATCGCGTGGGCCCTTGATCCTACGGGACCCTCTTTCGTCGAGTCATTTGAGGAGACTGGACAGCTGTCAGCGACGCTGCTGAGAATGGGTGCCAGTCGTGCAAGCCTAGTCCTCTTGACCGTCACCGCTTGTTCGACGCCAAATTGGCTCCTGACCTATCAAGAGATCAAAAACCTCATCGAACTTCTTTATGCTGGTAGGGACGTATCGCTGCAGATCTTCTGGCATACCCGCTCGGAGTTTCGCAATTAGACGCTCCTCACTGGGACATTCATGCATGGAATAGTATCCTGCTAGCTTGGTCGTGAGATAGGTCGTTGCGCTATGCTTCTCGAGGTCCCACTCGATACCATCTGCGAGTTCTTCGGCTTCTTCTTCCGGACGTCGGAAGTATCGTCGCATATCATCCCGAACCGTCTCCCAGCTAGGATGATGGAGACTTGAGGCAGACTTCTTCTGAAGAGCCTTCCAGCGGACCACGAGCCAGGAGGCAGCATCGCCTTTGAGTTTGCAGGGGAGAGCGGTCAGAACGGCGGCTTGCCAAGCAGGGTCCGCGTAGGCATTCATCACGATTTCTGTCTTGGCTTCCCAGGTGCCATACTCGTCTTTGTTGCCGTCGAAGGAGCTGAGCAGCTCGAGATTGAAGGCCGGTGCTGGGTCGAAGGCGGGCTCCTCTGCACCAGGCAGCTTGACCGGAGACTCAGCGATTTCCCGATTAGCCGTAGCGTTGATGCCAGTCGCCGCGTCAACGACTTCCATTGAGGTAAGTGATGGAGGTGGGAACTTCTTCTTCAAAGTGTCGATGGTTTCCGAGGCCAGGACGTGAATGTTGCTCTTGACAAGATCTCTTGGCTCATTCGCACGAGTCGCGGACATATCCAACGCTTCCAAGGAAGCGATGAGTGCCGCACGGCGCTCTTCGAATACCTTGCAGAGACGGTGATGCTGTTCTTCATGAGCAGTCTCATCCATGTTGCCCGTTGTGGTTCCGTCGCTGCAGCTGTCCTCGGATTGCGGCGTCAGGAGAACGTCGTCACTCCCTTGGAACATAGTACAGTAGTCAGCGATTGCCGGTGTCTAGCTCCGTGGACGCTAGGGCGATGTCTCAAGGAGCGATACTGTAGGTAAAGTATAGAACGTCGAGGGGAAGGTAGTGTGGCTCGAATCAGAAGAGGGGGATGTGCCAGATTCCTGACCACAGACCTGGAAACAATCTGCAGCCGTACCAATAGAACGGTGCCTGGGCTCAGGCACCGTTCCTAGTGCGTACCCTATGCGCCCGTGATGTTGCAAAGGGTCGTCTGCGAAAATGTTGAGCACCTCCTCTGCTCGACTCAATACAGCATACATCACATGCCAGTATGGCGAATCTTGCGAGCTATAGAGTTGCATTGCACCAACACGTTGACAAAGACTGCGGCGCTGGTGGACAGGTACAAGGGAAGAACGATAAAAAACAATGACAACAATTTCCTTTGACGCGTGACTGTTCCGCAAAATACAAATGACGAAAGACGAGAGAGATGGTCGGTCCGAACCGACGAGTCATGGGGACAAGGATGATACGTTCAATCGGTCATGGTGCTAGCTCCTCCTCCAAGCTTGTACTGATTTCTGCCCTGACCGCTTCTTCTTTCCGAAGGCATATCGCTTACATTTTCTCCCTGCAGGATTCGTTGAACAAAGTCTCCCAACAAGGGCCAGTCCACGCCCACGGGAAGATCGTGAGGGTCCATGCCTCTCAAGTCGACATCCTCGCCCACGTTGGGAGGATACTGCTGGAAAGTGTTGTACTGCTGACCCTGACCCTGAGATTGAGATTGCGGCTGTTGCTGTTGTTGCTGGTGCTGCTGCTGGTGAGAATCAGAAGGCATTCCATGTGCGAGCCCGCCTCCTGCGGATAACGGTGATGCGGTCGACGCCGAGAGGAGAGCTCCACCCGCGAACATGGCGTTGCCAGATGTGTCGAACCAGGCGCTGTCATCCGGCTTCGGTAGATCGTTGGGCATTGGCACGGCAGCCATGACTGCTTCGTAGTAAGGCTCCGTTGCAAGCGCCGAGGCATCGTGCGGATCTGCCTTTGGAGGGAAGCCAAAGTAACTGTAATTCAACGGGTTGCGCCCAGGCAGAGGACGGTCAGTGATGTTACTCGAGGCCTTGGCACGAGTTGCGCTAAGGAATTGATCGGGAGGACCAGGGAGAGCCGCGATGACTGCATTCTGAGGTTGCCCTTGGTGATCATAGACGAGTCCAGTGGCAGCCTCACTGCCCTGCGCCTGACCCTGCTGTTGTCCCGGGTCGTAGCGAGACTGGGAAGAAGAGGCAAAGGTACCGTGCGCGTAATTGAGCTGTGGTGCTGCATTGCGGCTATAAGACGTGCTATTATCACCGGGGGCGGAGGGGACGGGAGAGGCTAGACGAGGAGGAGCGGCGTGATCCTCTGCAGGCTTGCTCGACTGTCCATGTGGAGCCTCAGGTTCTGCGCGCTCCGATTGGGAAGAGGACCTCTGACTGCTGCTTGAAGTGAGCTTCTTCTGGAACATCTCTGGGATAGCGGCAATCTCTCTCACGGCTGCACAGTAGCGCTCCGCTTGCTCGGACACGTTTCCTAGGGCCTGGTTCTTTGCCAAGTAATCCAACACGGCCAAAGCCTTCTGAAAGGCAGGACGACAGATGCTAGAGTATGCCGTTTGAGTAGAGAACTGACTCGCGAGCACGGCGCCCGCATTGAAACTGTAGTACGAGATAATACCCAAGAGGAGATGAGGAGGTGCTGGCCTACACATGATAGCCTGGTGGCAAAGGTGAACCAAACGAGCCGACGCTTCTAGACAGATCCGTAGACTAGAGACTGCCTGCGCATCGTTGTCGACACAGCCAGACCCTACCTCACAGGCAGGGCGGTGGACGTTGAGCAAGCCTTGGAGCTTCTGGATCCGGATAAGGAAGATCGACCATCGGAATGCCTGGGCCTCTTCGTCGGTCTCGTCGCCGAAATCTTTTCTGTCTCCGCTGTCACTTTCATTGAAGCCTGGCCGGTACGCTGAGTCGGACGAGTTGGTCTCTCTTGACAGCTTCTGTAATTCCTTTGGCATTCCAGCAACCCAGAGCTTGTAGATCTCGCTCAGCCCCTTGACAATGTCGTTGGGCTGCAGGTTCAGGAGGAATACCTTTCCGCTGTGCTGCAAGAACAGCTGGGCCACGTGTAGTTGAGTCACCAGCGAGTAGAAGCGCTTGCGAGTCATAGGGATCAACGATGCCCGCGCATGTTGCTCCGCAACAATATCGTAGTTGGTAGGCAGCTCGGTGTCTACTGTCCCTGGGGTGATAAGAGAAGGCTGTCCGATACGATGAGAGTGGAAAGTCTCGAGGAAGGCCACGTTCCACCAGGTGCTTCGCCGCACTTGCACTTCGTAAGGACCCATTCCCACATTCTTCCAATGTAGAGGGTCGCGGTGCAAGCCAGCTGCGTATGCTAGACGCAATGCGGAAGCTATGCAAATGGCCGCATACTGCAAGTGGCATTCTCCGATGTGCCAAAGGGTTCTGAGCACCTCTGCTCTGACCACATCCAACGGAGACGCATATGTGCTGTTCCACGATGAGGGACAAACAATCGTGAGGGAGCTGATACATTTTCCAGCTGTCTCGAGAAGGACGCGCTCGGAAGAGAGATAGGGCAGGTACTTGTCATTGCTTGTGGGAACGGGCGTTGACCCCGCTTGTGAGCCTTCGGGGGCATTGGCCGAGTCTCTTGTCCTTTTAGCTTGGCTGGCAAGGGCAAGGATGGTGAGAACAAGTGGTGCAAGTGGAGCATCAGATTCTACCGGGAGAGTGACAGGATTTGAGTGCCACCAGTCGAGGAAGCCGCCAATACGAGATCGGTTGAGATCGATGAGCACGATAAAGTTGAACAATTCCACGTCCTGCTTGTAGATGTCCAGCAGATGCTGCACCTGTTGTCGCGTCGGCAGTACCAAGTGATCTCTTCTCAGGTCTTGAACCTCATTCTCCGCAAACAGAACCTCTGCGACCGCTGCTGCTCTTGCGGCTTCGACTCTCTTTTCGAAGTCAAGAGTCCTGTCTCTGGCAGCTGTGAATAGTCTCGCGAGGTTTTCTCGCCTCTGCGTCAGGAATTCGGAATCTTGATGGCTGCAGGTTGAGTGTCCACCACTAGAAGAGGCCGCACGAGGAGGATCTCTCTGCTCGGTATCAGATGGACCAATCGAGGAAACCTTGGGTTTTTTCGTATCTTGGGGACTGGCAGACACAGCACCATCCAGATCTTCGTTCTTTGCATAGACACACTGTCTCCCATCGTCTATGCATTTCTGACAGATGGGGTGGGTTCGATCACACTGCGGAAACACACGCAAGGCAAGCATCAGATATTGTCGTTCGCTCCACATCTAGTGCTGGAGCCGGAACTCACCTTTTGCTTCCTCTCACGGCATGGCAAGCAAGAGGTGATCTTTCGATTCCTCGTGATCTTAGTGCCGGTCTTTGCCCTCTTCCTCTTCGGCGGTGAGCCGCCGTCTGTAGCGCTGTCCTCGTCCTTGATATGGTAGGCTCTTGGTTCGCTTCCTCGTGTACCAGAAGGACCTGCGCCTCGAGCGTCATGAGGGCTGTAGGGCAATTCGGGCCGCATGATGCTTGGAGAAGAGCTGTACGAAGGCTCTGACTGACGCAGCCCCAAGCTGTCGTACTGTGGCCCACTGAACAGAGGTGGTAGTCTAGGACCAAAGGGTGGGATCAATCCAGATGGCGGAACCAATCGTCTGGATTGAGGCGCAGAGGACGATGTAGCCCCGTGCGGAGGAAAGGGCGCAGTCGGAGAGGGAGGTGGCAGATGTGTATAGCCGGGGCGTGCAGGCGCTTGACCACCGCTAGACGAGCTTGATGGAGTGGGAGGCTGCGCAGGATGGAAGAAGCGCTCCCGGGGATTGTACGACCTGGGGGCGCTCGGCGTAGGCGAAGGCAGTCGAGGAGGTGGATAGGGCCCACCGCTGAAGGCTGAGGGAGATGAGACAGATGCAACAGCCGACTCCTCCGCGAAGGTATGGTATTGCGGCTGAGGTCTGTACGTGTCCATCCTTGAATAGTGGGGATTTGTCATTGGGCCGAAGGGAGGCAAGTCCTTTTGCTTGGTTCCACTAGACGTGAAACACTAGTTGCTCCACCGAACCGAGGGTCATTGACGAATCAAGAGGGAAGAGGGAGGCCAATACAAGACAAACAGAAGACGAGGATGACCCTCAAGGGCTAACCGGCAATGGCCGTAAGAGAGGAGGGAAGTGCCGAGGGAATTGTGGTCCCGTGCAGTGCTGAGAAACCTTGCAGCAGGTGAGACGCGAGCGCGTGGCAGGTTCACTAATCAAGGCCAAGGACGCAGCAGAGGAGCCCGTCTTTCCCTGACGCAGACGAGGAGGTCAATGGAAGCGACGAAGCGTCCCTGGGAGAAAGGACCTGGAGCTGAGCAAAACAGAAGACTTGCAAGAGGTAGGTAGAAGCATCGGCGTCTGGCAATTGGCAAATATATTGTGGCGCCGACGACGGGCAATCATTGAACGGAAGTGGGCACGACGGTGCGGAGAATCCTGCGACAAAGCCACGCCCATTATGCAACGGGGTCCATACCAGTCTTCAAAGCCACACGCCTCTTGGTGTACTAGACTACAAGGTTTCCCCGTTAGAGATAGCAGCCCCGGCGAGGGCACAGACACTGGGAAAGACTCACGGGTGCCCAGCCAACAAGATTCCCGAGGATAAGCCGTGGCTTCTACCCCGCGATTATCATCCAGACGGCGCTCAGGCGGGTGACATGCACGACTCTGGGTGGCTGACGCACCAGCGGGGCTGCAGAGGTTCAGCGCGGACTCCGCGGGCAACAAGCCTGTCACGCAGCTCGGCGAGGCGGGGGGTAGCCTCGACGAGATTCCTGACACTCCTGTCACCCTCCTTCGCCTGATCCTTGTCTCGCACGACATCGGACACTTCTATATCCGCACTTGCTCTCTTCCACGCTGACTTTGATTGCCCCGTCCAAAAGACCTCTGCAGCAGCTGCACTTCTTGGCCAAATTAGACCATCCGCGTTGGCTGCGTCGCTCTGTTCGCTCCAGAGTGCAGCTTCGCCTCCAATGACCCTGTGCACAGTTGTCTCGGATGTACCTTCCGTGGGATCAAAAGTGTACATCTTGCCCCAGGGAACATACTCGCACCACGCAGCTGCTGTAGTGTTCGTCAGCCATGACCCGCGCCCACAGTCCAGGTAGAAGTGTGTGTATGGCGCATGCAGGAGTTTGACGCCTTCATTGGCTGTCAAGATTGCAGCCACGTTATCAGGCGTAGTCCATGCCTCGACAATTGTGCCAGGCAGCAAGGCTTTCCCAGTCTCGGGAAAGTTGAGAGCAGCTTCTTCCCAGACCATGGCCGTCTTGCCGTGCCTTTTCAGAACCGCGTGAGCTTTGCTGACGAAGGGTTTGAGAAGGCTCTCATCGATGTCGCTGTTATTAGCCACGTTGTAGCATGCCAGGTTGACTTCGTCATTACCCGTCGAGACGTATGGACTCGGAAACATCTTCGAGATAGCAGTGAGAAGCTTGCCGACGTAGTCATGGACTTTGTAGTTGCTCAGATCGAGCTGTCCAGAGGGAGGCTCGTTGGCATACACAGACCATGGCGATATGTCTGGACATGACAACAGAGAGGAGTCGAACTCATTTACCCCTGCGTAGGTATGTCCAGGCATGTCGATTTCTACGTTGACATTGATCCCTCTCTCAGCGGCATACTGGACCAAGTCGGCAACATCGGCCGCCGAGTACACTTCATGGGCACTGTAAGCCCCTGCTTTGCTCAATTTTGCCAGATCATCGGGCAGCTCTAGTGGGAACGATTGGCTGTCTACGATGTGCCAATGGAACTGATTCATCTTGACAAAAGCCATTGCATCGAGCTGATGCTTGAGTGCGGCAATTGGGCTGGCATAAGCAGGGAGGAAGCGACATGAGACTTCTACGCAGCGGAAAAGGGCAGATGCGGCTATGAGACTCACTAGTAGTTGCGGGCAGTGTCTATTAAGAGGCCTCGGTATGGATAAGCTGGCTCGTCCTTGATCTGTGAAAAAGAGACAGAAGGTACGTCAGGCATTTCGCCCGTTCCCCAGGGCGCCGACATCACCATGTTGCAACTTACCTTCACGGGCGTATTAGGAATCGCAAGAGCGTGACCGTCCCAAGCGTACACCAGATGCTCAAGAGTTGTGAGACCCCTGAAGACTCCAAGAGCCGACGCAGCTCCAATGGTGATCCTCCCCTCTTGCGGGACCATCAAGTGATACTTCTCATCCAACTCTTCGAGCTTCTGGATTGATTCGGCGGCTATATTCGACAGGCCAGTCCGGTTCCCTTTGCCCAGATAAGATTGCTTTGCTCCTCTCTTTCCAATTCCTTGCTCCTGCTTGTGTCCCCAAGGAGCGACCTGGAGGTGCACCTCCAAAACCTGCTCCCCTTTGCCTGTCGAGCTCGGTCTGTGCAAATGGCTAGGCAAGGAGTGGCGGGCGATGTTGTCCATTGTTCTGGCAAAGGCTTCTTGGACGTCTGGAGGCAGAGCCACATTGGAGGTGAGCTTGAGCTTGGAGGGGTCTAGACTGCGCGAGATCGCGCCTTCGCTCAGCCAAGTTGGGTGAGGCCAGATAGCTTTGACTGGCCGGGCATCAAAGAGGCAGAAGAGGAGGATTGCGAACGATAGGGCCCCAATCATCGCTGATAGCGGTGTAGGTCGCTTGTGAGCCACCATACTTTGGCCTAGGAGAAGAATGTAGAGTATGCAAGAGGACGAGAATGGGCAAAAGTGTATGCATATCCAGGGATAGTTTCTCACCGTCTCTCCAGTAGCTCACTCTGAGGTCTGATCATACCCCCTGACTGCCTGTCGATCAGAAGAGCTGCATCGTGTTGCACAGATCGCAGTACGGGAGCATCCCGACATTAGGGTAGCCCCCTATCCGCAAGGAGGACCCTGATTCACGCACGCACGGTGTCCCTCCACACGAAACAGCGGAACGGAAGTGGGGAGAGCAGTGGCAGATCGGCACCTCGTAGATGCGGGGGAAGCAAAAGACGGTCATTGTGTGCAGTCAAATATCCATTGCATGCAAAAGTGACTCTACCGGAGGCCTATAACGGCTGTACAATTGGTGAGTACCACGACGGCTACGGTTGTGCGGCCTCCCCAGCTACATCTGCCACAGCCTCTGCTTCAGCTGGTGCGCCCTGCTCCTCCGACACTTCAGTCTTGAGCATTTGTGCCTTGTCAGCTCCCTCTTCAGCAGCAGCAGTGTCAACCTCGTCTGCGAGCTCAGCAGGCGGTGCAGCTGTGCTGACGGCACCCTTGTTCGACTCCAGCTTCATTCGAGCATTGGTGGAGACGTCTTTGCCGAAGATGCGGCAAGAGAGGGCACTGCAGAAAGGCGTAGAAGGGAGAGCGAGGTGATGCTGTTGTCAGTTACGAGAAATACTCCTACAACGACTTGACTTATCAGGGTTGACAACTCACCTCCTGTCGGCCTTGTCGAGCATCAGGTTCACGGAAGCACCGGCCCTCCAAATTGGAAGATCGATCCCCTCTTTCAGTACAATGCTCTCGTGCTCGCTGGGAGCCACGTCCATCACATGGCTTCCCATCTTCCGGTCCTTCAGCGTCTCCTTGAAGTCGCCTGCAGGAATTCGGTCAAAGATTGGGTAGTATTCCGACAAGAGGAAGGCCAGATCTGTCAGCGTGGCAGCAATGACCGAAGTAGAAGCCAAGTACGGTCGAATGGGAGGAAGAGCGTCACCGATGATTCGCCATTTGCACTCCAAATCGCCGCTCTTGTTTGACTCCTGCCTTGCGAATGCCTTTGTGCCAGCATTGAGCAGACGCAGCTTGACTGGATTGAAGTGACGATGCACTCCCATTCCTTGCCCACCACCTGTGATGAGGCCTCGCACAGCTGTACTAGCGAGGTAAATTGTCCTGAGCGGGTTGGCCTCGGCGTTTCTCACTATGAGATTGCGGGAGGGGAAATTTAAAGAGAGTCCAAAGAACTTGTGTATGCTGATGACCTGCTCGTTCGTGATCGGGATGAACTCGAACGGATCTTCCTTGTACGGTGTGCCCCCTGGCAGACCATAACCACTGTCGGTCTCGCGCTGCTTCTGCTTAGACGACTGGCGCTCGGCAGTGGCAGGGGCGCTAGAGGTGGTCTCAGGGGTAGCATCTTTTTGCTGCTGATCGACTTTCGATGATGACGCAGCCTCTGCTGCCGGAGTACCGGGCTCCGTCACTTGCTGGACCTCATCCACCTTTGCCTTCTTCGCTCCCCCTTCCTCCTGACCTTCGGTATCATCAGCAGGAGACAGAGCGCGCTTGCTAGATGCTCCGTATGATGGTCCTGCTGCCCCATTGTCCATCGCTTCGACTGCACGTGCAATACCTGCCGACTGACTCTCGACATCTGCTGCACCCTTCTTCTCCAGAACGGCAATGAAGAAGCCACCAGTGTTTTGGTAGTGTGGGTACACTCTCATGCAGCGTTCGAGACCGAGCTCGGCCTCATCTCCTGCTGGCCAAAGGGACTTGGGCACTCTATTGGCCATCGATGGGTCGAGCTCCTTCAGACGCTGCCAGCTGTCCACCCATGGTACGGCAGGTAGGGTCTGCCTGTATCCGGGTGATTCAGCAGTGGGCTCAGGACCTTTCTCCGCTGTTGTATCGTCTCGATGTGTGGTTTGCTCTGGAGCGTTGAAGGCGGCATCTTCGTCTTCTTCCGCAGGCTCTCCTGCTGTTGCTGCTTTGTCTGCTTTGGCAGACTTGGGCTCTTGCTTGGGCTGCATGTTGTTGGCGCTTCCATCGAACAGATGCCTTCCTTTTCCGGGGCAGACCTTCCATGTAGTCAGACCCTTAGCCCTCTTGAGCTCAGGGATCTGATTCGAGACGTCGACCAGGCGAATGTTTCCATCCTTGCCTCCACATTCTCTTATAGCTGCAGCGATTACGGCCTCATTCTCAAGGGGGTTCAGGGAGCAAGTCGAGTAGACCATCCTGCCTCCGGGACGGAGAGATCCAAGACCTTTCAGCAAAATGCGGAGTTGGAGAGGATGAAGGCCTTGCCCGTTTGTAGTGGTCCACTCCTTCCAAATTGCGACATTCTTTCTGAGAGTACCGTCACCCGAGCAGGGGACATCTCCCAGAATCCGATCGAACTTCAGATCCTTGACTACCACTGAACTCGAAGGGTCTTGGCCCTTCCACGGTACCTGTATCTTAGGCCAAGCTCCGGCGTCGACGTTGGTCACGCAGAGATTGGGCGATGGCAGTCTTGTAGCTTGGTGTACCAGCATGTATGCTCGCTTAACGTCGGAATCATTTGCCATGATCAGGCCAGGCGGGCACGGATCGGAATGCTCCGGCGAAGAGGTCATGGGGCTGTGAAGAGCTTCAATCAGCTGAGCAGTCTTGGATCCGGGGGCGGCGCACATGTCGAGGACGAGATGATGAGGCTGCACGTCCAGGAAGAGGGGTGGGATCATTGAGACGGCTTCTTGTCGCGAGAGAGATCCCTGACAGATCGAATTTGATGAGCAGTGAAAGGAGTCAGCAAGTGTCACCGGGACGTGATCCTGAATCCTGCCTCCGGACTCACGACTGCTGTCTCATTGACCAGGAACTTTTGGAAATTTTGGAAATCAGGCTGTTTCCTGAGCACCGACTTGCGAACATCTACCTGCCAAGCCAGCCCTTCGGGATACCAGCTGAGAGGCTGAGGTGGTTTCACTGGCTCACCCTCGAATTCGACACCGGACAGTTCAGGAACAAACCTCTCTTGCATCTGAGTAATGAGCTGACGAGTGGTTGTCTTGCCAGCTGTGAAGCGGAAGGTGGTGGGCAGCGACTGGCGGAAAGCGTCCATGAATGCTTCCCACTCTTCTTGCGGCACGATGCCTTGGTCCATATAGTATGCCTCGAAGCGCTTGTTGTTCATGTCGAGCGTAGACCAGCCATCGTTGCCCTTCTGCTGCTGCTGATTTGCTTGTCCACCTTGTCCGCCCGGTGCCTTTCTCTTACCGCCTTTTCCCCAATTCTTACCCCCGCCGCCTCCTCCGCCGGGCGCCCTCTTCTTAGTCCTGGACATGGCTCAATTGAATGATGATGATAGCGACTATTGAGGTACGCAAGAAGTGGGGTGAATGTATGCGGAATGGAGATGCAGCTTGGCAGTAATGGTTGGTCGTCCGAACATCTTCTCGCCTTTGCAGCAAATCAAAAATCGGGCGGGGAAGCGGAGTGCCAATTCCATCGGCTGAACAAGATGGAGCGGAGCATCAGCCGACTGAGGCAGGCGACGACGACGACGCCGACATTGAGTCTACCACCACCACCATCACCCGTACCACTCCACACCATCATTGCTGATACCAGGAGCTCGTAGACTGTAGACGACTTCGCGTAACCACTCCAGCCGTACGTCTCAATGGCGCTCGCATCCTCCTAGGCGCATCTTTGCACATCCCTCCACCGCGCTGCCATCGCTATCACCTCAAGTCAGCGAGGCTGCAACAGAAAGCACGCGATCACCTCCTAAGACAGCCTTCCATATCCCTCCTCCATACTTTTCAAGAATCCGCAACACTGTACAATTGATACTTGTCTGAGCTCGAGACCTAAGCTATGACACCTGGGCCGTCCGCGCCCGCCCCTGGCCCATCCAGCCTGGCGGACAATGGCGACCCATCGGCGGCTCCCTCTTCCTCGGTGGCATCCTCGTCATCGCCACGCCTGCAGCGCCAGCGGTCCAGGTCAACAAGACAAGACCCAATCGTTCCTGAATTACTGCCGCCAACATCCGATCACAACGCCGACTTGAAGCATTGCGCCGCTTGTGGTCAGCAGCTCGACCCAATAGCTGCCGATGCTCTGCCCGCTCCGGCTGCCGCAACACGAGTCATCAATGTTGGCAGCCACGCATTCGAGGTACCAGTCACCGGCCATGCACCTCAAGTTGCTTCCGGAAGTGCTAGCGACGTCGTTGTGCCTGCCAACCTCACGACCGAGGATGGGCGCCCGATATGCCAAGCATGCTCAGAAGCGTACCCGGCGCTACTACGCTCTGCTCGCCCCGATCCCGAGAATGCGATGGACGTTGATACAGATGGAAATCTTGCGGATCAAGTTCCAAGGTCAGGTCTGGACGGTGACTTGCATATGCCATCTACTTCTGCCATACCATCTCGTATTGACTCTCCACGCGAACCTCTCACGTGGGAAACGGCAGCTGCGACAAGCCGAGGCGCAAACAATGATGGTGGCGCTTCGTCGAATGCCATCAGGAACGACACTGCGCTCTCCATTTCCATTGCAGGTGGCTCTCGCAGTGGGATCGGGTCTATGTCGAGGAATACTGCCGAAGATGCATCAAGCGCTGCCCAGGCCGAGGCTCGGAGGCGCTCCTCCCCTTCGAGAGGCAGAGAGCTTGTCGCTTCCGGTCCGGTAGCCGAATCGGCTCTGATGGGAAGGACCCGCGATGACAGCTTCTCTCGAAGTCAACGCAGCCCTACTCTCCAAGTTTTCTCTACCAGAGGCTCCACCTCCGATGCTGAGATGCCTGTGGTTTGCGTACCCGCGACGAGGAATTCTGACGGAGAGCCTAGAGCCGGGTCTGGCCATAGAGGGACATCGTTGCCAGCGCTTGCTAGTGGCAACAATGCGCCGAGATATGCGCAAGATTTCACCCATGACGACAATGTCGCAGGTCCTTCTGCCATGACCCGGCCTCGTCTGTCAACGACTTCTGGCTCAGATCATCACCCAGCGCGATCGACGACGATGTCTCGCAGCTCCTCAGCGGCTCGCTCTGGATTGACCGATATCGCTTCTATGGTGCGGCAACGTGAGCCTCTGTGGTCTTCGAAGCTACTCTGGTTCCAGCCTGAGCGTCCTGATCCAATGGCAGATATTTCGAGGATACGAATGCCGCCCAAGGGACGGGGGTGTCTATACCCGGGCTCGATCTACAACGGGACGCAAAAGTCCGGCAGACTTTCCTACGAGGTGACAGTAGAGATCCTCAATATTGATCTGAACAATTCTCACCTCGAGGGCTATCTCAATATCCGTGGTCTGACAGAGGATTGGCCAGAATTGACGACCTTTTTCACAGCAGAGATCATCGGCAAAGACCATGGCTTTGTCACTGGGCGCTGGGGAGCCACAGAGGCGGACGACATGAAGCACTGGAATCGCTTCGGCCCTTTTAAGACGCTACATCGCTCGCTACCAGAGGACAAGATGAGGTTCAACCACCTCAATAAGCCCTTTGTGTTCATGCGATGGAAGGAGCGGTTCTTGGTACCCGACTGGCGAGTGAGGGATATTAGCGGGGCATCGTTTGCCGGCTTTTACTACGTCTGTGCTTGGCTGGGAGATCCTTCTGAATGGATAGGCGGCAGCGTCGAGCCTTCCTCGACTCGCTTCTCGGCCACTGCATCTCCTTTCGTCCCAACTACTTCGACGTCTTCTAGTGCCCCACCAGAGCGCACGACGACGGGCGATGAAAGAGGTAGCCCGCGGACGCGAACGCCAGTCAGCCGAAGACGACTTGGCAGTCAGAACACTCCAGTTGGCGGCTTCATTTCGAACGATTCCGAAGGGGCTACGGGGACCTCGCGCCGCATCTCCACGCCTATCCAGGACATCGTCCGAGCAAACGCCATGCAATCCTCCCCATCGTCATCGCAGAGCGCCGCCGCCCTCGCCAGGTCTGACAGTCGGACTGCCCTCGAGAATGAGCTTCTGGAAAGGGAAGTCTTCTGGCGCAGTAGACGACTGGGGCTCGGGATCGACGAGGCCAATTCGACTTCGGAGCAGGCTGCTGCTGCTGCTGCTACTCGAGCACAAAGTGGCGAGCGCCCTCGGACCCAGTTTGGCAGAGGCAACATCACCGTCGATGTGCTCATGACAGACGTCCCAAGCAGCACTGCTGCTCCAGGCAGCACGACCGGTGAGGGAGATGCAGCCCCTGTTCGTGGTCCCGGAGCAAGGTCAGGTGCAGACGAGGCAACCCCAGTCTCTACGACGATGGACAGTGGGCGCATCTCGGCCTTCTACTATCACGAAAACTCCGAGCCGTACCAGCAGCTCGACCTGCGACATGTCGAGAAGAGGAGCTCAGAGGCCTTTGAGATGCGCTAGGTCGGTCGGTACAATGGCCCGCCGCGGAGCGAACCTACTCCCCGCTTGAGTTGCGCTGCTACCTTTTCTTGCGCTCCATTACTCTGTTCCTGCCTGTTCTATATTCTTATGTTTGACCATTCCACTGTAAACTTGATGTACCACCGCGCTGCGCTTGCTGCCTTCCCTCGTTCTTCTGGCCTCTCTATCATACTGCTATTTTATCCTCCTCGCCCGAATTTAACGTACTGCCTACTCTTGGTCTCTCGAATCTGATGGTAGCGCTACCGTCCCTTCAACTGTCAATGCCGATGTCATGTGGCTTTTAAACAGACTATGTCCCTGTGTTGCGTGAGTGATACTGTACAAGTACAATGCAGGCCGTCTCGCTGCGGTCCTTCTGTCCTCCGTCCCTCCCTGTGCCCTCCATCCCACGCACGTGCTCGAATGCCCGCTTCACCACGCCTCGCCGCCAGATCACTGCAAGCTCTTGAGCAGCTTGAGGGTCAAGTTGAGCAGCTGCAACTCCTCGTCTGCTCCGTCTACGAGCGCCTTGTCTGCCTCTCCAAAGGCAAGTGCACATTTGGCCTTGTTCTTTGCGGGCAGCGTGGGATGCTCGATGATGTAGTCGTGTAGCTGAAGATTGACAAAGAGGAACGGAGGGCGGGGTAAGGAGTCAGCGTTAATGCGCAAGGACTCTGAAGTCTTCGCGACTCACCTGGATCAGCAGCTGGGAAGCCGAATAGCCCTCCATGGCCACCTTCTTCGTCACTCTGTGACATGCCTCGAAGCTCCCCTTGACAGCATCCCCCATTGCCTCCTCCATGACCCGATCTCCCTCTGCATCGGGTGGCGGCTCCAACCCAGCAGCTTTACCGATCTCAACGATGACCTCGGGCGGAATCACACCAGCAATCTCCACGATACTCGCCGGCGTGATAGCAGAGCGCTGCGAGTTCGAGGTATTATGAAGCCGTGCGGCGGACTGGAGGTAGGTGATAGCTCTGCGCAGATCTCCGTCTGACGTCTTGATGAGGGTGTCCAAGACGCCTTCCTCAAACTTGACGCCCTCTGTGTTGGCGATGAGCTCAAGGCGGTCCTTTGTACTCGTTGTGTCGAGCATCCTGAAGCGGAACTTGCTGCAACGAGATGCGAGCGGCTCGATGATTCTGGAAAAAAGGATCATGAGCCGAGTCAGTATGGATGAACTCTGTTGGTTGTTTCACGATTCCAGAAGAACCTGCTCACCTTGTCACGTAGTTGCATACCAGACAGAATCTCGTAATTCTACTATACTGCTCCATGATCCTCCTGAGGGCACTTTGTGCGTCCTGCGTCATACTGTCTGCCTCGTCGAGGATGATGATCTTATACGGCGGACATGGGAAGTCGACATCCGCATTGCTTACAGCAATCTTTGCAAAGTTCTTGATCTTTTCTCGTACGACGGAGATTCCTCGTTCGTCGGAAGCATTGAGCTCGAGCACTCGAGACTTCATGAGCTCAGGGCTTGGGGGGATTGGGATGATGGGCTGAGGTCAGCTTCAGTCAAGCATGACAGTTAGCAGTCTGCCGGTGGGCTCACCCAAATAGCTGTCGCGCTAGTGCGAGAATGGTGGAAGTCTTTCCTGTCCCAGGTGGGCCGTAGAAGAGCATGTGTGGCAGCTGCATGGAAGAGACAAAGGTGAGCGTCCGCACTGTCTTGTCAAGGCATCTTTGTCGCAATTGTGCTCACATTGCTGGACATGAGCGTCTTCCTCAGTACATTGACCGTATGGTCCTGAGCTGTGACATCTTCGATGCTCTTTGGCCGACTGTAGCGTAGCGTGGGAGGAGAGCGGGCAGCTTGGTCAATGTCTCATGTGCGTCTGCCATGCGCCTGGTCTTATGTACTCACTATTTCTCCACCCATGGTCTGTTGGCTGCTGCGAGTGCTGCCTTCTCTGGGTCCTTTGTAGACTTGCTCTTCTGCCGTGGCAAGAACATGTTGTGGGTATATATGCGCTCAGCGACGGTGACGATGGTCAAGGTGGAGTCGTCCTCGGCGAGGTGGTGCTGATGGAGCAGCGTACGAAGGACGTTGGTCGGAGTGTGAAAGTGCGCGCCTGGAAATGGCCGTGCCAGTTGCCATTTCACTTTTCGCGACGTGGACGTGACGCTTCTTCCGTCGAGGCGCAAGCGCACACCAGGAACAGACAGACAGACACGCTCACGCCTCGCCTCGCCTCAAAACCCCTGTCACTTGATACTCAACACCATACTCATCCATCAAAGACTCAAGACTGGCCACCATCATCATACATACACACACATACTCAGCGAGGCGGCTCTCACACCCCGCCCCATGAGTCAGGTACTCTCACAATACCCAATCGTGGACAGGGACCTCAATCGCCTCGCCCACCACAACCACACAATGGGCACTGGCGACGCCGAGGAAGCCCACGCACCCTCGACGCCAACACGAGGCAAGAGGAAGGCAGACGAGGTAGCAGCAGAGCCTGTCAGCAGCCAGAATGGTACCCAAGATGCACCCTGGGAGATCACCACGCCCGAGAGACCAAAGGCGACAGAGTCTACCAATAAGCAACAGCAAACGCAACAGCAGCCAAAGGTCAAGAAGGCAAAGCAGGCAGGTGAGTACAGAGCTCAGTCATCGCTGCAGGCTTGAGTGTAGACAGTGCGGCGCTGAACCAGAGAGAGCTGACACTTTGCTTGCACTTCCACGATCACAGCTGAGCCAGTGCAAATCAGGAATGGCAAGCTCATCCTGAAGCAGAAGGCCAAGAGTTTCCTCGACGAGATCTCAGTCCTGCTAGGTGAGGTGACACAGGGGAAAATTTGAACCACAAATCTGTTATCTTCGTGCAGGCCAACTGACACACACTTCGATTCCCTTTGCCAGGACTCACTGAGCTCAAGCGCTTCTGTCAGACACAGAAGGAACCTATTTCACAGCTGCCAGACGAACATCTAGGCGTCATCGCCAAGTTCGCGCAAGAAAATGACAAGGCTAGTGCTGAGCTTTCGAAGTTCATCAAGCAGAGAGTCATGGGGTCACAAGATGGTCAGGCCGAAATCGACGTCCTCCCGCTAGACACAATTGAGAGTGCGCTTTCTCGTATTGCGCAAAGAGTCAACTACGGCTTGGACGCTTCCGATGTAGCCTCCTCTTCTACCTCTGCCAGCGATTCCGATGATCTGCCTGCTGGGCTGCAGCTGTGGAGATGGGAGGTGACGGACTCTTCACTGCTCCAAGGCGAACGACTCTCTGAGATCTTGGCCCGCCGAGAGGAACGCATCGCGGCACGAGCGCGAGCAGTAGAGATCTTCCAGGCCTTGTCAGTGGTGGGGCGAGAAGCTCTGCTGAGCAGCAAGAAGAAGACTTCTGCCAAGGCATCAAAAGTTAAAGCCTTGGAGGCAGCCGGACAGACAGATGAAGCGATGTCTGACGTCAAGGACGAGCTGGCAGATGCTGCCGGTAGTTCCACCGCAACAATTGTGCAAGATGGCGAGACATCAGCAGCTGGAGCAGACAGGATGACTCTCGACGTGGCCGACAATAAGAGTCCGCCTGCTTCCGCCAAAAAGAGGCGAAGCGTCTCCATCCCTCGAGACAGCCGAAGCCCAGAACGGGGACTTGTTGATTTGGCCAAAGCAAGCAAGAAGAAGGTCGAGGTGAGCAATGCGTGTGTCTGCACTGAGATGTTGATTGACAGCAGCCGACTGACCCTCAAAGCTCGTCTTTTGCCTTTCACAGGAACTGTCGCCAGAGGAGCAAGCAGAGAAAGAACGTAAAGAAGCGGAGAGGGAAGAGAGGAGGAAGCAGAAGGAAGCCAAAGAGGCCAAGAAGCAGAAGCAGCTTGAGCAGACAAAGAAGGCCGCCAGTATGATGTCTGGCTTCTTTGGGAGGGCGGCCTCACCCAGCAAGGAGATGAAGGCTTCTGCTACACAAGTCTCTCCCGTGACATTGGTAGTGTCAGACTTCGAACGCACCTTTGTGCCCATCGTCTACAAGAACGTCGCTCCTGTCAATCGACTTGCGACAGATGCTTCCCCTGCATCTATTGACGAGGCTCTAACATCTTCGCGAAGTCTGAGTAAGGAGGAACTTCTCGCTCTCACGGTCTGCAAGACCATGCCACGGAAGCGTTCTACCACTGGCCCGCGCACACGTCTTAGCGTCAGAGACACCATGAGGATGGTGGCTGAGTCTGATCTGATGACGACGGCCGCTCAAGCCGAAGCCCACGATGCTCTGGAGACGCTCAAGGATCGTCGCAGCCGCAAAGCCGTCCCAGTCAAGCTTTTGCAGTTCGCGACTGATATGAGGCCAGCATACTTTGGTACTTGGACCCGACCGTCCAATCTGATCTCTGGCCGACGGCCTCTCAGACAAGACCCGGTAGCTCTTGACTACAATTATGACTCTGATGCCGAGTGGCAAGACGGCGGGGACGGAGAGGACGATGCAAAGGGTGAGGAGGTGGGCGATGATAACGACGATTTGGAAGATGCGATGTCTGGGTCGGAAGACGAGTCCGAGATGGCGGACTGGCTGGTAGATGATCTTGAAGAGGATGAAGAGGGCGGAGATATCGACGATGCCATGAGCGATATCATCGAGGTAGACCCACTGGGCAACCCTCTCTCGCCCGTTCTAGGTCGAAGTCTCGCGAATGGCAAGCTGAGCAGTGCCAAAAAGAATTCTGACGTTGCGAGCACTGGTACCCCTCAATTCAAGGCTGCTGGTCCTCCTACTGGCAATGCCCCCAAACGGACTCTGCCCCTGCCCTTTGCAGGTGCGAAGAAGAAAAAGAAGAAGGTCAAGACGGCGAAGAAGTTCACCTCAAAGCTAACGCCTCTCACGATCGGACCACACTGGTCAACTGCTCTTGGTGAAGAGGCCCATCCTGCCTTCGCCGAGTACCAAATGGAGTTCCTCAACGATGCTTACGTCGGTCTGGACCCCTTCACCTTCATCAGCAAGGACCTCTCTGCCGTTGCTCCACCAGCCGAGCCTGTCGCGCCAGTAGCTGCGCCAGCTATTCCCAAGCCTCACGGGTCCCCTATGCGAGGCACCAAGTTCGGTTCTGGCCTCAAAGGCCCCAGCCATTCTGCCAACACGAGCCCGCAGAAGAATAGCCTCCACGCGTTCCTGAACGGCGGCGCTGTGGCAGATGGCGCAGACGCGCCGCTGTCAGCTGTCGGCAGTGCGACCGCCAGCACCTCTTCGACGCCCATAGCTGCACCCGCCACCGGCTCGGGAGGCAAGTCTGGTCCCCTGGTCCCCGACGAGCATCTAGCGGCAGTCCTGCAGGCCGTCGAGGGGAGCACCGACACCAAGATGTTCCTCCTGGAGAAGCTCGCGGCGCAGTACAAGGAGGTGCGCTCCGTGACCAAGGTCGCCATTTCCAATACATTGGGACTCGCGGCGGAGAAAGCTGGAGCGAAGAGGGGTGGGACTTGGAGGGTCAAGGATGAGTGGAGGGCTAGGGCGGGATTGGCTTGACGAGTAGCGGTACATGCTCGAGGGGAAGAAGCCGAGCCCTTCATCACAGCAGCATCGCAGGGATCAGAGAGAAAGTGTCCAATCATTCTTCAATCCCATCATCAGATTTGTATCATGACCACGAACGTCTCACGCTCCGTACCTGGCAATGTTCAACTCAATAATTAGAGCAGTCTGTAGCTTGGGTATCGACAGTGTTCCATCTGTGTTGCAAGGTGACAAAGATATTCAGAAAGCGATCCCGGCTCCGCTCTCACTCTCAACGACTCCTCTCCGCATTGCCCCTCCTGGCGCTCCTGCTTCCCCACTGTGCTGGAGCGGCTGAGCCGGCTGCTGTTGTCTTTCCCCCGCAGCTGCAGCTCCCGCCTCTCTCCTCTGTCTCAATTGATCCAGCACATCCTTTAGCTCAGTCACCACACCCGCCTGAGCTCTCAGCCCACCACCTCCTGTCTCACTCTCCAACATGGCATTCTGCGCCCTCTTCGCCTCTTCCCTCTGTTCTTTGACTGCTCGTATCCTCTCTTCGCGACTCATCTTCCCCTTTGCTCCACCGCCTCGACTGTTCTCGGCGTCAAGACTGCCTGCAATGCCAGTGATGGATTCGAAGACCTCTTCGAGGCCTGGTGGGGGAAGATGCCCTGGGGAAGTGCTTTGAAGAAGTAGGGAGACGAGGTCTAAGTCTTCTGATGCGGATGAAGAGGTGGGGAGCGAGGGACTACCCGGGGAAAGGCCTGAGGTTGAGATTGGGGCTGAGGTTGAGGCGTCCGAGTCGCTTGTGAGGAGGCTGCGCTCGGTCGAGGTAGGACCGAGGAGGTAAGGCACGTCCTTGAATGTCGTAGCATTCTCTTCCTCGCCCTCTGCTAGCGAAGTCTCAATCTGCGAGAGCCCAAGAGCGCCTGCGCCCTCGACATGACCATTCCATCCAGTGCTACTCCGAGCACCAGCAGCAAGCGCCGCTTCTCCCCGCCTCTTCTCCATTCGCAAGATCTTCGAGCCTCCTTCCCACTCCTGCGTAATGGACATGATGTCGTCCTTGAGACTGTCCCAGATGCGCTCGGCATTCTCTTTTCGAGTCCCAGCCTCGCTCTCGGTAATCGTGCTCACATCCTTTGCTGAAAATGGTGCAAAGCTGACACTGGGGCCGTGAAGAGCGGGAGGGTGAGCCATTGCAAGCTCTTCGGCGCAGGCTCGGAGCTTGACCTGAATGGAGCGGATGGCCGAGGCCAGCGCCTGCGAACGATCTTCGAAGCCCGTGAAGGGCACGAGACCAGTGGATCCCGGCAAAACTGCCGACTCAGTCGGTAAGCGAGCCTCACTCTGCCGCGGGAGCTGTGAAGTGACGCCATTCTGCTTGTCGCCGTTGAGCTCTTGATCGAGCAGGACTGACATGCGCTTTCGTATGCCGTCCAGTGCTTCTGCAAAGTCCCTCATCAAGCTCTCGACTTGTTGCCAGTAGTCGCGAGCAGAGAACAGGGACAGAGAGGCGAATTTGAGGGCGAGCAGGTGACATAGAGCGTGCCTTCGGAGGGAGTGCATATCCTCGAAGGCTTGACGTAGCGACAACAGACTCAATGGGTCCTCTGGCGGTGACAGGGGCTGCTGAGGCTCTTCGACTTGACCGAGCAAGCTTCCCGCAAGACTGCTCGGCGGTCGAGGGGCGATAGGGCTTACGCCTACGCCACGAAGGCTTCCATTTCTTCTCGAGCTGCTCTGGTGCCTGAGTGGGCTCTGCCATGGAGCTGTACCATCAAGCATCGACTGAGGTGAAGCAAGAAGCCTGGTAGAATTTCCGATCGAGTCACGGCGGTCTGACATGGCAGAAGCGCTCAGTCTTGACTCTGGCCGCGACTCGGTGCTTTGATAGCTGAGCCGCTTCGAGATCGGTGACTCGTTCGGTCCTGCCGCGTCTACACCTTCTACGATGTAGCTCAGTCGGCTCCCTCGCCCCGAACGTGGCTCGGGAACCGTCCCTGGTGGCACAGTCTCGCTGGCAGGCTCACTGCCGGACCACCCGTTCTCCCCTTCGAAGTGGCTACCACGCCTCCTTCTGAGGAGACTCCCTGTCCTTGACAAGGAAATGCTGCCACCCTCGGCTTGCGAGCTGTACCGTACTGACTGAGGAGAATCACTTGAGGCAATCGAATCATTGAAGCTTTCCTCAGCCGACCCAGTCGTCGCGGAACCCAATCCATACCTTGCAGGAGCAGAGGCCAAGCCTCCATTCATTCGGGAAGCAGACACAGGTCCCCAGCTGGACCTTTTTGAGCCATTCGGGACCATTGCCTCGGAGGTGTAGGCGGAGTCTTCAAGCGCCACAGTACCTGTAAGGAGTGGAAGCAACATGGAGCCCCGTCGAGACTCCGCATCGCTACGAGGAGGAGATCGGGGAGACCCAGCTTGCTCGCCAGGGTGCGGGCCATCGATAGTTGGATCGCTCAGCGAATAGACCTCCCGGAGGGATGAGAGCTCTTCCACTTCGGCGAGGGGCTCCAAACCTGCTAGCAGGATGCGGCATGCTTGCCTCGCTCCCTCTAAGCCCTCGAGAAGACCTTGCCGGAGACGACTCATCCTTCGCATCTCAGGTTGCGCTTGACGTTTTGCCGGCTCCCCTGTAGCTCCGCTCATACTGTAGCTTCTGCCCATGCGCTCCGAGCTGCTTGCCCCTGCAGTGTACAGAGATCCTCTCCTTCGCACCGGTGATGCAATTTGATTCGCCTTGTCAGCCGCTTCAATTCGAGAGATAGGTGGCAAGGGATGGGTAATCTTGAAGCCTCGAGCTACGAGCTCGACTTCTTGAATGGCTGTGAGCGTCTTGTTGAATTGCACGTCAGCCTCCTGGCTACTTTTCACCGTTCGATCAGCAGCTGCAAGGAGCTTCGCGCAGGTTCGTCTCCTTTCGATGGCTGACCGAAGAGCAAAGCTGGGCACGCCTCCTCCGTGGTTGGTGACTTCAAAGGTCACTGTTTCGCCAGACGATGTAGCATAGTGGGCGAGCACAACGGCCGTAGACCAGCTCAAGGCCGTCATGAGAAGCACTGTACGACCCCATGCGCCGGCAGAAGGAGAGAAGAGCCAGAGTAGAGCACTTGCGATGATGGTAGCGTTTCGGATCTGCCTGCCGAAGCCAGTATCGGGGTCGGTGACCAATCCAGAAGCTGAGCTGAAATCTTGGATAATGCGACCGCTGAAGGTGTTTACAGTGACACGTTTGTGCTGCGTCCTCTCCGATTTCGGCAGGCACTCCATCACGTACTGGGCATCTTCCCTGTCGACTTCGTCTGCTGCAGTCGGCCTTGTTGGCGCTGCTCGCGACGAGTCATAGAGTGAGATTGAGAGCGAAGACGTCAGAAGGAAGGAAGTGCAGATGACATACTTGAATTTCTCTGCGTAGTTGTTCGCTGTTGGTGTCCTGAATTGGGGCAAAGCACAGCGAAACTGTGTTGAGGGTACGACAGTCGAAGCTTGTGTTGTGCGATGCGATTCTTGTAGATGATTCGGCAGCACATGCACCAGAGACTCCCACAGCTCCCGCGTGATGAGCAGCAGGGCCCGTTGGAAGTCCAGCATGAAGCGTTTAAGCCAGTGCAGTACATGCGATGCTGCCCCTTGACATATAGCCAGGGAGGCCTGGCGTAACGGTGCCGTGGGCTGAACCTCGGGTGCCAACTTTCGGGATGGCTTGAATTTGGGCGAGGCATCATCAGCCTCATTGAAGTACTCGGACGATCGAGCTGCTCCATCGAAGAGCAAGCTTCTCATGGGACTCTCTGACGGGCTACTCGCCCCGCCAGTCGAAATGACAATGGTCGCTCCCACGGTCGCACTAGCTCTACGATGTCTTCCCTTGCCGTTTCCACCCTCCACCCTCCGTTCCGAGCGTCTCTTCCTCTTAGCTTCAGGTGAGGGACTCCTACTATCAGTGCTCACGATACTGCCTCGCGGACTACTATAGTAACCCACATAGTCCTCGCCTTCGCCCAGCTCCTCTGAGAGTGTGAGCGGTCGAGACGGGCGCCGATCCGTCCCTGGCGAGGAGCGAGGACTCCGAGCAGGGCGCAGAGACGAGGGTGATGACGAGGAAGGTGAAATGCGCATCAAAGAAGAGTCTGATCGAGAAGTGATGGGTGACTGGGAGACCGTACGTGCTGAAGAGGCAGAGGCTATGGAGGAGCACCGCTCCCTGTCTCCTACAGTGTGTGGAGTTGGAGAGAGAGGCTTCGAGGTGCGGCCTGGTGGCATCTCTAACAAAGCAGCTCCTGAGATTGGTGCCATCGCAGCTTGGCGATTATGCGCATCTTCTGATTCAGCGCTGCTGACTTGGCCGCTGCCCGATCGCATCATTGCTGCTTCGGAGAGGACTGTTGCCTCATCTGTCGCTTGCGTACTGACGAGCAGCAGAAGTCAACGCAAGTATGCGGTGTGAATGTTGCAGAAGCTGCCGAAAGTATTAGGCGAACAGAGGGTCGAGTCCTGTCGCAGCTGGCTGGCTGTCCGGCCTTTCCTTCTGATCAGGCACGGAAGAGGATCAGGGGTAATTGCGTCCCACAAAGGAGCAGCTTCTGTTCCCGCCCGCGGCTGGATATGCCAGATCTGGGTGAGGTGAGGTGGCCGGCAAGCGGCAGCGATAGCGATGACGGCTCGGAGTAATGCTCGTGTCGATGTCTGAGCTTCTTCCGTCTCGAATTGTCTGGAGCCAGACAGATGAGCGATGGCGAAGAGGGATGATACGGCGAGGTGGCTCAGCAAGGGAGAGCAACACTTTCAGATTGACACTCGCTCGCCTCGGCTGCAGCCACCACGCGCTTCTTCCCTCCACCGTGCCAGACCTCGCGGGGGGCATCACGCGCATCTCTGGTCTACGAGGCTATATACAACGATCCCAGGGGGCTTCGGTGGACGATGTTCTGAATGGTACAATTACAGGCCTCCCGCTTCTCAGCAGTCGACGGATGTTCGCATGACATAGTACACAGCGCTGGCTGGGCGCTTCCAAAACACTACACTGACCAATTCCTCTAGATATCCACGTACCCATCCCCTCCTTGTGCTCCATACCCATAGCCACCCGCGCCCCCTCCATGAGCTCCGTTGAGATCCTCCAAGTTCCCAACGCCTGCTCCACCAGGCATCCGGATGCTGACTTCAGTCTGGAAGCTAGACCGAACTTGGTTGATCTGGGCGATGATGCGTTCGCAGCCCGTACGAAGGGCCTGAATTGGTGTGAGGCGGCCATCGGTTTGGATACGCAGGAGCGTACGGGGCTCGAGAGGGTGGGGGACTTTGTATCCGCAGAAGAGAACGCCCGGGACTGCTAGGACGGCGCTGCGGGAACGAATGACCGAACAGAGAGACGGAACAGTATGAGCTGCTGTTGCTCCCTGAGCGTGCCATAAGCGCAGAGCACTCGTCGAGGTACTCTGCTACTCACTGTCTAAGCATGTTGCCCATGGTGTGATCCTCCTTGTTCAAGATCACCGATACGGCATTCTCGATCTGGGTCTCCTCCTGCACCTCTACTCTCTTTTCTCCCTCTCCGAGAATGAAGAGGGCGAATCGATCGGGAGCGTTCGACATAGCTGCCGTCCCTTCTCGGTAGGTTCCGAACGCGAGTAGGAGAGGTCTAGAATGCGGCGACAAGAAAAGAAAGGGAGGGTGGGCTACGAGTTCAGCATACCGGGTCGTAAGACGTGGCGTCCGAGCTACGCTCTTGTTGACCTCGCATTCCATTCCTGTTGCCTGTCGTCTCGTCCCAGTTTCCTCTCCTGGCAATGTCATATACCGTTGTAGTAAAGTTGGATCATACCCACCGAGACTAAGTCGTGTCTCGATGGTCCGACAGTGTGAATATGATAGTTCTCGTAATCATTCATGCTTTGCCAGGCTGTGTAGATCCACGCTTCCTTCACAGTCTCCCGTAACGTCTGTGTCTATCTCACCTTGATGATCGAGGGTCCTGCCCTGCTCTCTACGTTTCTTGACTGGGGAGGCAGGAGCGCAGGAAGGAAAAGACGGGCGATGGTGGATCAATGGATGGCCTGGCCTGGCCTGGCCTGTGTGCGTGGGTGAGGCGTGGCTGTCGAGTGCGCGGTTGAGCTCTGGCTCCGCTCCGAGGTTGCGAATGCGTCTTGGCGTGGGCGAGGGGAGACGAGGCGCAAGGGTGGCTGCTGCCCTCCGATTTCAAAGTCTACGCCTGGCCATGCGCTCCCCGCCCGCCCTACGCCTCCTCCCCCGCCATTACCTGTCCTGATCCCCGCAATTGCCCGCACTTTCCCCACTCTACCCTTCATTGCCGCTTGCAGTCAGTCCATCGTCGACCCTGCTGCTCCCGATTAATCCGCTCACCCCCCGTCATCCAATCTGGCATCCAAAGACCCTACAAGTATGTCCTCACCTAGCGCATCCTCGGGCAGCTCCTTTCAGACCCGCTACCAGGAAAGCGCCACCTCATCGGGCCGCACCACGCCCGATCCATCTCATCACGCATCGTCCTCCTCCTATCAGCCTTCGAAAGCAATGGCAATGGCTCAACCTCAACCACAACCACCGCGCAGGTCATCTACACCTGCGTCGTCCTTCCTTGCGCCACGCTTCTTTGGAGGATATCCCTATGACTCCATGGTCGGCGCCAGCGCCAACCAGCAGGCTTCGTCTAACACAAGTGGAGCCGGTGGCAGTGGAAGTGGAGCACCCAATGGACCACCAAGGAGAACGTCGTTTGGCACCTCGCTCGGGGGTCGTCTGAGCGCACTCAGCTCTCTAGGATTCGGCGGCGGCGCATGGTCACAACCCCCCACTTCGCCGTCTCTGCAGCACCAAGCTCCGGCATCACAGACTTCTTCAGCAGCAGCCTCTCCCATGCTCAGACCAGCTGACAAGACAGCTGCAACGCCCGTGACTGCCTCTACAGAAGGCGGGAAAGCGAGAGGAGCGCAGCAGGTGGAGAAGAGGCACATCTGCGTGCCCGATGGATGTGGTGGATTTGTCACCGTCGAGAGGAGGGACAGGCGGCCGTCACAGGCTTGAGAAAGGTTCTCGTCTCGAGACAGGAGCAGCTTGGAGTCAGAGCCTGAAGCCTGCATCGCTGTCCTCGTCCTCCCAAGGTATCCCTGTCTGCCCGGAGACGGTCTACAAGGTCTGGTCTTCTTGGCACGCATGGGCTCGCCTGGTTCATCGTCCAGCTGACATCGAGGCTGACATGCAGCATATCCTCACGAGCAATTCGCGGTCTGCAGGCGCCTCACCGCCTCAGTGCGAAAATCGAGGTGCGATCGTAGCTGTCGCGACACCTGCCTGGCGTCGAACATTTCCAAATGTACATGGTCTTTCTGTCGGCTCGGCTCCTATCACTAGCCTCGCGCACGTCACCAGTTCTATCACTGCTTCCTGTTCTCTCTTCCTTGTCTTCTTTGGTCCCACTTCATCCGATTCGACATGTCGCACGAGTCTCGTGCATGCGCTCTCCTTCTGTATCATATTGCTTTGCACCTCTTCGTACTTTAGCTCGTCACTTTGATAATACCTTCCCGATCTTCTCTGCTCTGTGATGTGTCTTCGAATGTTCAATTTCGCCGAAAAGATCAGACAGTCAAGGTAACTTTGGCGGCTCGGCAGGTGCAGACGGCATGGGTCGATATCGATGGTGTTGGAGGGGCGCTCCACATCCCCTCGCGTGCCGAAAAAGGCGACACGACGCAGCTCCGCCTTCTGATCCAAGCGAAGGCTGGCTGGTGCTCCTCTCCGCTCGTCCCTCTCAACCTGAAAGGCTATACCGTCAGAGTGATACCCATCCGTCGTACCAGAGGTCGGCCATCACACCTTCCACTTGCACGTCGCACCCTCGTGGCCACACCTTCTCACCATGGCTCTCGAACGGTGGACAATGCGCCCAGGTGTCATACCCCCGCTTCGGCGCGTCTTTCACTTGGTGGCTACCCTTGCCTTCCTCGTCCTCCTGCTTCTGCCGTCTTCGGTATTGGCTGCCAAAGCTCCCGATGTGAAGCTATCAAGATTCGAGAGTCTGCCAGCTCGGCTCTCTTACTTCGATGATAGCTCCGTCGTCCTCTATCATGATTCGATGAGGGGCAACGTATATCGCTCCCCTGACGAGGGGAAGACGTGGCAGCAAGTGTCCAGCATACCCAATGGGCAAGCATATATGCTCATGGAGCACCCCTACGATAAGCGTATGGCATTCATCCTCTCGTCTGGCAAGACGCACTGGCGGTCAGCAGATCGTGGTACCACTTGGCAGCAGTTCAAGACTCCAGAGCCACCGGCTGTGAGGGTAGGAGCGCCCCTTGAGTTCAATGCCGATGAGAAGCATTGGAATTCGATCATATTTACCGGCAAGAAGTGCAAAGGTTGGTCGCCATGGGGAGGTATGATCTGCCACGACGAAGCCTACCACACCACGGACGGATTTGCAACAGATCCAAAGCCCCTAGTCGAATATCTTGTCCACTGCAACTGGGCAAAATCCTCGGCCGAGCTTGTAGTCAAGCAAGAGCATCTCAACCGGATATTCTGCATCGCTTGGGAAGACAGTCCTTCCGGGGGTAGCACTTCGCCGCTACTCCTCGATCCAAGACATATCTTACAGAGTCGTCAGGCAGGTTCTGGGCATGAGATCACACCCAGGGCGAGCGGTGCCACGCGCCTCTTCTACAGCGACGACTTCTTCGCCACTAAGCATCTCGTAGAGCTGGACATGGGCCGGGATGCCAAAAACTTTGTAGGACTTGGTCCCTCCAAACGGTATCTGGTAACTGCCCTGAGGGACATCCAGAGCTCGACGGGAGGCAATGCAGGCACGGAGATGGCGATGTTCGTCTCTACTGATGGAGACAAGTGGCGCAAGGCCAACTTCCCTCATGGACATGGCCTGAGAGAGAATGCCTACACAGTCGTGGACTCCACCCTACACTCACTGGTAGTGGACGTCCTTGATGCTGCTGGCACTTCCACAGGCACTCTCTTCACAAGTGATTCGGAAGGCATTCATTTCGTGAAGAGTCTAGAGGCCACCAGTCGGAATGCCCAGGGCATTATTGACTTTGAACACCTCGAGAATATCGAAGGGGTGGGGCTCGCCAATGTCATCACAGGTCTCGCAGGTGGTACAAGCGAAAGACTCACTCGAAGCATGATCACATGGGATGATGGTAGTAGATGGAATTACATCAAGGCGCCCAAGGCTACTGGTGTAAAATGCGACGTCAACGATGTACAACGCTGCTCTTTGAACCTCTATTCGGTCACAAAGCTTCACAACATCGGCAGAGTCTTCTCTTCCACTGCTCCTGGCTTTGTGATGGGTGTGGGATCGATCGGTGATCGCCTCATGCCGTACGAAGAGTGCGATACCTTCCTCAGTACTGATGCCGGTCGTACTTGGACGATGGTCTCTCAGGACGCCCACAAGTACGAGTTTGGAGATCAAGGCAGTATTCTGGTCATTGTCGATGACGAGGACTTGACAGACCACGTCAGCTACTCCTTTAACCAGGGCAAGACGTGGGAGAAGCTCGCTCTCGGCGTCAAGATGAGGGCCAAGATCCTCACTACAATCCCTGATAGCACGTCTCAAAAGTTCCTCCTCATCGGTACTCAGAGTCGGGCCGATGCTGGAACGCAGCCTCGCCAAGTTGTCGCCTTTCTAGACTTTGCTACAGTGGGCAAGCGGAAGTGTGGAGAGAAGGACTTGGAGAAATGGTACGCTGAGAGCGATGGTACTGCTGGACCAAAGTGTCTGATGGGCCACAGGCAATGGTTTGCACGACGCAAAGCCGATGCCGATTGCGTAGTCGCCGACAAGTTCCACGATCCGGTGGGCAAGGAAGAGGCGTGCCCATGCACCGATGACGATTACGAGTGCGACTTTGGCTACGCCCGAAGCGACAATGGCGCATGCCTGGCCTTGGGACGGGAGACTATTCCAGCTGGAGAATGCGATACATCCCGCAAGACTACCTACTTGGGCTTGTCTGGGTACCGCAAGATTCCTGGCAATACCTGTGACCCTTCAAAGGGTGTGAGAAAGGATGCTAAGATCAGCAAACCTTGCACGCAAGGAGCTCCCCAATCGGGCACCATCGCTGTACAGCGACACGACTTTCCAGGACTCATTGTCGACCACGTATGGATCCCTGGGTCAAGCGTTGTCCTCGCTCAAATTGATGATGGCTCGATCTGGAGGTCGACAGACGACGGAGCTTCTTGGACCGAGATGCATGCTGCCCCTGCATCTAGCGATGCAAATCTCCGTTTCCTCGCCATGGCTTTGCATGAGTACGATCAGGAGAGGGCATATCTGATCACTGCGGGGCTGCGAGTGTGGTACACGTACAATGGCGGCAAGAATTGGGACTCGTTCATTCCCCCGCTGCCGGCGAACGGATTGGGCATTCCCATCTTGCGCTTCCACCCCCTCAAGAGTGACTGGCTCATTTGGGTGGGTAGTCGAGACTGTACCACATCTACGGGCAGCGCATGTCGAAGCGAGGCATGGTATTCTACCGATCATGGCAGGAATTGGAATCTCATCGATTCTTACATCAAGTTCTGTGACTGGGCAAGGGCCAAGCAGTTCTCAGTCGACTCCTTAGCCATCATGTGCGGATCCTACAAGGACAAGGTTGGCTCTCAGCTGGCCTTTGACTCGAAGAATGATCTTCAGCTTGTGTGGGGATCGCCTTACTACAAGAACAAGCGAGTCCTGTTCCCTCATGTCGCCGGTATCGCTCTCTTTCAAGAGTTCCTCGTGGTGGCTGAGCTGCTACGCGCGACTGGCACCTTGTCGATGCAGGTATCGCTCGATGGGCATACCTTCGCAGAGGCGCAGCTGCCACCCAACTTGCACGTCGACAATCGTGCCTACACAGTCCTTGACTCTGTGACTCGGGCGCTTTTCCTCCATGTCACCACTCGTTCTGCTCCTGGCTCCGAGCTTGGTAGCATCGTCAAGAGCAACGGGAACGGAACGTTCTTCACCATCTCGCAGGAGCATGTCAATCGCAATGCGGCAGGCTACGTCGACTTCGAGAAGATGCTGGGACTTGATGGAATCGCTGTGATCAACGTGGTCGCCAATGCAGATGATGCTGTGGTGTCTGGTCGCAAGGACCTGCAGACTCGCATTACCCACAACGACGGTGGAAGGTGGAAGGAGCTCGTCCCGCCTCGCGTGGACACCTTTGGCGCTCCGTACGCTTGCAACACTGTGGGCTGCAGTCTCCACCTTCACGGCTTCACCGAACGTGACAATGGACGTACATCCCTCAGCAGCCCTTCTGCAGTAGGACTTATGCTTGGCGTGGGCAATGTGGGCAAGAAGCTGGCTCCCTACGCGGACAGTGACACTTTCTTGACAAGAGATGGTGGCTTTACTTGGGAGGAAGTGCACAAAGACGCCCATAAGTGGGAATTCGGTGATCAAGGCTCCATCATCATTCTGGTCAATGATGAGGCGCCTACGGACACAGTGCTCTACTCTACGAACGAGGGCAAGAAGTGGGAGAGCTACAACTTTGGCGACAAAATCCGTGTGCGAGACGTGGTCACTATTCCAGAGGATACACATCGACGCTTCATCCTCTTTGGTACCAGTGCACGATCTCAAGCCAAGTCGACTGCCATCCATCTCGATCTCTCGTCGCTAGCCCAGAGGAAGTGCGTTCTGGACCCGAGCCGACCTGAGCAGGACGATTTTGAGCTCTGGAGCCCGAGCGAGGAGCGCGTAGAAGCGTGCCTGTTCGGCCGACAGACGTACTACTACCGCCGTAAGCGGGATGCAGACTGCTATGTGGGTGAGAAGATCATCCAGCCACATCAAATCGTCAAGAATTGCACTTGTACCGATGCGGACTTTGAATGCGAGTTCAACCACTATAGGGACCCTGCCACGAACCAATGTGTACTGCATCCTGGTCTCACGGCACTGGCTGCTGATGAAAGGGAGCAGTGCACGGGCGACGAGGACTACTGGTACGACCGGACCAGCGTGCGCAAGATCCCCTTCTCGTCTTGTCAAGGAGGAAATCGCCCAGATCGAGGCGCACGGCACGTCTGTTCGACGAGCCTCAAGAGGCACGGCTTCTTCTGGTGGACCACCATTCTCCTCTCGCCCTTCCTCCTCGCCGGTGTGGTGGGCTACTGGTGGGTGACCAAGAGTCGCGGACGCTTCGGCGGGGCTATCCGTCTTCCCGACGCCAGGGACTATGCAGACTCGCCGTTGCTCCAGACTATGGCGTCGGTACCGTGGTTCGTGGTGGGAGTGGCGGAACAGAGCTGGGCGTGGGTGCAGCGACAGGCGGAAGATATTCCCTTCCTTCGCGATCGCTTCTTCAGGTCTAGGAGGCCGTATGGTAGCTATAGAGGTCTGGCGCAAGACGATGACGCAGCTGTGAGTATTGAGAGATCCCAGTTACAGGCTTCAACATTACCTTGCTGACCACACTAGATATCGTGCCTTGCCGCCCTTGCTCCTACAGATCCTACGAGACTACGATGACGAAGACTTTGAGAGCCGATAGGTTGGGGGGGCAAGCAGCGGTCTGCCATTGCCGGACTATCGTGTCACCACAATCTACCTCCCTTTCCCCTCTCTCTCTCTCTCTGTGTGCTTTCCCTAATGAATATTTGTCTATATTGATTCTTCGTGTGTCTGTACGACGGCGTGTGCGAGTGCGGAAGAGCGGCGACGCTGAGGCATGTGTTGATGTCTGAACGCCAAGGCGCGGCGTTGGAGGCACTGGAGCAGAGGACGCGTTGCAGGTGGGATGATGCAGCCAAGGGTGCGGGGCGTGTGCTTGTGTGCCTTGAGTGCGGGCGCGCCTTCTCTCCTCGTTGCTCTTTCCTTTGTGTGCTCGATCCTCGCTTTCCCCGTCGTCGTCGTCGTCGTCTCCTTGGCTCTATTCCCTCTGATCCTTTCCTCCATCTCTCTGTCAGTCTCTGGTACCCGCTTCGTCCTCTTCCTTCACACTCTCTGTACGCCCCCCAACATGGAGTCCTTCCGCAACCTCTTCACCGAAAGGTCCGTGTTGCATCGACGAGCCACCTCTGCCTGCGCCAGTCAGGGTCTCTACGTCGCACCACTTGCCAGTGCGACGGTCCCCTCGGCAAACAAGACGATCCTCCAATGGGACGAGTCTTGTCTCAGCGAAGGCACCACCAAGATAGACATTTACCTCTATGCCCCCAGCTCTGCCAAGGCCAACTTGCCCATCCACGCATGGACTGGAATCCCTGCTAGCAAGGGCTCCTACGAGGTCAAGCTGGAGCCCAAATGGTGGAACGTCACCACCTCTCAGAGCTCCACTACTCAGCTCAGTCTGAACATCGTCAATAGCGGTAACCAGCCTTGGGACTCCGCGAATCCCTTTGGCCCCACCTGGAGTGTCACTTACGTCGGCAGCAGCAATCCCCCTGACGATGCCGTGCAAGGTTCTTCTGACAGCGATTCACTCATTTCAGCCTTCTACGAAGGTGGCAGTCTCACTGCAGGAGGTAAGGCAGCTGCCATCGTCTGCCCACTCATCGTCTTCCTCGTCGCCATGGGAGTATGGATCCGAAAGTTGCACATCAACCGAAACAACAAGACGGCCGACTGGGCTGACCACGTAGACAAGCGTATGAGCAGGATCTCCGTAGACTGGGTCAGTGGTGGAGATGGATCGGCTGGACCAGTACCTGGTAGTCGACCTGCCTCGTTCTACCCTCGTCCCTCGGCCAACTTTGCACGAGGCGGTTTCGACAACCGTAGTTTGGGTGGAGATACCAGCGCATCGGGAATCGCCGGAAGGGGTACAGCGGCTGCTCGTGCCATGGCCGGTATCGATGCCATGGAGCCAGAGTTTGCCGACGAGCACGAGATGTTCGAACAGCCTCCTCGCGGATTCTCCATGTACGATGGTCCCGATGGTCAGAATCGCCGAATCTCCTTTGCCGACAGGACAGCGGGCGATCGTGTTTCTACAATCTCTTACGGCCAAGACGAATCTTTCAAAAAGGGGCACAATGCTACTTCATCTCTGCCGCGGGTCGGCATCAATGGCGGTGGGTTTGCGCGCAACGCACAACACAGCAAGATGTCAAGCGTGGGCAACAACTTCCGTCTGCGCGACAGCTCTGCAGATGTGATGGGAGACGACGGACCTGATGATGCCTACGAAGGACTCGACGATGGGGATGACGACTACATGAGCCCTGAGCAGGAACAGGGTGCATTCCCTCTAGACTCTCGAGGTGTCCAAGACCGCATGACCCAGAGACAGCGCGGCCACCAGCCTACCCCCTCCGAAGCGGGTGACCGGGCTCTGAGGGAGTCGATGATGCAGTATCCGGCCGTGACAATGATGGACAGCGATCACGACCCCATGCCTGATACGGCAGCAAAGGACTATTCGAGTGCCAAACCCGCCGGAGCCTCGTCGGCAATGCGCTCGATGCGCACACCTCAGTCGGGACTTGGCCATCGACACCAGGCCAGTCTTGCGCAGAGCAACATTAGTAACGAGGACGACGTGGTGGGGTACAATGAGGCGAAGATGATCTAAGCTGGGCATCCGGCCTGACTATGGACATTGGAGCGATGATCTCTGCCTCATTCCTCTCTCTCCCTTATCCCTCTCTCTCCACCCTCCCTACTTCCAACCTTGGAAACTCTCCTTGCTCTCCAACCGACCCCTGCTTGATGCAGGCGCGTCGGACATATCACTGCTCTTTCGACGATTTCCGCCCTTTCTCATGATTCGCACATCTTCTCTCGTTGCGCAGGGTTCGCTTTCTTGCCCGGTGTCAAGACGCGCACACATCCCTTCTCGCTTTCGAATTCTTGTGTACTTTCATCCCTCCAGCTAGCTTGCTGCTATGCTCCTCTTTGACGGCTCGTAATGCAAACGTGACGAAACACACGAAGTCTCTGGAATTGACAATCACGAAGCCTGATACCCTGACTGCTCGTCGAGTTCTAAGGGCATGAAGGGAAATGTGTCATCGGATCCTCCTTCCCCTCCACCTCTCTGCTCCGTGTGTCCATCCCTCTGTACATCCATCCATCCATCTGACCCTGATCCTCATCGGGTTTAACGGCCCGGCGCTAAGGCCGCCCAATGGAACTCGGCTCGGTTAAACTCCCTCGGTTAAATCTCCTCCTCTAGGGCCTGCGTGCAGGTGGCAGAGCCCGCCTGCGCCCGTCCATCCGTTCATGACGAGCTTGAGGTGACAGATTGATAGATTTTTGAAGCCACGAGGTGCATAGGAGGACTTGACCCCTAGGACCGAGCATAGAGTAGCAAGAAGAGGTACAAGCAAGCAGCATAGGAGCTTGACTCATACTCCTTTACTCTTCTACCTTTACTCTCCCTTTATGACACGGCGAGAGTTGCATCTTGGCTGTCTGGACTTCTTGATTCTCCAACATTTATAAGGAAGCGGATTTGGCTTGCACTTTGCAGCCCCATACACATACCCTCCACTCCTTCTTTCCCTGCATAGCCGCTGCGCCCTCGATACAGGAAGGCATCCACTTCGAATCTTAGCATCGGATCACGGGCTGTTACATCCACCACCTCCGCCACCCGGCTCTGTCTCCAAGATCATGTCCACCTCACATTCTCAAGAGCATAGCGCAGTGGCCGAAGGCGCCGCTCCTCCCCTCGGGCTCGAGGCGAGGCCGCATGGCGATGCTTGGGGTCTTGCCAGAGAAAGGGAGATGCAGCAACGCCTCGAGGCGCGAGAAGCTGCAGAGGCAGATGGAGAGGGAGAGGCTATGACGGTGGTGAATACTCCCAGCAAGGGAGGAAGCGAGACAGGCCAGTCCGAGTCTGGATCGCCTTCCTACAAGGCTGGACAATCCGCAACGGCGAAGCCCACGTCTGGAGATCAAGCACTGGCTCAGGGTGCTCCGGCTGTGACCGGTGCAGAGGTCAAGGGGGATACCATTTGGGTGGACTTCCCAGCGGGAGATCCAGAGGATCCCTTCAACTTCTCACAGGCAAGGAAATGGTTCATCACCATCCTTGCCGTCTTTTTTACAGCTGAAGTGGCTGCAACTGCCTCTGCATATGTCCCTGGTATATCGCAAATGGAGACAGATCTCAACGTTACCAATCACGAGCTGGGCTTGCTAGGCATCTCCATCTACGCGCTAGGATTCGGAATCCCGCCACTTGCTCTAGCTCCCTTCTCGGAGGTGTTTGGAAGGAGAAACGTATACATTGCCTCGCATCTTGCGTATACCCTCTTTTTCCTCTGCTGTGGACTCGCACAGAATATGACGACGATGCTCCTGGGACGCTTCTTTGGTGGGGCGTTCGGCAGTACTGGGTCAACTCTCGTAGGAGGTACGTTGGCTGATATTTGGAGGACGAACGAGCGGGGGTTCCCTATGGTGAGTACAGGGGGTGGTCCATCGACGTCACTGCTCTGGTCGGTGAGCTGACTCTCTGATCTCGTCCTTTCATCCTCTCTACAGGCTCTATTCGCAACCGCCGCTATCTTTGGAACCGGTTTCGGCCCAGTCTGGGCAGGCTGGGTTGCTCAGCACGAGTCTCTAGGATGGAGGTGGATTCAGTACATTCAAGCCATCTTCACCAGCGGCGGCTTACTCCTCTTGGTTTTCTTCTTCCGCGAGACCAGAGGCTCCGTCATCCTGACACGTCGTGCAGCGAGGCTGCGCAAGGAGACTGGTGATGAGCGCTATCGAGCTCGAGCTGAAGCGGAGCGAGCTTCAATCCCTGTACTGATCAAGGACTCGCTCACACGACCCCTCTGGCTGCTGGTCTCTGAGCCCATCGTCATTGCCTTCTCGCTCTGGATCAGCTTCCTGTGGGGTGTGATGTACTCACTGCTCGAATCCCTAGGGCTGATTGCCGATCTGCACGGTTACACGCTAGGTCAAGAAGGTCTTCTCTTCCTATCCATTGTAGCCGCTGCTATCCTTGGTCTCGCCACCAATCCTATCCAGGATAGACTATATAACAAGAACTTCTCCAAGCGAGGACCAGAGGCGAGACTCTATCTGGCCATGATCTCTGCCGTCACATTTCCAATTGGCGCTTTCATCTATGCTTGGACCAGCTATCCAGACGTGTCAATCGCTGGCACCATCATCGGCGTCATCGTCTTCATGTGGTCCGTTTTCAACGTCTACCTAGCAGTCTTCAACTACCTGGCCGACAGCTACCTCATCTTTGCCTCTAGCGCACTCGCAGCTCAGTCCTTTGCCAGGAACATGTTCGGACTGGCATTTCCCCTCTTCACAGAGCAAATGTATCACAACTTGGGTTATCAATGGGCTTCTAGTCTGGCAGGGTTTTTAGGAGCAGCTCTGGGCGTGGTGCCCTTTGTGCTCTTTATTTACGGAGATCGGATCCGTGCTAAGAGCAGGTTCTCGATGCAATTGCTGGAGTTGGAGAAGAAGAGGGAGGCAGAAGCAAAGCAGCAACAGGAGAAGGTGGACCTAGAGACGAGTTCGTGAGAGGACAGTGTGCTCTGTACTTGTAGCAAGAGCCAGTCAGTACCTTTGCAATGTAGCAATGCAGCATTCCACGCAGCATCAGTCACACACTCTCATGCCCTTGCGTCGATCGCCATGCGGCATCAAAGCCAGGCACCGGAAGTGAGACGTCGATGCGATGTCGTGGCAGCAAAGGTGCTGTTGCGTCGGCGTCTGAAGTGGAGTGAAGCGGCGCACGAGCAAATGGCAACATACCTTGCGCCGTTCGTACGGCTTTGTGGGCGTACATTGCCTTCAGCTACATGGAGGCAAGCTAGCAAGGTCGCCTTCGCTCTTCGAGGACGTCGACGACGCAATTGCGGGAAGGCTGTAGGGAGCCTTCCAGAGTCTTGCAGACTGCTACCAGCAAGAGCGAACGTTGCCAATGTGATGCAGGCGTCTGGCAAGGGAGCGAAGGCAAAGCTTTGAGATTGGGGCATGGTCGATAGACCGGTATAAGAAGACAGCTTCTGAGGCATTGTCAACCCTCGCCTCGATCAACAACAGCTCTTCAGCGCTTCCCTCTAGTCGAATTCGTCACAGTCACCTCTCACCTAGCCGCTGACACAACACATATCTCCACACACACACATATTCACGATGTTCTTCAACACCTGCAAAGTCGGCCTCGCCATTGCTCTGAGTGCTCTCCTCTCTTGCATCGCTACAGCAGCTCCTACACACCCATACAATGCCGATGGTACGGTCTCTTGTCATGCAGTGAGTTCTTCTGGTTCGGTCAGAGCCGCCTATAGCCCAGCGACAGACTACTGACTTTCCTCTACCATGGCCACCTCCGTTTTCCCCTGCCCTCTCCAGCGCGGCACTCCCGCCAAGCTTCAATGGGTGGACCAAGCCGCCAAGAAATCCGGCTTCCTAGGTCTCAACAACAAAGGCCAATTCGAGCTTCGTCTCACCCTCTCAGACAATCCCGCCTATCCTCAATTCAGCATCTGCGACTCGACCTACATCGGTTCCAGACAACGAGGAGGGCTCTACACTGGTCATCTTCAGCTACTGGGGAAATGCATTGCGGTTCGTCAAGGGGGACTGCACTTGGATCCTTGCCCTATGAGAGATGATGAGAGTCAGACGGCAGCGACCTTTGGGCTTATGAAAGCGACGAATCAGATCTCGGCGGCGGGGGGTGAATTTGCTATTCGGGGACACAAGGGGATTCAGCTCTTCCTTGCGTGAATGGGGATTTGCTCCGGCAGTACCCTCTCTTCCCTCTTTCCTCGATCTTGACTCAGACAAAGGGAGGGAGCTTCATGGAATGCTATTTACATCTATGAGACGCTATATGCAGAATGACTTGCGAATAATATACATACTTGGGCTTACATACAATGACCATGGGCTCTGACTTTCAATGCTGACTGACTCCCTGCCCATTTATTTCTTTTCCCACCGCTTCTGAAGTTCCCGCACCTGACCCTCTACATCACACCTCGCTCCCCTCCTGCTTCCCCTCAGAGCCGTTACTAAAGGTCTTCTTGATCCTCTTCTCCGCCTGTAAAGCCTTGAAGCGCATTCCCAATCCCAGCCTCTGCATCTTCCTCCGCACTCCTTCGCTCAGAGGAACAGCATCGGAGCGACCCGAGTTCGAAGATGGAGACTTGACGCCGATGCCTGGACGTGGAATGGAGATGGTTGAAAAGGGAGATGGTGCAGCCACCGAGTTGAAGGAGATCTCCTCGTCGGAAGATTCGAGAAGACCATTGGCGCCTCGAGAGCTGATCCAAGGCAGAGGCAAGAGATTGGAGCGTAGTGGCTCTTCTTCCACTCCTGAGATGCCTGGCTGGTCAACGACGATGGCTACTGGTGACGGCCTACGACCAAGGAAGGGCAATCGTGGCGACTTCTCGCGCTCGATGCGTTCTTGTCGAGTCGCTTCGTCATCGACTTTGCCCAAGGCAGCGCTCTGGAGCCTTTGCGTTGCTACCGCTGACTGGATTGCGAATGGCACATCCGGAGAGCCCTCACGTTCTTCTACTCGCGCAAGAGGATCGTTACTAGCGAAGCTTCCTCGATGGTGTTGACCCGAAGATGCCCATAGACGAGCGGAGCTGCTGTGGCTCTCTTCTGCTCCCTCGCCATGGCCATTCGCCGACTTGGCCGTTGCTGCGACAGGTCTGTAACCCGCAGCAAAGAAGGACATGCTATCTGCTTCACTCCGGGAGCGTTCGCGCGAGCCAACATGGGAGCGCGTGGGGTCGCTTTCACTCCTGTTCTGTCGCAAGGCCACACCAGTCGAGGCTGCAATGTCCGACACTCGCTTGCCTCCGTGACCTCTGGTGGAGCCGTCTGAGCTGCTCCTCGCCTTTGTACCACTCGAGCGCCTGAGATCTCCGGATAGGAGATTATTGGAAGACTCTACGCTTCCCCTTAGACTTGAATGCGATGGTCTTCTCCAAGGACCGGCAGGCTCAGCTATACTGTGAGACCGCGCAGGCTCTCCCTCCGTTGAGGATCCCCCTTCCCTCGAAGCAGTCCGCTGCAGATCCACCAGGCTTGTGAAACCGCCCTGCCAATCCTGGACCCCTCTGTCGGACGAAGGCTGCTGAGCCGACCCCGATCGATCGCGGGAGATGGACACCGCACTGAAGGAAGACCGCAGAGAGCTTCCCTGTCTCTTTACATTGGAAGCGGGAAGCGGAGGCGCCTCGTAGACGAGCTCCTCGGTTTCGCCTACAGAGCCTTTGCGCAGCGATGAAGCAGCAGAGCCACTCTGTTTGCGGTCCTTTTGATTGTTTGAACTAGCCGAGCTCGAGGTCAAAGCGCGGCGTCTGGGGGTCCCGGCAGAATGTGGAGAGGTAAATGCCGATGAAGTAGCGAAAGTTGATGAGGAGAGGAAGGGCGAAGAAATTCCGCTGGAGGAGTTCTTGCGCCTGTGCTCGTTCAAGATTGAGCTGTCATCTTCGTCCAGCTCTTCTTCTGAAGAGCTATCGTCCTGGTCCGCCAGTCCCTGTACCTGGCCTTGAGAGCCGTTCCGCGATTCCGTCAAGAAGTTGGGTACGTGACTGTTGGCGAGACTACTCCGCCTAGATTTGACAGAATTTATTGTAGCTCTCCTTTGCAGTGAGGAAGAAGAGGAGTTGGCAGAAGAGCCTGCCTCGATCTGCGCTCGCAGTGTCCTGAGCGAGTCGTGGTAGCCCGGATCGTGCAGCTCGCCGTCGGCGCCGAGCATGGCCTCACTAGAAGTCAAGCTCTGCCTGCGTGCGGCAGAAGACATGCCAGGGTTGCCTCGTCTCTTGGCAGCTGAGCTGTTATGCGGGTGCAGGTTGAGTTGCCCCAACACTGGCGAGGATCGCCCAGAGAGCATGATTGGAAGCGGGCGTTGCCTCGATCCGGAAGCAGAGGGTGATGAATGATTAGAATCAGAGATGAGGTTAAGAGGGAAAGAAAGGAGATGTGGGGTTTGTGGGGGGACGGGTGGCTGCTGTGAACCATAAGCTGAGCAACGCGGCTCCACACTGCCCGATTCTTGGCGGCGGTCAGGCACGACGCCCTGGCCGAGAATATCTCCCCCACCTAAGCGAACGTCGGAAGTGTCGGCTCAGGTCCTCGGTGACCGGTCGCTGGATGCCTCTCCCCGCGGGGGTGTGATGTTTGTGATCGGTCCGCAGAGGACAAGTTCTGCCAGGAGCAGGTAAGGCGTGGGAGAAGATGGGAATGCGAGTGAGCTTATCCTCATATCTTTTGTACATCCAAGGTGCGGATCTTCCGCCCACCCCTTGGTCTGAAATAGCATTGCTGAGCTTCGCCCTCTTGTCAGCTCAGCAACTTCACCCGCTTTGCTCCCGCGTTTGCCTCCGCACACTGTCTGTGGTGGATCGGGGACGGCTCTTCCGCGCCGCGCTGAGTTCCGATGTGAAAAAGACGCCGATCACCCCGCCGGACCCTGGCCCGCTCACCTTGGCCTGACAAGTGACAAAAGCGGAGTCGGCCGCCCGCCCCCCTTCGGAACGGAGGAACGAGATTCGGAGAGACAGACAGACAGATGACACCTCTCCTTGAATCAGGAATTGATTGTCGGATGACAGGGCCCCTGTCTCGGAGCAGATGGCTTGGTGGACAGACGCCGGAACAGAGTAAGTGCTCGATCTAGCGCAATTGTCCTCGTCCAGACTTGTGAAAGAAGGCTAGACGAGGGCTCGAGCGGCAACCACCATGCATAGGCAGCAGTCAGAGCGGCAACGATCGACACGATCTTGTCGGCAAGTATTGTCTAGTGTCAATATGGGAGGTCACAATAGACGTTGAGTACAAATGTGATGATCAACGTCGGTGAGCTGTGCGGCCCAGCATCTGACCGACTCGCGCTGCGCCAGTCGGCGGTGCATATCCCATCCACTGAGATGGATCCGCCGGCGAGGGCGGTGTCTGGATGGTGATGCGTCCGCTTGCTGATGCCATTGGTGGTGGCTGTCTGCTGTCTGCTGCTTGACGCCCATGACGAATAGGCTACGCCCACTGTCTGCCCACGCCGGAGGGTGAGCGGGGGGGACTTGGGTGAGCAGCCCCGTGGCGTGCGCGCGGTGTCCGTCGCGTTTCCTCCGTGGTGTCCGAGCGCACTGCTCCTGTGCCTTTATCACCTTTGGGCCGGCGACGGTTCCTGTGCCCTTCTCGTCGTCACCTGGGGGCGGCTGCTGCCTCGCCTGTGCTTGCTCGCTCGATCCTCACTTCTACCATCGTCTCCCGCAAAGGGCCGACACCCATCTCACCATCAGCCCCCTTTGCCCATCTCCCTGTCCGAGTATCGTCCTACCTTCGTCTTCCCCCTCGTCGCGACGGTCGCCGCGCTCCTCCTCGCCACTTATTCTCCATAGCCCGCCCCCCTTGCCTCTCCACTTGATACGCTCCTTGGCACCACTTCTAATTCTTCTCGGCAAAAAGCCACATCGGCTGCCGGCTGTCCTCGTTCGGCATCTCCTTCAACCTCTTGGCGCTTCCCGTAGCCTTCAACACCCCTCATCGACCAGATCTACACACTTCTGCCACGGCCACGTCCATCTGCACCAGACCAGGCACGGTACGTCAAGGCAGCTTCCGGAGAATTCGCCCGTCTGCGTCCCTCGCAGCGCTCATAAGCCATCGCGTCGGCCGACGTCACGTCACGGGAATACAATCCGAAGATCAAGATCTCTCAACCGTCGTCGCCACCCTCGCTTGCTTTCGGAGTGAAGTAGCCGGGCATACCTCTTCCCTAATCTTGGCCTTAAGCCTCCTCCCACTTGTGCTTCTTGAAGTCCACGACGGAGGGAAAGTGACAACGTGGAAGATTCCCTCCTTCCAAGGTCTGTCTCCGGTCATCCCTACCATCAGCATTTGTAGTCATCCTGCCGGTGTCAAGCATTCGCCAACGTCATCATGTCGGAGAAGAACTATCTCACTCCTTCGCTGTCACCGGCATCCTCCTCGAACGGTAGCAATCCGCCGCCGCCGTATCGCTTCCACCAATTGCCATCAACACCGGGTGGATCACTACCTTCTTCGAGACCTGGGTCACCACCACATGGAGGCAGCGTGCCATCGCCCGGTCAGCCAGGTACATTTCTGCTCAATCTGGGCAAGTATGGTGGCTACTACGTGATTACGATTCCCGTGACATTTCAGCGGCTGCTGGGAGTGGCAATCAGGAGATGGAAGACATTACTCTTCATCTTCCTCTTCTCGACACTAGCCGCATTCACCATGTTTGGAGCAATGTGGACAGAATGGCGGGAAATGACATACTATAGGTAAGCACAGGACGCCAGCTGTGACGAGATGAGCGTACGATTTGTTTGACTGACATCATCGTCATTGTCACTCGGCCATTGCAGAGTGGATCCGTACCCCATCGTCCCGCAACGGGCAGTACCGACGCCATATCAGTCTCACAAAGCATCACAAGGAAAAGCAGAGAACGCAGCAACGGGGGCAAAGAAGCCTCTTCATTCCCCACCCACAATCGGCTCTTGTCCCGGTCCTCGGGACGGCCTGCCGATCCCCCACTCACCTCTTCAGACTTTCCAGACACCTGAAAGCCATCCCATCCCTCTTGTTGGAGACTACAAGCTGGTCGGCATGGACCCCAACCAGTGTCTGACGTACCGCTCGCGGTATTCCATGTACTCAGATGAGGCGCTGGGCATCTCATATCGAACCGATGTCGACGAAGATGTGAAGAGGCAGCATAGGGCAAAGGCGGCCCTCTACGACGATGACCCCGACAACCTCAAGCCTGTCAGGTCTGCCCCTTCTGTGTCTGCAGCAGCCAATGCAAGCAACTCAACGAACGCTCCTCATTCGGCTCACTTGCTGAACAAGGCTCGTGTGACTCCGGCTTACAACAACACAGATTCTCTATTGGGCCCACGTAAGCCAGCATCTATGCCGGAAGGCGAATGGGAGCGGTACTTGAGGGACAGGATGTGGCGGGCGAATGTGAGGTCAGAGGAACTCGGTCCGGAATCCTTCCCAGACTGGAAGGCATTGATGGAGAATTGCTTCAAGCAGAGGGAGAAAGAGAGGGGTCGAGCGGGCGGTGTGGAGCCTTTCGATCCGACCACCCAGCCTATTGCTGATGTGATCGAGCAAGAGCAGCAGGATGAAGATGTCCCTCTCAAGTTCAAGACCACACCGCAGACGAAGAGGACTGCTTTGGTGATGAGGTCCTACGAGGGCTACGTCTGGCGAGAGGACGACATTCTGAACATGCGGGCTCTCATCGCGGAGCTCTCTCTGAACAACCCCAACACGCCGTACGATATCCGGATCTTGGTGGAAGTCCACGGCAAGCATCTTGCTGTCTTCACATCAGAGTGGGACAGACTCAATGTCTTGAGGAGCTCAGTCCCGAGGGAATTCTGGGGCATGGTAGAGCTGTGGACAGAGGATGAGATGTGCGCCCTCTACCCCGGTCTACCTGGAAAGTTCCTGAACAACATGATCGCTCAAAGGTAAATGGTACAGATGAAGCAGAGCTGCTGTGATTGTCTGCTGACACCCTCGACTTCCTTTCACTCTTCTTGTCTCACGCAGCTCTTACCGCTCATGTCTGATGGCACTACAAAAGTTTTACCTTGATCACACCGAGTATGACTTCGTGTGGAACTGGGAGATGGACGTGCGATACATTGGCAACTACCTTGACTTCTTCGAGGGCATCGAGGATTGGTCTCGCAAGGAGCCTCTGAACGTCGGCATGGACAAGTACGACACCTGGTTCGTTCGAAACGTTACCGCGTCAGAACAAAATTGGGCAGACGATCCCAAGTTGACGAAGGGTCGGGGTGAAGAGGCAGATCTCATCACTTTGGGTCCAATCTTCGACCCTCGAGGGTCGGGATGGTACTGGGAGTACGACGTGCAGAACTACCCGAAGGGCCAAAATACACATCGTCGCGCTTCCATCGGAACCAACATGAGGATGAGCCGGTCGCTGTTGGATGCGATGAATGTGGTAAACGCCGAGGCGAAGAAGTCGTTGCACTGCGAAGCATGGCCTACTACTCTGGTTCTGCATTCGCAGCTGCCAACAGGGCATGATCACTCCTTCTACCCCGAGGCCGGCTTCACACACAATCTGCCCTTACCTTTCAAGGGGGTGTATGCTCCCCATCCGATTTACTTCAGGCACCACTGGGACTCTGATGTTCTGCATGCAAGGATCAACCGCCCTGACTTCTACAAGAAGATCAACGAAAAGGTCATGAGGGACTCGACGTTCTACTACGATGGAAAGCACAGCAAGGAGATCTACATGGGTTGGAAGGAGAGGGACGACGTCTGCCGAAGCCCAATGCTGCTGCATCCCATCAAGAAGATCAACTGATCCCATCATCGCGGAAGGACAATGTCATCCCATCAGGTTTTCCACCTTAGCACGAGCACTCTCTCGCGTGGTTCACGAGCTCCGCTTCTGAACATCACACGTATTATCAGCGCCCATCCGAGTCTCCGGTCTCGGCCTCTCAACGTCTTCAATATACTCACGAACTCACAATGCTCGCCTATGGAACAGTCACTCTTCCCCTTCCTTCCCCCCTCCTCTCCACTACTCTTTCACTTTGCACTTGCTCTCCCCCGTCATTCACAGTCCCTGTACACCCTTTTCAAATCTTTTCCCGCCACACCCCCTTTCCCTCTTTCACTGCCGGCGTCAAAATATGTGTAACCGATGTCAAGCGTTGCTTTCCCCTTTTACACCTCTTCTCTCTCCCTTGTGTCAATAGCACTACAACTGGTCTCAAATCCCTCGGCCAACAGTCGATGTGACCTCCCTGATGCGTTGGACTGGTGTTGCTCCTCCACCTGCGTGTGACTTTCTCTGAGAGCTGCTTCCGCTCCGAGCGGGAGCATTTTGACCCTAATTGTGACCGATCCTCTACTTCATTGGCGCTTCTACATCGCTCCATACAATCCATTTCCTCAAGGAGGTTGAGCTTTGAGGCCTCCATCGACATCAGTAGGAAGTCCTCAGTCTTCTTCGTGGACTGGAAGGAGAGGACATCACAATGGGCTCCGCAGAAGACGAAGCTCTCCTAGCCGAAATTGCTCGGCTGACCGGACAGATCGATCAAGCTAAAGCGCATCCTACCTCTACCTCTACCTCTACATCTCATGCTGGCTCTCCTTACTATCACCAACAATCCTACTCTGGCTATTATGGTGGATCAGGAAGCGGCAGCGGAAGTTATCACGCGTCTGCAAGGGGAGGCTACGCAAGAGGAAGGGGAAGAGGAGCGCCCAGTGCTGGTGGACCTCCAAGCAATGTCAGTCGACATCGCAAGCTTGTACTGAACAATGGAGACTCCAGCACCGCTTCTCCGTCTGCGTCAACATCTGCTCCAAGCTCGGCCGTGAATCCGAGCGGCAGTCAAAGTACTTCTACATCTACTGGCGCGACTGCTGAGCGGGCGACGAGTGCGGCTGGTGCTGGCTCTTCCGGGTGGGTGAAGCGCAAGACGACGCATAATATGAGCTTGGTCAGCGCTGATACTTTCGAGAAGACGTGAGTGGCTGAACATCAGTAAGGGGCTGATAGCGTGGCAGTGCATACTGATCATGCTTGGTGCTCCCCTTGCCCAATCTCTCCCTTCGACGCAGCGAGCCGGCTCGAATCGCCGCCCTACAAGCAAGTCAAGAAGCCAAAGCAGCAGCTCGGGCTGCCAAGCGTGCTTCCTCGTCTTCTTCCTCCATACCCAACAAAAGTCTCTCGGCAGTGGGACGTAACAAACCAAAAGGTAGCTCAGCAGCTGTGAGAAGAGGAGACAACATGGGTGAAGTGATCATTGATGGAGTCGTCTTTGTCTTTGACGAGACGGGAACAAAGCTGGTAAAGAAGGTCCAGCAGCAGTCAGACTCGGAGTCTGCTTCGAATGCCACAGGAGCAACTACCGCGACAGACCCGGCGGCTCCTGGCGAACAGGCCTCAGAGGGGGCTGGTGGCGCAAGTAAAGCGCCACTGAGGACCTCTGTCAATGGACAGGCATTCGTACGGACCAAGAGAGGCAACTTGATCAGCGCCGAGCTACTAGAGAAGAGGAAGGCTCAGAAAGAGAGTGCAGCAAAGCTGAAGAGGATGGCCGCTCTAGGTCGACAGATCGGAGACAACGAGAGGATAAGGTTGGTCTGCATTCAGTGGGTGCGGCGATTCTGAGCGATACTGAAGCTTCCCTCTACATCATGCGGAGCAGATCATCCGGAAAGAAATCTCGCAACAAGACGCTGAGTAAGCCGGATCAGGGACCGAAAGGGCTCTGTAGCTTCTTCACCAAGACAGGTCTGTACCCTCGCTCTACTTTTTTGACGTACCTCGGAGGGTTGCTCAGCTTCACACCGGCCTGGAGCGAGGACCTTACCAAGCAGCTACGTCTGATTACCTCTCATTTTCTCTTCACCCGCACTTTCCAACAGGTCAATGCAAGCGCGGTCTTTCCTGTCCCTACGCCCACGACCCCGCCAAGCTAGCCATCTGTCCCGGCGCTCTCCGCCCCACAGGCTGCACTCAACCTCCCGGTCTCTGCCCCCTCTCCCACTCCCTAAGCTCTCCAGAACGAATTCCTCATTGCGTCCACTTTCTTCGCTCTGCTGGAAAGAGTTGCAGAAATGGCGAGGAGTGTCGCTACCTCCATCCTCCACCTGCGCTTACCGCCGAGGTGCTCAGTAAGGAAGATTGTCCCGTATGCATGGACTTTGCGCGATTGGGATGGTGCGAGAGGGGAAAGGGCTGTACGGCGCGACATACTTTTGATTGTGCAGACTTCCTAGAGAAGGGAAGCTGTGAGAGAAAAGGGTGTAGGTTGCAGCACAATGTCGTTGCAAGGGAGAAGATGGTTTCTTCTACCGCGGCTGGCGCGGGGTTGACAGCAACAGGTGAGCAGCTGGCAGCACAAGGTAGCGCTGTTCGTAATCCCGTAACGGGGGAGGAAGGAGCCAGCACAGAAGAGGTGGACCTCCCGTCTACTTCCTCCGGTCTCATCTCAGCCAACCACGGCGCCGCTACGGGCAGCAAGAGGAAGCGAGGAGGTCGTGCTGGCGAGCCTGTCCCTCTCGTCGAGCCGCAAGAGGAGGAGGAAGGCGTCTCGTTTGTTGGAGGTGGGAAGAGGAAGAAGGCCTTTCAGCAGAAGGACTTCATCTCTTTCGATGATGATGATGACGATGAAGAGGAGGACGAAGAGGAGGGTGAAGACAAGGGACGTACAGGTGGTGAGACAGAGGATCAAGGGGATGTCAGTGAGGTCGATTCTGTTTCAAGTGAAGACGACGACGATGAGAGCTCCGATGGGGAGAGCAAGAACGACGAAGAGGATGAAGATGCAGGTAGTGACACTAGCAGTGATAGTGACAGCGATGACTCCTCAAGTGAGGGCTCGAGCGAGTAAAAGAGGGTACGAAAGAATAGAAGAACTTGTACAAGTCACATTGCTTCTTCTACAATGCAATAGAATCCCATCGCCCTCCTCTGCTTTAGGTTCTACAGCCTAAGGTCCGCTCCTCACTCTGGTGCTTGGCACCTTTGATATGTGTGTAGTCATGGCAACGGACGTCTGTATCTCATTGCGCAGGTAGTGTGTGTGTGAGAGAGGATGAAAGTACAGTGTGTGGACAAGAACCCGGGAACGAAAGGTAGCGTCGACTGACTATCTTGCTGTGAAAGAAGCGAGAGAGCGAGACAGTAGCTTAGACGACGGTACCGGCGTTGGAGGCGATACGGGGCCACAGGTCGGCACACTCCTTCGCTACCGGTCCAGTGATGGCGGAACCCTTCATGTCTCCCTTGGGGTTGACAATGACACCGGCGGAGTCCTCGAAGTAGAGGAAGACACCGTCGCGCCTGCGCCATGGCTTGCGCTGGCGGATGACCACGGCAGGCATGACTGTAGAGAAGGAGGGAGTGGAAGGGTGTGAGTATTGATGCTTGGACACAAGCTCTGATCTCAATTTGCACTTTGAGACTCCAGCGGCAACCTGAAGGACTACTGTCATCCCTCATGCTGTCCTTTCGCCGTCCCAACATCTCGGGACAATCTCAAAGGCAGTCCCTTCGATCCGTCCACCCTATCCCTGCATTGCCCGCCAAATTTACCCGACTTGACAAAACCAGATACTCACCCTTCTTTCGCAGCTCTGGCTTTCCCTTCTTGACCGAGGCAACAACCATGTCACCCGAGGCGGCAGCGGGCAGCCTGTTGAGTCGGGCTCCGATACCGTGGACGGCAATGACGAAGAGGTTCTTGGCTCCCGAGTTGTCGGCGCAGCTGGAAGGGGAAAGAGTTGGTGGGGTGAGATCATGTCAGTCGCAGGTTCGAGCTGACTAGGAGCTGTGAGAGTAACGTCGTCTTGACTGCCACCAATTGTCTTCTTTCTCTCTTGCAGGTACGAGGAGCGTAGCACCCTTTGCTCTTCTTCCCTAGTATGTCCCGTCTGGCCGCTGCCCGAGCGTAATGAGATACGATGAACCGCTGATGACCACCATCGTTCATGATCGAGCTCTCTCGCCATGCTTCTTTCTGCAAAAGCCCATTACCCCTCCTCCTCGGCAAGTGCAGAGCGATGCCTTCTCGTCCCACTCGACATTCCTTCCTCCTCACTCTCTCCTGTCCTTCCTTCCTTCCTTCCTTCTTCATGCCTTTTCGTCCTCTTTTGCGCAACGCTGTATGCTAAGATACCCACTTCATGACTGCTCCAACGGGGAGAGCGAGCGAGAGGCGGAACTTCGAACCGGCTTGAGGCTTCGACATTGTGATGAGGTGAGGTTGAGGATGTGGTGATTGGGAGGTAGGAAGGAAGGAGACTCGGTCGAGCGAAGCCGTGTGCGCCTGCGCCTACGCCTCCTCTGCCCTGCCCTGCGCCTGGCTGCGTCAAAATTCGCCCCGCCGCCGCCCCGCCTGGTGAGGCTCCCAGCCGCGAGCCCTGCTTGCCGGGGCACCAACCCGGGTTCGATCCGGGTCGGGTTGCGCGCTACGGTCAAACCCGACTGCTTCCCCCTTTCCGCATGGCAAGAGGGATACGCACGCGGGCGGATCACCCTGAGGTGAGGCAGGGCATGGCATGGATGCTCAGAGTGGATCAGTCGGCTGTTCGTAGAAGGTAGTACGATCGTAGAAAGGCAGGCTGACATCAAGAATCGAAGCAAGCTTTGTGATGAGATGACCAAGCCGTGACATTGCTGGTTGTGACTCTTGCCCCAACACGAGGATCATGCCTCTTCCCAATTCTTCCCCACTTCGTCCCCCGACTCGAGTAAGGACTGTACGCACGCCGGATCAAAGACACTGAGAGCACTATAAATGTCATTCTGATCTATATGTGGCTCACCCCGAGCCCTCTCTTGTCCATGAGGCGTTCTCCTCCGCTTGTCTCTCCACCTCCTGACACTTCTGCAGCACTGCCATCAGCTTGAAATCATCCCTGATGTCGTCCTCTGTGAAGACCAGCCTTCCCTCGCCCACTTCTGGAGATGACCCATCTTGCTTCTCTTGACCCGGATTCGAGGTGGAAGGTACAGTGAGGTCACGCAGCCACTCCCGCACCCTCCTCGCATGTGGGACGCCCGCGTACTGACCCCCGAGCTTGGTGGGAATGGCGTGCAAGCCTCTGAGCAGAGCCGTGAAAGCAATCAGGTAGCTCCTCTTGAGATGAGATGAGTCTTTCTCATCGGCGAGGAAGGCGCTCTTCGTGTCAAGGGAATCTGCAACAGAAGGTACCATGCCTAGCTGAGAGCAGATGTGCTCAATCAGCGGCCATGCTCGAGGTGCATCTCTTGCCAGAGTGTCAAGAAGTGTCGTGTAGGTAGCGAGGGATGGCTTGACCGATAGCATCTGCATGTCCCGCAGGAATTGCAGAGCATGGTGAGAGCCCAGCGAGAGCTTTACATCGCCCTCAGTCCTGAATGCGTCGAAGAGAGGGAGCCCTGCCAGCATCTTTGACAAGTCCACCCTCTGATCTTCTTCGACTCCGGCGATTCCAGACATCTTGATGTACTGAGGAAGCAAGCCATTCAGCCAGGGATCGAAGGCGTAGGAGTCAAGCCTTCGCAGATCTCCACCACCGGACTCTTCCATTCGCTGTAGCCCTGCCATCCAGATTCGGTAGCACTGTGATGCCTTGCTCACAGCAGTCTGAAGGAACTCGTGCCGCTCCTGGTCGCTCTCCTTGAAAGCATCGACCCCGCTCAGTACATCTTGCACCAAGCAGCCGTTTGCCAGATTGAGGACGTAACTGGAAGGCCACAGAAGAAAGCTCGTCGACGTCAAGTCATCCTCTGTAATTGCAGGGGCCTGCTCACCCATGGCTTGGTCGAGAAGTTCCTGCGAAAATTCTCCCGTAGTGTGCCATGTGCGGGTGAAGTAGTGAAGTGCATCGCGGTACTGACGTCGATGGGCGAGGAGCCAGAGGTAAGCCATCTCCCAGAGTCCCTTTCCACCCCGGCCGGCGGATAAGATCTTCTGCGCTTCCATGTCAATGGGCGCAACGTCGCTTGGCAATCGAGCAGCTTCCTCGACGTTGACGCCTGAGCGGTCGAGCAATCTTAGTTGATGACTTGCAATAGCAGTCGCGATGGAATCGCCAAATTGATCGTTCTCGACGAGCCTGCTCATGAGATGAGCTGCCCGAGATACACCTTTGGGCTCCACCTCCTTGCCACCTACACGGCCCTGTGCGACAGTGGTCTCAAGCGCCTGCTCCTTCACATCACCAGGCAGCAGCGTCGACATCGCATACGAGCGTCTCTCCAGTGCTCGGCGATGCAATGTAGCAGGGTCGTCTCGCAAGCTGGAGGGAGGCATCGCTTCGCCGGCCGCCAGCTGATCTACGATGCTGCTGACCTTAAGCAGATATGAAACATGGGCTGAATTCCACTCGGGCGGGGTCCAATTGCCAGAAGCTGGCTTCTTGTCTTCACCTTTGTGGTGCGGCTCCTCGGACAGTCTCCTCAAGATATTGTGGAGATGCCCTTGGAGTCCTTGAGCCATGAGAAGTCGCTCGTCAGAAGGCTCAGAAGCCAGCTCTTCGAGGAGCAATCTCCAGGTGAAGCCGTTGATGGGAGGCAAGTAAGTAGGCTGCCAAGGATCTGACAAGAGCACCAGTTTGACTGCATCTTCGAATCTACCAGTAAGTGCAAGATGACGCAGAGCAATGTGATAGATCTGGCTCATGACCACGCGTCGCTGATCACAACCAATGCCTGGCATGTCCATATGGACGGCCAGTCTTAGCCAGAGATTGTAGACTCCGAAACTTTCTGGCACAGTCATGAAAGCATTGTATGCTGCCTTCGAGAAAATCTCACGCAGCCTTGGGTCTGAATGCCATTTCTTGACGAGTAGGATCTCGAGTACCTGCTGAAGGGTCTGAGGCTGCTTACTCGTCTTGCGGTTCAGCCAATGAAGTAGCTTGATCAATTTCTCGGCGATGATCTTCTTCTCCAGTCTGGACGAGTCCCTCCAAGATGGCATCATCTCCAGCCATTCCAATGCCTCGTGTCTCTTTCTCTGGGGGAAAGCAGCGAAAGCAGCATGAAGATAGCATATACGCGGCGGCCCAAGGGTAGAATGAAGCTCCTTCAACTGTTGAAGCGTAGTGTAAGCTTGGCTCAGCTGGTCAGGGGAGATGAAGTCTTGCTCCTCCCCACTTCCTGTGAGCATCTGCTGGAGGATAGTAGATGGCGAAGGGGCTTCATAGTTGATCTTCTGCTGGACTTGAGGTTGAGCGAGGTACGCATCCGCCCCTGTAGGTGACTCTTCCTCGAAGAGGGATGTGTCTACCGGTGTCGGATGGAGGTCGAGGTTGGAAGTGGAAGAGGAGGTGGAAGCCCATGAGGAACTGTAGGGGTCTTGATATGCGTACTCGAAGACTGGCGTGGTGTAGTAGCTGCGCTTGATTGTATGGAGACAAGGACAGCCGACTGGACGGTGGGCAAAGCCAAGGGCGACTGCTGGCCGCGGCAGGTCCGAGGCGCTTGAAGTCCGCAGCGACTGCAGCAGACGCTGTCGTGTCTGTCTGAAGCAGCTGCTATGCCAGCTCATTCCCTAGTGGAATTTCTGTGTCGAGAGCATGTCTAGGTGAATCTGGCGGTATGGCTGTACTGTAGTCTAGTGCAGGAAGATTCTTGCCCCGGGCACACGGAAGTGGCTTCGATCCGCCCAGGCTCCGCCATGTGCAGGCGAGTCTGGGTCGACTTCCGGTCAGGTGCTCCGCCTGTGCCTCTGAGCGTGGCCGTGTTTTGACTCGCGGCCGAGGCGAGTGTTGCTTTGCAGGTTCCGACGCCGACGCCGCCTCGCCTTCCTTCTTGGTAGCCATCACCATCACCAACACCATCCTCGTCATCAGCATCGTCGTCATCATCCTCACCGTCATCCGTCAATACCTCAGGGCAAAGGCGTCACCATCACTACTGGCTCTCACACTTCAACCTTTCTCCTGATCGCATATATACCCCCTTGCACTGTCCTGCAGATCCCGACGTCCATGGATTAAGCCAACCGTAGCCTAAACCTCTTCTCCGTTTCCCACTGTATCGCTCCACCCTTGGACAGCTTCGCAGTTGAACTCAGACAATGGCAATCGCATCCATGAGGAGAGCTCACGATATTCCACTCACCCCGCCGAGGTACACCTCCTCGCCCGCCCTACGCGGCAGCGGGGCGGCAGTGGGCGATACTCTCTTTGCAGGAGACTCGCCATTGCCTTCACCACCGAGCATCACACGGCCCACAATAGCTCACAGATCATTCCCGCACGAAACATTAGGAACGAACAACAGAGATGTAGACGACGGCGACCATGAAGATCAACTACAAGAACCACCTGGAGCTGACGAGCGGGCGAACAGCCGGCATCGTCAGTCCAGTCCTACTCCAGCCACGAGTGATTGGAGGACGAAGAGGGCTGACGCAAGAGAGAGGCCGGCCAGCCCCCATCGCAACTCTGACAGCAAGCCTGCAATGAGTCTTGCAGAGTCGATGGGAGCATCGCCTCCTCCAAGTAAGAGTGTGTACCCCTCTACGATTGCCTCAGCGTCCGATCGCCCTCGACTCGAAAGCAAGTTCGGCATCGAGCCACTGAGACCGTCAACCAGGCCCAAGATTGCTGCCCATGGCAGAGCCTTCAGTCACAACACTTCCAGAGCCCCGTCGGAGGAACAGCAAGATGTACCTAGAGTGGCCTCGTCTTCCTCACGGCCAGCCTCCTCGAACGCTCGCAGTGTTGCGTTTGCGAATCCCTCAGAGGCGCGTGTGTCGAAGATTGCTCCTCGCAGTAGTGACGAGGGCCAGGACGTGGCATCTCGTCCAGGCTCTTCGTTAGCTACACGCAGTCGTGAAGCTTCTCGCGATTACAAGATTGCCGATGTTGCTCTCGCCTCCGGGGCCCGCGTGAGCCGGAAGCGGGTTGCTCTTGAGGGTAATGAACCTCTCCCCGTCTCTCGAGCAACAGAAGAGCGGGCAGCATCAGCAGCGGAGGTCAGACAGTATTCCAAGGAAGAGGAAAGAGAAGATGCCTTCAAGGGCAAGTCAAGCGCAGGCAGTGACAGCGGTCCAAGCTCCTCGTCTCCTCATCAGCATGACGTGACCTCAGGCAACTCCAGCAAAGGCACGCACTCTGGCAGCTCCAGGGAAGACAGACCCTTCGCATACACCACGCCGGCCTTAGCGGCAGGAGCACGGAGTATGCGCTCGAGTCATACTGCCACCGCGGTCCGGAGTGCGGGCCGAACGCTTCGTAGGCTCGGTCCTGGCGAAGCTCGCCCAGCTCACGCTCGAGCTGTGAGAGTCATGGTGCCTCAAGGAGCTGCAGAAAGCGACGGCGAGGAAGAGGAGGAGGCTCCTGGGGTCGCGGTTGGCGTAGGTGCGAACGCTGCTGCGAATTCTACCGCAAGACACGAGGATGGCGCGATCAAGGTGCAGCCGGCTGTATTGACAGATCGAGATCAGCTGGCTAGACGATCCTTGAGCCCAGAGCATGAGGGCCATCCTCCCCTGCAGTCCACCTCAAAGTATATGGAGGGTCTATCGCTGCGACCAGGAAGGCCGACATCTCCCGACATGAGGTACGAGAGGCGTGACGTTGCCGAAGTCTCACTCCCAGTGCAACAGAGAGACGTTCGGCTCCAAGAGAACAGGGATAACATTGAACGATCAGACAACTCCCCAGTCGGTTCGTACAGCGCCACAGCACGTCCAATTGTTCATCGTGAGATTAAGACGATTAGCCCTCCGCCGATGCCACTTGGTGCCGATGAAGACGAGGAGGAAGACGACGAGAATGGCCAAAGAAAGGCGAACGGTCGGGATGTGCCACCTCCCAGTCGCAACGAGGCTTTCCCTTACGCCAGGAGGAGTCTCGGTTTCCTTGCTTCTCGGGGTGGGCTCGTGGAGAGAGATGAGATCAAACCGACTTCTGCTGAGGAGAAGGAGAACGAAGCCGTCCCTCCTCGAGCAGCAGCTGCCGCCGCTGCCTACAAGAAGAGTCTACAAAGTGTTTTGAATGCCAAGGTACCGATCCCGAGTACAAATGGCGGATCTCATATGTCCTCAATGGCTCAAAGACCACCTGCAGTCATGGAGAGGCAGCCTCTCTCCTCTCATCCTCGTGCGACGAATGGCAGCAACGCTCCCGTCGCCCAGGAGCCTCAGCGTCCGGTGGCTGCCATGGCTCCGCAGACCCCTGCGGCTCCCTTGCGTGATCCTCCGGCCAACGCAGCGGCTCCAGCCTCGCGAGCTATGCCACCTTCGCCCCTTTCTGCACCACCTGAGACCTATGACTTCGCCCGTCTGGAGCCCGCAATCGAAGCAGAGAAGAATCGGCTGTTGGATCTGAATGGATGGGATCCTTGGGTCCAAGCTGTCTTCGAGGAGGCCCAGAGACAGCGCTACAACGGCTCAAATTTCGGTGAGAATCTGGTGGGAAAGCCTCTCCCCACCCGCAAGGAGACGAAGTTCAGAGGATGTCGATACATGAAAGTGTCCAAGGCGGGAGACGGTGGCTTTTCTTCGGTGTTCCAGGTACTGGGGCCAACGATGATACCCGGCGCAAATGGCTTGGAGCCCGTACCTACAGAACTGCAAGGATGGTTCGCGCTGAAACAGGTCACCCTGAAGGGTTTGGAGCAAAGCTCAAGAGATGGATTGGTGCAGGAGGCGGAGTTGCTGGATGATCTCTCGCAGCTAGAACACAGTGAGCGATACCTAGTGCGATACTTTGGACACAAGCAGAATGGGGAGACCTTGAAGATGGTAAGTGCTGATTGGTCTTCGCATATGTTATTCCAGAGGCAATAGACTGATCCATCGTACTTCGCACTCGTTAGTTGATGGAGTTGGGCGAATCGGACTTCAACCGCCATCTCGTCGCCCATCACCCTCTGCCTCGACCGGCGCTGTCAGAGTACTACAAGCAAATGCTCGCTTCGGTCCACTTCGTGCATTCGGCCGGACTCCTACACACCGATCTGAAGCCGGCAAACTTCCTCATGATCCAAGGTCGCATCAAAATCATCGACTTTGGTATTGCTGAAAAGATCCCCATCGGAACCCTTCACATCCGTAGGGACAACATTGTTGGTACCCCGAACTACATGGCGCCCGAGACCATTCAGCAGAAAGGGGCTGAGCAGGAAGGCGTTGTGGCTTACAAGACCGGCAAGCCGGCAGACGTGTGGTCCCTGGGCTGCATTCTCTACCAGATGGTGTACGGCAAGACTCCGTTTGCAGATTTCAGCGGTCCAGCCAAGTTGAAAGCGATTACCAATCGCAACCACGTCATCGCATTTCCCACCAAGCGGCATCCCGACTGCGATGGGTCAGGCCCTTCGTCGGTGGAAGAGGTGGACGAGATGCTGATGGACTGTCTCAAGTCGACGCTGATCTACAGTGCAGAGAAGCGAGCCAAGATTCCAACCCTGCTGGATCATCCCTTTGTCAGAGACGACGTCACCATCGAGAGGCGCAAGCTGAGGAAGATTGTCTTGCGGATTCAGGCGTATATGCAGCAGGGAGGCCTTACCGACGACAACGTCGAGGAGATGGCCGATCGGCTGATGACGAATCTGCAGCTGGAGAGCTTCCGGCCCTTCTGCGAGAGTTGAGAGGGGGACAGCAACGGTCTTATGTCGGGCAAGTGGACGCGAGAGACTGCTCAAGAGTCCAACGAGATGCACGAGATCTACACTATCATTTATACCCGTCAGTGCGGCGTCATGTGCACCTCGCATCCACATCTTGATGCCTACCTGCCCTCTGGCTTCTGCCCTTGCAATATTCAAGGGTCCCTCTCACCCCAGCCTCGACTCCAGCTCAATCCTTTCCATCTATCAAATCATTCGCTTTCGATGTCATTTGTCTTTGTTTTCTATCTCTAACCTTGCATCGTAATTTCACATTGATACCCATGTCGAAGGGCTGTGTGCGGCTGATCTTGGTGCAGTGCCCGTGCTTGTGGCGGAGTTGAAGTGGAAACGCGACGCCTGAGCGGGTGACTGGCGGCCTGCCTCGCCTCGCCTCGCCTCGCACGGAACAAGAGGCGCGGGGGATGAGAGGATTGGATGCACCTCCCTTGACGCTCCCACCCACACCATCCAACCCTATCAGTCCCTTCATCAAGCAAATCAATCAATCCATCAGTCGTACCCGTCATTGTATACCGGTCACACGATACCATCTCATACCACCCTTCCAGCCTCGTCCGCAATATAGCGGTACACTAGGCTGCTCTGACCCACCGCATATACCCCGTCGAAGCGCGTGCGTGGGAAGACGCAATACGACTTGGCGAAGATGGCGAGCTGCAATCATCCCATCCATGTCGGTGGGATGTGCGCAGTTTGCGGCGCTCTGCTAAGGTGAGCCTGTCGATCTGAAAGCGCTCTCTTTCATACTCTTCAGAGCTGACTCGCCTGATTTCACTCCATCCCTCAGTGATGCGCAACAATCGCAATCCATCTCGATGATGCACGATACAGAGTCCGTCACCGTCTCGCGTCAAGAAGCACAACGCCTCGACTCAGAGTCCACGCGCCATCTTCTGGATCAGCGCAAGCTAGCCCTCATTGTCGATTTGGATCAGACCATCATTCATGCAACTGTAGACCCGACTGTAGGCGAATGGCTCAAGAGTCCCGAGAACCCCAATTACGAAGCCTTGAAGGGCGTGGGAGCATTCCGACTGGGCATGGATGGCAAGGCCGTCCTGGAAGATGGGACTGGTATAGGTTCTCGGTCGTCGTCTTCTTCGTCCACCTCCAAAGCGACCACTGCAGACGATGAAGGCTGCTGGTACTACGTCAAGCCTAGACCAGGTCTCGCCGACTTCCTCAAATCCCTCTCAGAGCGCTACGAGTTGCACGTCTATACCATGGGCACGAGGTCGTATGCAGACTGCGTATGCAAGCTCGTGGATCCAGACGGATCTCTGTTTGGGACGAGGATCCTCTCGAGAGATGAGAATGGCAGTCTGGTCCAGAAAAGTTTGACCAGACTGTTCCCGATGGATACGAGCATGGTGGTAATCATCGATGATAGGGGAGATGTGTGGAGCTGGAGCCCAAATCTGGTCAAGGTCATACCTTGTGAGTGGTCGTTGAACATGCTGACAGCTCAGCATTCCTCGAATGTCTGTAGTGATGCGTCCAATCTCTGAGCTCCTTCACCATACCCATCCCTCAGACGACTTCTTCATCGGCAGCGGAGACATTAATGCGACCTTCCTGCCAGCGGCTCCGGGCCCAGCAGCTATCGGACCTCCCCCTTCTGACGGAGCATCGTCCTCTGCCAATCCCCTCCCTACTGCCTCTCCCAGTGACGCAGTCATTTCGCCTACACCATCACCTCCCTCGTCACAGGGCTCAACGGAAGAACAAGCAGCTTCTGCAACCACCGAGCAGCTCAATGATGCTGCAGAGAAGGAAGAACAAGCTGCAGACAACGCGGCAAAGGCCAAGGCAGAGGAGAGTCAGAAGAGCGCCGTCACTGAGCAGCTAGGCTCCCGGCCTTTGGCTAAGATGCAAGAGAGACTAGACGAGGAGCTGGGTGTAACTCCGTCGCCGAGTGAGATTGGGGCAGAAGATGTGCAAGGACTAGTGGACGCAGTGGAATCATCTTCTGCTTCTAGTGCTCCATCTACGTCAGGCGAAGGACTAGCAAGCAAGTCCCCATCTCCACTGTCCCCTGCGACATCAGCAACCTCAGCAGCGCCTTCGCTAGAAGCTCCTGGCCCACCTCCTGCTAAGCCACAGCAAGCTGGCCCGCAAAGACCTCACGCTATCCTGAAGAACGACGATGTGGAGCTTCAAAGGGTGCAGAGGATTCTCGACTCCATCCACCAGCGCTGGTACGAACAATGGGACGGCAACGAGAAACTTAAACAGACGGCAAAGGGGACAGTAGCGGTAGATTCGAACACATTAGTCAAGCCAACGGTCATGGACATCATTGCCGACCTGAAGAAGGAGGTACTGCGCGATTGCGATATCGTCTTCTCAAGCCTCATCCCTCTCGGCGGTAGTATAGAGGACTCTGACTACTTCTGGCTCGCATGCGAGTACGGCGCCTCGTGCTCCGAAAAGCTGAAGCCTGACACCACGCATCTGATCGCAGCCAAGGGCGGCACAGCGAAGGTGAACGCTGCCCAGTCTAGGGGCCATGTTGAGGTCGTCTGGCCCAATTGGCTACACGATACTGTCGCGAAGTGGGAGAGACAGCCGGAAGCTTACTACCGACTGCCCCGAGCCCCTCCCGATGCTGAACCCCTCTCATCAGAGCAGCCCACCGATGACGAGCTTTTGACTTCTTCTGACGAGGAGGTGAATCTGACTGGGGGCGAAGGGGACGATGTTGCCTCCATAGGGCCGAGCAAAGACGGCGCTGAGTGGGCCGGACCTGGAGGCACGCTAGCTGGAGTGAACTGGGCAGAGGCGGACAAGGAACTTGAAGAGTACCTCAATGGCTCTGATGGAGACGAAGAGGATCTGGGTAGCGAGGACGGAGATGTGTCTGTGGCTGGCTACACCACTGACGGCAGCGTATCACGTACCCCGAGTAGGAGGGGTAAGCGCAGCCGTATGTCATCACCCTCAATTAATGGTGACGTCGTCAAGCAAGCCTCCAACGGGACCTCAGCCTCATCCAAGAGCTCTCCTCTCGTGCGCACAGCTTCGAGCACATCGAACCCCAACGGTAAGCGGCGCCGCGTGACATCCGGCAAGCACTCGGATGCGGAAGATACCGACAGTGAGCGACTACCATCTGCTTCTCGACTGGCAGGACGAGTCTCGGGATCCGCGACAGGTGGAGCTTCCAGCAGGAGCGGAACGCCCGCTGGAGATGAGACGGGGGCTAGCTTCATGCAAGATCTCGAGGATGAGATCGAAGCGGCCATGGGAGCGGTGTCCGACGATGGAGAAGGGGATGATGAGGGAGTCAAGGCGGATGGCTTTGAAGATGGAGAAGACGCAGGAGAAGCTGCAGCTTCAGAAGGGTTTGAGAAAGCGGGAGTGAGAGCGGATTGAAAGTCACCTCAGGAGGAGCCGGACGGACAGAAAGAGAGAGAGAGAGTCACGTCCGTCCAGGCACCCAAGCTACCCCTGCCCTTGCTTGCATACCAGTATCGTTCTCGTCTAGTGGTGCAAGTGTTGTACAATAGCCTCCACTTTCACGCCTTGTACTCCCTCAATGTGCTCTACACTTGCCTTTGTCACCTCGTTCTACTTTCCCCATCATTTTACCTTGTGACGTTTGATCGGGAGAGGTCTGTCAATTCGCCGGGAAGACTTTGGGCACAGACCTCCACACTGCTGCTTTTGTGCGGAAAGAGAGATTGACGGGCAAAGGAATATGCCGTACCGGCCTTCACCTTGACATTCTTGCCGTTCGTATGATGGATTGACAGCTCAGCTCGGGCTAGCTACGTCAACCCACTGAGATCCAGGATGACAGGCGCTTCTGCAGCATTCCTGCCTATCGAGCTCATCCCGGAGATCCTCTACCACCTCGCCCCACCCACCAACTCCTCCTCCTCCTCAACCTCCAGCACCACTGGCTCCAGCTCGGGCACAGGCGCCACCACTTCCGCATCCCCTCTTCGACCCCTCCTCAATACCGCTCTAGTAAGCCATGACTTCTACAAGCACACCGCTCCGCTACTGTACAATCGCCTCTTCCTCCGCTCTCAGGCACGAGTCGTATCCGTATTTCGCACCCTCGCCTCTTCTCCGTACCTGTGCAGTCTAGTACAGGTGCTGGAGCTGAGGGCGTACCCGCTGGGGATGGGAGCAGAACAGCTTGAGCGATTAGAGCGGGATGTGGGACGAGCACTGGGGATGATGCGGAACTTGAGGGTGTGCGTATGGACACGCATGGGAAGTCTGAATGGGAGGGTCTTGCCGGATCTACTGGGCGGATTCTGGAAGGGGGAGAAAAGAGGAGAGGACGAGGAAGAGGAGCTTCAAGAAACGAGGAAGAGCCAACTGCATACTCTGGAGCTTACGGGCAACACCAGGTTCTACGATGTGCAAGCTCTATGGAAGGGAAAGGGGGCAGAGACGTCCTTGGCGCCTAAGCCGCCGCCAAGCCGATCACATTCAAGCGACATCGCACTCGCCGAGCAAGTGCCGTCGATGGTGCTCGGCGAGTCCGATCAAACGACTCCACAATCTGTAGACTTGGCCCCACGTTCCTTCCCATTCCCTTCCCTGCTCCACCTCTCCTTTCTTCTCCCAGATCCAGGCGCAATTCGGGCCACCCTCGAGCTGTCCAAGCGCCGCCCACTCAAGTCCATCACGCTCCTCTGTCAACACACCAACGTCCTCTCTCCTTCAGACGTGGAAGAGCTGGCGTTGAGTGTGCAGGAAGTGGAGAAGCTGGTGCTGGTGGGATGCAAGTCGCTTGAGGGGGAAGGGTTGAGGAGGTTATTGAAGGGGAGTGAGAGCGGGGTGAGGATCTTGGGAGTGGAGGGATGCTCAGTGGTGAGTAATAGGCAAGGATGGGCAGCTCGTAACGGCGTCTAATTGGGCATCTCTCACCCTGGTTCTCTTACACCCCTACTCGCACACCTACAGCAACCCTCCGCCTACCCCTCCCTGCAGCCTTTCTTGGAAGACTCCCTCCGCACTCTTTCCCTCACACTCCCCCGCTCCGCCCTATCCTCACACGCAGAGTTCTACCAAGAGCTCAAAAGTCTCGTCTCCAGTCTACGCCTCTTGGAAGAGTTCACCTTGTACGCTCCGGGAGGCGTGCAGGCGGACGAAGAGCCGGCGAGTGGGGAGAACGAGATTATGTACGCTGGTCTGGAGGGGCTGGCAGATCTGCCCTTGCGGGTGGCTAACGGCGAGCAGAACAACGCCGTAGCCAACGACCCGCCCGAGAGTGGCTCACTGCACGATTACACGCCTCTGCCCAAGTATGTACCTCGGCTGCCGCTCTCCTTGCTGCGGGCCCTGCTGCAGCATCGACGCATGGCAGGAAATGCTGCTCAGCTGAAGCTGCTGCGGATACACGGCATCGTCTGCTCGACAGAGGGGCTAGGGTTGATTGGGCAGGCGGCAGAAGGACTGCAGGACCTGACCCTGCAGTTGGAGTACACGCCCATCGTGAGTGAAACGGGAAGAACGAAGGCTGCTTCGCGCTGTTCGTCTACTGACGGAGTATATCTCGTTGCTCGCTGTGACCACACAGCAAACACTTTCGATGTGTCTCTCCCCTTTGGCGCCTACCCTAGCCAGACTACACATCTTGTCTCGACCCGGATCCCAGCTAGAATGGCCAGAGAGCGACCTCCAACGGTTCGCCTCGCATCTTGTCAATCTGCCTCTGGCTGAGTCGCCGTCTGATACAGAGGCATTGCCGGAGACAGCACAATGCGGTCAAGGGGATGGAACGCATGAGTACATTCGGCCCGGAGCCCTAGTGCAAGTCGGCCTACGCAATCGCGTCTGGGAAGTCGAGCGGCGGTTGGTCCTCTCCCACCAGGACGCATTTCGGATAGGCTTGCCGAGTCGAGTGTGGGCACCAGACGAGCAAAAGAGGGAGCGAGGCGAGGGCGAGAGGAACGAATCGAATGGGCATGCTGACCGACAGTCACGATATCAATTCGAAGTCTCACTCAAACGGTGGGACGCCAGCGAAGGCAGATGGCCAGAAGCTTTACTGGTCATCAAAGCGTAAGGCATCTCCTCTCCATCCCTGGCAGCGTAGACTTCTGACAGTGGAGCTGATGTTGTGTCAGAAAGCAAAAAGAAATCGTGACGTCCGTTCGTTGTGGGATCCCAATCCGATTGTATCTCATCGTTAGGTGAATACTTAGAATTAGCCGTCATCCCAAATCAATTCGCCCTTGCAAGCTGTTGTGACTTTCGATGTCGATCTCTCTCTTCCCAATGTGTTGTAAATTCATCTAGCAATCGCGTGAATAGAAATGCAGAAAGAGGGGGGTGTCAGCCTCAAGGATTCGAACGGTTTACCCGCAGGTCAAGGGCAGTCGGATTCAACAATCCGCGCCCGCGTGTAGGCACTTCACCCGTTGCGCTACTTCGCCACTTTAAGATTACAAGGACGTACACGAACAGAGGCTACATATACTGCGCGCGCGCCGCCTTTTTTGCCCTCTGTCGTCGCTGCCTCGTTCCTGGCACGTACACATCGTCTTCAGTCACTCGATCACGCTTCGCGGCCTTGTACAGGACCTTGTTTTGGGTAGGATAAGATTGCTGGGAAAGGACAGAGCTAGCTATGTTACATGTAAGAGAAACCATCGTCAAGAAGGGTAATACGAGCAGACTGGGAAGTGGTGTTGATGACTACGTGAAAGAGAGACCAAAGACTGAGTGGTATGGGTGACCGTGGACCATGACCATGAGCATGAATGGTTGCGCCCTGCGATACCGATGACAAGCCGCTCAGAAGTCCTCCTCGAGGGAGAAGGAGTGGGTGTTCTTTTGTGTGCCATCGCCAGTCTCCTCGGATCCAGTGTCCTTTCGTGCAACTCCAGCCTTGGCGTACTCTGCGACCTTCTTCTCGAAGAAGTTTGTCTTACCCTGCAGACTAATGTTCTCCATGAAGTCGAAGGGGTTGGTGGCATTGTAGTGCTTCTCGTTGCCCAGGGAGACCAGCAGTCGGTCGGCGACGTACTCGATGTATTGGCACATCAGCTTAGCGTTCATACCGATGAGGGAGCATGGCAGAGCGTCGGTCAGGAAGGCCTGCTCGATACCAACAGCCTCGGTGATAATGGCCAGAACAGTGTCTGGGTGTGCCCGCTTCTTCAGGTGGCTGAACAGCAGGCAGGCAAAGTCGGTGTGCAGACCCTCGTCACGAGAGATGAGCTCGTTCGAGAAGGTGAGTCCAGGCATGAGACCTCGCTTCTTGAGCCAGAAGATCGAGGCAAAGGATCCCGAGAAGAAGATGCCCTCGACGGCGGCAAAGGCAATGAGTCGCTCGGCAAAGGTGGCGTTCTTGTCGCTGATCCATCGCAGAGCCCAGTCGGCCTTCTGCTTGACGACAGGGATGGTCTCGACGGCGTCGAAGAGGAACTCACGCTGCTCAGGCTCACGGATGTAAGTGTCGATGAGGAGCGAGTAGGTCTCAGAGTGGATGTTCTCCATCATGATTTGGAAACCGTAGAAGCATCGAGCCTCAGCGGCCTGAACCTCAGATGAGAACCGCTCGACGAGGTTCTCGTTAACGATACCGTCCGAAGCGGCGAAGAAGGCGAGGACGTGGGAGATGAAGTGACGCTCGTTGTCATTGAGCTTGTTGTCCCAGTCGTGCATGTCCTTGGACAAATCGATCTCCTCGGCAGTCCAGAAGGAAGCCTCTGCCTTCTTGTACATTTGCCAGATCTATTGATGAGCAAAAGAGGCAATAGAAACGCGGCGATTGATGGTGACGTGCACACGGAGGATGGTAAGCAGGAGATGGTATAGTGATGTGGGGCAGAGAGAGAGAAGGTGGAAGTCAGTATGGTGTGGATGCTCGACGTGCTTCGCGTCTTCATGAAATGTCTCGGCTTCACGTCACGCAAAGACGCGTCCACATTGACGTGTTTCCTGCGCTATGGGCTTGGCAGCCGCGAAAAGTCGCAGTGGCTGTTGTCGACTTCTGTACGTGAAGCCTCCCCCTTGTTGGACGCCATTTCTCACCTCGTGGTAGCGGATGGGGAAGAGAACGAATCGTCGCGAGCTCTCTACAAGAAGAGGCTCTTCCTCCTCGGGCAGGTCAACATCGCCAACGAACTTCTTGTGCACAGTGTCGGCAGAGTGCTCTAGAGGCTGACCCTTCTTGGCAGCGACCAGGTTGACTTCGGCGGCGGCAGTAGGAGCGATCTTGCCTTTTGTGAGGAATGCAGGCTCGGAGAAGTCGTCCGAGTCGTCAGCAACTGAGCCCTTCTTCGATGGGGTAGCGTTGACGTCGATGTTGGCGAAGCCGGCGGCAACCTTCTTGGAAGGTGTCTCGGGAGCAGTAGGACGAGTGGCAGTCGACATTGTATATGTTTGTGTGGGTGGATGGGGAGACAGTGGGGGAGCGGATGCTATGCTGCGAGGTACGCGTTGTGAAGCGTGATGTGATGAAAAGCGAGTCAGACGCCGTGTATTGTGATGCTCTAGAGCGGTGGCAAAGTGATCCAGTGATGTCGGCTGGTGAGCGGTCGTTGAACAGTGTTCAGTATGAGTGGTCGGGTGAGGCTCGAGGGTAGGAGTAGTGGTCAATGGTTGTGAGGGAAGTGTTTTGGTGGAAGAGGCGGGTGGTGAGATGGATTCTATATAACTTTCGCGCCTGACGATGTCATCCGCCGATCGCGCGCTACTCTACGCGAGGCAGGGCCAGACGGGGCGCGTCTTCGTGTTTTACTCCCGGCCTGCCTCTTTCGAGTCACGCAACGCAACGCGATGCAAAGCAAAGCATGCATAGTTGGGTCTCCACCCCTCCGACTCCGCCTGCTTCTTTCCTCTTTCCAGCTCCTCGATTGCATCAGAAGCTCCTGCAGACAAAGGCCGAAGGCCGGTGAGGTATTGCAGTCGCCGGCACCTACCCTTCATAGCCACAAGAGCCTGAAGGGGTAATGCACCCAAAACCTTCCTCTGCTCTGCCGCATATGCAATGAGTACCCAACAAGTCTTCTGATCTGGAATGCCATTCGAAGCAGAGGCGAGGGGTATTGGCCCAGCATCCTGCTCGCATGATGTGTACACGACGGGGTGTGATATCAGATAACATTCCAAGGGAGACGCGTCCAAAACGCGAAGAACATCACAATCCCCGCCGATCATCTTTTCCCGTCCGCTCTTCCGCTGCTCCATCTCCGGTCACCTCTTGCTCCTCAGTCCAATGCCCTCATATCCCGCCTGCCTCTCCTTCAATCCGCTGGCATATCTGCCCCACTTCTTCACGCCCTCGTGCTCAAACAGAGCCTCGACCGTGTTGAACCTACTGGCCAGGTCGTCTGCTGGCAGCATGTGGTGTACAGCAGAGTGACACGGACGGCAGAGCATAGCTAGCCTGCTCCGCATCTCATCAAGGGTATAAGTACCTTGTCGCGACAACTTTGCATGCTCGGAGCGAGGTATCAGATGATGTTCTGTTAATGGCATCATTCTCTCGCAGATCTCGCATTCGCCCAGAGTGCCCTTCTTGTGCCGGGGGCGAGCAGAAGTGACTGGATCGGGCGGAGGTGTGCGCATGCTATCCAAGATCTCCTCGACAATCGTCGGCGCAGCAGAGACCGCCTCCGCTTCATCAAAAAGGAGGAGCTCCTTCAGAGTCGACAGTACGAGCGAGTGAAGCGGGTGAGACTCTAGCTCTTGCAAGGTGTGCGACGTATCGTCTGCTCCAGCGGCATTCGCGCCATCGTCCGATGTATCAGGGGGCGACGGTAGATACACGCCCTGGCTCACTATCTCCTCAGTCAAGTACTGAATGGTCTCTTGAAGGTCCTCTAGAGTCTCTACGGAGTCTTTGCCTCTTTCTTTACCACTGCGCCTGTGCGACTTTTGGTCTTCATGTTGGCCGAATGCCCATGGCGTGAGCACACTCGTCAGGACGTCCTCTATACGTGCGCGCCGTGCTTCACCATCGTTGACTACCTGAGACGATGGCCCACGAGCATCGGAAGGCATGCGGTGGTACGACCGCGCTCGAGCAGGAGATCAGGGGTGGAAATTGTTGATTGGGCTGCCAAAAGTAACACCCCTCACGGTGACTTTGAGACTTTTGGGCTGACCACATCGCGACTCGCGTATTGCCAGCCGCGTGGCTTGACTTTTGTGGAGAAGCTGTGACATCAGCGGCTGCAGGAGCCCGACAGAGACAGCTTCTTCCCGCCCACCGCCCGCAATGGCGCACGTCCTCCCTCTCCTCTGAAAGCCAGGAATTTCGAGCTCAACGACGTAAGGGTCCATTTGTTCGTCGACTGCTCCACCTCTCCACATGTGCGAGGATCATAGCGAGTGGGGCAGAGGGTGTCGTGTGCTAGAGGTATAGATTTTGAGGCCACCTCGTCAGCTTCCCTTCGCCCTGTCCCACCACTTAGAGAATACCACTTCTCAGAGGAAATCGCACAGCATGTCTCAGACCACTACTATTCCCTCGAAGATGCACGCAGCTGTGCTGCGAGAGTACAAGAAGCCCTTCAGCTACGAGGAGGTGCCAGTCCCAGAGGTCGGCGATGACGATGTCCTCGTGCAGATCAAGGCTGCTGGCTACTGCCACACTGACCTGCAAGTCAACGAGGGTGTTTACGAGAGCGCTGGAGCCAAGCCTGGAATGATTGGAAGCCACGAGCCCGCTGGTGTTGTCGTGAAGCTGGTGAGTAGATCCATTCCGTAGTAAGTCTCCAAAAGCCATGTCTCACATCCGCAATCTGGCACCGCTCTTCTTCTGTGCAGGGCAAGAACGCTGAGAAGCGAGGTCTGCTGAAGGTCGGCGACCGAGTCGGCTCGATCAACACATAGTGAGTAGCCTCCGAGTATGAAGAGCGAATCGATCCTTCTCAGAGCGGAGATCTTACGCAACACACTCCTGCTGTCCTCTTCAAAGCCACCCATGCCACAAGTGTGACGCTTGCAGAAACCTCGGCGAGCAGCTTTGCATGAATGTCGGCGGTATGCTGGGAGTGTCAGGAGGAAAGGATGCACCCAAGGGCAAAGACGGTGGCTTCGCCGAGTACATGATCGCGGATGACACCGTTCTCGCCAAGGTTCCAGAGAGTATTCCATGGGCAGAGGCAGCACCCCTCTTCTGCGCTGGCGCCACCACCTACGGTGCCATCCTGGCCGCCAAAGCCGAGAGGGACCAGTGGGTGGGTATGATCGGTGTCGGAGGACTAGGCCACCTGGGTGTTCAATACGCCAAAGCCCTTGGCTACAAGGTCGTCGCCATCGACAACAGGCAGGAGGCCCTTGATCTCGTCAAGGAACTGCCCAAGCATCTGCAAGCCGACAAGTATGTCCTGATCGACTCGGAGGATGCTGAGAAGAAGGCGACCGAGGAGCTCGGAGCTGCCTTTTACGACTCCAACCCAGGAATGGACCGAGTGGTGATCAACACCGAGGCGCGACACCTCGTCAAGTGGTCTCAGCAATGTCTGCGAGTCGGCGGTATCATCGTCGACGTTGGACTGCCCTCTGGAACTACACTGGAGGTTGATCCTTTCCCGCTGTCCTTCAAGGAGCAGACTGTCCGTGGACGTTTGATCTGCACACCTGCCCAGTCGCAGGACATGGTCAACCTTCACGCCTCGGCAGGATGCAGGACGTACGTCGAGCAGACTTTCCCATTGAAGGACATTGCTAAATGTCAGGAGAGGTACCTGTCGAAGGACCTCAAGGGACGCCTGGTGATCGTGATGGACTGAAGTGAGATAGAGACTGTGAAGCAGGGCAGTTTTCGACATAGAAAAAACCGAGTCCCAGAATCCGCATACCTGATTGTCCGCCGATCCCTTTGATTGCGAGAGCCTGAGTGAGCTACTTTTATTAACAGCAATGGGTATCATCATTAGAACAGGAAGAAGGCAAGCCTGCAACATCGGAGGCGCGGAATGGAATGAATGGTGTACAGGGAAATATGAAGAATAGCGACAATCGTGAGCCGACCTGAGGAGCTGTTGGAGGCGTTGTCGGCATCGAAGGGTGCACGCGGGCGGCCAGAAGAGGGATCGCATAGCTCCTTCGAAGATAGAGAGGTGTTGCCGAGCAGGCCAGGTGGGCGCGGGAATCGTTGTTTGAGGGAGCGTTCTGAGAGGAAGAGAATGGCTCTTCGTTGGATTCGGAGTCTACCAGCTGCCTACATTTCCTCGTCCAAGCCAAGATCTCTCCTCCTCCTTCGTCGACTGGACGCCTTCTGGTCTGCAATATACGTCGCCAATTCCGCACTCGGGTTCGGTCTGACCACCCCTGATGCCACACAGAGGTTGAGTCCATCGTAGATCTGATCGCAGTCCATCGAAGGGTTGTTCGTCTCCATCATGGAAACCTCAATGCCATATTGTGCTGCAATTGAGTAGCAGGTGTCAGAGGTAGTGGCGCGATGCACCAATTGGCAGTCCGAGCCATACCGGCCAAGGCAGAGCTCCTGCGAGAGAGGGGAAAGGGGAATGGGTCAGACATGGTGAGGACAGAGCGTAACCGGTGAGGCGCGCTTGAGCATGAAAGACAGAAAGACTCACAGCACCAGTCTCGAGACTATAGCAGCCCGTTCCAGCAGAAGGCAGGTTGAAGGCTAGGATCTGGTAAGTCGAAGTCAAGGTCTTCTGGCCAATGATATCACAAGTGTCGTCTGCTTTGACGGTGTAGGTGCGAGCGCAAGCAGTGTCCATCGAGGAGAACTCGGCGGCGTGAGTGGAAGAGAAGAGTGTGACGAGGGATAGGAGAGCCAAGGTCAGGACGTGGCCGAGACTTGCGACAGGCTGGAAGCGAGCCATCGTGGTAAGGGAATGCGAGCCCGCAAGGGAAGTGAGACAGCAGAACGACGCGGCTCGAGCTGGCTTTTGTCTCGGTGCCGGCAGTCTGAGAATGAAGGCGACTGCGAAGGTGTGAGATGCGAACAAGGATTGGCTTTGGTGAAGGAGATGGTGAAAGGGGTCAAGGCGCCGTGGGTGGTATCGAGCGAGTGAGTGAGTGTACGGCCATGCTCACACGCCCCTCAGCGTGTCGGCGCCTTGTGTTTGGCTACGCGGGGAGGGGCGTCCACCACCGCGCAACGATCGGAGCCTGGATCTTCATGCGGGCTCGGTTTCAAAAAGACGGAAGCAGAGAAAAAGCGTCGGTGACAGGAGAAGCCGCCTCGGGGAATTCAGACGGATGGCTTTGCCCCCGATACCATTGGCAGCAGACCTGTTCCCACCATCCACCTTCAATATTTATAGATGCTTCCTTGGCCTTGGTAGACTAAGTTCTCCTGTTCTCATCGATCCGCCGTACCCCCGCTTCATCCATATCTCAATCGACTCGCTCTTCTCGAGGCTCATTCCCTTCATCCCATCCCATCTCAATCCACTCGCTCCATTTCTGCTGCGAGACTGACTTTTCCTCGCTGATCCCATCACATCCATTGCATCCAAGACCATATCGTATCCTCATATCATAGACGTACCGCAAGCATGACTCTCTCGATTTCTCCACGCAACCAAGACGACGGCCTCGCCCGCTCTCTTGAGGCCTCTTCCTCAACGTCCATGTCCCCCCCGGGCCTCGGCACGAATGTAATGGCCATGCTCGGTCAATTCCAAAAGGAGCGTCAGAAGCAAGAAGCCAAGTTCGCAAAGCTACAAGCTAAGAGTCGAGCGCAGGAAAGAGCTCGGCTGGCTGCTCAGCGCAAGCAAGATAAGCAAGACGCTGATGACGCTGAGGCTGAGGCCAAGGTGCTGGCAAAGGCCCAGGCTGAAGCTGAGGAGCAGGAGCGCGAGGAGGAGGAGAGCCTGGCCGAGGCCGAGGCGTGGGCTGATATAGAGCGTCTGGCACGTATTGATGCCGGTATCGAAGACCCCTTCACAGAGACCATGTCCCTCGCCAGCAGCGGCACAGGCGAAGGTGCCGATGGCGAAGAGGATGAGGAAGACGATGTCATCGACGTCGACGAGTGGCGCCAGTTGGTGCAGGAGGACTTTGGCCAGTCTCAATTTTGGTACTCGTCCGCATTTGCCTACACACTAGCCAGGCATATCCACTCGCATCTCCGTACACTCGACGTAGACCACACGCCCCGCATCGCCTTCCTCTGCTCCCCTACGGCCTTTGTCGCTTTCCAGCACCTGTACGGCGGCAACAAGCCCGGTCGTGACTTCAAGGCAGGCGAGAACATGTGGATGATGGAGATCGACGAGCGCTTCAAGGTCGTCGCTGGCGACGGCTTCGCGAAGTACGACTACAACTTTCCCACCAAGGGACTGGCGAATCTCCAGGGCAAGATCGACATGGTCGTCATCGACCCACCCTACCTGAACAGGCCTACAACGGACTGCATTGCCAAGACCGTGGCGCACCTCCTCTCTCCGCCCTCTGAGCGCCTGCCCAGAGGCGGATCCATCCTTCTGATCACAGGCGAGACAATCGGCGCCTATGCCTGTCAGACCTACCCACTGCAAGGCCAGCCCGAGCTACGAAAGACGATGCTCGAGGTGGAGCACCAGGGGGGAAGGTTGAGCAACGAATTCTCCGCATGGGCCTCTTGGGAGGGGGCGGAGAAGTTTGGAATTGGCGATGGAGAGGGAGAGGAGATTGGGAGGTACGAGTAGAGATCAGGAGAGGAACGATATCGTTATATACCTATATATTAGAGTAGACTAGACTAGAACAGACTAGACTATAGAACAGACCAAGGCTGCGGTCTCGCATCGCATGCCAACATTGTAATACACGCACGCACGCTTGCAATCCCATATGTATCATTCTCGTTCACCCTTCTCCTAAGATACAGTCGGGGTTGGGTTGAGTAGTATTGGATATGCTGTTGGTATTGCGCTAGAGCCTGCAGTGCACTGTATGTGTATCTGCAGTGAGGTACTGGTGGATTTGACGATGAGCAGACGAATTGACATCAAGAAGAAGAGCAGATAGGGAGGAGGCAAGAGACTGGCGAGAGGAGAAGAGGACGCGGCATCAAAGAGAATGCGAGGAGCAGCGAGACCACTGTCCGTCTCAACGGATCTTCTCGAATGCAAAGGCGAGGTAGATGGCTGTCGAGAGGGAAAGCAGAGCGGAGCAAGCACAAAACAAGTCAGTTAGACGCTCGGGCGGTCACTCCAGATCCGTCCCCTACATCCTCCCGCTTGTCTCTGCCCCAATTCACTCACTAGTCGCTTCCCAAAGATCGTCGTCCATGGGCTGCACATCTCTCCTTGGATTGGAAGAGACCTTCATCCTCCGCGCCAGGTTCTCGAACTCGTGCTGATGGCGGAACTCCTCCCATACTTCCGCCATTGGCTTCTTGAAGATGAGGGAGAGGCCACACTCTTTTGCGAGACTAAACAGGTGGAAGGTTTGGGGAGCGGGCTTAGTCAGGTGTCCTTCTTCTGTTGGTCAGCCTGCGCTGCTGCAGACTTGTACTTACCTCTCGAATTGATCCCAATCGACCACGTACTCGGGCACCTCATCAACAGCGTCATCGAGGAAGAAAGTGTAGCGATCTCCGAACGGTTTCCTCTTCTCCTTTTGCTCAAATGTAACGCGGTACTTTCCGTTGCCGAAGCCTAACTCATCCGGTCCGAGCCTGTCTCTTCGGCTGTAAAGTTCCTCTGCGTTGGGAATCGTGCCGATGAAGACGCCTCCCTTGTCCAGATACCTCGAGACGTTCTCTATGACCAGACGAGCCCTCTGCAATGTAGACCATCCGTAGTGCATGCAAAATTGTAGACTGACAGTGTCAAAGGGCGGATCGAGGACTTCGGGAGGCAGGGTCGTTGCGAGAGATTCTCCGAAACAGTCTAGGGCGAAGAAGGACGCCTTCCATCGGAATCTTCGCTCTAGGTAGCGGGCTTTGGCCTGGTCGACGCTCGTGGCGGCAATGTCTGCCAAGACGAGCTCTCTGACGCCTAGCTTGTCCCACTTCTGCAGATCACCGCCCTTGCCACCGCCCATGTCCATCGCTTTCCCACCTCTACGGCCAAAGGAGCCAATCAGGACAGACTTGACCCAATTGTTGAAGTTCTTGAGCGGTAGAATGGGAGAAAAGTTTCGCGCTTGCAAGCCGAGCTCTTGACGGCTGTTGTAATGCCGTGCTACTTCACTCTCACTATGAATGAGCGTCGAGGGTGCCTCGATGGCAGCGCTCTTGGCGTCTGAGAGGCCAGACTTCTTTCCCCAGGTCTGCAGGACCAGCCCAAAGCCATCCGCGCCGTCGCGACCCTGAGCTCTGTCTTGCTCCACCCACTTCTGCCTCAGCGTATTCGCACCTCGCGCTTCGATTGTCTGGTGAAGCGCGATGAGATCTTGCTGCGATAGAGGCCGGCGGATCGAGTCTGGAGCTGAGACTCGATGTTTAGGTCGGTACGGAAGGGGCTCGTTGAGAGACCCAGAGGCTTGGTCCACGAAATGCTCTTGCGCTCCTTCGCCACCTGCGACCTTCTGGTCGGGTTCCAGTTCACCGATGCCACTCGGGACATTGGTGAACGACGGTTTGGCAGGCAATGAAGACGCTGGCGACTTCTCCACCTTGATGCTCTTGGACTGTTCAACAGGAGCAGCTAGACTCAAGCTCTTCCTCTTCTTGCTGTCTCTGCTGGTGAGACGTTCCATCTCGTCCATTTCGAGGAGCTTGACCTTACCCACACTGGATGAGGCAGCGGAAGGGGTAGAGGGAGGGATGGCATTGTCCTCGACCCTGGCTGTCGATGCTTGCCGCTCTGTACTTGCAGACTTTGAGTCCGAGGTGCTGTCATTGGAAGGCGTATGAGCTGGGTGGCCGTTGCTGCCTTGATCAGACTTGACAGAAATTAAGCTCTTGGCCTTCTTGACTGCAGGGGCACGCTCCCCGGTCATTGAAAGCTCCGTAGCGATGCCGCTGCCAAGCGCCTTGGCATCCCTTTCCTCGACATCTCTCGTTGCGGCCTCGGCTTCTACCGTTTCTGAGGCAGTCGGTGCGTACCTTGCATCGGAAATTCCAGCCAAATCGTCACTGAATCTGCCTGAAGATTTTGGCCGCTTGTGACTTACAACAGACTCCTGCGTCGTGGATCTTGATCGCTTCATTCCGATTACATCTTGATCGTTGAAGATCAAAGACTCTGCATCTGAGGAGCGACGTCCATCTGTGTTTGAAGCGACCTTCGATCCCTGCTGCACGTCTGTGGAGGGCGCGGTGCTAAGAAGACCATCCACAGACATGCGAGCCGATGACGGAGGGCGTTGAGGGGCTTCGTACTGATCAAGTGATCTCATATTTGACTCGCTGAGGGTCGCAGAACCTCGAGAAGTGCTACGACTGTACGTGGGAACAGAGGTCGGTGTCATCGTCCTTGTCGTCCTAGCTCGATCTCCGATGGGTAGACCGCCAGGCGTCAGAGCTACCCCCGGCGTGACGGGGCTCATCACGTCCCTGCCCCCAGGAGTCATTGGCAATCCGGGGGGCGCTCGATAGGCGAAGTATTCGTGGCCCACAGGAGCAGAGCCGAAGGTACCGCTGCTCGGTAAGCTAGGCGATCCTGAGGTCATGTGCGGAGTCAATGGATGGACGTAGCTCTCTCGCGGGTGGACAGGTCCATCGTACGAGCCGCTGTACGAGGTGGAAGGGCTGGGAAGTGCTAGTGGAAGTGGAACTCTCCTGGACTCGGGAGAGCGATGCGAGGGCAGGGAAGGAATTCGAAAGCCGTCTGCGCTTCTGTAGGAGTGGGGTTGCGAACCATCTGGAACCGCGGAGTGGGATAGCTGAGGGGAGATGCCGCTTGTGGGAGGCAAAGCAGCAAAAGAGGTAGTCCGAGGTGATTCGACGCTTGCATAATCGTAGTGGTACTGGCTCCCGCCTAGATGGGACGGATGAGAGCCCATCGGCGACGTCTCCTTTGGGGATCCGGAAAGGCGAGCATTCATAAGCGGGCTTCCGCCGCTACTTCTATAGCTTGATGTCCGCGCCTGTACTTGGAGCGAAGACGTTTCCGGCTGCAGGTACTGTCCCTGACCAGCCTCCATGCTACCTTCCCTGCTCAGGTACCCCTCCCTACGGAAATCGCCAGAAGGACTGCCTCTTCCAGCCCTGTCTTTACTGCTCTGACCTACACCCGATCTGCTGCCTGAACTGTACGCTGCTACAGATCCAGGCGAAGGATTCATAATGTTCAAGAGACGAAAGGACGGGGATCGTTCCTGCCGGGTCTCGAATCTGGGCTGAGGCGGCTGCTCGCGAAGGACATCATAACTGAACCGATGAGAGCCTCCTCTGGCAGTTGCCTCTACGCTAGTCCAAGCTCCTTGCGGATGGTGCTGCTGGTCACCCCATTGACCGACATGAGTGCTAGAAGACGATGAGCTTCCTGGCCGTCCTTGGTCTGGAGGCCCTGAATCAGAGGGATTGAGAAGATCAACTAGGCTGGCTGATCTTGATGGTCTCCGGGCGTGCTGGCTGTCCTCCGGATACACCTCTGCATTATTCATCTGCCTGACCTTGGAGCTGGAGGAAGAGGAAGACGGCCGAGCATCTAACAGTGGAGTCGGAGAACGCTGAGACGATTCGCGTACGGGGTCGTAGCCTGCCATTGCTGAGGATGGAGACAGGGGATGGATCGGCTTTCACCGATGGCTAAGCGCGCCCTCTGCCTCGTGAGCACGCCCGCCGACTCTTTGCCGTCGAAGCGGGTAGTGTAGGGTTGCCAAAAGAGCTTGCTGAACCAGCAGCAGCAGTGAAAGGGGGGTATCAGTGTGGTAGCAACGCGGATATCAAGTTGAGAAGGATGTACGAAAAGGCAGTGCGGCGAGAGGCTGGCTGAGATGGCCTCGACCAAAAATGGCCCCACCGCCGGGCGGAAGGAGCAGCTGGTCCTTCCGCTTGACCCCCGTTACCTTGCACTCGGCTTCGGTATCACTTCCTTAGCTCAAGCGCTCCGTTGCCTGAGCACTGTGAGCCACGAGTGTTCCGCAGTGAGAAGCCTTCCTAGCTGCCGCTGCATCAGACTCCATGGCTCTCCCGGGTGCCCCGCCGCCAGGCAGCGGCCCCTCGAGGCGGTATCCGCCATCCGGTCCTGTCTCTCAAATTCAGACGCCAGGCTTTGCCGGATACAACATCGCATGGAGCCCCTTCTTCCCAGACCGATTAGCCATAGCTGGCAGTGCTAATGTAAGACCTCGAAGGACACAAACGCCCACTTCATGTGAATGATGCTCATCTCATCTGATACTCTGCCTCACAGTACGGACTAGTGGGCAATGGAAGACTCCACCTCGTCGGCGTCTCGTCACCGCCGGGTGGAGCCGGCCTTCCTCAGATGAGCCTGCAAAAGGTCTTTGATACACAGGACGGCCTCTATGATGTAGCATGGTCAGAGGTGCACGAGAATCAGCTCGTGACGGCATCAGGGGACGGCTCGATCAAGCTGTGGGACTCTACGCTCATGGACCATCCGATCCGCAATTGGCACGAGCACTCAAGAGAAGTCTTCAGCGTTGATTGGAACAACATCAAGAAGGATGTCTTCGTAAGCAGTAGCTGGGATGCGAGCGTCAAAGTCGTGAGTCGTATTTGAGAGGCAAAGCTTCCAGCAGACCAAGCGATTGCTCACCCCGCATGCCGCCTTCTTCCCACAGTGGCATCCTGAGCAGCCTCGCTCTCTGTCGAGCATTACCACCCACACCGCCTGCGTGTATTCTGCTATGTGGTCACCTCATAATCCGGATGTTCTAGCCACTGCTTGCGGAGACGGCCACCTACGCCTCTTTGACCTTCGAGCTCAATCCTCGCCCGTTGCAGGCCCACACCCCGTAGCAACAATACCCGTGGGCGGCGAGGTGCTGTCCTTGGACTGGAACAAGTATAGGACGTGGAACATCGCCACTGGCAGTACGGACAAGAGCGTCAAGGTGTGGGATCTGAGGGGCGCCAGTGCAAATGCGGCAGCAGGGCCTCCGCCTCCGGGAGGTGCTAACGCGAGGAGTCAAGGGCAGATTGCAGCGGTGTGTACCGGCCATGAGTATGCAGTCAGGAAAGTGGCCTTTTCGGTGAGTACTCAGAACGGTATTGCAGTGGTGGCTTGCTCGAAGCTCAAGTGCTCGCCCTTGCCCTTCTTCATGCTTCCTCCAGCCCCACTCACCCTCACTCCTGGCCTCGGCAAGCTACGATATGACCGCCCGGATATGGGACGTAGACCACCCTTCTGCATCGCTATCGTCTGTTGCTTCGCGCCTCGGCCAGCCTCAGGGCATGGGAGGAGCGCTGAAGAAAGTACACGATGCCCACACTGAGTTCGTTGTTGGGCTGGCGTGGGGCCTCTTCCAGGAGGGTCTGGTAGCAAGCACTGCCTGGGACATGTCCGTGCACCTGTGGCCATCACGTTGAAGAGGCAATACCCAATGACCTATGAGGCATAAGTATGAGCACAGATGTGAACATCGAGGAGATCTGCGACGATCGAGATTGCTTTGTACGGCCCTAGGGTGAAGGTGGTCCGCACTGGTGTGGCAGAAAGCGAGCAACGAAGCAAAAGCGTGACGATCGAGACGATCGACGACGAACCCCATGACCTCACCTCGGACGTGATACCAGCAAGAGCAGCAAGCAAAGCGGATGAAACCGGATGGACAGTAATGGCGAGAGCACTTCGTTGCACGGCGCTGGAGCGGTGTGGTGCCGTCCTCTCGAGGTGAACGTTACACCCAGCTTACACCAGAGTTCAGGGCAGGATTCGTTTGGCGCAGACCCGAGAGCAAACCTTACCCCTTGCCTTGTGCCCTGACGCTGTGTGTGCTGGCTCTTCGTGCCTGCTCAGTCGAGAGCACGGGTACAAATACCAAGCCCTTCGTCGCCTCTGATCTCCCCTTCTCCCCCTTTCCTCGCCATCCCTTCCTACTGCCACGCTCTCCTCACACCACCCATCCACCACCGCCACTATCCTCTCGACAGAACGACACCTCGCCTTCTCCGCACCTCGACACCTCGACAACACTACCCCTCGACACCTCAACGGCTCGACATCTCACCGCATCGACTCCTCAACAACACCTCGACTCCTCAAGAAGACCTCGACCCCTCAACCTCAACATTTTGGGCTCCTCAGCACCTCGACTACCTAGTACCTCGCCATCTCGCCATCTCGACCCCAGCACCTCTTTAGCACCTCGATACCTTCGCATCCTGCATCTAGACCTATCATAACATTAGGTCCTCAAGCATTTGACTCCGCCGTCACCCACGCCTCTTCGACAACCTGGTCCTTTCATCAATTGGTGTCAACAAGTCACACATTCAACACCCACGATGGGCCTCGAGCTGCCACCAAAGCTCATCAGCTGGGCCCATAGCGACAGAATACAAGTCAGCCAGCTCTGTCTTACCCATCAGACATGTCGCTACAATGACGCAAAGGTTGCTACTCTAGCCGCGAGTCGGGTCCCGTGTCTAGTGCAACAACCCTCATCAAACAAACGAGTCAGCTTAGCGACGCTAAGTCTGGGCATCAAGACGCTTTCATATGCCGAGAGGGGTGAAATGAGGCAAGCCCTCGATGCAGCTGCAAGGATCAGCCAGAAAGCCCAGCGGAAAGTCTCACACACTCTCCTTTATCCCGTGCCTCTGGCTACCGTCGCTGAGGTCACTGGCTACGAGGCCAAAGCTGAGGCAGCTTGGAATTACTGGCATCATCCGCTTCTCTCTTTTCCAACCAGAGAAGCACCCTTTCGACTCTCTCAGCTGCAGTCCGCCAGCTTCCGTATCCCGAGGCAACCGAGATGAATATCGCTTCGACCGCCGCCTCGGCTACGAGTTTTGAGCGCGTCATGCGTCCCGTCGGACAGCCGGAGAGCTTCTGGATGGAGCATCTCAATTCGCGGCTGCTGTCAGCTGCTTTTGAGACGTCTTTCGAGAGCGGCGAGATCCTGTCAGTGGCAAACTCAGTCTGGACTAAGGGTCGCGAGCTACAGGATGCTCGGCTGGCGGCGGTTCCAGGCTTTACAGATCCTAAGCCGGATACTGCTTTCGGAATCGGCTTCGAGAACAGAAGCGTGGCTGGCAAGCCCTTCTGTGCTTCTACGCTCGCCAGGCTTCAAGAAGCTTTTCCGTACTTTGTGCTGTCCCCGGACGGAAGGGAGACGCTGCGTGCCCTGATGCCTGGATTCATTTACGAGGCGAAGCCCGACCTAGAGCGGCCGGATGTGGTCAAGGCACAGATTGCGCTTGGAGCAGCCAGAGTCTTGGCTGTGCTGCAGCGTCTCAAGCAGCTCTCGAGGACGGTCTCTCCCCCTCCGGTCGTTGTGTGCGCCACCTCGACCGCACATCATTGGGACCTGTACCTGGCGACCGTCTCTACCCTTCAATGCCCTCATCAATGGATGAGCAGTCTTGCACATGCCGTTTGAAAACTTCAAAGGCGAGACTAAGCCCAAAGACCGAGGCAAATGTGTGCCGGTAACAGCTAAGACGTAGCTAATAATGGCTTATGATGTTATCTCCGCCCGGTCAACGTCGCTAGAATTCATCTCGACCCCTGTGCATAGCTAGAGTCCCGACCTTTGTAGATAGCTAAGCATAGTAGCAGACTAAAGAATGCGTTGTGCGACATCTCAGAATACAAGTACAGGCTTTCATAATAGAGAGAAAGGGTGACAGAAGAAGTGGCGTGTGTCGGTGTATGTCTCATGGGCTGACACAACAGTGAGTCCGACCTTTCCGCACAATGGCAGCGTGTCATCGTCCGCGAGTCCGGCCGAGGGCTTCGCTCTTCGGTAACCGCGAGCCCGATCAGGAACGCGAGTGGCTAGTACAAACGATCGAATGAGGACCCTGATGTTGTGCGAGGTATGTGTTGAACAAAGCTATTCACTTGACCCGACAGCAAGGGAGGATGCACCGATCCCAACCCGAAGTCCGTTTCCAGGCAGCAAAGACGCAGCTTTTCTCGTCGCAGATGCGAAATCATGTAATTTTGCTCTTTACTTCCCCAAGCATCCATTCTGAAAGCATCGAAGTCCTGCATTGTCCCCTTCTTTGCGCATCCGTTCGTTGCGATCGGACATCATGAACAGACAACGGCCATTGCGAGCCACGTCTCCCAACATCCTTCAGCGACTGCAAGAGCACGGCGTCCGCTTCCGTGACCTGCAGGAGGCGCCTGCAGATGCCGCCGCTCTAGCCAAGTCCTTTGTCGACTTTCCCTCGAAATACCCCTTTTCAGACAGGACGAGTAGCTTGGACACCCTCAGGAATGGTGTCTATGTTCTGTCATGTGGCATGGGCGCTGAGATGAGGCACGCCATCAATGCAGCTGCTAGCCCACGTCCAGAGCTGATCCAGGATGCCGCCGGGCTGCCAGAGGGGTACTGGATGAGCAAAATCAACTTCCCTACACTCATGAAGGCCTTCGATGAAGCATTTGAGACGGGAACCATTACAGTCATGCAGGGCATACTCTGGGCCAAGGGTCGGCAGCTGCAGGACGCCCGCCTGACGACGCCTCGCCGCTACGCCAATCCAAGGCCCGATGCTGTCGTCGGTCTTGACTTCGTCCGAGGAGATGCTGTTGTGGCCGGAGATCCTCTCTGCACCACTGTGTTGGACAGGCTTCGGGCCGGTTTCCCAGACTTTGAGCCTTCTCCCGATGGGTACGCCTTGCTGCCAGGCTTCATCTTCGAGGCGGAGCCGGAAGATGGCAGAGCTGAGGTGCTAAAAGCACAGGTTGCATTCAGTGCGGCAAGAGCACTAGCGCTGTTACAGCACATTAGGCAGCTATCCGGAGTAGAGTCGGAAGCTCCGATGATCCCGCTTGCGACCTCGGCTGCACACATGTGGAACTTCTATCTGGCGGTCCTCTCACCTACTGTGGATGGAGAGATGGACACGGTGAGTGACGCCTTGAAAGACGATTGATGTCCGTCTATGTCCTGCGTCTGACGATCAGACACTTTGGTACCGATGCAGACACTGTATCAGATCGGTCCTGTCCTGGACATCACCAGCTTCTGCGACAAGGTACGACTCCAGCTTGTGCTGTACCGGATCAATCACTGGCTCATACAAACGCACAGGCAAAGGGTCTGTGAAGACCTGACCGGAATGTTGCTACAGCTGTCACCGCCTCAGAGGGCTCCTGTTGGGCGGGCGAGGCATGTGCAAGCAGGGGCAGAAGCGGAGGGAAGAGTACGCGAAGGTAAAAATGGGGATGCAGCAGAAGGGCGAGCCGAGCCGCAAGTAAGGCCGGCGAAGAGGGGCCGGACTGGACGACGGAGGCGAGCGTGGCGAAGAGAGGTACGGGTGGCAGATGTTATGTGAGAATGACCAGGGTGTAAAGTCATCGTCTTCGTCCCGTCGTGCAGTCCTTTGTATATTCTCCATCCTTTCTTTCGTTGATTCCATCCCTGCACCATACCCTTTCTGCTTCCCTCCCGAACTAATCCAGAGTCACGTCGGGCAGTCGAGCTGCACCACGTTTGCCCTATACCTTCTCAGCTCACCTACATGGGTGATAGGCTAGTCTCGGCAAATCTCTTGGAATGAGCGAAACCAGAGGCTCGCGTGCGGATGCTGCTGTGAGGGAGCCCACGTGTGACACGGTGTCGTCTGAAGTCGTCGATAGCGCGCCTTGCATCGTCACTCTGGTCTTTCTGCTACGTACGCGCTGGTTACGACCTGGCCGTACGGAGTCCATGTTTTCTCTGGCTGAGGTGGTTAGCTTGCAGCCAAGGCAGCCTCGTGAGCTTTCTCGAGACGCGGGTGCCTGAGGCAAGACACTCTGTGCCCGCTGGGTTACGCCCGCGGAGTCCCTGGCAGGGCTGCGAGGCTGTTACGGGCCTTGATGACTCCCTACCGGCCGCGCCCGCGTGCCTGAACGGGTCAGGAGCTCCCGACGCCTTGTGATCAAGACAAGATGGCTTTCCCTTCTGCTCAGCCCCTGACCACCTCCCCACAACTCCCCTCTAAATCTGCCCTCCCCTCCCCCCACCTCCTCTTCGCTTCACACAACCCCTGTCTTTATCGTGGCCCTACCATAAAAGTGCTCTCTTTCTCATCTCTCTCGCAGCTGTTCCAGCTCATACACACAGCATAGCAGCCACCATGCTGTCTTTCGCACGCTTGCTCTGCCTCCTGCCTCTGTTCCTCGCCGGCGTGAGTGCCACACACTGGCAGCATGTCCGTGACGACAGAGAGCACATGTTCTTGGCTCGAGGGTCCGAGCGTACCGCTCCTTACATGACCAAGCGAGACTCTAGTGAGTACGAGGATAGCTGGTGAGGAGCTGCGAGTCACACAAGGCCTGTCGCTGATCATCTGATTGTACACATCACAGGCAAGAATGGACTCCCCTACCCTGCACCCACTGCAAAGCCGCCTTCGAGTGAGTCCACAGCCGTAGGAGTAGTGCCATCCTGTCCGTGCGGCGCTCTGAAATACTCCTCCACTCTTGCCCTTGCTCTGTAGAGATGCCCGACTCCTGGGTGGCCAAGTACACGCAGGTCAAGGCGGCGGGCCTCATCGCCGACGTCCCCGTGCCGACTGCCTTCCCAGACGGCTTGGTGCAGTACCCCAAGGGCACCGACCCTGCTTCCAAGGATGTCTGCAACTGGGAGTCTTCCCAGTGTTTCATGGACGACACCATCAACGTCGCCCCTGATGGAGTTCTCGCCATTGGATTCGATGACGGACCAACCGAGGCCGTGGCTGCGTACGCCGACTACTTCAAGAAGGAAGAAATCGTCGCCACCCACTTCCTCATCGGACTACAGATCCTTACTTGCCCCTCGTGCATGACCAACTTGGTCAACATGCAGCCCGAACAGCACTTGGCCAGTCACAGTTTCACCCACACCCAGCTTCCTCTGATGCAAGACCTCGAGCTCGTAGCAGACATCGGATGGTCTCTGCAGGTCATCTACGACTACTCTGGAAAGATCCCTCTCTACATTAGGCCCCCGCAGGGAGACATTGACCGTCGAGTCATGACCATCGCTCGAGAAGTCTTTGGCGTGCAGGTCGTAATGTGGAACCAGGACCACCTAGACTGGTGCCTGCTAGACGCCGGAGAGAAGGAGACTCTGCCAGACGTCTGCAAGGGAACCACCTTGGACTCGATCAACACGGCCTACAAGGGAATGATGGATGCTAGCCCCCAGAAGGGTGTTCTTCTCCTCGTCCACGAGATCCGCAACGCTTCCCAAGCTCCCTTCCGCACCCTCATTGCCGGCGCCAAGGAGAAGAAGTGGAAGATCGGCCCCGTCACCGATGTCGATGCCAAGCTGCCCTGGTACGAGAATGCTGCCACTGCCGGTGTCAAGGGAGAGGCCGTTGACGACATCCTTACCAAGAGGAAGCCCTTCACTGTTGCTGGCGGTGGATCTACCATCACTCTCAACGGCGACTGGTCTGCTGGCGCTGGCGGCAACACTTCGGCTGGCGGCAGCACCTCTGGCAAGGGCAAGAGCGGCGCCTCTGCTGGCGGCAACTCCACCCAGACCAATGGCACTGATGCGGGCAACGGCAACGGTACCACTGGCGCAGGTTCGCCCAGCGCCTCTGGCAGTGGCTTGACCATGTCCTCGCCCATCGCTGCTGCGTTGGGCGCCGTCGCTGGTCTGGTCATCGCTGGTCTTGTCACCTTGCAGTAGAGGTCTCATTGAGCTCGCCTATAGCTAGGACCTGCCGTGCCCCCTGTCCAATAATTCCCCGACTCGCTTGCTTCATCTGCGCCTCAAAAGATTCTCTCGCCCCCTGACTCCTGTCCATCATGACGCGCTACGCGCATGATCTCCCCCCTTGTCGCTCCTCCGCCGAGGAAGGTGTTCATCTTGTCTTCTCGCCCGACCCCCTCCTACCTCAAATCAAAGTATTTACTCTGTGCTCAAACGAGTGTCTGCAGCTCACCTCCTCGCCGCTGCGTGTCCGGGGCGACGCGGTGCCGCACGGCAAACTTCTCATGTGGGCTGGGCCACGGCTTTCCGGGGACATACGCCGCCCGGACCATGCAAAGGACCCTGAAACCCCTGCAAGGAACCCTGAGCTATTCCCATTCACCCTTCCTTGTTACCACGTACATCGCACCTACCTTCTCCTCTCTATCTGCCAGACAAGACAGCATTCCAGTTCAGAAGCTGCTAAAGCTCCCGTCTCGCTCTTGCACCACGCCTCGCCTACCGAGCTCTGGACCAGATGAGCGGGCCACGCACACCCTCCCAGCCCTTCTCAGCAGCAGACTCGTACGCTCAGCTCTACGATGTAGCCGCGACTTCCAGCGCCACAAGCGCACACCATGTGTCTGCACAGCGCTCTCAGAATACAGCTGGACCGAGTCGATCGCCTAGTGCTCTGCTGGCAGAACGATACAGAGCAAACGAAGCCAGCAGTCAGGCTGGGAAAGGCTCCTTTGGGCAAAAGAGTGGTGCTCATGCCCTGGCCGGGACGTCAGGTCATCTCGACACGTATTCCAGCCAGAAATATGATGAAGAGGATGAAGGTGAGTATCATGTTCTAGGCAGAGCGCGAGAGCAGAGGCTTCACTTGACTCATCCACTTGCTCTCTCCACCTTCCTTTGAGCCTGACAGAAGAAGACGATGATTGGGACGTGTACGACGACTTCAACAATTACGACCGAAGCGCGGCAGTCACGAGCCATCGAGATGTCTCACCCGACGTCCGACGAGAAAGCAGTCACTCCTCTCCACTGCTTACACCCTACTGCGACAACAATGCACCCAAGAACCATGTAGCTCCAGGCGAGTATCGTCAGTCTACTCTCCTCGACTCAGCCTCTTTTGGCTTCGATGTCAAAAACTCAGATCCCAGAAGCTCGACTTTTGTACCTGCGTCCATGGAGTTCGAAAAGGAGCAAAAGCATCGCTCGGTGGACAGCCGGCTCACACTTGCAACGCCCGTCACAACGCCCATGTACGAGAAGCTCGAAGAGGGGGAAGAGGCAGGTATCGAGCTCGCTACCGTTCCCGGTCTAGGCGATGAGTACACCGATGCGGAAAAGGTGCAGATGACAAGGAAGTACAGAGGACAGGCCAAGAGAAGCCGCAAGAAGGAGGCAGCCAAGAGATGGGGAAAGGGAGAATACAAGATCTGTGGCTGGCTCAGTCCGAGGGTAGCAGTCTTCGCGGCTTTTGCCATCGTGTCCTGGTGAGTAGACTGGGGACAATACGGCTAGACAGGCAGCAGTCATTGCTCACCCTGCGTTACCCACTTTTCAGCTTCGCTGTCATGCTCTACTTTGTAGTGCCTCGAGTTCCGAGTGAGTGGTGAGCCCCATCAAGTCTTAGAATGCTGTACTGACCCATCCCCGGTCCCTTGTCGACAGGCCTCTCCTTCAACTCTACCGATCCCCTCGTCGCTGTCCCCAACTCATCAGGTATGTCAACTCACTACGCTCCCACCAATTGGAGCATGACAATGGACCTAGCGCTGCGCGGAAACAACGAAGGCGGGTGGATCCCTTCGTACGTTAGCAAGATGGAAGCAGTCGTAACCGAAGTCACCACTTCGAAGAAGATCGGCAGCGGGCGTCTATCTGACCTCTCCTTTCCTGGTCGAAGTCAGAAGACGTTTAGTCTTCCTGTGCAGTTTGCCTACTCTAGCTTGAACGTCTCGGGCGACGCGACTTTCCTAGCAGTGTATGATGCGTGTCAACATCAGACTTCGGGGGGAAGCGCTAGACCCAACTTGAATCTGGCAGTGGAGATTACAATGTACATCAGGGGACTCGTTGGTGGGAAAGTCTCGAGCACAAGGATCAATACGGCTTGTCCTTTTGAGCTGGAGTGGAGGTGAGTAGGAGAAGAAGCTAGAGAGTTCGTGTGGCAAGGCTGTGGCTGATTGAGTGAGAGTTCGCCTTCTTCTGTCCCCTTTGCTGTTGTCAGTCAAAGTATCTGAGGGCGTGGTAGAGCCTCACAAGGCACGTCTTAGGGCTTTCGGACCCCTTCGCTTCCTCAGCAGACTGCCCTCTCTCTGCAGAATGTAGAGACTTTCCTTTCCAACGCTCCTTTCGGCACACTTCCTCCGGAACCTCACACCTCGTCCCCGGCCCCTCCGATACTAGCTCTCTGTCTGGACACAGCATTCTTCATCAGCTCACCTCACCTCACATCTGGGCACATTTGTACATACTTTACATCTTTCTCGACGATGATGATCAGTCCCAGTCTCCATTTCTAGACTCAACATCAGCATCAGCATCAGCACGCGCCTCGCATCGCATCGCCTGGCAGCAGACAATTGTATAGCCCCTCAGACGGAAAGATGCCATTTGTATTTCGCTCGCTTGAAACGAAATAGATATGTGCGGGTGCGTGTTCGAATTGATCCGGCTGTGTCCGCTATACTCGGTCTTTGCTGTCCTTTACGCTCCTTTCGGGACCCGTCATCGGAAGGGAAATACTGCTCGCCTACTTGTAGAAGCTCAGCCTATGAAGGAGGGGAAAAACAAGACGATGAAAAGTCGACGTCAGTCCACCAGTAATGCCATCTGTCAATGCCAGCCTCTGACTGTACTCACACGTCATTAACATCATCCTTTGATCCCAGCCAGATGGGACACCTCTCGTGAATGTCCTTTGGCTGCACGTCCAGCACCCTGCCCTTGCCCGTCGTGGCGATTCCGCCGGCCTGCTCGGTAAGGAAGGCCATTGGGAAGGCTTCGTAGAGGAGACGCAGCTTGCCGCTCTTGGACTTTGTGTCCTCGGGGTAGCTACAGCAGTGGAATGGAGAAAAGTCAGGGATTCAATGTTAGTCTCGGAGAGGGGAGAGGGAGCGGCAGGCAGGGCAACTCACCCGAAGATTCCTCCGTAGAGAAGCGTCCTGTGCACATCTGCCACCATGGATCCGATGTACCTAGCAGAGTAGGGCTTCTTGCCGTCCTTGGGATGCTTGATGCTGTCGAGGTACTTGAGCACTGGCTCATGGTAGTAACAGCTGTTTCCTTCATTGATCGAGTAGATCTTTCCCCTGGCGGGCAGTGTGATGTTGGGATGTGTGAGGATGAACTCTCCAATTCCGTTGTCGAGGGTGTAGCCATTGACTCCGTTTCCAGTAGTAAGGACCAAGTTGGCACTGGAACCGTACATGCAGTATCCAGCTGCAACCATCTCGCTACCGGGTCGGAGCACATCGCCAAGCTCGCCCTTTGAGCCATCTCGTACGAGGTAGATACCAAAGATGGTACCAATGTTGACACCAGCGTCAATGTTGCTTGATCCGTCCAGGGGGTCAAATACGACGCAGTACTTTCCCTTGTTGGACTCAAAGGTGTCTCCAGTCTGGCGCTTCTCGACGAAGATGGCCTCGTCGTTTTCTTCGGAGACTAGCACGGCGGCTTTGCCAGAAGCACGGAGGGCATTGATCATGATGTCATTGGAGAGGACATCGAGCTTCTTTTGGTCCTCGCCTTGTACATTGGTGTTGCCTGCTGCGCCGATGAGGTTGATCAGGCTGGCTTTGCGCACCATGGACTCGATGAACTTGCTGTGGAGGGGGGTCACGAGGGCCAAGCAGAAAGAGGGTATGTGATCAGTATGAAGGCAAAGAAAGGCAGAATAGCAGACCTCAACTCCTGTAGTTCGACGTTCTACTCACCAGGTGGTCTGAAGCGAGCTGAGGAGGATGGTGAGATCACCGGAAGCAGCGCCTCGTCCATGCCTGTCGAAGCCTTCTTGAAGGACATGTCTGGTGAGGGTGATGAGGTCGGTTGCGGGTGGTTGGTACTCGTCTGCGCCCATGATGATGGATTTCGAGGGTGTGGTGGAAAGGTTGTGTGGGTATGAAGGTGAGATGGGAAGAGTAGTGATGATCAATGAGAGAATACTTTGGGGCGTTGGAAGGTGTGCGTGTATGCGGTACCAAGTGCGAGGCAGCCTCCCCTCCCCCGCCCCCGTCGATCGTATTCCCCGCTCCACCCGGCAGAACACGGAGCGCCGCTTGAAGCCGTCGCTTCCGACGGTAGAGATGGCTTCCTCCGTTCCGATGTTCTGGGCGGGGGTCCGGTCGGGTCGGATGGCGGACTCTCTTTCACTTTCACAGTGGGCGGAGCTGAGTGTGAGCTGCGCCCAGTCCGCTCCCCCGAATGAGGAAGCCAATGCAGCCGGGCACTGGAGGGGCCTTCCCCACACTCTGCCTTCAGACACAGACAAGACGTCTGACCATTCCCGCACCTTCTGCTCCAATCATTACCAACCTACCGCCCATCAAGGCCCGTAAGACCACGTCGAGGCCAGCTACCAAGACCCAAGAGCCATCCATTACACCCACCCACTCGCTACTCACCTCAAGCCTTCAGTCCGCCCAACACCCAAACATACATCGCCCATCATGCCAGAGAAGGAGCAGTTCCGTATGCGTACAAAGGACGACCCTCTAGGCGTCTTCAATCTCCTCAAACTCATCCGCGCAACCGTCCGCCACGGTGAATTCCATGCCCTCTTCCTCCTACCACACTTTGTCATTCCAGTCTATGGCATCTACCGTCTCCTCTCCCAAATGGGCTACTGGCCTGGACCAGAATGGAACCAACTCGGAGAGCTACTACTTGCGCTTACGCAGGGATTGGCAATGGGAGGAGCTATTGTACTTGGATATATGAGGTGGAGTACATCGGGACGGGCACTCATGGGTAGGAGACAGGCGGGGATTGCCAGTCCTGGTGAGGAGAGGGCGCAGAAGAAGATTCAGCTCGGATTTGCAATCAGCGTGTATGTGCTGTGGGCAAGGTGAGTAGCGCGAGACGAGCTAGGAGCGAAGTCAGCTACAGTAATAGAGGCATCACACTGATGTCCATCTCCCATTCTCCCCCTTATAGTCTGATCTGGATCATCCTGCCACCAGGTGACGGACCCAAGGCTGCCGCCCTCAAGACCACTGCTAGAAGGTGGGGCTTCACACCCACCTACCGTGGAGCTTCCGGCGACACTGGCGGCTTCGTAGAATATTTCTGGCCTCCGCAGAGGAATGGCATCATGGACTGGATCAAATCCAGGTCATAAAAGAAGCCATACAGGAAATAGCGAAGAAGGAGGAGGAGGAAGAGGCGAAGCTTGGCTCAGCAGAAAGGCTTTCCTTGGTAATAGTCAGGCGAGCGGCCTTTCTCTGGCTGCCTTGACATCCTCTTTCTACTGTTACCTCCACCTTCCCTCCTCCTTGGCGCTCTCCTGCGATTCCACCCCCCTTGGATTACCCTTGTCTTTACTCTCGAACCCCAACCATCCTGGTGTACGTACGTTAGATCATTCAGCATTCGCTAATCACATTCGCTCTAAGTGTCCTACCATCCTGCACTCGTCAAAGTCGTAGCTTTTTGAGGTTGCATTAGAGGAATCGATGGCAGCGTGTGAGGTGGGATAAAGGAGAAATGGGGTGGCAGGCAAGATACAGTGTCCCGAGGCAGCTTTGACCGCCTTCGTCTTCGCGTCTGCGACTTCTCATAGCGTCGTCGGGGCTCCGCCAAACTATCTCCTCTCCCATACCACTACAGCAGCTGGTATGCTGCTCAAACTGCCAGTCCACAAATGCTCATCTCCTTCATCTCCTGCAACACCCCCTCGACCTGCGCATCCAGCTGTCCATCCGCATATTCCTCCCTCACCCCCTCAGCAAAGAACCTCTGCACTCCTCCCATCTTCTCGTACCCCTCTTCGGCGAATCTAGCCTGCATGCGAATCATCGCCTCGAAGCTCGGGTCGAGGTACGGGATGCGCAAATCGACGAGCATAGGGAGTTCTTCAAGAAGCTGGCCATTGAGGGATTCGAAGAGGAGCTTGGAGTCCTCGAGCTCCTTTTCTGCCCTGGGAAGCTTCATTGGGTCGTCCGAGGGCTTGTCGATGAGTTTGCGGTGCTTCGAACGCGCTGCGTCGTAGTCCAGGAGCTGTGACCGAGGTGGGGGTAACGGTGGGAGTGTATTTGCTCTGTCAGCAATTGTACTACATTGGCTGACTGGGCCGCGATTACGCTCTTCTCTTGTCTCTTCTCTCACCTTCTTGTTCCTCTTGTCGATGTTCTTGTTAATCTCTGGGAAATAGCTAACCAGCTTACCGATGGGCTCCAGCACAGTCGCCCTGTACGGCGCATCGAGTTCCCTTGCAGTCTTTGCATCGAGCTCCTCCACAGCTCTCCTGTAGGCGCCTACGGCCATGGCTCCGTCTGATGAGTCGTTGCCAAACATGCCGTCGATGGCTTCTGCCATGCGAGCTTGTGATGATGCCAGACCTGAGGAGAGGCGGGGACAAGAAGGATGGGGTAGGAGTGGGGAGTAAGAGGGGTACAGAGGCGTCAGCGCCCTTCTCACCACTTAGACCCTTCTACAGCATACGATTGCTCGTCACTCTACTCTCACACTCACTCCTCATTGCGTCCAAGTAAGCCTTTGCCTCCTTTTGCAAAACTCCACACTCCTTTTCCAGTGCCCTGTACTTGCTCTCCTCATCTGAGAATTCACTGTCCACTGTCCGCTCCACCTGACCCGTCTTCATCATAATTCCCGTACCCGCTCGGTTCACTACCTTTTGGAAGCCGCGCCACGACATGTTGGGAAGTGGGTATGAGGAGAGGAGGTCGGAGGCGAGGGGAGGGGAGGGAGAGGGTATGTAGGGATGTTGGAGCAATCGAGGTAGGAACAGCCGGTATCGAAAGAGAGTCCCAATCCGAATCTAGACCTCGAATAACGAATGTGTCAAACTCTGTGACTCGAATCAAGCAAGGCCGAGGAGTGCGAAGGGGGCTGCAACAATGGATGGGAATGGTAGGAGGGTATGCCCGGCTCAGTCAGTGGTAGTAGCGAGGTGGACGAGGGCCTGTCCCCGATGCCTCCTCGTCCGCCCGGCCCCTCCCCAGCCGTGGGGTGGCTTGGCGGAGAGGGGACGCAACACTGCCTCGCCTCGGGCCACTGCCACGCGGGAGCGGAGCGGAACGCAGCCTGAGATGACAGGCAGGGCGGGCAGGGCGAGAGAGATGCGCCTGGCCTGCGCTTGGGCCTTGATGCTTGGTTGGTTGCCTCTCCACCCTCGCACCGACGACGACGACGACGACGTAGTACTTCAACAACGGCCACCTCGCTCAGCTCTACGAATCACTTGCCTGGAGCTTGACTCGACTCGTCTTCATCTATCTCCTACCCGCGTCCCTCAACGGCGCCATGAACCGGCTCTTTGGCTCACGCAACGCCAAGCCCAAGCCAGGTCTCGCAGAGGCCATTGCCAGTACTGAGCAGCGCGCCGATGGAGTCGAGGTCAAGATCAGGAAGCTGGACGGAGAACTGGGAAGGTATCGTGATCAGATGAAGAAGATGAGGGATGGACCGGGCAAGGTGGGTTTGGCTAGCTAGCGAGGGCGGCAGGATGTACAGACAGAGTTGGGGAAGGCATGTAGGGACAAGACTGACGTTGCCTCCGCTCATCTTATCCTTCCTAGACGGCGATTCAGCAACGAGCCCTGCGAGTGTTGAAGCAGAAGCGCCTCTACGAAGGTCAGCTAGCCCAACTGCAGCAGCAATCCTACAACATGGAGCAAGCAACCATGACCACTGAGAATCTCCGCAACACAATGGCCACCGTAGACGCCATGCAGACTGCCAACAAGGAGATGAAGAAGACCTATGGCAAAATTGATCTAGACAAGATTGAAAGAATTCAAGATGACATGGAGGATTTGATGGAAAGTGCGAATGAGGTGCAGGAGACAATGGGAAGGAGTTATGGTGTACCGGATGAGATTGATGAAACTGACTTGCAGGCGGAATTGGATGCACTGTGAGTATCGCGATGCACGAGCGCAGCAAGTGGCCGAGAAGCTGGGTGCCTGAGGTCATGAGGAGAGTTGAGATGAAGGCGATGAAGGCAGTGGAGCTGACAAGACCGAGCGATGCTCCACCTCTTTCGCAGTGGCGACGATTTGGGCGAAGAAGAGTCGGAGACGCCCTCCTATCTGCAGGAAGGCCCCTCGCAATTACCAGACTTCATCGACGATGCGCCCCTCTCCACTCCTCAGCACGAATCGGTGGGTAGACATGCTGTGGAAAGTCGAGCGTATGATGACAAGCAGCTAACAAACCTATTGCACCCGCCTTTCGTCTGCTTTGCCTCACCCTTCTCCACAGCACAATGCCAATGAGGCACTGCGTGCTGCTTGAGAAGTGTGACTGGCCTGTCTTCATTCAATTCGCTCTATATGTAATTGTATCAAACATCAGATGCCGTGAATTGTTCGAACATATGGTTGTGATAGTCGTCATTATTGGAGATGCCCAGTGACGCCTTACAACAACGCAGACACAAGAGAGATGATTTGGCCTCCCCTCTTGTAGCTGACCGACCGATGATCTAGCTCATTGGGCTAGCTCTCCGTCGCCCAACCTGATGGACTCCAACCTCAATCTAGTGTACGTCTGCTTGTGCTCAATGGTCTTCTTGTAACCCTTCCTCCTCTTCTTCTTGACAATCCTCTCCATGGCCCCCTTTGTATGCTCCACCACGACACATCGAGCGCGCACCGTCGTCTCTGGCAAGACGGCGCCTACGTGAGCGAGACCAGAGGGGTGTAGACGTGTAGCCCATGAGTCGGTGGAGGTCTTGAGCTTGCTGAGCGCCTCGAGGGCCTGCAGCTCCTCGGCGGCAGCTCCCTCCATTCCACCTTCGAGGGGACCGTCTTCCTTTTCCTCTCCCAGCTCCAGCAGAGCTCTGACAATCTTGGAGTTCTCCCCTTGGTCTACACTGCGCCGCATCTCAGCCACCATTCCCCTCTGACGAGTGCTCATGGGGTCCTGCGCACGCAGCGTGTAGTCCCTCGACCCTACCTCGTGAATGCGATCCAGCTCGAGCACATCTCCCACTTGCACGTCGCGCAGACGAGGGATGGTGAATACATCACGGGTAGTGAGGAGGAGTGTACGACCTACGAGGGAGGTGACAATGTAGTGGTTGGGTTGCTCCTTGAGAAGGGCGAGGGCAGCAGAGGTGGAGCTGATGGGCGTGTCGCCTAGAGGTGAGGAGAAGGTGAGGGAAGTGGGGTTGGCTTGATGCGAAGAGGGAGGGGAAGGTGTGCTGGGGTCTGCTACGGAGCTGGTAGCGATGCTGCGCCGTGATGATGATGTCGAAGTTGAGGCCGATGCTTGAGATGTAGAGGCGAGGGTGTATGCTGATGCCCGAGCTTTGCCCTTTGCAGCGGCACTCCAGCTGGAGACCAGGGCGGGTGCGAGGGGTGAGCGAAGTGCTGAAGGTGGTGTGGGAGAGAGGGGGTTGAGTAAGCGTCTGAGCGAGCAGTCATGATGCGCACTCTGTCTACTCACTACCTGACATGTTGCTCTTACCGTCGCCCTCGAAGTAGTCGTACTGTAACGAGTCAAGGTGACTAAGTGCGATCCTCTGTCCCTTCCTTCGTTCCTTCCTGGCCTGACTTTCTTGAGCGTCGTCCCTCCGCCTCCCGTCCATGGCGCCCGGCCCGGAAGGTGGACGCTGCCTTGTGCGCGCGCAACACCTCATCGTCCCCCCGCCGAGTCTCTCCGCTGGTGCTCCCTCCTCTTGGCTGGCAGCCCGAGCGCCGCCCGCCCGCCCGCCCGCCCGCGCCCGCCCTCTGCCCTGCCTGCGAGCTTCCTCTTCTTCCTCCCGCCGTCTCAACATCCCCCCACCCCACCCACCACCACTCATACCCTATTACCCTTCTCACACCCTACGCCTTCGTCTCACCATGATCGCTCGTTCTGCTGGCTTCGCAGCCGCTAACATCGCACGCAACGCCGCACTCCCTACGGTGTGTATCCTACACGGCAAAAGGGGTGGCAGGAAGAGGAAGGAGGAGGAGGAGGAAGATGATGGGGGGGAAGACGTCATCTCATACACGTGGTCAGCAGGTGGGGAGACGCCATTGGAGCCGGGTCGTGGTTATGCTACCTCGTAGAGAGGGTATGCTAGACCTGAGGACGAAGGACGCTCAGTGCCACCTCACTCGCTGATGGGCTTCCACTCTGCACGCTGCGATGGGACTCTACCGCGGCGGAGATAGACGGGCGGGAGGAACGCTGGGACAGACAGGAAGAAAGACGACACCAAGCTTATTTACAATGGACTTGCTCGCTCACTCTGCTACCTCCCCCTTCTTACTACTCTAGGCCCGTCGCGCTGCACCAGCCTTTGCATCTGCTGCCCGATCGTACGCTACCGCCAAGCCTGGTGAGTGCTGCATTGAGGAGATAGCCGACACTGGTCTTCCCTGGCTCTGTCCGCTCACACCTCGTTCTATTCCCATTTTCCACAGCCGCCTCCGAGGTCAGCTCCATCCTTGAGCAGCGAATTTCCGGCTCCGGTGCCAGTGGTGATGTCCAGGAGACTGGTCGTGTCCTGAGTGAGTAGAGGGAGAGAGTACGGCAATGTGCAATCTGCGTTTTTACTTACCCACGTTTGCGCTCTTTCCGTTTTCCCTCACAGCCATCGGTGACGGTATCGCTCGTGTCTACGGTCTCCGCAATGTCCAGGCCGAGGAGATGGTTGAGTTCGCCTCTGGTGTCCAGGGAATGTGCTTGAACTTGGAGGCCGACAACGTCGGTGTGTCCATCTTCGGATCTGACCGATCGATCCGTGAAGGTGACACAGTCAAGCGTACCGGAAACATCGTCGACGTGCCCGTTGGACCCGACATGCTCGGTCGTGTCGTTGACGCCCTCGGAAACCCCATTGACGGCAAGGGACCCATCAAGGCTGCCGAGCGTCGCCGTGCTTCCCTCAAGGCCCCCGGTATTCTGCCCCGTCAGTCCGTCAACCAGCCCATGCAGACCGGTCTCAAGCCCATCGACGCCATGGTGCCCGTTGGCCGAGGCCAGCGTGAGCTGATCATTGGTGACCGACAGACTGGAAAGACTGCCGTCGCCCTCGACACCATCCTCAACCAGAAGCGATGGAACGATGGCAACGACGAGAAGAAGAAGCTCTACTGTGTCTACGTCGCCGTCGGTCAGAAGCGATCTACCGTCGCCCAGCTCGTGCAAACCCTCGAGCAGAACGACGCCATGAAGTACACCGTCGTCGTTGCCGCCACTGCCTCCGAGGCCGCCCCTCTGCAGTACCTGGCCCCCTTCTCCGGTACCGCCATCGGAGAGTGGTTCCGTGACAACGGCAAGCACGCCCTCATCATCTTCGACGACTTGTCCAAGCAGGCCGTTGCCTACCGTCAGATGTCTCTGCTCCTCCGACGACCCCCAGGACGTGAGGCTTACCCCGGAGACGTCTTCTACCTGCACTCTCGTCTCCTCGAGCGTGCCGCCAGGATGAACGACAAGCTCGGTGGTGGTTCCCTCACCGCCCTCCCCGTCATTGAGACTCAGGGAGGTGATGTGTCAGCCTTCATTCCCACCAACGTCATTTCCATCACCGACGGACAGATCTTCCTGGAGTCCGACCTCTTCTTCAAGGGTGTCCGACCCGCCGTCAACGTCGGTCTCTCCGTGTCTCGTGTCGGATCTGCCGCTCAGTCCAAGGCCTACAAGTCCGTCGCCGGTTCCCTGAAGCTCTACCTGGCTCAGTACCGTGAGCTGGCTGCTTTCGCTCAATTTGGTTCGGATTTGGACGCTTCTACCCGTGCTACCCTGGACAGGGGTGCCCGTCTTACTGAGCTGCTGAAGCAGGGCCAGTACAAGCCCATGGCCACCGAGATGCAGATTCCTCTCATTTACGCCGGTATCAATGGTCTTCTCGACAGCGTACCTGTGGCCAAGGTGCAGGCATGGGAGGAAGCCTTCAAGAGCCACCTGACGTCTGAGTCTGAGGGCAACGGCATCATGGAGGAGCTGGGCAAGGGAGCCATGCCCAAGAGCCTCGAGGAGAGGATCACCAAGTTTGTGAAGGAGTTCACCGAAGGCTGGTTGCAGAAGTAAGCAGTACCTGTAGAGCTATAGGTCCATTGCGTCGGTGAAAGCTGCCCAAGGCTTTAGACCCGCATTAGTCTTCATCTCTCTCTTGTCTTGCGCACTCTCTATCTCTCTCTCTTTAGCTCTCTTTAGCTTGTCAAAGATGTCTTGAAAAACAATGAAAGATTTCGGAAGTACCGTTGCAAGAGAAGTGGTGAAGCCATCGTGAACGTTCGTATGGGGCGCAGCGGAGGACCGGCACTCGCGCTTCCGCTTTCGTGCTCCGTTCCGTTCCGAGGGTAGGGTGCCGCCGCCTGCTACATCTGTGCTGTGGTGCACTTTCTGAGCCTCTGAGTCGAGCCAGATGAGCGAAGTGGCGATCATACAGGGTCGATCCGTATGCTTCCGTTCTCTCCTGGTAGGCATAGCAGATCAGGGGACACGATGCGATATAGGAAGGGCCGGTTGAGCGAAGCGCATTGCAAGCTGCTCGCCGCGCTGGATGAAATTGACTGCTATCGCAATGCAGTACACTCTTGTACCCACTTGCAAGCAGCAACTGGCGTGCAACAGGTAATCACTGCGCTACCATCTCACCTGCTCAGAACCGCAACAGGTCCCTCATGCTCAATATCTTACGTGCCGTCCTCCGCATTTCGTGACTGAAAACTACAGCACAGTATGTCGATGTCGACAGCGACTCCCCTCAACCTCCCTTCACGTTCGTCCCGTACGGCTGATGTGATCCTCTTGCTCCAGAGCAACGTCGAGCGAGCCTCCACTCCTCACCCTTCTTCCTCTGGTCATGCGTCTGGTAGGTAGATGGACAACACACGAGTCTCTGCCACTGTGATGCATTGAATGAGCAGATGACGTGATGCCGCAAGGGCAATGAATGGGTATGTGATGCGGATTACTGCTCTCCCGCTGTCTGATGGACATCCTTTTGCTCCTCGAGACCTGTACGATCCACTGAGCCACTACGACCAGCTTGCTACATCTCGCCGCATTCTGTAGGGCGGGGAGGGGAATGGCATCAGCTTACGCCTCTTTGTGACCTGATTCTCGAACAATCGTACCCACCTGTGATGCGGACTGGTAACCTCGGCCTGTTGTTGGCGCCTGCCGAGAGAGAGACACAGTTTCAAATCGTACGTGTGAGCATTCTTCCCCCTTTTGTGAAGGTCCTCTCTTACTCACCTGTCGGTACGTTCTCGATCTTCCGTAGCGTGAGAAGACCATCCACGATCTTGCCGAAGACTGTATGCTTGCCATCCAGGACTGCAAGCGAGAGGAGAGGGGAGGGACGTAGTCAGCTTTACGCAATACTTGACCCCTCTTGCCTCGACCAAGCAGAACTCACACTCAGCCGGTCCACAAGTCAAGAAGAATTGGCATCCATTGGTATTCGGCCCACTGTTTGCCATACTCAGCAAGCCCGGTGCATCATGCGAGAGGTTAAAGTTCTCATCTGGGAACTTGTCTCCGTAGATGGAGAAAGATCCGGAGCCGTCTGCATTGAGGAAGTCACCGCCTTGGGCTACGAAGCCGTGGATGATGCGGTGGAAGATGCAGTTCTTGTAGCCCATGGGCTTGTGGTTCACGCGGTGCGAGCCAACGCAGAGCTGCCGGAAATTCTCGCAGGTACTACAAGGGAGCGAGGAAGGGGAGGCGAGCCAGAGGAGAACAGATGGAGTCAGCTATCATCTTCATTCGCTTCGAGGTATGCGACGCTGACGCTTCGGCGCCACGACTCGCAGCAAGCAACCTCTACCACTCACCGAGGACAAATGTCACTGAAGAGCTCCATCTTGATCCTCCCTGCAGAATTGTCCCCAATGGCCACGTCGAAGAAGACTATGGGCCTGCCATTTGTCCCTGCGCCAGGGATTGATGTGGCCGTCGTCGATGACATCGCTGGGAACGATATGCTACAAGTGACGCTTTGGTACCGGCGGAAAGAGGTGGCTGCTAGAAGTGTGAGGACCGTGCTGCTGCCTGCCTGCCTGCCTTGGCTTCTTCTGGCTCTGCCATTGCTCGACGCGAAATCGGAACCGGAAGTGGCGTCGGGAAGAAGCCAGCTTGAAGCAACTCCACACGAATTTAAACGTAGAGTGACGGTGGCTGGGCTGCCTGGGCTGCTGGCTGGCCGGGGGCGGGGCGGGAGCGGGGTGCCAGGCGCGGGCGGTTATCAATGGACAGGCGCACTTCTTCCTAGGCTCCATCCCGCATTTCAAACTTCTTTCCCCGTCTTGCACTCTTCTCCATCATACACATTGTAGAGACACTCATTCCCCCCAAACATCATACCCCCTTCACCCACCATGTCTACTGCAGCTACCATTGACAAGATCTCCTCGATCATCGACCAGAACAAGGATGCCCTCATCGCTCGCCTGGCCGAGGCCGTAGAGATCCCCTCGGTCTCCGGCTCGGCAAAGTACCGCCCCCAGGTGGTAGAGATGGCAAAGTGGATGGCCAAGTCTCTCGAGTCCATTGGTTGCGAGAACATCCAGTTCAAGGAGCTCGGAAACCAGAAGCTCGATGGACAGGACGTCGGTCTGCCCCCCGTCGTCTTTGCCGACTACAAGTCGGGTGGAGCTGGCAAGAAGACCCTCCTCATCTACGGACACTACGATGTGCAGCCCGCCAACAAGTCCGATGGATGGAACACTGAGCCCTTCAAGCTGGTGCACGATGAGAAGACCGGCCGTCTCTACGGTCGAGGAAGCACTGACGACAAGGGCCCCATCATCGGCTGGATCAACACCATCGAAGCCCATCGCCAGGCTGGCATCGAGCTCCCCGTCAACCTCAAGTTCTGCTTCGAGGGTATGGAGGAGTCTGGCTCCGTCGGTCTGGATGGTCTGATTGAAAATGAGATTAAGAACGGCTCCTTCTTCGACGGTGTTGACGCTGCATGCATTTCCGACAACTACTGGCTGGGCACAAAGAAGCCCTGCATCACTCACGGCCTGCGAGGTATCCAGTACTTCAAGCTGTCCATCTCTGGCCCCGGCGCTGATCTCCACTCTGGTTTGTTCGGTGGTGTGGTTCACGAGCCCATGTCTGACCTGTTCCAGATCATGTCTCGCCTGGTGACCCCCGCTGGAGAGATTCTCATCCCCGGTATCAGTGATCTGGTTAGGCCGCTGACTGACGAGGAGTTCAACCGCTATCAGATCATGGACTTTACCGTCAAGGACATGGACGACGCTACTGGCTCTTCCACTACCATTGCCGACGACAAGGAGAAGATCCTCATGGCCCGTATGCGATACCCTTCCCTCTCCCTCCACGGTATCGAGGGTGCCTTTTCCGAGGCCGGAACCAAGACTGTCATTCCAGCCAAGGTCATCGGCAAGTTCTCTCTGCGTCTTGTGCCAGACATGACTCCCGACAAGGTTGTTGAGTTGGTGGAAAAGTACGTACAGAGCGAGTGGAAGAAGATTGGTTCCAAGAACACTCTCAAGCTGGACGCTGAGCCTGGAGGAAAGCCTTGGTTGGCCGACCCCAACCACTGGAACTACGAGGCTGCTATCCGTGCCACGGAGAAGATTTACGGAGTGAAGCCCGATCTGACCCGTGAAGGTGGTTCCATCCCTGTAGCACTCACCATTGCCGACATCCTTGGCAAGAATCTGCTCCTGCTTCCTCTGGGACGGGCTGACGATGGAGCTCACTCGACCAATGAGAAGATTGATATCCTCAACTACATTGAGGGTACCAAGCTCCTCGGTGCTTACCTCCACGAGGTCGCTGCTGCCACCTCGTAAGGAGAGCGAGCAGTGTTGGCGGGGCGGAAGGGGAGTGATCGAACCTCGCTATCTGCCCATGAGGACGTGACCTTGTTCACCTGTTTTCCAATCTGTATCGACCAGCTTGCGACGTTGCATCGGTAATATCAGCACATAACGAAGAACCGATGAGGCGAGTGTGAGATGATTGAGCGATTCGCATTCAAGGCAGGGAGACGACATGACTGAAGAGAAGATGAGTATAATACAGAATGTGCAGGTGGTACAAGTGGGGAGTGAATGCTGTGCGGCCAAAAAGGGAAGCAGAGGAGGTGTCAGCTTCCGGAAGCCAATCGTCTTTGGTGGAATTACACTGTCCCCGCCTGCCTCCATCCTCTCTCCCATCTTGGCTGGCCTCTGGTTGCTCAGTTTCAGAAATTATGTGTTTGGCATAGGTATTGGTCGATCGCTCATTCTTAACTTCGGATAGGGGCGACACTGATGTCTCATCGTTGCAACGTGTGGGGCTAGGCGCCTGGTCTACCCGTCCTTTTCTTCCAGCAGCAAAGAGACGGGTACTCACCTAGTATATGGCTATGCTACGTTGCTTGAAGTTCAAGAATGTCGGCTCGTCGCGCTATCCACACTGACCAGCGTCCCATTCCTAGCTCCTCTTTCCAAAAGAAGGAGGTTACAGCCAGTCTCACGGGTGTAAAAACCCACAAGGGACATCCAGTCAGATTCAAGGTATTACCCCAAATGGGATCCAGCGCAATCGATCCCATCGACACAGACCCTTTTTAGGAAAGTCTGATCAATGCCTGCTCTTTGTAAAAAAAAGAGAGGTGTGACTCTCGAAGACGGGAACGCGAGGCAGGCCACAGAGGAAGAGTGAGCCACACGGCCGGGAGGGGATCTCGAAAGAAGAAAGTACCAGGCGAGGAGTAGTAGGAAGTCCCTGAGAGAGAGGTAAAGAGAGGAGGGGGAAGGGAGTCTGACGAACTCTCACCTTGCGGGAGTATTCGAGTCGGACTCCCTTGCCTCCAATCCCACACTCGCCCCCTGGACGACCTTCCTCAGCTTGGACTTGTGATCTTGAATTCCCTTAGCTCCCACCGCGGGGGGTGCCGCCTCGAACTTAAGTGTCTGGACAAGGTGGGGAAATGCAAGCAAGCAGTCTGATCAGCCATCGTGTTCTTCGCCATGACTATCACACGACCACTTTGACTCACCTCCTTGGATATTTTGTTCAAAGAAAAAAGAAGAGGAAGTCAAGAAGCGCAAATTCTGGTGCGTGACTATATTCCGGTGCGTCGCCCTGCCCTGCGTCTGCTGCTCCCTGGCGGTGCGCGGCGTGGATCACGAGTGGCTGGGCTGGTCTGTCCTGGGCGGGCGTGTGTGCGATGCCAATCCGGACTTGGAGCGGAGCGGAGCGGAAGCGGAGACGAGACCAAGGCGTGGCTCTACTTTCCCCGCCGCCATTTCCGAGGCGTGTGTGGGGGAACAGCAGCCACTCCTCCGTAATTTACCGCAAAGGAGAAGCAGCAGCCAGACGGCAACAAGAAGAAGAAGAAGAAGGGGCAGACAGAGACTGTGCTTCTTCTTGACCTATCCTATTCATACATCTCCAGACATCCTCCTTTTCTCCTCCTCCTCTCACCAGCCACTGATCCGACCACAAGATGGCTTTCCGCTCTACCGTCCCCCGACTGGCCAAGAATGCTGCGCTAGACGCAGTGCTCAAGAAGAGCCCCTCGGACGTGGTATTCACTACCGCACTACGGACACCCATCGCCAGGATGAACAAGGTCAGCATGCAGAAGCAGGGAGAAGATGGAAATGGCCGCTAGCCATCGCTGTACGATTGAGCTTGTACTGAAAGTCTCCTGCTCTCCCCTCCCCACCCTCTGCAGGGCTTCAAACACGCCTACCCAGAGGAGCTCCTGGCCCACGTCTACCAGCGCACCCGCGAGCGTCTGGAAGCTCGCGGTGTCGACATCTCCATCATCGAGGACATCTGTGCCGGCACGGTCCTCGCCGAGCTGGGCGGTGCCAAGTCCGGCCGTCTAGCCGCGCTGCACGCGGGGATGCCCATCACCTCTGCCTACCGCACTACGAATCGGCAGTGTGCCTCTTCCGTTCAGTCCATTACCGACATTGGGTCTGCTATCCAAACAGGCGCAATCCGAGTGGGTATTGCAGCAGGATTTGAGAGTATGAGTAAAGATTGGGAGACAAAGGCGATCCCCGTGAAGCTCTCGCCAGCAATGGCAAAATCGCCCAATCAGGATGCAAGGGACTGTCTGATGAGCATGGGTATGACTTCGGAGAATGTAGCAGAGCGCTTTGGTGTTGGTCGTCAGCGCCAGGACGCCTTTGCGGCTCAATCTCACGCCCGCGCTCATGCTGCTCAGGAGGATGGCAGGTTGGCTCAGGAGATTGAACCCATCGAGGTGCGCTGGGTGGAGGAGGATGGGACAGAGACTACACGCCTGATCTCCAAGGACGAAGGGATCCGCCATGGCACTACAGCCGAGAAGCTCTCTCAGCTCAAGCCCGTCTTCAAGCCCGATGGATGCTCCACTGCGGGAAATTCTAGCCAAGTCTCGGATGGAGCAGTGGCACTGACCATGGCTAGGAGGGATGTGGCCGAGGCGGCTGGTATGGAAATCCTGGGCAAGTGGGTAGCAACGAGCACAATGGGTGTCAAGCCAGACGAGATGGGAATTGGACCCGCCAGGTCAACGCCTAAGCTCCTTACCAGGCTCGGACTGGACGTAAAGGACATTGACCTTTGGGAGATCAACGAAGGTGAGCAGAGCGAAGCGCTCAAGAGGGTGACGATGAGATGCATCAGGCAGCAAGCCGCCCCTCTGACCTCTCCCCCCCTTCTTCTCTCCTGACCCACACCGCTACACAGCCTTTGCCTCTCAAGCACTCATGACCCTCGATGCGCTCAAGATTTCCGAAGAAAACGTAAATGTAAAAGGAGGCGCCATTGCTCTAGGCCATCCACTCGGCGCATCCGGCGGACGATTGACGACGAGTCTTTTGAGTGAACTTCGTCGTACGGGAAAACAGACGGGAGTGGTCAGCTTGTGCTGCGGAACTGGGTATGGAGTTAGTGCATTGATCGTTGCGGAGTAGAGAGAGAGGGGGAGAGAGGAGGGGCGCGTCCGAAAGCATGTTGCTGGTGCAGTGTACGTACGCATGCATGCATGCATCCATGGGCATGGCAAAATCTCAATCTCATTCGTCACGAAAATCTTTCTTGTGAGAGTGAGCTCATGAATGTGTGACCAGCAATTTGGAGGAAGCGAGATGTGGTACGACGTTGAGCGAGGTCAGAAAGCTATGGAAGAGTCAGCCGGAAAGGTCGGGCGAGGCGTGTGGATGTGTGTGCGGATAAGTGTACGTGTATTGAATTGCTCTCGAGGATAGCCAAAAGGATGTGTCAGGCAGGACCGCGGCGACGAAGGGCAATGGTGCTCTGAACCTCTTGACAACACTCTCCTTTCGGGGAGGAAGATCCAGAGGCTCGTCTAATCTATTCAGGCCTCGCCTCATTTCGTCTTTCTCTTTTCTCCCAAGTGCTCTCCGCTTCGTCGCTTTCATTGCTGACCATTCTGCGACCCCTTGCTGTCTCCTCCCTCTGCAGAGTCATCTATCAGCTTCCCAGTCTTAACATTCGAGCCCTCAGATTGTTGTCCAGCCTCTCCCCCATCAGCAGTCTGCTCCGCTCCGCTGCCGTCTTGCTGTGGTGTCCTCTTGCCCTTGTTCTTACTTGTGCTCTTGCTCTTGCCACTCCTTCTGCTTCTGCCTCGAGACCGCCGTTCCTCTCCATTGCTCGAAGCCCCCTCTCCTCCCCCTCCTCCCCCTCCTCCTCCTCCTCCGCCGCCTCCCCTTGAGGAAGAGCCAGGTGCACCACTCCTGCTCCTCCCCCTGCTGCGGGCACGACTACCGCTCCGGCTCGAACGGCTGCGCAAGTTGGGCCGGACGAACTTCGGTGGGCGAATGATGCCATTGAAGACGAGGGTGCCATAGACGAGGAGGGCAAATCCGAGCATCTGCAGACTTCCGCTGAGAGGGCGCAGTACTTCCCATCCGAGGAGCAAGCTCGCAACCCAAATGCCCAGGGTACGACAGGTGTCTATTGTGCTTCGTGCTGTTGCAGAAATGGCCCGAGTGACGGCCAGACCGCATCCGTTGAACAGGGCAATGGACACGGCAGAGGCGGCGGCTGACCACAGGATGGGCTTCGAAGAGATCATCTGGTTCCAGCCGGTGCGCATGTCAAAGTAGCCACCTTGACCCGCGAGGGTAGAGCCGTAAAAGAAGTGCAGGGTGGGCATGGCGACGAGAGTGGTAATGACACCGAAGAGACCCTCGTAGCCTACTGCCAAAAGCGGCTCGACGTCGTACTTGGACATGATCTGCAGGAGAGCGTGATGAAGAGTGCTTCAGTGGGCTGGACATGCGCAACGCTTCCTCCGCAATCTTATGGAACTCACCTTTTCCTCCAGAACAAACTGACTGGCAGTGAATAGCTGAGCGAAGAGGATGAGAAAGACTCCAAAGAGTGCCTCAATGGCCTCAGGAATCGGCTCGTCCCCACCACTTCCACCTTTACCTCCGTGGCCTCCACCAGTGCCGTTCTTCTTATGCTCGCCGAAGATGTCCGTCAGCCCACCATTGATGAATGGGCTGACCTCGCTGGATAGTGGCAGGTTATACACGGCAGCTGATGGGTGGGCTGCCGGGAGGAACGGAGACGGTAGGCTGGAGTTGTTGAAGAAGTAAGAAGCTGCCGCTGGCGCAGATTCTTTGAGGATTGTGCCGGAGAGGCCAACAATGCAGACTCCGAGCATGACAGTGACGAGACTATGAGCAACGATGAGAATGGCCGGGAGTGATGAGGTCAGAGAAACGAGGCTGACCCGCACAACATCGCAACGTAACTCACCTTAGCCACTGGAACAGGTAGAGATGTCTCCTCAGGAAGATGACACTGAAAACGCCGACCCAGAGGACCAGAGCACCTCTTGTCATCCTGTGATGTGTAGGCGAAACGGACAGACAATGTCAGTAAGGGCCCGTCCAGGTCGACCCAAGCTTGTCCTTGAAGAACTCACTGATAAATAGATACGGGCGTGAAGAGCAGTCCGACATTCATCAGGGTAGTACCGCAAATGTCGCAAGCTGCCGGCGCAAAGAAGAGCAGGGGAGCCGTTCCCTCGAGTGCCTCTCCTTCATCTTCCGTTGCACCCCCTCCCCCACCTTCCACGTCTCTCGATCCAGCATTTCCATTCCCATTCGACTCTGTCTGCTGGTGCCCCTCTCCCCCATCTCCATTCACAGTCTGCGAGATCGGCTCATACCCGCCATTGGCCGTCTTACCCTGCCGCCGATTGCGGAAGGCTCTGAGGTGCTTCATTATGAATGTGTAGAAGCCGGGGAGGAGACAGAGACATTCGCCGAAGAACATTTGGGCTGTTTGCCAGACGGGCTGACTGAACTCGACGTGGTCGGCTGGATCTGGTGAGTCGCAATACTCTACACATTGCATGTCTTGCCTGTGAGAGGACGAGAGGTAGCAGGTGGAGCGGGGATGCAAGAAGGGAAGTGGGTTTCAATCAGCGGGCTATTCTCGGCCTCACACAGATGAACGGTCACTCTCTCGGTCTTCACTCACCATTTTGTGAACATGCTGTTGCTGATTCCCGTCAGCAGCATCCCCACGATCAAGAGCGGGATCGTCTTATTGCCGACCATGATGGCGGATTCTCCGGAATCTCTAGTGGTCTAGCTGTGATCCTGAGAGAGACTTCGTCGCACTTCAGTAAATCGTATTGAGGCCGATAGATCGATAGATATGGACAGCCAGCGAGGGGAGGGGGAAAGCAAGGTAGGCTGAGGAAAAGGGGTTGGAATGCTGTTGCCTATTGTACCTTCATGCGGTGATGTAGTGTTGAGTTCGCCAGCTGTGAGGCGTAGAAAGATGATGAGGTATATAAATGACTTGTAACTTCCTTTATCCACTGAGGGCTGAGATGGAGCAGGAGGGCTCTCAAGGAGACACTTGTAGACGTAGCTAGTACTTGATCGATTGCTAGCCTAACTTGCCCGATGATACTGGGCAAGACAGAAGCTCCTGTGCCGGCAGAAGCTCAGATCTAGTGCAAATCCAAGAGACCAGTCGTCTTCTTCTCAAGATCCAGATGAAGCAGTAGGAGTGCCAGAAGAGGTGTGTATGAACAGAAGGGTCAAGATATCAAAAGGGGTTTAGTTAGAGTGAAGCTCCTCTCCCCGCCTGTCTGCCTGTCGGTCACTGATCGTCGTTGTGCAGCCGCAAATCTCGCTCCACGCACCCGCACCAGCAACGCCCCCGTCTTCGAAATGGCAGAGCAGAGCAGAGCGGAGCGGAAGGGGACCCGCGGGGCGGCAGCACACGACACGAGGGGCGCGCACAACGACGGAAGGACGTCCACATACCTCATTTCGAGGCTGACGACGGCCTCCTTTTGGTCAGCAAGACACGAGAGGAACAGCAGCTTGGCGAGAAGAAGAAGTACAGATGCGATGATGATGGTGAATGAGCATACGTGCAGACTATTCATATGCAGCGTGACAGCCATGCGCCTGGTCTTTACCACCCGAAAATGGCATCCCCGATTCTTCCCATCACACTACCCCCGGGCGTCGCAGGTCCCTGCGCTCCATTCGCTCCTGCCTTCACCGGTGTACCCGTCCCACTCGCAGCTCCACTTCCACCACTACCACTACCCGTCACTCCAGCTCCAAAGAGAGAACCAACTTTGCCAAAAGGTGATGAGCTGCCCGGAGCGCCATTGGGGTTGGCCCGCGCTCGAAGGGCGGCAGCGGGAGAGTCGACGATGTTAATGGGCCTGCCGAAGGAGGGGGTAGACTCACGCGTCGGGCGGCTCAGCGCAGAGCTCGATGAGGTCGTTCCGTTACTGACGGGCATAGCAGGGGCATTGCTAGGTGAGAGGCCCAAGGAGGCAGAGGAGGATGCGCCAGCGGCAGAGAGGAGCATGTTGGAGTTGATGCCGTTCAAGAGCACTTCACGGTGCAGACCTTCATCTGCGAACCTCACTCCCACATAGGCTACTCCAGCTACCAGCTCACCTGAGCGCCGCAGAGCTCTCAGAGCAAATTGAGGTGCCGAGTAGACGACACGCAGGCATTCGGATGAGGCAGACCCATCTGATGATGGGGCGAGAGAGGACGACGAGACGATGTCCCCGATTCCACCAAAGTGCGAGAGGACCGTCGAGGTCAAGCTGGAGCTGAAGCCGTACAAGAGTAGAGTGCACAAGCTCGAATCTGCTCCCGAAGGAGCAGGTCCAGTCGAAGATGGCCGTGTGAGGACTTGCGACATGGAAGGGGAAGGATATAGTCCTCCGTTTCGGGGTGGGGAAGTACTGGTGGCTGGTCCCCCCATGCTCGAGTCGGCCATTGCAAAGGAGCTGCTGCCGAAATCTGGGCGAGAGACGTCTGCGTCTGCCAAGGCTTCGAAGGGCGGCGCATCATCGTCGTCTGCTCCTCCGTTCAGGCTGGAATTGCCCGGTGGGCTGCCCACGCTAGACGCTCGCAGCAGACTTGAGGAGCGGGGATCCCTAGCTGGAGTACCGAAAGGCGCATCCCTCGAATCGCCTCGTCCTCCGGGTGTGCCTCTTCTGGCTGTCGATCCTCTGAGTCCGCCTGCTCCAAACATACTCTCCGACTGAGCACCTCGTGTCGAGCCTCCCCCTTCCACTCCAGAAGGCGACGAAAAGAAGCTCGAGCTGAAGCCCTGCATGGGCGAGGTAGGCTGCCCCAGCCCTTCTGCTGACGACCTGGATCCGTCTCTGCTCAATCGGCCGCTGTGCTGATTAGGCGTGGCGCTTGTGGCAGGAGCAGAATCCGATTCTTTCGGTGGGGAGTGTGGATCGTTGCTACGACTCGCGGCAGCAGAGGCAGAGTACGGCCTAGTGGAGTGTCCCGAGCCTTTGATGCGGGAGAGGTAGCCAGGCAGGTAGGTGGTCTGCTGCATCTGGGGCTGCTGATTCTGGTGATAAGAGGAGTCCTGGCCTGCAAAGGTAGAATTATTGCCCATCTGCATGCCGGATGAGTTGAAGGGCGACGAGGAGTGCGACTGGCCGTAGGGCGGCTGCTGCTGAAATTGCGAAGCTGAGAAGGACTGAGCGGCATTCCATGGCTGGTGTTGAGACTGTGGTTGTGACTGGGACTGATCATAACCGAAGCTCTGCTGCTGCTGAGGCTGCTGCTGAGTACTGCCACTAAAAGGCGAAGACTGATATTGGCTGGATTGCTGTTGTCCGTACCCTCCAAAGTGCTGCTGCCCAGGCTGTCCTTGGCCCGGCTGCTGCTGCTGCTGTTGACCCTGTCCCTGCCCCTGGTTTCCAAGCTCCTGTACCGTCATAGGGCTACCAAATGCTGGCCTCTGTTGCGGCGGCTGCTGCTGTTGCTGATTGAAGTTGCCAAAGGAGGAGAAGGAGGAAGATAGTGCAAAGGACGACGTAGGCCCTTGCTGAGGTTGACCCTGTGGTTGCATCCCTGGCTGCTGCTGCTGTTGTGGTTGTTGCTGAGCCCCACCTCCGCCTTGCTGATTGAAAGAGAACATCACAAGGTGGTGATTGCGAGGTAGGTGTGTTGGTAGCGCGAGGAAGGGGGAGGCTACGAAAGAAACACCACTTCTCCCGCGTACGACTTTTGGACCGAGGCGTGTTCCGTCCTGTCTCTCTGCCTCTGTGCCTGCGCGGGCGAACCAACCAAGGGTCACAAGCGCATACCTCCTCATCCACTTCTTCCAAGTAACACTTTTCACCAGAAAGCATCCCAAAACATCGCTCACAATGGAAGACGACGAGCTCCAATCGATTCGCGCAGCACGTATGGCCCAGCTACGTCAACAGCAAGGCGGTAGCGGCTCCCCCTCTGGCTCTGGCGGTCCCTCCTCCTCTTTCCTCTCCTCATTAGGAGCAACAGGAGGCGCTCGACGTGCAGGTGGTGGTGGAGGAGGAGACGATGAGGAGGATGAGCAGAGGGGACAAGAGCAGGCGAGAATGGAGGAGCAGAAGAGGACTATGCTGATGACAATTCTCGACAATGAGGCGAGGGAGAGGTGTGAGTACCGATATGGTACCGATTAGGGGCGCTCGGGGAATCGCTCTGACTTTTCTTGCCCTTCTCTGCCGTCGCTGCCGCTCAGTATCCCGCATCTCCCTCGTGAAACCTCAAAAGGCTCAAGGGATCACAAATCTCATCATTCAAATGGCTCAGCAAGGTCAAATTCGGCAAAAGGTGAACGAGGCACAGCTGATAGGTCTGCTGGAACAGGTGGAGAGGGCGCAGGGAGAGGGAGGACAGGGTGGTGGTGCAGGGAAGATCACGGTGAGCACTGCCTTGAGCGAGCTTAGTACTGATTGGAAGAGGCTGACATTCATACTCCCCTCGCCCTCGTTCGGCAATTCGTGCCTCAGTACAATCGCAAGAAGATGTCCCTGGATGACGACGATGATGACTTCGACCTGTAATACCTCGTTCACGCGAGCGATTCGCTCTCTTCTTCTGTCTATATAGCATCATTCAGCCTTCACCTGCTCGCTTGCTCGCCTGCACCGACGGAGAGCTTTCCAGACAGGCCAGGTAGGGAGGTCTAAAGTATTGCCTTGCTCTGCTGAATGACTCTAACATCGCAACAAGATCGACATTCCTGAACGCGCCCTTCCACATGTGGCCCTTGCCCCTACATCTGTCCATCCAATCATCCCTTACGCCTGGTCCCTCGCCCCTGCCGCAGAGAGACTTTTCGCTTATACCTTCCCCCCTGCGACCTCCCCCCTTTCCGCTCAGGTATCGCTCGTGCTCGGCATAAAGTGCAGCGACCAAGTACTCAAGAGCTTCCTAGCCGCTACCTGCTCCACAGTCAGAGGCAGTCCATAGACGAATGGACTGAGGTAGATGAACATGGCAATGGTCGCTCCCAACAGTGCCGCCGCGACGAAATTGGCCGCCAAGGGTACAACCACCTTGGTCGCTGGACGAGGCAGGGAGAGGAGCTCCCCCCTGGCATTGTACCGCGTCTCGTTGCTGCTCTTGGCCGAGGAAGCCAGTCCTGGACCTGGGCGCGAGAGGGGCGTAGCGACTTCCTCGACTGCGATGAATTGGAAGACACCTCCTGCTACCATGCAGCCGCAGATCTGGGCAGGCAGGTAGTGGTGCAGGAAAAGTTGCCTGTTCATCGAGAAGAAGGGGAGATAATGGAAGATCCAGCCGACGATGAAGAACCCGACGCCGGAGCTCATGCGTCTCCTCACGTCTGCAGTGATTGGCCTCAGACCTCGGCGGCGGGCGAGGATATCGGCGCCCATGATGCCGACGTAGACGGAGATGAGGAGGATTGCAGTCCACCAGCTCACGACATTTCCGATGAGGTAGATCTGGCGCTGCTCGTCATTCTCTGTCCAGAAGGAGATACCACTGAGGTCAAATGGCCAATTGATGGGCGAACTTGCGTATGGGTGACTCGCGGTCAGTCCTGCATTCTGCTGGAGCATCTGCAGCTGCAACTCGACGAATTTCTTGAAGAAGCTCATGTGCACCACCTTGCGTGGCGCGGCCGGCGCCGATCTTTCCTCGTAGTCGGAGGCATCCTGGTCTGGCATGACGTCTTCAACGTACCAAAGGTTCGTCTTGTCGTTGACATTCTTGTTTCCATTGACTTCCTGTTGCTTGAATGCCCATTCCGGGAGCAGGGGCTCGGGATAGGTCCACAATGCGACGCGGGTGGGAACGTGAATCAGCTTGAACCACGAGCTCTTGCTCTGCCAAGGGGCAGTGCTCGTCTTGGACTTGCCGCTGATCTGCAGCTCGAAAAGAGTGTCATTGTAGCGAGTGTCGTCGTCGATGGGTACGGTGGTGAACTCCTCGTTCGTCGACATCAGGGGCGAAGCGACGTCGTGGGTCAAGAGGTAAGACTGTGTGTTCACATGAAGGAAGCGCACGACATGGTTGTTGCGTACGATTTTGCCATCGCCGTCTTCCTCTGGGAGAGCGATTGTGGGCACGACTTTCCAGATGTTGTTTGTGTCATTGTGAGGGTATCCAGTCACCTGCTGACCTTGGGAGGAGATTCTTCCATCATCGTATTTGAGGGGGTACTTGTCAGGATGGGAGTGCAGGAAGGCCCCCGTGCCTTTGTGACGCATACTGATCTCATCACCATAATGAATTGTCTTGGCCTGGGCCAACATGGGATTGCCTTCGAGTGTTTCCTGGAACTCGGAGCTCATGAAACTATCACCTTGTCCGGAATGCTTGAGAATCTTGAAGTGGACCCAGAACCAGAACATGTAGACGATGGCAGGGATGACAATGAGACCCAGTGCCCTTGCGAAGAAGTGCTTGGCCACACGGCGCATGGTCAATCCTCTATTGATGTCGAGCAACTTCCATAGGTCTACAAGGACAGCTGTTCCCACAGTGAGGAAGGTGAGGAGACCGACCATCTTGCAGCTCATAGTGAGGGAGAGGTTGACACCGGTAGCGATCATCCACGCCCACCAGCGGAAGGAGAACTCATTGTACCTCTGCTTGTAGAATTTGATGTACGAGTAGACTGCGAGGATCATGAAGAGGCAGAGGGCGGCATCGAGGAGGATAAGGCGATCTTGAAGGGTCTGAGCGGTGTCGAACAAGACCAGGCCTGCGCTGAGGAGAGCTGCAATCCTGGCATGTCCCGTCTCTCTCATGATCATATACACCAAGGGCGTCTTGGCCGTGCCCAGCAAGGCCGGCAGCGCTCTCATCTTGATGTAAGGTACTCCTGCCGGCTCATACTTGTCTGTGATGTTTTCAAACTCAAAGTCGCCCTTGAAGCCTGCCAAGTACCCAGCGAGGGCATTGAGCATCTTGGCAAAAGGGGGATGCACATCGAAGTAGTATTCTCTGCGCAGATAGTATGCTGCGAACTTTCCAAAGTGTACCTCGTCGAAGACGACCTGAGCTGGGTAGCCAATCTGCCAGAAGCGCAGTGCGGCGCCGATGAGAGCGATTGCGAGGATGATGGTCCCGTCCTCCTTCCATGTGAGGCCATGCTTCGACTCTGAGACGGGAACAGCAGAGCTCCTGAACTTGCTGTCGGGGTCTTCGTCTTCGCCAAAGTAGGTGCCGTTCTTCATGGCCATCCTCCTCTCTTCATCAGAAACATGGTCGTGAGGAGCTCCGGCTTTGGCTTTCCTGGAGCGTACAGCCGCCTGCGGTTGAATAGAGGGAGCCATGATTTCTCGCTGTGACTGTATGCACGAGCGTGTGGACTCGGGAGGAGGTGAGAGCACCTGAGAAGTAAAGCTGAGATGCCTATTGGTCTCGCAGCTAGCCGGGCGAGGCTGTAGGGAGCGAGCAACGGGTCTTGAGATGTCCGGGTAGTAGCTGCCTTACGAGGCTGATGAGAGGAAAATAGACGAAGAGAAGGCCAGGGAGGAGAAGATGAGGAGGGGAGGGGGAAGAAGCCAAGGTGTGTGGCAGGGCGTACGACGAAGGACAGGAAGGAAGGGCGTCTGCTTGGGCGTGAATAGAGGCAGCAGCCACCCGCATCCCATCACCCGGCGCCTCCTCAATGCAACACACTCAAGCCACCAGCAACCGCCCGCCAGCAATGAGACGCGTGGAGGCAAACGGAAGCACGATTCAAACTCAGCTCAGCATCCCTCGTACCCCTGCAGACTCACCTCAACGTACATCTTGTTCCATCTTACCAACTTGGCACTGTCTTGCACCAAGCAACCATGTCTTGGAGTGTGAACAAGATGGACGAGGTGCAGAGGAGAGGCCCTCTTCTTCGGCCTGAAGGGCATTCGGACCAGCATCCCGGCGAAGCCGATTGCAAGCTTGGAGGAAGCGTGGCGATGCCTCTGGGGCGAGGATCTTGAGCACGCTGTCAAAGCAGCATTTGTGCAACTGCACGCTCGCCGAGTATGCCACGGCGATGTCAGCAGCTCGGACGTCCTCGTTGAATGGAAGAAGGTCGCCGTCCAGTCGGGAGCACTCCCTACCTCAGCAACGACTCTGGAGGCCTGGAGTTTGCGTGGGATGGTCCAAGAAGCGCAGAAGCAGATGCAGGTCAATGATGAAGCCTTCTGCGCAGCAGCGCGAGAGGTAGGACAGCATGCTCAGACGAAGATGGAGCACGCTTCTGGAGTTGCGTCAGAGGTATCGGAGTCTCCTCTCAGCCGTCTCAGAAGTGACGTTAAGGCTCACGTCTGGCTTGTCGACTTTGCTGACTCTACGATTGTCCAGGAGGGTGAAGAAGGAGACACACTCCTCGCTTCAGAAGCTCGCGACGTCGAGCAGGCCTTGAGACGGTGGATGAGCAGGCGCTTCTAAGAGACACGACGCCGGCCGATCAAGGGAGCCTGTCGGAAAGAAGATCAGAAGCAGTGTATGCGACTCTTCAGCGCACACAAGATCACCAGGGCTTCCCTATGCATACGAAACACTTTGATGGGCTAGTCTGAGCCACAAATTGCTTTGCTTCAAAGTACACAAGCGGCATCGAGCTCAAATAACAGCTCGAGACTCACGCGTACACCAAACGTTACATGTAATGTAGCTTGGCCCGCCACTGCTACAATTGAACAAACAACCTATCTATGTCTCACACATCGACCTCTGTGCACCTCACATCCCCTTCTTCTCCCTCCGACTCTTAGCGGCTTTACTCCCCAAATCCTCCTCTGCTTTAGACTTGACCATGCCCAGGAAGGTCTGATGTCCACTCCCATCAATAAGACCCTGCAGTGCCTCTTCATTACCCAATCCCAACCCACCTCCTTGAGTGATGAACTTCCTCTTGACGCCCCTGACGAGGAGATCCATCTTGAGCTCTTGGCGCAATTCAGCCTCGAGGGACTTGATTGCTGCGCGATTCGCCTTTGCGCTCTTCCCACCACTGCCACTACCAGCACCGCCGCGTTTGGAGACGTGATGATCGGCATCTGGATCTTCATCCTCTTCGTCCAGGGCAATATCTGCCTCTTCAGCAATTTTACGCACCCAATCCTCGTCTGCCTTTTCCTTTCTCTCACGATGACGTAACTCATCCAGCTCTTTGGCCAGTGCCAAACGCCGCTTCAGACGAGTCATGATCCCATACATGACCTCTAGATCCTGTAGATCATTTTCTCGCTTGAGACTCTTGCGTAAGGAGGCCCATCGAGTCTTTTCTGATGCTCCGAGAAGGACGAGGGAGAGACCTGGCTGGCCAGCTCGAGCTGTACGTCCTGAGCGATGGATGTAAGTATCTGCTGCTCTTGGTAGATGGAAATGCACCACGTGCGAGACGAGGGGAATGTCGAGTCCTCGAGCTGCTACGTCTGTTGCTAGTAGGACGCTGGAAGAGGTGGCAGTCTTCTTGGAGTTTATGGCCTTTTTGAAATTGTCTAGGGAGCGTAGACGAGAGCGTTGATCCATCTCTCCGTGCAGTGGGTAGCTTGAGATGCCTAGATTTGTCAGAAGAGGATGCAGACGACGAACTGAGTCGATGGAGTTCATGAACACGAGCGTCGAGCCGGTGTAGCGTAGCAAGAGGTAGTAGAGATAGAGATCCTGGAAAGAAAGAAAGGGGAAAGGAGGCGCAGTCAGTGACGGCGAGTCAAGGCAAGCTTCTCTTCAAGATATGACCACTCACCTTCTCCTTTTCAACACACTCGATCTTCCCCTCTTTCAGGCTCTCACTGACAAGCGCCTGCTTGGTCAGATCAATGACCTGAGCTCCCTCAGGATCCGTGAAGCCTACCCTCTCGATGAGCTTGATCATCTTGTCCCCCTCCTTTGACTTCTTCAGTGCTCTGTTGACCTTGCTTCTGCTCTTCGAGAGATTCACTTGCAAAGAAGGGTCCAGCGTTGCAGAGAACATGAGGGTCTGTCGATTCGGCGATCGAAGCAGGTCCAAGATGGAAGACAGTTCCTGGAACTTGCCTGTTTCGAGTAGTCGATCAGCTTCGTCCAACACGAGGGTCTGAGCATTTTCGAGGCGATCAGGTAGATAGTCATCAGATTTGCAGAGCTCCCACAGACGTCCCACAGTCGCAATGACAATCTCAGCGTCTTTGCTGCCATCGCCCTGCTGTGACTCGGTGCCTTTGCGGCCTCTGAGCAGACGCCATTGACGCTCCTCGCTCATACCTCCGAGTACAGGGGCGATACGAACCCAGGGAGTCTGCTTTGCACTCTCGCCGTCTTCCGAGGTGATGGACGCCATCACGAGCTTCTGGAAGACCTCGTACACTTGCATGGCCAGCTCTCGGGTAGGGAGTACCACCAGAGCTTGCAGAGGTCTCTCCTTATCGCCCTCGAAAAGGGAGCTACGCGCGTCGAGGACTCTTTGCAGGATCGGTAGAGCGTAAGCTAGCGTCTTACCGGATCCCGTCTGGGCCAAAGCAACGACGTCCCTTGAGCCTGAGGTCGGATCGCTGGGTGAGGTGGGAAGAGCAAAGGGTAGCGAGGCTGACTGCACTGGTGTTGGCTTGGTGAAGTTGGAGTGGAACAGCGCCTTCTTGAGGATCGGGTGCAGCCGAGAAAGAACTGCAGAAGGCCACGACGACAAGGTGGAGTCTGGATGTATGCCGAAGGAGTAGGGTCGTGATCAGCTTAGAACGAGCATACAGGCACTGATCTGCCCTGGTCACCCACCATCGAAAGAGACTCTTATAAAACTGATGCCGCCATCCACGCCATCGTCGTCTTCTGGCAGCACTCCTGCAAAGGACGAGAAGATGCCTTCAGGTATTGTTTCGTCCGCGTCTGCCTGGTCAGATACGGCTGCGAGAGACCCTGCTGCTCCGTCGAGGTCCGCATCATCGCTTCCAATTGGCTTCCACTCCTCCTCCTCTGGGTCTGACGCATCCATTTCCTCGTCTGTCAGGTCGGAGGTCAGTGCAGCTGCGTCTGATGCTACTTGAGGTGCTTCCTCGACAGCCGGGTCTGCTTTTGTTCTGCTCCTTGAATTGCCACTGTTTGAGCTTTTGTTCTTGGGCGCTGTCACCGAAGCTTCGGGCGCAGTAGGTTGAGCTTTGACATCGCTCTTTGTGTAGAATTCCACCTTTCTCCCCGTCTTCTCATCTCCCTGATACCTCACGCCCACCCCAGAAACCTCCTGCAATCCCATGAAGTCATCTGCTCCTTCATCGAGATCGGCAAATGGATCGTCCTCGTCCCCTTCTGTCTCATCGATCTCATCTCTGATTCCGGCGGGCTTGCCTGCTCCGAGGGAGAGGGACTGGGAAGGGACTGATACACCCTTCCATTTCAGATCGCGCAAGGAGAGGGATTTGGTAGAAGAGGAGGAGGAGGAGGAGGAGGAGGAGGAGGAAGGGGTAGTGAACTGGGAAGGGGCAAGGCGTTGGCGCTTCTTGGATGATGGACCTGGCCGAGGTCCCTTGATGGAAGACATTGCTGCTACGCCGTCGTCTTGGGTAGTAGCAGAGGTACGAAGATGATTGGTAGGGAGCGAGTATGGCCTGCCTGCTGTTGCTGCACGCTTCAACGGAAGGAGCAGCTTCCGATTCTCCAGAATCAAAATTCTCGCCGAGGCGACGCAGTGCAGCCGCGGCCGCGATTGGAATCGCCGATGACAAACAGTCGAGACACGGAAGCAGCGCCTTTTTGGCTCAAAAGTCACAAACCAAGTACATTTGGCCACCAATCGTAGAAGTAGGCCATACGACCCTTCCATCACCCCTTCGCCACTTCCCTCTACCACCATCATGGCACCACAATGTGCACCCTACATGATCCCCACGCCCCCTAGCCGAGGCGACACTCCGGCCAACAATCAGGCAGCAGTGGCAGGTCTTTTGCGCCAGAAGTATCGCCAGTCGCAGATGGCAGCTGCCCCAGTACGTGCCCAGACTGCTCCCAAGACTTCCACTAGTGGTCCCTCTCCACCTCCTGGCTGCCCAATGCATGCTGGCGGTAGCGGCAGCAGCGATGACAGCGCTAGCTCGACACAGGCGACCAGCATCAATCCAGCCAACAATATGCCCTTTAACCTCGCCCTGCCTTCGTCTTCCTCCTCCGCCTCATCGTCAGCGAGCGGGAGCAATGTCAAGCTCTCTCGAGAACGAGTAGTGTCTTCCATTCCTCGAGGCTCTGCCTCACCTCTTCCAGGAGCATCTCCATACGACCCTCCTGCTCCTCCCTCTGCCTGCCCAGTGGCACACGGCAAAGGCAAAGACGCAGACACCGCCCCATCGCGCTGGGAGTACCCTTCAGCAGAACAATTTCAAGCTGCTCTAGCTCGAAAGAATAAAGCAGCCCCAGAGGAGCATGTGGAGATGATGGTGGCGGTGCACAACTTCATGAACGAGGAGGCATGGAAGATTGTTGTGGAGTGGGAAAAGGAGTTTGGGACGGATACAGAAGACCTTTCTCTGCTCAGGTTCCAGGGAAGGCCGGGAGAGCTGAGCCCGAGAGCGAGATGGTATGGCTTCATGGGCTCGATTTGGCCCAGTCGCTACAGGTGAGTAGAGCAATCTATCGTACGGTCTCTCAGGTGCTCGGAGCTGACATTGCTACCTCTATCCTCTTCACTCGTAGCTCAACACCGCCTTTCGATCGCCATGACTGGATCATCGGCCGACCAGACGGCACGACTGCCCGCTACGTCATCGACTACTACGGAGACGACGAAGCAGATGCTCGGGACGAGCAGCGTCGTCTAGCACGAGAGAGGGATGCGGCAGTCAAGAGGGGGAGCTCAGCGATGCCCAAGAAGGAGCAGGAGGAGGAAGACGAGGAGGACGATGATCAGGCGAGGTTCGTTCTGGATATTAGACCGGCGCTGGATAGCTTTGAGGCTGTTCGCGTCAGGGCGAGGAGGGCTTTCAGGGAGTCTATGTCGTAGCAGGGCGTGGGTTATGTATGACTTTCGCATCCCTCAAATCAATACACCACTACCTGACCAAGCATCGGTGCTCAAATATTCGAAAGCCTTGCTTTCCATGCGAGTCCAATTCAAAGCTCGATTGTTCGCCATCGTGGGTGGTCCAGAGATCACTGCGCTTGTCTCAGGAATGAGGGTTGAGATCGATCTTTCGATGTTCTTGCGTATCGCGGGCCGGGAGTGGAGGCGTGTCGGCCCGAGCGGCGTCGAGGCGCATGTGGGGAGTCGCTCCAAGTTCAGGATCCCGCATCGTTGCTCGTAATCCTCTCTCCTCGTCCTTGACTCATCATTATATCCACAAATCCCTTGCCTCGCCGCTGGTCATGATGGCATCCTCTGGCCGTCCTCATGGGGACCTCGGCTGGCGTAGGCTGACCATGTTTCTGACTGGAGCACTATTGGCCGCTTGTCTGCTGCTCGCCTCACCCACCTATGCACAACAGCACCAGCAGCAGCTTCCCTTTCTAGCATCCTCCCCTCCATCCACATTCTCTGCTCCTTCCTCATTCAACTCTGAGCCATCAACCATACTCTCAAAAGACCCTCAGTCGAATATCACCAGTCCACTTGATGTCCTCACCTCATCCAAAGATCACACAATTCTGGTGCGGCTCCTGCAGCGGACCAGGCTGATCCCGACTCTGATACGGCTCATTGAGTTCGACGATGGAAGCGGCATCACCATCCTAGCTCCTACCAATGATGCCTTCAGGCGAGAAGCTGAGAAGGAGTCACAGGAACTCATGACTTCAAGTAGCGAACTGAAGTATAGGAGAAAGCCTATCTGGCAGTGGGCTTTGAGCGATGTCTGGAACGAGGAGAGCCAAGATAACATTCAGGCCCAGTTGCGTCAGCAGCTCCTTCACCATATCCTCAATTACACTCTACCATATAAGAAGGTCAGCAACATATCTGATGAAGTAGACAGTACTTCGCAAGCGGTATCGGAGCCAGTCTTGCGGTCCACCTCACTTCCTGTGGAGGTCCCCGACATGCACACCACGCTGCACTTTCCCTCCCGCAAAGCCCTTCACAGTCCAACTCGGCCAGGTCCAATCCCTCAGCCACCTGACAGGCCTCGTCATCCTGGAGCAGACGACGAGGGTGGACTCCTAGGCGGGGAGGGACAGAAAGTCCGGACGGTCTGGAAGTGGCAAGCGGATGAAGAGATTGTGAGAGGTCAAGGCCAGGACGAGAATCCCGCTCAAAGACGAGGATCGTTGTGGTTCGACGTCGGATCTCGGGGACAGGGAGGCGTACCAGCGCTCAAGTCCTACGAAGCAAGAGGTGGTCTAGTGATTGCCATCGATGGAGTGGTGCAGCTTCCTCCATCCCTTGAGCAAGTCGTGCGGACCCACAAGTCCCTCTCCCTCCTTTCGTCACTGGTCGAGGATCAAATGCTGCACAGCCTCTCGCTATCTGCCCACTCCACCTTCTTCCTGCCGACTTCGGCCTCCTTTTCCTCCCTCGATACGCTGCAGGCGTCTTACCTTCTGCGGAACATCTCCCTCGAGGAAGAGAAGCAAGCTTGGTCTGTCCTGAGATGGGACCGAACGAAGCTTTTAGGATGGCACGTCAGTGGTAGAGGGCTCAGGGATGAAGGGGGCGAATGGGGAGCAGTGGGCTACGCATCGAGGCTGAGGCAGCACGTAGATGGAGATGGCAAAGGCCAGCTTGCTACGATCCTCGGAGGACCTCTCCACTATTCGCTCGACTCCGACGATAAGGATTCGCCTCTGCCTGCTCTGCTAGTCGCCAGCGGCAGGATCGTCGAAGAAGACATCCTCACCGAGAACGGTGTGGTTCATCTCGTGGATCGCATCCTAGCCCCCTCTGTCGCTGCTCTGCAGCTCAATGTCGAGAAGACTCTCCTGGCCCTCAATGCCTCGCGCTTCGTCGCCATGATGAAGAAAGTCGGCCTGCAGAGCTATCTCCTGGCTGGGGGAGGACAGGAGGACGATGCGGACGCTGGAGACGAGATTGCCCGGCAGAAGTGGACATTTGTGGTACCGAATGACGAGGCGATGGATGGATGGCTCAGCGAGCATCCAGACATCGGCACTTGGTGGAGACGCTTGGAAAAGAAGGCAACGACGCTTCTTGGCCCTTCCGGCGAGCGAAGTGCTGACCCGACGTACTACGTCAGCCCTGCCAGCGAGCTTTCTAAAGCGCACCCGCTCAGAGATGACGAAGAGGACGACGACATGGCCAAGCTCGCAAAGCTTCTCAAATACCACATCATCGGCGGTCTTATTCACTCTCACAATTTGACTGATGGCGGACTAGTCGCTACGGAGCTTCAGGATTGGCGACTCAAGGAGGGCCGTCAGCAGATCCTCGTTGCAGTGTCGCCTTCGAAGCCCGGGCACCACTCGTCTACAGACCCAGGAGACGCCGTCTTTGGCGACGCAAATGTCATTGCTCCGCCTGTTGTCGTCTCAGGCACAGACAACCGCGATGCAGCTGTAATCTATCTGGTCTCCAAATTCCTCACTCTTCCCGACAATCCCGTGCAGACGGCCGTGACATCAAGTCTGACGCTCTCGACTTTTGTCGCAGCAGTCTTCTCCGCCGAGTTGGACACGCCCATTAGGAATGCACCTGGCATCACCTACTTTGTGCCTAACAACGATGCATTCACTGCTCTTGGTCTAGTCATGTCCTACCTTCTCTTGCCTCTGCCTGCATCTAGGAAGGAGCTGAGGAATGTAGTCGAGTATCACGCGGTGGATAAGATCGTCTATGTCAAGGACTTTGAGAAGGACCAGAAGCGGTACCCGACGCTTGAAGGCAGCCAGCTCTGGGCGGTCCGAGACGGTAATGGCAGCATTGAAGTCAGAAGGGAGAACAGCACGGCCGAAGAAGGCTATACGATTGGTGGGCGACCGGCCAAAGTACGTGCGAGGGATCTTCTGACTAGCACTGGAGTGCTGCACGAGATTGATCGAGTCGAACTACCGCCCGACTTGGCCATCACGAGCGGAAAGCTTCTCAAGGGCGCCAAGTGCGAGACGTTCAGAGATCTCGTCGTGAAAGCTGGCTATGGCTTCGTCCTCAACGGCACTGCTCCATCTGAATCGCAGCAGATGGCTCTACAGGCCATTGCCGATGGAGAAGACCCGGACGAGGATGTTTCTGCGACGAAGAAGTCGGGAAAGAAGCGTCGTGAAAAGAAGCACAAGAAGCGCCATCGCCTCTTTGAAGACTTCAAGCAGGCATACCTAGTTCTAGCACCCACCGATGCGGCATTTGCGCGGGTGAACCTCACCTACTACCTCTCCAACAAGGCCGAGCTGCAGAAGCTGATCCAGCTGCACATCTTGCCCAGTCCTGGAAGTCAAGACGAGGACAATCTCCGAGCGGCTGATGAGCAGCCGGGAGGTGGGAAATTGCAGCTGCCTTTTGGCCTCAGGGACGAAATTGGGCTGAATAGTCTGCTAGACAAGTCGCTCGGTGGGTCGAGCAGGTATGGTCGCTTGGCCTTTCGCAAACTCTCCACTGCTGGCGTCTCCTCCTCCTCGAGCTTAGAGGGCAGGGATGGTAAGAGCGGCGGCAATGGCGAAGGAGGCGGAGGCGGTGATGATGAAGCTCTGGGCTGGATGGTAGGCATCTACGGTTCTCGTGGCAGTGGTGCCACAGTAGGTGCTTCCCGTGTCCCTCGTACGGTACATGCTGCTCATCTACTCAAGTTCGGTCGTGAGTCTCTACCTCTCGCCTCTGTCTCTGACTCTGGCTCTTCTTCTTCGGCGGCGGATCGCATCATCAGCGGTGTCCCTCCCACTCGCGGCATCGGTGGAGTCTTTACCATCGACCAAGTGCTCATCCCTTACGAGCCTAATTGGTTCCACAAGTGGGGATGGATCGTACTCACTACACTCGTGGCGGTACTGGTTGCTGCGCTGGTCGGGTACGGGGTGTATAGATGGTGGGTTCACAAGAGGGGGAAAGGAGGAGTGCAATTGGGTGAGGCGATGGAGGGTGAGGAAGAATGAGGTGGGTGGGGGGAGGAGAGAGCATGAAGGACCGTCGTTGCCGCACCTCTTATCTATTGTTGTACAATTTTTGCGCACCTATTCTGGCATCATTTCCTTATTCTGCACAATGAGAATCGACGATCATACATGGCACTTCGCTTTCCTACTTGTACATTGTACAGCCTGCATCTGCAATGGTCCCATATCAGGCCTTTATGCATTGACGATCAGCGAGACAAGATCCCATACGCCCAGTCCAAAAGAGAGGGCTGCAAGAGCAATCCGTCCCCTATGCTTCAACTCCCACTCCCTAATCAACGACGTGATCTTCTCCGTCTGTCCCGCTGCATTCGCATTAGCAGCGTCCTGGTGCATGGTCTTAAGTTCCCCCACCGAGCGAAGGATAAAGAGCTTTGTATAAATCGGAAAAAGGAACAGCGTTCCTGCCGCCAGGGCCAGTACTTTTCCACTCTCACCCGGAAAATATCTATTTCCCCTTCGTGCTGTACTTGCTACTTTTCCACTTGGTAATTTCAATTCTCCACTTTTCCCACCTTTTCGAGCTAGAGTAAGAGTGCGGATTGCGGCAATGGTGTAGCCGATGAAGCTGGGTGCTAGGGCAAAGGGAAGCCAGCGCGAGACGGAGCTGTCGAATTGATTGTTCCAGAGGGTGAGACGTTGTGAGTTGCTTAGAGTGGATTCGGCAAAGATCATGGGGACGATTACGGAGGAAGTGGCATAGGTTGTGCCTGTGAGAGCAGAAGGAGGAGATTCCTCACAGTCAGAAGAGTGAGCTGGAGCTGGACGTCGAGCTGCAAAGAAAGGACTATCCGCGGATCAGGCTCACCGAACATGCATCCTGAACCTACGACGCCCACTGCTCGAGCTGCGAGGTCGATCGTGCTGAGGGCTAGCGTGACAGGCATGATTGGTAACGAGTCAACACAAGCGCGGAAGAGTATCAAAGGGCGTCTGAGGATGGTACGGTATGATCGAGAGGACAGAGGTGATACAGGCGGCGCTATCACAACGACTGTGCAGTGTGCGGGGGCATCGGGCAGCTTGAAGTGGTGCTCAAGCCAGGCACACACACACACTCGCACACACTTCCCACGCACCAGCCAGCCACACACCGGCGGCACTTGAGCTCCGCGTCTGGCCTCCTTCCGTTCCGCGGGACCATCGCTCCTCTTGCTCCCTTTCCGCGGGGATGAATTCCACTCGGGAAGATCTGCAACTGACTGACGCACGCACACCATACCGTGTCTGCTGCTCACTGACCACACCTGAAGCTCACCAAGACCGCAACTCTCATCATGCCCGTAGTCTTACCCGGTGACGTCCTCTCCCTCCCCTCCACCTCCTCCTCTGCTTCAATTCGGCTCGGACCAGGACTAGTCTACCCATCCGAAGCGGCTCGTACTACTGCTCCTACTCAGCTGCTGGTGACGAGGGGTGGACTGGTGGGCAAGGTGGATGAGAAGGGCAAGGGAAAGGAAAAGGAGAAGAAGGGAGCAGGATGGTGGATCGAGGGACCGATTGGACGAGTGAGTGCGACGATCAAAAGGAGCAAGGTCGAGTGAGGCTGTACGCCTTCTATCTTGAGTAGATCAGCTCACCTCTTTCCTTTCTCCCACCACCAACTCACAGTACGTTCCCTCCCCTGGAGATGCCATCATCGGTCAAATCACCGCCAAGAATGCCGAATTCTATACCCTGTCCCTCAATAGCGCCCATTCTGCCACTCTTCCCGTCCTCGCCTTTGAAGGAGCCACAAAGCGTCATCGACCCAATCTCAAGATTGGAGCATTAGTCTATGGACTTGTGACTAGTGCAGAGAATTGGATGGAACCAGAGGTGACTTGTGTGGATCCCAGTACGGGAAAAGGGAATGGTATGGGGGAATTAGAGGGCAAGGAGGGGTCGTGTGGAATGGTGGAGATCAGTCTGGCGTTGGCAAAGAGGTGAGTACATCCGTGACGCGGGGCTGTAGGGAATTCTCTCAAAGGGCAGAGGCCACAGCCCATGGTCTGAATCGCTGCTAACTCTGCTCCCTCTTTCCCGTCCTACTAGTCTCCTCCGTCCCTCTCATCCTCTCCTCCAAACCCTCTCCACCCACTTTCCCCTCGAATCAGCCATCGGAACCAACGGCCTCATCTGGCTACGTCTCTCCCACCCTTCCCACTTCCTCGCCTCCAAGCTCGTCCTCGAATCCGCCGATCGGTACGGCACCGCTGGAATCGATGAATTGAGTGCTCATAGTGAGCCAGGAGAGGAAGAGTGGTTCTTAAAGGAGAAGAGGGCTGGGGATTGGGGGAAGAAGCTGGCTGCGGGTTGGGGCAGGTTGGATCAGAAGGAGGTGGCGAGGATTGTGAGGAGTGTGGTTGGCTCGTGAACATGGCGAAGATGAGGCACGACAAATACTATCGCTCTCATAGTTTTGGGATGAAGCTCGTCGATGAGAGATATTGATACAAAGGGAGCGGTTCGACGAGTGCGTCGAGGTGCCCGCTTAGATGAGTGATAGTACAGAGTTGAAGAGGAGCGCGGGATGTCGATCCAGGTGTTTGCTGCAGCAGGCCTACCCTACCATTCATCGTCCTCATCGCTCCAAGCAGAGGCCACATCGTCATTGAGCATCTTGGACATATAAGGTCCATCCAGCTCATATCCCAATCGTCGGTAGTAGTCCCTCGTCCCAACTCCACTGATCACGGCAACCTTTTCACTACCGTGTTCCTCTCTAGAGATCTTCTCTGCCCATTCCATGAGGAGCGTACCGAAACCCTGGTGCTGGAACTTGGTCGGGTCCCGCGAGTGGATTCCCACTGCTGTTCCATAGGTGTGAAGCTCTCGAACTAGCGAGGTAGGCTGACCTGTCAATTCGGGCCTGAAGGTCGAAGAGGCATTGCACTTGCGTAACCGCAGGAGAGCAACGAGGATATCCCTCTTCGGGTCTTCGTACGCCAGGAACGTCTCCCAACCACCGTTGGCCACGTAGTCTCTCCTGATGAACTCAACCTCGTCCGGAAGGACCTTGTTGTGGATCTCGTGAATGCCGACCTCTCGAGAGCGGACGTCCTTGCATTCCAATCCAAAGTCCTTCATACGCTGCAGTGCTAGCTCTCGAAGATTTCCATTCTCTACGCCAGAAGAGACGAGGGGCATGGGAATATCGCGCTGCACTCTGTACACCCTAGTCCAAGGAGGAACCAGGGCGAGGATGCGGGCTACTAGATCGACGAGGAAAGAGGGAGAGTAGTTCTTGTATCTGCCTGTACGCCAGAGCTCGTACAATCCTGTTCCACGAATGACGAGAGTAGGGTAGATCTTCAGACCATCGGGGCGGAAGGCGGGATTGGAGAAGAATTCGACGAATTGCTCCATGTCGCGCTCGTAGCCGACGTTCGGTAGGTCGGGCATCATATGTGTGACGACCTAGCGGCAATGAGGGAGGGGAGAAAGAGCTATTTGTCAGTGAGCATTCCTTCCCTTCTGCGTTTCAATCGTTCCATCGGCTCACCTTGTACCCAGCCTCCTTCGCCAATTCAAACGTCTCGCAAGTAGCCTTGACTGTATGCCCACGATTTGTATCCCTCGCTACATCCTCGTACACGCTTTGTACACCAATCTCCAACCTCGTACATCCATACCTTAGCAGCTGTCCCAGATGTTTCGGCAGGCAGTAGTCCGGCCTCGTCTCGATTGTAATGCCGATGCATTTGGTCGGAGAGCGCTCAGAGTACCTCACTGCCTCATCCACGTCTAGGCCGGTGTATCCACTGAGGGCATTGTGCAGCTGCGCAACGAACTGGTTCCGATAGTCTTCTGAAAGACTCATGAATGTTCCACCCATGATGATATACTCGACTTTGTCCACACTATGTCCCAGCTCTCTGAGCTGAGCTACTCTGCCCCTCGATTGCTCGTAAGGGTCGTACCTAGCGCGAATGGCTCGCATGGAGGTAGGCTCATACCCAGTGTAGGACTGCGTCGAATACTCAAAGTCCGAGTCGGGTCCACCGGGACAGTAGACGCAGACGTTGCCCGTCATTGCAATATGGGGGCATCTGTGCGGCTTGCACATCACTGCCACGACTGCGATTCCGCTCGCGGACCGGATGGGCTTTGCCCTGAGCGCCGGTAGGAGGATGGGCCGGTAGGCATCGGGAATGGAGGCGATGATATCGGTCAAGCGGGGGACACCCTTGTGTTGATGCTTCTTACATGCCTGCTGGCGCAGAGCAGTCAGGGAGATTGGCGTGTGTGATTCGTGGGCGGCAATGAGACTGGTTACGATTTCGGCACAGACGCGAAGCATGGACTCGGCACTGTCCCGCTGCGTAGTCATCGTTTGCGTCACCATGATGGGCGGTGATGAGTGGACAGATCCGATGCCAGTCGAGATGCGGGATGAGTTATGATCGCTGGGCAGGGCGATGTGGTGCGGCAGTGACAGGGAGCAGTGGCAAGTGAGAAGGAGTGCAAAGCCCAAAATGTCAAGCGGAAAGGAGGCCAATTTCAACGGACAGGCGGGACTGGCTCAGACGCACAATGGCAAGGAACAATATGCGATTTTTAATTCAGACGTCGTCGATGATCATCTGTCGGCCAAGGCGCAGCAACAGAGATGACATCGGGCCTGCAAGTCTAGCGTACAATGGTTGGGAGTAGCGGGGCGACAGGACACAGGAGCATCACTCAGTCGGCTAGTCCGCTCCTGCAGGAACACCCACCACCGGCAGCAAAGAAGGGACAGGCGATTCCTTGATAATTCGGCGCATCGTCACAGACGGACCCTTCGTCGCCGAGGCCTTCTTCGTCGACGCACTAGTAGTCGAAGATGCGCCTGCAATATAGTAGATGTTCAGGTAGCCGGAACCACCACAGAGCTCGCTCGTGGCATTCTTGCATGCAATGTTGCACTTCACGGGGTCGTTCGTGGGTAGAACGACCGACTTGTAGTCGCCGCACCAGCACTGCGAACCATTCTCTGTACCGGCGCTGCGATGAGGAGGAGGGAGACGACGTCAGTGGTAGGCTCTGAATCAGATGATGTATGCTGTTCTTACTCACAGATTGTATCCAGAGGACTGGCACTTAGCGACGCAAGCGTCATTCGTGACCTTTGTCCCAGAACCGTATGCGGGCAGCAGTCGCTTGTTAACATTGTCGGCGTAGCAGCCTAGATAATCGGCGTTTGCTGGCTTGGCGACGCTTGGCTCGGGGAAGACGGTCGATTCAAAGACGAGGAGATGATTGTAACCACCTCCATTGCTAGATGAGTCGCCCGCCGAGGAAACGTTGCACCCGTCATTGTTCTTGCTGGTGAGATTGGCACCGTGCATACCCACTGTGGCTCCATTGTAGAGCTCCTGGGAGCAGTAGCACTGGTTACCGCTCTCGAGACCCGCCAGGTGGAAATTCTTGCTGGCGCAGAAGTCCAGACAGGATGAAGGGGTAAGGTCAGAGCCTGAGGTGTAGGCGCCGGCTGTGGAGGACAAGACAGATGAGAATCAGCACGAGGATAATATGGCTTAGGGCCACAAGTGCCACAACTTACACATAACCCGATCCGTGGGGTACTGGTCTTGGACGCAGCCGACGAGAGACCACTGACTGCTGGGAGACTTGTAAGCGCTGCTCGTGGCGGGGGTAATAACCACTGCACGGGCAAGCGGGAGGGCAGTTGCCGCGAGAAGGAGGGTAGCTTTGAAGTTCATCGTGTCAAAAGAGGTAGGCTGGGAGCGGGAGAATGCTTGAAGATTTGATGTTGTGGGGCGAAGAACATCTGTGCCATTCCTTCCCTTCCCTGTCCTTCTTATACCTTTCACCTTCGGAAGCTATTCGGCCTAGGTTTTGGCTGACGGTCATGTTTTGCGTGCCAGGTAGTGCTGTTACCCACGGCGATGCATGATCGCCTGGGACTGTTCAGGGTGCTGCAGCACGCTCAGTAATCCGACACGGGCTTGTGAGAGGGTCAGTCCGAGGTATGGGGCACACCCGGAAGCAAAGAAAGGCCCCGCTGAGACCTTGAAGCGAAGCATGGAAGGTGCGACGCAGGTTGCGCTCCACGAGTGTACCCTTTGTTTACTAGAGGAGGATTGCCTCCGTGTGCCTTGGTCGGAAGCTCTTCTCCGTACCCTGCTCATCTCGCTTGTGCAAGATACATGTCTCGGTTCGAGGGTTGCGCAGTATTCCTCACTTACGCGCACGTCGAGGTGTGTATGATTGTGAATGACTGACCTTCGGCGGCTAGAGGCGGGTTTTGACGCCGAGACAGAAGCAAGGGGTCGCTCAATACACGGAAGTGCGGCGCCGCTTGGCAGACACCCAGATCTATTTCTGGGGGTTGTTAGGGTCAGGGCAGCGGGAGGAGGGTTGCGGAGATTGGAACGGAAGGGTCTCTCTAGCGGTAGTCGTGAGAAGATCATGGGGACCTTCTCAAAACAGCCTATGTGTGAACTGGGTATTCGCATGAAGCTGCTCTCTTTACATATGCTCAAGGCTCTGCCATTGGGTATCAAGCTAGGCAAGTGGGAGTGGTGTCATCTGCGCGCGATGCTCTCGGACAGAGTGGAACCCGGAGCCGAAAGCACAGCGTTGAAGGTCGTGTATTTCGGGTGCAAGCATTGTTCGATGATAATTCTAACGTCACAAGGCGGGTGGTGAGATTGCTAGCAGCAGGAGACGATGAAAGGAGACGAAGGCGAGGCGCAAAGGCATGGTCTTGTGAGTTGGAGCTGAGACTTGGACTTTGACTTGACGCCCTCTGTCCCTCTCTGCACGAAATCGAGCTTCCAGTCAGACTTCGTCGGCGGGGACAAGGGCGCAGGATTAGGTCGATGCTCCCATCGTGCCGACGATCAACGCAGAAGGACAGGGAATATGCTGACGTCTATGCGAGTCATGACGGACAAGCCCTTGTCAGGATATGGATTTGTAGAGGCTCAAGTAGCTGTAACCGCCACAATACTGGGTCAGGTCCCCTTCGCAGGCTAGCTGGCAAGGGCTGGGGTCAGCAGCTGTTGAACCGGATAGGTCGGTCTTAGAGGAGTGGCCGCACCAACACTGCGACTTATCCTCTGTGCCGGCACTACAAGGAGAAGAGCGACGTCATGTATGAGATGTCAGCTCGGACTTTTGGCAATTTCTCGGCGATCAGACTCACAGGTCATATCCAGCCGCACCGCAAGCAGCAAAGCATTTCTGGTTTGTGAGGCTAGCAACGTTGGCGTAATGGGGAAGCAATCGATTGTTGACGTCATCGGCAAAGCAGCCCTCATAGTCACTGTTTTCAGGTCTGGGGATGTGAGGTCGTGGCCAACGCTTGGACGAAAAGAGCAGCAGATGGTTGGGGCCACCTCCGTTGCTTCCGGCGTCGCCGGCTGAAGGTGTAGTGCAGCCATCGTTGTTCTGAGCAGTGAGGTTCGAGCCATTCGGGCCGATTATTGCACCATCCGGGTCGTTGCCGCAGAAGCATTGGTTGCCATCCTCGATGCCGGCCCAAGCCCATTGCCCTTTGTCGCAGAATTCCAGACAGGAAGTGGGAGTGAGTTTTGAGCTGGACTTGTAGTCGCCGACTGCCAGGGAGAGGATAGGCGAGAAGCAGCACTGCAAGTCAGCACGAAGAAAGTAGAGGTGAGGATAGTGGATGTTGCAACCCACTGAGATCTCGACCGTCGGGATACTTGTCTTTGGTACAGCCGACGACGGTCCAATTCGCGTTTGGGGCCTGGTAACCGGTGCTTTTGGTGGTTGCCAATGACGCTGCGTGGGCCAGCGGGATGGCCATTGCAGCCATAGTGAACAGAGCTCGGAAGGTCATCATGATGCAGAATAGAGATGCTCGTGAAGGCGAGAGATGCTGATGAGAAGATGGTTATAGAGAGCAGGGCTGCCTTTCCATCTGGACTCCCTTGACCTTTTATACTCGTTTTTCTCAGCCTTGGAAGCTACGAATTTCATTGGAACGGCTCAGCGTTTCGTTGTTGTTTCGAGGCAAAACTTGGTGCGATGACGCTGCGCGATTGACCCGCACTGCACAGCCTCGTGCAGCATCATCCATCAGTGCTCCAGCCTGATTGTGTGGGAGGACCTATCAGCGTTGTGGGTATACCGAGGCGGACAGAATCATTCGCCCTGAGTCCCTAAGCGAAGTCGGGAGGGTGCGTCGCCAGCTGCATTCGGCCTCGCCAGAAGAAGACACCTCTGGTCGTACCGTCGGCACCTCCACTTCTCTGCATTCCATCGGGCATGTCTCGCTTGCACGGCATTCTTCACCCCCGCAATGCCGACGCTGATAGGATTGTGAATGACTGTCAATCGGGCAAAGAAGCGGCAAAGGGCGGCTGTGAACGATGTAGACGCCGAGGACAGAAGCGAGGCGGGTGGTACGCTCAGCGGACTCGGAAGTGCGACGCTGTTCCCGATTGGGTGACAACCTCTTCGGCAGCTTCGGCAGCGATCCCCCGATGAGACGAGACACGGGAAGCATAAGCTGACCTGCCACTTTACCATGGTAACGATGTCACAGTCACAAGTCTACTCTGGACATTGAACGTTCCCTCCTGATGCTCCGATCTAGACACGGTCAAGGCTGCGCCGATCCGTATCGCGTTGGCCATGTGGCCAGCCTGCCCGCGTGTGTGCACCTGTGAGGGCGATCGATGCCCACAGGTGGAGCGAAGCCGCGCGCGAGTCTCTGCGACGAGTTGGTGGGTGGCTGGGTGGCTCATGTCCTTCGTCCGCCCCAGCAGATGATCCACCTTCCAGGCGCAGAGAGCAACAGCCAGGCGCTCCTCCCTTCCGTGCTATCCTTCCAACATTCTTTCACACATCGCCTCTAGAACACACGCATACACAAAGATGCCGGGACTCCTCGTACTCACCCGCCACGGCCAATCCGAGTGGAACAAGCTCAACCTGTGTGAGTCCCGAGCCAGGTGACGCAGCACGACCAGCGCACAAGTCACCCAAGGGAGCGGAATGGGAGAGATAGCAGCAGCCTCTGGCAGGTCACGCAAGCTGACCCCTCACAAACTGCCTCCACCATCACCAACTGAACCCTGCGTCATCACAGTCACCGGATGGAAGGACCCCGCTCTCACTGAGCAGGGCAAGGGAGAAGCCCTTAAGGGTGCCCAGGAGCTCAAGAAGTACGGATACGTGAGTATGCGGTGCACGTCCGTGCAAAGATAGGTGACGAAGTAGGTGACGAGCCTGCGATCTTTATTCTGACGTCTCCTTGATTCGAATGTCCCGACCGTCCCGTCTCGTAGACCAGCTTCGACCTCGCCTTCACCTCTGCTCTCCAGCGTGCCCAGAACACCCTGGCGATCCAGCTCAAGGAGATTGACCAGGAGGGCATCCCCACCAAGAAGGACCAGGCACTGAATGAGCGAGACTACGGAGACCTCACCGGCCTGAACAAGGACGACGCCCGAAAGAAGTTTGGTGAAGAGCAGGTTCACATCTGGAGGAGGTCCTACGACGTTCCTCCCCCGGGAGGCGAGTCCCTTGAGCTGACGGCCAAGAGGGTGCTGCCTTACTTTGAGAAGGAGATCAAGCCTGAGCTGCTCAAGGGCAAGAAGATCATCATTGCTGCCCACGGAAACTCTCTCAGGGCTCTGGTCAAGGAGCTGGAGAAGCTCACCCCCGAGCAGACCCTCGAGCTCGAGCTGGCAACTGGTGTGCCCCTCGGTGAGTACACAGGCTGCTGTGTCTCATGGCGGCTCTACAAGATCACATACTGACTTGACTCCCTCCCCCGTCCCTTTGTCTCTTGTAATTATAGTCTATGAGATCGACGAGAAGGGTGCCGTTCTCAGCAAGAAGATCCTCGAGTAAGGCTGAGGCGAAACAGCGCTTCAGACTTAGATCGCCAGCTGTCACGCGATGAATCGCCGCCAAACGTAGAGACTGGTTGGCTTATAGAAAATGAATATCAAATCGTCTTCTGAACCTGTGTATAGAGTGTCTAATTTTTTTCTTTTGCCGTCTATCACTGATTGGACTCGTCTTTCGCGTCGAGTGGTGACGTGGAGGAAGTGAGGATGATCTGACCGCCGCGACTCGAGCAAAGTGTTTGTTGCGCCTGCAAGGCTCGGTGCGTCTCGTCCCTTCTATACATCCTGTTCTACCTTGCCATTCGCGCCTTTTGATGTCCACAGAGCCATGGTGGCAACGAAGACAGATACATCAGCTCTGAGGCGGGCAGTGGGAGGCCTTCCACTCATCTGCATCGCCCTCCTGCTCTTGCTCCCATCGCACACCCTCGCTGCCCTCTTCCCACCCAACTCCGGCGTCCTGTCCCTCGACTACCGCTCCTTTCCCAGCAAAATTCTTCAAGTGGAAAAGCCCGCCATTGTAGCATTCACAGCTCCCTGGTGTGGTCATTGCCAACGTCTCACTCCCGAATTCACAAAGGCAGCCAAGAATCTCGAAGGCATCGTTCATTTTGCCAATGTAGACTGCGACGAGGACAAGAACAAGCAGATGTGTAGCCAATATGAGGTCAAGGGCTTCCCTACCATTCTTGTCTTCCCCGCTACCAAGAGGAGGATACCAAAGACTTATCAGGGTGAGAGGGTCGCAAAGGCTCTCGTAGAATATGCAGTCTCAACTCTGCCTCATTCGGTCAAGAAGCTCAAGGCAGAGGAGCTGCCGGCGTGGGTTCAAGGCATTGGACCCATTACTGCTGATGGCACTCCCGATACCAAGGGCATCAATGGGCGAGGCAAGGTCCTGCTTCTGAGCAACAAACCTACCTCTTCGCCACTCTACAAGTCTCTGGCTCTGGACTTCAGGAAAACATTCGACTTTGCCTTTGCAAGGGGTGACCAGGTTGCAGTGAAGGGTTCTGCAAAGAACATGCTGGGCATCAACGTCAACCGAGACGAGGACCTGCCTATTCTCGTGGCTTTCCCTCCGCCGACTGCCGTTTCGGCGAGTGGGGAGAGCGACTTCGAAAAGGGCAAATTCGAGACGTACGAGGGGAAATTGAAGATGGGCCCTTTGACCGAGTGGCTGAAGAGCGTCAAAGCCAAATACGACATCGAAGAGAACAAGGACGACAGCGGCAGCAAGAAGACAAAGACAAAGGCCAAGGCTAAGGCTGGCGCCAAGAAGAGCCCTTCTCATGCCGACACCTTCGATGAACCTCTACCGGAGGGCGGATTCTACGAATGGAGGCCGCCTGCCAATGATGCCAAGCAGCGCCTCTCGAAGCAGGCGGAGGAGATTCAGGCAAAGTACGAGGCAATGAAGAAGAAGGAAAAGGGCGAAAAGGGCGCTGCCGATCAGATGGCATTCGGGGAGAGACATCGTGTGCCCAAGAAGGACGAGCCTCAGCAGGTGCCTTTCTCAGGAACCGCTACCAATGGCTCGTCTGACGATTCGAATTCTGCTCCCCCTCCGGAGCCTGAGGCTCCAGTCATCCCAAGTGCTGAGTCCTCGTCCTCGTCCGAGAAAGTCGAAACTGCTGCCGACCCATCTCCTCTCGGCTCGGCTTCCAGCCCCGGGGAAGAGGCCGCTGAGGCTGCAGAAGCCTCGCCCTCCTCGAGAGGCTACGTCTACACCGACGGCCAGCGAGCCGATCTGGATGCCCTCAACTCCCTCTTGGAGGAGGCGGGAGCCTACGATCTAGCAGAAAAGGCAGCGCAGAAGGCGGGAGACGCAGTAGAGGGCGTCAAGGGCAGCGCTCGCCAAGTCTACGACAGCGTCCGCAAAGCCGCTGCCGCTGCCGTCGCGAGCGAGGGTGGTGGAGAGGAGGAAGGTCTGATCGATCCCGCCTCTGCGCCCTTTACTCGCAAACGTAAAGCTCTCCTATCTGCATTCAGCAGTTGGCTACAAGACGAGCATCCAGACTGGGAGGAAAATTACTCGTCCGACTTTCTCTCTGCCACAAAGGATGTGGAGCAGCTGATGCGAGATGATCCCGAAAAGGCCAGGGTATTGGCAGAAGAGAGCGAGGTGAAGATGCTGGGCGAGTTCAAGATCGATCTGGAGCGAATGGGTGGGGAGGGGGTTCTGGGCGAAGGCAAGAAGAAGAAATTGGAAGAGCTCATCACGCTCTTGGAGGGGAGGATTGCGGCTCGAGAGGCGGAGAAGAGGAGGGATGAGTGGGTTGAGGAGAAGAGGAGCGATCATGGAATTGGGAGTGGGGGAGTGGGTGGGGACAGGGTCATTGATGCTATTCGCGGACTGACGGGAGATGATTCGCGCATGAGCGATGAAGCTGCCGCTGCTGTTGGAAAGCATTCGCATGACGAATTGTAGGGGTCTTGTACAGTGCAGACAGGCGATGTTCGATTGATTGAGTGGTGATGCAAAAGACAGATGTTGTAGCCGATGAGAGAATGTATTCGAGGTATGCTGTGAATATGTCTAGGTCGAGTGACCAGAGTGTGTCTAGAGTCTAGTGTACGGAGGCCAGGAAAAGTGTCCGGCTTGCAGTGAGCAGTCTATCTGAAGCCGCTGTGTGGTAGCAGTCTGAATGCAAATCGCGAGCTCCCTTTGAAGTTGATGATGTGTGGGTTTGTTCGCGGCGGTTGCGAGAGAAGCGAGTACTCTGCCATTACCAGTCCAGCTGACCCGAGGAAGAAGAGCAAAAGGCTCCAGGCATCTTTTCCTCTTCTATCATGTCACTCTCCTCGATTGGATTTGTCTGCGAGGTGATTCCTTCCTCTCCATCCTCGTCCTCCCTTTGCTGCTTCGCCCGTCTCTTCTCCTCCTTCAGCACCCCTCTCCATCCCTCTCTCCACTTCTCCATTCCAAACCACCTAACCGCCCAAATCCTCACTTCTTCCATCCAAAGACTCTTGACACATCCATCACCACAGGAGCAACCACAACATTCGTCTGATGGTGGTTCTTTTGGTGGAGAGGTGCGTGGGAGGTGGAAAGCGGTGTGGAGTTGGGAGAGACGGAGGGGAGTTAGACGCTTGGGACCGAGATAGGAGGGGAGGAGGAGGGGATGCGTGCTGGGAGTCGGGTAGACGGGCGTTGGGGGAGCGAGAGGAGAGGTGGAAGGAGCCAGGATGACGATGAGCGCGAGTGCTCGAAATGTCTGGGATACGAGGATTGAGGAGGGTGTAGTGGTACAGACTGAACACGCAAAGACGGAAGTGGGGCGACTTGTTCCCCTTGACTGAGTGAGTGATGGGTTGATTGCCCCCCGCCACTTCCGGCTCCACGCTTGGCGGGTGGGGGACATTTGCCGACCCCGCATTTCTGCCCCGCACGGACAGATAGGGATTGGGACAAGAGCAAAGGTCATGCGCACGCCATCGAAGATCGCTACTCCATTCATCTCTCACTTGAGCTCACCCGCTCACCCTCCTCCTCATCATCATGGGCACGATGCAGGCCTACACTCCCCCTACCACCTCTCTACCGCCACAAGGAAGGCCCTTCGAGCTACGCCTCTCCCCCACCAACTCCTCCCAGCTGCACAATCATACCGCCCTAACCCCGCTCATCTTCCTCCTCCGCGCCGCCCTAATCCACCCAAAGAAGCTCGCGATCAAGCACCCAGAGCGTGGCTGGCAAATCACATTCGACGTCTGGGCAGCACGATGTCTCAATCTAGCCTTTGCACTCAAGACTCTCGGTGGGAAAAGATCCTGGAAGAGCCCACCACTGCAGTGGGAGAAGGGCATGCGCGTAGCCATCCTAGCACCCAATGCACCCATGATCCTCGATGCTTACCACGGCGTGCTAGCCGCGGGAGGGATCGTGGTACCTCTGAATATCCGCAATACTCCTGCAGAACTTCAGTACGTCATTGAGCACTCGGGCTCCTCGATCCTCCTTGTAGACTGGGAATTGGAAGCACAACTCACCCCCGAGGCTAGAAAAGGTCGGCTGGTCATCATTTGTCGTGATTCGGGTGGACAGGATAAGGAGGACGAGTACGAGGCTTTTTTGGCTCATGGAAGACAGCAGTGGGATCTTGCACAGCAGGAAGAGGCAAAGCGACACCCCGAAGCACCCCTCTCCGACTGGGCTCTGCTCCCCTCTCCTCCCGAAGACTCACCTTGTGCTCTTTGCTACACAAGCGGTACGACAGGTAGACCCAAGGGTGTTCTCACAACGCACAGAGGCTCCTATCTCGCTGCAATAGCAAACGCCATTGAGGCCTCCCTCACACCAGACTCAACGTACCTCTGGGTTCTACCCATCTTCCACGCCTGTGGCTGGTGTTTCCCCTGGGCCTCCACCCTAAGCTTCTCTACCCAACTTACCCTTCGTAAAGTAGATCCAGAGCGAATCTGGAGGGCCTTTAGAGAGGAAGGGGTAACACACTACTCGGGTGCACCAACTGTGCAGATCTCCCTTGTTAATCACCCGGGGGCATCGCGCTTACCGCAAGAGGTGAAAGTGGCAGTGGCAGCTTCGGCACCTACGGCGGATCTATTGAGGAGGATGGAAGAGTTGCACTTGCATCCCGTGCATGTGTATGGATTGACCGAAAGTTACGGACCACTGGTGCGTCGATATCCCAAGCCAGAGTGGCAAGAGCTTCCCCTGGATGAGCGGGCGAGATTGATGGCCAGGCAGGGTCATGGATTTGCTGCTGCTGATGAGGCGCGGGTGGTGAGACTCAAGGAGGTTCAAGGTGGGAAACGAGAAGTGGTGGTGGTGAATGTAGATGGAGAGGAGAGATTGGTGGATGTGCAGAGAAATGGGGAGGAGATTGGAGAGATTGCACTTAGGGGGAATATCGTCATGCAGGGGTACTATCGCGATGAGGAGAGCACAAAGGGGACAATCAAGGCGGTGAGTAAGCGAGCGGGCGAGTGGGCGAGCTGAAACACCGCATCGATGCGAGATCGACTGCTCACTGACGACGACGACTGTGACTACGCAGGGCTACTTCCTCACTGGGGATCTCGCAGCACGTCATCCGGGCGGAGAGATCGAGATCAAAGAGTGAGTGTACGCGGCGACAACCTCACTCGATACATCTACTCCCGCCTCACTGACCCTTCCTTCCACTTCTCCCCCTCCTTCCCCTCCCCCTTTTCCTGCCTCAACCCCCTCTATCAGTCGAGGCAAAGACGTGATCATCTCCGGCGGGGAAAACATCTCCTCTCTAATGGTCGAGTCGGAACTAGCCTCCCACCCTCTCGTACTCGAATCAAGCGTAGTTGCCCGTCCGCACGAGAAGTGGGGGGAGAGGGGTCATGCATTCATCGTCTTACGCTCAGACTCTCCCGTAACTCCACACGCTTCTCCTCAATCTCCTTCTTCTTCTCCTTCTCAATCTCATTCCCAAGGAGGAGAAGGAGAAGGAGGAGGAGAAGTGGGAGAAAAAGAGAAAGAGTTGGTAGAGGATCTCAAGAGACACTGTAGAGATCGGATGAGTGGATTTGCTATTCCTGCTTGGTGGACCTTTGTGGAAGCCCTACCCAAGACGTCTACGGGTAAAGTGCAGAAGAATGTACTTAGAGGGAGGGTGGCGAAATTGTAGAGCGAGGAGGGAGCAGAGAGAGAAGAGAGAGGAGAGAGGAGCTGCTATTGAGTCTGAGGAGAGCAGCGTGCCACATTGAATGAGAATATACACGTACACATATATCAACACGAGAGTTGAGCGTGAGGTTTGGCCACTCCATTCAGCTCACACTATCATCACCCCCATTTGCTCCTGACCCCGTCACCATGGCTGCACCTCGTGACTAGATAAGACTCGATTCACTTCAACGTAAGATGGTAAAAAAAAAGAAAAGAATAAGCCGGCGTACAAGAACAATGGTGCAGACCCGTATCACATTCCCTTTCAAATTCCGATAATCCCTCGCTAGGCTAGGCAGGGGGTAAAATCCGGTGATTCTCGCTCTTTTCCCCTCCTCCCCACCCAACCCCAACCCAACACTCTTCACACCTCACTTCCTACCCCTCTTGGCGGATGTTCCCCCTCCTCTTCCACCACCTCTTCCCCTCTTGACAGGTGAAGCGCTTCCGTTTGCTCTAGAAGTAGCTCGACTAGTCTTTCCCGGTTCATTCTCATCCACGCGCTGCAATGCCAGTCTCTCCTCCTCAACCCCAACCCCAGCGCCAGCGCCAGTGCCAGTGCCAGTGCCAGCTCTAGCAGCACCAAGTACCGCCCCTTGAATGACGGCACTCTTGATCGCTCCAATGTCCTTGCGAGGTTGGGCTTGGCGAGCTTGCGCAAAAAAGATGCGACAGGGTCTTTGGCATCGATTGTGGATCGAGTAGACGTTGCCTTTTGGTACCATGAACATTCCTCCTGGGGCAATTGTGAATTTCGTACGGTGCACTTGAACGTCGACGGCTCCTTCTAAGACGACGAAGGTCTGTGTGGAGTGGAGAACAGTGAGGGAAGATTACAAATCAGGTCAGCATAGGGGAGCGGCAGGGAAATGGCGTAGCTCCAACTCACATAGTTGTTGTCCTTTGTAGGCTTCGAAGGCTTTCCTCCTCCCACAGGAATCTCAAGAATTCCAGCAGCCATGTAATCGTCGACACCGAATACCTTCTCAAAGGCAAAGTCGGAGTTGATGGCCGTCTTTGGTCTGACTTGCGAGATAGGGCAGGCGATTCTCCTCTCTACTTCACTCTGCCTCTCCACATCCCAAACCATCCCATGCGGGTCCGTCGCCTCGTCCCAGCCCTCTTCAGGATGCCTAGTAGGTTGTGTAGGGTCGACTTCTCCGTCGTCTTCGTCGTCCGTCTCTCCATCTGCCTTGCGAGATCTCTTGCGTTTCACCACCCGCTTGACAGGTCTGCCCTTGCTACCATTGATGCCCTTCCGCTTGATCTTGAGCCCGGAGAAGGTACCCTCGTCGACGTCCCTCCTGATACGGATGACCTCTCGTAGGACAGGTACGGCGTAGCTCTTGATGGGAGCATCCTCGAAGGCGTCCGCTTCAATCGTGTCATCTCCAGCAGTCTCATCTGCACCATCTTGCTCGGCCGAGTCTCTAACACGATGGCGTGAGCCTCCTAGACGAACGGACGCTCGACCATAGATGGCTCGCTCTCCCCTCCAGTACTCCAATGGGGTATAGCGATGCCGCGTGGATCGTCTGACATCGCCTTCGATGACGCTCCCACCTCTCGAGCGTGGCACCTTCTCCTTGATCTCTCTGTCTTTTGCCGAAAGATGTCCGCCTCCAGCTCTCTCTGTTCGCTCGACTCTGATTTCACCCTTCACGCCCTTCTTGCCTTTTCTCGCAGACTCGCGTTCCGCCTTGCCGGCCTTTGTGCCATCTAGGCCTGCTGCTCCTGCATTATGGTCGACTTGAACCCCATCTTCAACCTCGTCTCCACTCCCGAGCGCAGCCTCGGCGGCCTCCTCGTCATTCGCATCGACGTTGAAGCTGGGTATCTCATCGTCCATCATAGGCATATCTGCAGAGCGGTCCATCGAGTTATTGTTGACATCGAAGGATGAGCGACCAGATTGTCTCCTGCTCGCGCTTTGGTCCCGTAGACTGCCAGCTCCGCTGGGACGATTGCGTCCTCTGCCAATGGGTGAGACTACTGAGAGGGATTGCCGGCCCGCCGAGGGGCCCGCGCCATCGTCGGAATAATCTTGTTGATCGTCGCCGAGGTCGACGAGGGAGTCGTCAAGGGGATACGAGTCGTCGTTGCCAGCGGCAGTTCGGCGGGAGCGATTTGGTGACGGAGCATAGCCTACGAAGAGCGGATGCATAGGCACATGACCTGGTCAGCCGCGACTTTCCACCAGTCTTGCTTCGGACGTCCTTGCTACTCACTGTTCTCCAGATCCATACTACTACTACCCTGAGCATTTGACTTTCTCCCCATCGCGCTACTCTTCCTCCCTTGATTCCTTACAGGCGAAAGGATTGCCGAATCATCTCTAGTCTCCTCTTCCCCATCCCCTTCCTCCTCCTCTTCTTCCTCCTCGTCCTCGTCATCATCGTCCTCTCCATCACTATCATCGTCATAACTTTGGTTCATGTGTTGTTGTCCAGCATTGAAGTATCCACTGAGAGATCGTACATCTTCGCCGACTTTCATACCCGTCCTGCCTCCTACTCCCGGAGCATGGAATTTGCGCGCTTGAGCCATCGTCTGCAAGCTAGCGTTGGAGACTTGAGGCTCAGAATCAAAGAGAGAGGGAACAGGACGCGCTTCTGAATACAAGGTAGGTAGGTGTGAGGACAGTACGTATGTGGTAGTAGTCCTTGCGCAGAGGAGAGGAGGATGCTTCGGTCGTTAGGTAGTGTCGACGCGCGTCAGGATCCGCGATGGTCGCGTGCTCTGGAACTCTTCGTAAGCGGTTGCTGCTGCCCAGACTTGCAAAAGGGGGCTAAGCGTGTAGTAAGGAGACGTTGACCCAGTCTGGTTATACAGTAGGGGTTTGATCGTTAATGTGGTTGATGGGAAGGAGGTACGGAGCACGACGGCTGATGACGAGGAGGATGTGGGAAAGGGCGGACGGAGTGGGGAGCGTGGGACCGGAAGCAGGGAGGATACGCGCCTGGTGTTTCGGGAAGGGCAACACACAGATCAAGGCACGTGGCAGCGGAGCCACAAAACAGCATGACTGACGGCGAGTAGCGAGCAGCGAATAAGAGAACGGGGTGAGACTCACAATCTCCAATACCGATGCAGTCAAGTCGGGCCGCAGAGCTGGATACAATCAATGTCATTGACAACATGACACAGACGACAATAACGCTGTGCCACGTCTAGTTGTACTGGGCGTACAGGCTCGTACTGCTGAACTTGCTACCCGCCTTGATCACCTTCTCCACTGCCTGCAAGAAGTCCTTCTCCGTGCACAGCTTGCTCCTCCTCCTGATAGCAAACATCCCGGCTTCTGTAGCCACACTCCTCAATTCGGCTCCTGTTGCATTAGGGCAGAGACGAGCTACTAGGTCGAAGCGAATGTCGCGCTCTACCGACATTGATCGCGCGTGAATGCGCAGGATATGGGCGCGACCGTCGTTGTCTGGCAAGCCGAATTCCACTCGACGATCAAGACGGCCTGGACGAAGGAGGGCGGGGTCTAGTGTGTCGGGCCTGGGAAAATGAAGCAGAGTATCGTCGAGCCGTCAGAACGGTTGTCCTTCAACTACTATTGGCCTCGCATCGCCCCGTCACTCACCTGTTGGTTGCCATCAGAACCTTGATGTTACCTCTAGGGTCGAAACCGTCCAGCTGGTTGATCAGCTCTAACATCGTCCTTTGCACCTCATTGTCACCTCCTGCACCATCGTCGAATCGAGCACCACCAATGGCATCCACTTCGTCGAAGAAGATGATGCACGCCTTCTTTGTTCGTGCCATTTCAAAGAGCTCTCGCACCATACGAGCTCCCTCTCCGACGTACTTCTGGACCAGCTCTGATCCAATGACTCGGATGAAAGTGGCGTCTGTCCTGTTTGCGACTGCTCTGGCGCATAGTGTCTTTCCTGTACCTGGAGGGCCGAAGAGCAGCACACCCTTGGGTGGATCGATACCGAGGTTGACGAACTTCTCGGGCTGTTGAGCAAGCAGGCAAAGAGACGCTCGTTTAGCATATGGGCCCTCAGGGCGTCCTCCTCCATAATGCATTTCATGCTACTCACATTCAGAAGCGGTGTCTCGACGACTTCTCTGAGCTTCTCGATTTGCTCCTTGCATCCTCCCACGTCTCCGTATGTCACGTCCGGCTTCTCTTCGACTTGCATCATTGTCACCGAAGGGTCGATCTTGGGCGGCAGAGGAATCTGAATTTGGTAACGATTGCGGTCGACGCTGAAGGTTGACGAGAGAGAAGGCGAGGTCAGCGCAGGCCCTCCAGAAGACGCGATTTGGGAGCGCTTACTCACCCGACCCTCATGCCTTCCTCAATATCAGTAGGGGCTACCTTCTCGCCCAATCCCACTACGAACTTGGCAATCTGCTTGATGTTGATGACATACTTGTCCTCCTCGTCTGCACTTGGCCGTTCGTCTGCTCCCCTGAATGGGTTCTCTCTTGCGCCTCCAGCACCTAGTGCACCAGCGACTCCACCTGCCCCACCAGCACCTCCTCCGCTGCCACCACTACCACCAGCAGCAGCAGCCCTTGCCGCCTGCTCATCTTCGACCTTGATGATTTTGGTACACCGAGCTACCTGCAACACTTTCTCTTCACTCATCCTCATCTTGTCCGCTGCTAGATCCCACAAGTTCCTAGCTGCTAACCCCGTGTCGCTCTCCTTGATCCCCATCTTCTCATTAATCCTCGTCTGAACATCCTTGATCTCCGATTCGATCTTCTTGAGAGAGCCAGCATAGGGTCCTTGACCATAGGTCTTGAGGATCTGAATGTCATTCTCGTCTAGAGCGACGATCTTGTCGTCGTCCTTTGAGTCCTCGTCGGGCTTCTTGTACTTCTCCCAGTCTGACTTGGGAGGCATGGTGAGTGCGGAGAAGCGGGGTGCGGGTACGGGCGAGGTGCGAGTGCGAAGAGATAAGGGAAGCTGGGAATCGTCAAAGGTGGCGAATGTGTCAAGTTGGGACTGAGGAGAGGGATGGTCGAGGTAAGGAGGCGGCGGCGGTCAGAGGTGGTGGTTGGTGGTGTTGCTTCGCGCCCGCCCAGAGTCCGTCACCCAAGTGCTTCCTCCACCACTTACGACGCCGAGGCGGAGCTTCGGAGCCGAGACCACCCCGCGATATGCCTTGGACGTCTGGCAAGCGACTACTTCTGTAATGTATGCCGACAATGAGCACTGACAATGAAGGGTACTTGGGTACATACTTGTAATCATCGACAGAGACTGACGCATGACTGAAGAGAGAGCTCAGACACGCTGGGACCATGCGTTGCTCACCATGGTCATGCTGAAGTCAGCAGCACAGGGCAGTGACAGCCAATTGAAACCACTGCTCTTGGATTGTTCTGAGATGTATTAGCCACTAAGCTATGTGCCATGTCAGAGTCAGTAAGCACTTATGCCAATACCCAAGCCGAGTGAGGTTGGTACGTCGACATGTGAGAGGCTAGGCGAGTAGGCGGGGCGTAGGGCTCCCCTTCGCTGTGCCGCGCTGCAGGGGACGCACAGGCAGAGAGGCCTCGCTCCCGCCAGACGGCTCATCTCCTGTCCTCACCACTGCCACTCCTTCCACCTCTTCCCCGCACCTCGACCGAATCTACACCTTCATCGCCACCATCTCACAACGAGGGTAGACTACAGACACAGTAGAGCTGTCAGCTACGCTTCCTATATCCTCTACCTTTCCTGCCTTTGCTTGCCTAAGCTCCTTGGCTCACTAGCCACTTTCTTTGCCGGCCACCTCCACGCCTGCCATCCCCTCTCACCCACACCTTCCCGCCTCGTCCTCTGCGACGATAAAGTATCCCCAACATGGCCGGCGCAATGTCAAATGCCAAGAAGGACCTCCCAAAGGTGTGTGCTTGGCAGAGATCAGGCCCATCCTTCATCTTACTTACCCCAATGGCTTTGCTCACCACTGCACCTCAATCTTTCCTCCACACACACAGATCCGAGATGAAGAGAAGGAGGCAAACTACGGTACCGTCTTTGGTATCTCGGGGCCCGTCGTCGTCGCAGAGAACATGATTGGTTCTTCCATGTACGAGCTGGTACGAGTCGGCCACGAGGAGCTGGTAGGAGAGATCATCAGGATCGACGCGGACCGGGTCACCATTCAGGTCTACGAGGAGACGTCTGGTGTCAGCGTCGGAGACCCAGTGCTGTCCACCAGGAAGCCACTGAGTGTGGAGCTGGGACCTGGACTGATGAGCAACATTTACGATGGTATCCAGCGTCCTCTGGAGAGCATCATGAAGAAGGCAGAAGGAATCTACATCCCTCGTGGTATCAACACTCAGCCTCTGGATCGAGAGATTCAGTGGGACTTTGACCCCACCGAGTACAAGGTGAGTAGTGCAAAATGGAGAGCTTTCCAAATCTACCTTAGAGCTTGCTGACCCGGCACTCCCTTCACTGCATCTACAGGTCGGTGATCACATCTCCGGTGGTGACATCTACGGCCACGTCTACGAGAACTCGCTCATCGCAGACCACAAGATCATGCTGCCACCTCGTGCTCGGGGTACCATTACCCACATCGCCGAAAAGGGCTCCTACGGCGTCGACGATGTCGTCATTGAACTCGAATTCCAGGGTCAGAAGACAAAACACACCATGTGCCAGCTTTGGCCCGTCCGTGCTCCTCGTCCTACCACCGAGAAGATCACTGCCGACATCCCACTGCTCACTGGTCAGCGAGTCCTCGACGCCCTCTTCCCTTGCATTCAAGGTGGTACTACTGCCATTCCTGGTGCTTTCGGCTGTGGAAAGACGGTTATCTCGCAGGCTCTGTCCAAGTACTCCAACTCGGACATCATTACCTACGTCGGTTGTGGAGAGCGAGGAAACGAGATGGCCGAAGTACTGGCCGAGTTCCCGGAGCTGACACTAGAGCACAAGGGCAAGGAAGAGCCTATCATGAAGCGGACAACTCTGGTAGCCAACACTTCCAACATGCCCGTCGCAGCTCGAGAGGCTTCCATCTACACTGGTATCACTCTCTCCGAGTACTTCCGAGACCAAGGTTACAATGTTGCCATGATGGCCGACTCGACGTCTCGATGGGCCGAGGCTCTTCGTGAGATCTCTGGTCGTCTGGCCGAGATGCCTGCCGACTCTGGTTACCCTGCCTACCTGGGTGCCAAGCTGGCCTCCTTCTACGAGCGAGCCGGTAAGGTCACCTGTCTCGGATCGCCCGAGCGAACCGGTTCGGTCTCCATTGTCGGTGCCGTCTCTCCACCCGGAGGAGACTTCTCCGACCCTGTCACTGCTGCTACCCTGGGTATCGTGGGTACCTTCTGGGGTCTGGACAAGAAGCTTGCCCAGCGTAAGCACTTCCCCTCTGTCAGCCCAACCGTCTCCTACTCCAAGTACCTTGGCGCCTGTGCCAAGTCTTGGGGAGACGATGTGGTGAAGCTGCGAAACGAGGCAATGGACATGATCCAGTCTGAGAACTCTCTTATGGAGATTGTCCAGCTCGTTGGTAAGAGTGCCCTGGGTGAAAATGACAAGGCCACCTTGGACATTGCCAATTTGCTCAAGAACGACTTCCTCCAGCAAAACGGTATCTCCGAATACGACGCCTACTGCCCTTGGCACAAGACTGTCTGGATGCTCCGCAACATCATCGAGTACAACCAAGAAGCCCAAGCCGTGCTCAGTCAGGGTGAAGTGAGCTGGAGTAAAGTCAAGGAACACACGAATGAGATTATGTACAGGCTTACACAGATGAAGTTTGAATTGCCAAAGGATGGAAAGGAAAAGATTGAAGAAAAGATGGAAAAGCTCAACAAGGACTTGCACGAGGCGTTTAGAACCTTGCAGGACTAGAGCCTCCCTTTGTCGTCGTGCGGGGCTACGAGGAAGGGCGCACCGTTCTGGCTCTTTGAGATTAACTCTACCATCCCCCCTTCTCTGTCTTATGTCGTGTTTGTCTTTTCTTTGCCCACTTGTGTTGCCTCTGCTTTCGGGAATGTCGATTTGATTCTGATTCTGATCTGATCTGATCTGATTTGATCTGAACAAAGTATTACGTCTCTCTTTCGAGTGGTGGACATGCGTGGAGACACTCGAGTGACTTGTCTTAATGCATGCAATGGATAGTGGAGAAAGGGCATGGAGGGAGGATTACAAGAGGTATATAGGATGGCTGGCCTCGTTCCCAAGCCACACTGACGGACAAGAATGGATCTTTTTCCTCCCTCCCTCTTCCTTTGCACGTCTTCCTGCTCTCTTCCCTCACTTTCTTGCTGACCGCCTGATCGTTTCCCTCTGGGTTCGGTGCTACATCTTAATGGAAGCCAAAGAGGGCCGAAGAGAGGTGCTGTTGACTGAGTCCCCAACCTCCCGCTCCCGATCCATCTCCCATTGTACCCCCGCCCTGCTGTCCATTCCCATCACCCATTTGCACTCCCGAACTTCCCGCCGCACCCATCCCTTGCCCTGACCCCCCGCCATGCGCACCATCACTCTGCCCCGCCCCCATTGCTCCTGCTCCACCCCCACCCCCACCCCCAGGTAGGTCCGTCGAGTCACCGAAGCGGAAGAGGGCCTCATCTGGCAACTCCAGCGGGAATACATCGTTTCCACTACTGAGTAGATCAGCCGAGAGGAGTTCCTCGAGCTGTAGTGCAGAGAAACCCATTGTGGGTGCAGAGTGAGAAGTTGGGTTGCCATAGTGGTGAGAGTGGTGGTGATGATGATTGCCACTGGTCGAATTGGAAAAGGGACCACCACTGCTGCCGTACCCGGGTGAAGGACCACTGCCCAAGTGACTGGAGTGCTGCTGTTGCTGGTGATGCTGGTTTGAGGCATGCGGAGATGGGGCGAGCCAAGGAGGTAGGAAGGCCGCCGAGGAGTGATGGTTGCTCGGCGTCTGACCCGAAGAAGCAAGATTCTGACCCCGGCCGGAGCGATGGCCTGGCGTGCTTGGCTGATTACCCATGTGCGCATCGGCCCAAGGGGACATGCCTCCTCGACTTGCTCCTCCGCCAGCAGCATTACCTGCTCCGTCCCCACGCCCGAAGGTGCTGTTCACGTCTCCATTGGAGGAGAAGAGGGAACCACGTCGTTGTTCCTCGGTCCACAGATCCACCAGCGCAGACACGTTGATCTCGGCAGAGGTGGCCAATTGACCCGAGAGAGCCAGACCGAGGGCTCGATCGCTGTCCATGACATCGCGATCGTCCTCTCCACCCGGGTCTCGCGCAGCATTGGCCGCCGCCAGAAGATTTTCAATACTCGTCGCAGCGTTCGCACTGCCCATTCCGGCCAGTTCCCCACCTACACCAGCCGCGGCAGCAGCATTAGCCGCAGCTGCACCTCCCGATGTGCCACTGGCACTACCGCTGCTTCCACCCCGCGTGTGGTCCACAGATCCCCGGCGGGAAGCCATCTTACTCTTGGCTTGCTTCATCTTGTCCCTTGCCCAAGCACTCAGCAACTCCATATCCCGCAGAGGAGCCTGCATAGCATCATCGTCGCGCTCGTCGGGTACAATGTCCGAGGCGCCTGCTGCCTCTTGCTCGAGGGCACGAGCGGGCCAGGAGGCGCCGCCCCAGTAATGGGCAAGAGTGCCGAGCCAATTGATACAGTTGTGCAAGTTGTCCGTGACTGCTTTGCGCATGCTCAAGAGCGTCATCAGACGATCGTCAGGCCCACCAGATCGCGACGGGCTTACAGCGCGCGATTGCTCGGCACCGTAGCCATATTGCCGCATGGCCTCCTTGATCGCCTCTAGCTCTCCGTGGAATGCTCTGCCGGTGGGGAGGATGAGCTGATCCAGATACGGAGAAGTCTGCAGACTCTTTGGGTCGACCTGAGCAGCAAGAGCTATCATATCTGCAATCGACCTCGAGGCAGAGGCGGAGATATGCGCCACACTGGGAGCAGATAGGTTGATGCTCGAACCAGACACGGGATGGACATCGGACCAATTCCTGCCTCGCATGATTCCCGGCCTCTCGAGAAGACTGATGGTCGACTGGAACAGGACGTGGAGGAACAGGAAAGCTGGGCCCTCATTGTTGCTGGCGGCTCGCTTGAAACTCTGTACGCTGAATGCACAAGTCGAGGGCAGAGATTGGAAGTAGCCAGCGCACTCTTGCCACATTTCCATCAATTTTGCCTTCTTCTCAGGGAGATTGATCTGCCCTGAGTCGTCCTTTCTGTTGAGCAGCTCTCCCATTCGACCTCTTCTTTGGAGCAGCTGAATGATCTGCGAGGCATAGAAGCACTGCGAACCTGGCTCGACGCGTGGTGGTCGGCAGTCGATGGTATGCTCGAGGAGAGTGACAGGACGACCGGTACCAAAGCAGGTAATGCGGTCGATTGCATAGCACCCAGACCAGAAGAGCCATCGCGCCTTCTCCTGCTCTGCCTTTGGTAAGCTCCGGATGGTCGACTCGTGCTGCAGACCCAGATCGGTGGCCATTCGCATTCCCATGCCAGAATACATCCACAGACCCGAGTCAGACCCTGCTCCAAATTCAGCATAGCTCAAGAGGATGAGTGCTTCAATGACATCGAGACTGGGCCAAGACAGCATCGGCACGATGAGCGTCTTTGCCATCTCGCTAAAGGGCTCACCGGCATTCTTGGGCGACTTGCGTCTCAGCTCTGCCCAATCCGAGAAGCGTGCCGTCATGGCGCAGACCGAATTGGCCAAGATAGCAGGCAAGGTGGCATTGCGAGCGCCTTCCAAGAGCACTTCACTCTGTACCCACGGACAGAGGTTGGTCCGGAATAGCTGGATGAAGATCTCACTGAGATGCAACAAGACGTCCTGACGCGGGTATCGAGGCCGCGAGGGGTCGAAGAGGTCTCGAGATGCGGAGGAAGTAGACTCGGTCTCCAGTGCAGAGAATGCCAAATGACCACCATTGCTCGGCCTCCTTCGTAGATCGGACCGAGGCGAGCTTTCGACACCGGCTGGAGAGTTGGAGACTCGGCCTTTGTGTGCAGATGTGGCACCCACGTGTGGCGAGGAGCCTTTCCCGGCCCGAATCTCTTGCGAGCCGAGAGTTGCAGGCAGTGGTGGTGAAGACTCGCCCTCGGGTGCTTCCCCTTCGAGTTTCGGCTTTTCATCTTCCTCGTTGTCTGGCAATGCAGAGTCATCCTCTTCTTCTGGTAGATCAGGATTAACAGCTACCTTGATGCGACGATATCCAGGCGTATTGGCGGTAGATCCGAACCATCTGAAGAAGGGGACTACAAGCGAGTGCTTCTTTGCGGAAGACTGGCTCGAAGGGGAGCCGGCTGCCGCACTGCCAGCTCCCTCCATCTGTCGAGAGACATCAGACTCCCTTCGATGGAGGGGTGCAACGTGCTTGCCAGGGTGGCCAAGCTGTCGCTGGCTCTGATCGTCCAGGTCGGGGATACCTGCCCTTGACGCTATACCACTCTGCAGATCCGATGACCCGGCGACCGCACCTTCGTGCCGGAGACTGGGTACAGCTGTCCGGATGGGCGGCAGAGCATTGCGGTCCATCGATGAAGGTGGACGAGGCAAGCCTCCATTCGCGACGGAGGTGCTTTGCGTGCGGTAGCTGCTGTACGAAGGAGAGTAAGCCATCGAAGCTGCAGAATCTCCCGCCGCACTACTGGAGTGAAGAGCAGGAGGAGTTCTGCCGCTGCCCATACTGGTAATAGATGCGGGAGAGTGATAGAAGTGAGGACCAGGACCCATTGTCTGGTTCGTGTAGAAGTGTTGGTGTTGCTGTGGAGGAGAGGCGCCAGGTACACTACCTTGCTGTTGCGGAATGTAGTGCTCGCCTCCGGGTCTGAAGCCCCGGGTCATGGACGAAATAGGCGGGGCAGGTAGGGCGGGGTGACCATAGGAGCTTTCGCCAGAGGTGTAGCCTGGACTTGTCTGACTCATACCGTGACTACTGGTCCCATAGCTAGAGTTGACAGACCCATATACTGCCCGCTGACTTGAAGGTGCGGCTGCGTAGGAAGGCTGCACAAATCCACCTCCCCCTGATCTGTCGTTGTAGGAAGGCGGCGAAGCCGACGAGACAGGTCCAGCCATCGCTGGGCGACCCATCGAGGATGTACTTGCTGAGCCATTGGCGTTACGGAAGGTCGGCCGGGCAAGATGCGATGGAGGTGCCATATCGCCGTCGCGTTGGTCCTGTCGCGCTGTATCCTTGGTCTTCTTCTTTGTCTTTGTGTCAACTTCTTCTTCTGACTCATCAGAGGACTCCACTGCTGAAGCTGACGTGCTCGTATGCCGCTGCGTCCCTCCTCTTTCCTTCTTTGAGCTTCCTTTCCCGCTAGAGACTGGCGTTCCCGAGCCTCGAGCAGCTCTCTCCTTTGGTTTGCTCTTGATGGACCTTGCATCCTTGCCAGGAGGACCGAGGTGGGCGAAGCGTTCTGCTCTGAAGTCTGGTCTGAGATCATCAATGCGAAAGAGACATTCCTTGCCCGAGGCAGCGCAGCGTTCGCAGACTGGTTGGTCTGCTTTCAGGATACATCTGACCTTGTGAGATCGACATGCCTCGCAAGCGCTCACTGGCCTGGTCCTTTTGCGCTTTGCAGAGGCAAGCGATGAATCAGCATCGGATCCATCATCTGCCGTTTCCCTCTTGGCTACCGCCCTTGCTTTGCTAGCCAAATTCCCATCGGGCTTGGTGAGGGGTGGGAGGGATCCCTGCTCCGAGACGGCACTTGTTGTTGCGATGGTCATAGGTGAGCGTAGTGGCTGCTTTGCAGTCGAAGCAGAGGAAGTAGATGCAATAGTTGGTGATGTGGATGGCTTCGAAGATAGCTTTGATGCTGATGGAGGCATCTATATGATTGAGAAGAGGGAAGGATAAGACAAGGATGGCAAGAAAGGTCAACTACGAGGAGCAAAGGAGGATCAGAGCAATCAATCAGGTTGCGGTCCAGCGGACTTGTGCGCCAATCACAACGGCTTGGTAGCACGACCTGGGGCGATTGCTGCAGCGTACCCCTTATATCCGGCAATTGGCCATGTATACCCGTGCCCTGGCTGGGACCTTATCCCCACGAACGCCCACGCGGTGCCCGCCTTGTACAGACAGGGTTTGCATGCAACGAAGGGGGCGCGTACCTGTCTCTGCAGTGCTCCATCCTTGCTTTTGCTGACTCAGACTAGCACTCACGATGTAGGTACCTCTCTCGGTGCCTTGAACCCTGGGAATCAGGCACAGCCTCGCCTTGCACAGCGAACTTCGATGCTTTGCTCTTGCTCACAAGCTACGACTTTGGGCTTGGCTAGGATGCAGGCAGCATCCCTGTCGTCTGTAGGTCCTTTGTCTTGTCGGTGTGAGAGCGAAAGCGGGACTAGATGGCTTGACCGAAGGCAAAGAGGCAGGCGGTCAAGGGCAATGGCAACGGCACTGCTACTGGCGGGATGGGTGCCGCGTCTCTCTTCCCCAACGGGAGTAGCAGCAAAGGCAGCGTCGGACGAGGAGGGGAGCAAAAGCACCGCTTCTGAAAGGACCACGGAGACGCAGAGACGTCTTGCTTGGTCAAAGAGACTGATGAGAAGGGGAGATAGCGATAATCAAGAGACAGAGAAAAGAAAGGTGGTGAGGGGAGGCCAAGTAGGGGACGATGAAGGAGTAGCAGACTGACCTCTGAAGCCCACTTCAGCCACACGGGACGACGGACAGTCAGGCCAAAAGAGACGGAAGTGCACTCTGGTGAGCGGGCGGGGTGCCGAGGGCGTGGCCGCGTGGCGGGTGTGTGGGGACTTGTCCGCATTGCAGGGGGCGGCGGGCGGAACAGCGGAAGACGCCATCCTCGCGCCACGCAGCCCACGCCACGCCACGCCCACGCCCACGCCTAGCCTCCCTTCTCTTCCCCGCACCTGCCTCGCGTGGCCCCGATTCTGCCTCCTCTTACCGCTGCACAGGCACCGCGTGGCTGGCAGCGACCAACAGAGACAGACAGAAGAAGATGGTCTGATCGGTTAATTTGAAATTGCATTGCATGTTGTATTTACGTTCATGATTGACTGATGCATAGGACAGAGGATGGAAGATATAGCTGCGGGGATGCGGACGTGTAATGTGACTTGCGTCTGATTCCTCGCTACCATCGTCCCTTACCTGTGTAATATTGCTTCGACCCGACTTCGCTCTACGCCTTCCATACTGCTCAGTTGTGGCCGCCGCTCCCATTGGCCTCAGAGGCTTGCACTACTCGATATCAACTTTACCTCTACGTCTCCGGATCCTGTCCGCGATGGCGATGTTCCCGCTCGCCCTCGCTGTCTGTGTGCTCGTACCCAAGATGCGTGCCCAGCTTATGCCCACTCGACTGTTTCCAGCTGGCATCCAGACCTCTCTGATAAGCATCGGCGACTTCCTTCTTTCGAGAAGACCCAGAGGCTACCGATGCGCCTCCGTCGTTGCTGAGGCCTCGAGCTGTCCCGCCACGTCTCATGCGGGTGGTAGCGTGTACAGAAGAAGGAGGGTGACCCGACTCCAGATCGGGTGGGTGTGGCACACCATGGCTATGCCCTCCCTCTTGTTGACTATTTTCAGCCTCTTCTGGGGCATCTCCCTGGCCCTCTTCATAGCTCTCTTCTGCCCGCTCCTCCTGCGAGGCGTGTTCATCTCTACGCTGCGTCTCGAGAAGCTTGATGCTCCCAGTGCCCTTCCACGTGAAGACGAGCTTAACGAAGGGGATAGCCATTGTGTGTCCGATCAAGCTGGCCAGGATCAGCGAATAAGCGATTGGTCGCACCAGGTCGCGAATCCTCTGCGCATAAGGGCCGTACGTGTCGATCTCGTCCTTGGGGAACTCCTGAAGGATCTCGCTGGCGTAGTAGATAGCACCTGCTCCAATGGGTCCAAAGTAACCTGCAAAGGCAGATTCTCCAATGTCCTTGAAGGCCGGGATGCCCTTGTATAGAAGCAGCACGGGAGGAAGTCGCCTGAAGAGCAGCACAAGTAACGCCAGAAGCAAAAGTCGTAGGGGACTTGTGCCGATCTCGGGCATGTTGAAAGTGATGAACGGAACAGCTGCTCCGGCAAAGGCGAAGAAAGCCGAGTTGAGGAGGAAGTCGAGGACATTCTGAACCTCGTCCTCTTCCGTCTCTTTGCGGTACCAGTCATCGTATGTGAAGGCGTTTCCGGCGACAAAGGCAGCGAGGAGATCATCCAATCCCGCTGCTCCTGCGATGCCAATCATTGTGACTCCAAGGAGCGGTCCATAGAGAAGGAAAGACTCCTTGTCGATGAGTGAGTTGCGGCATGCGAAGCGCAGCGCTCGGTTGGCTGCGACACCAACGACGATACCAGCAACGATTGCTCCACCGACTGTATAGAGGACATCTTGAAAGATCCAAGTAGTGAGAGCTTCAGTCGTAGTGGGCGACTTGATCAGTCGGATGGCAAGGAAAAGGAAGGGGTAGGCCAGACCGTCATTTATGCCAGACTCGGCGGAAATGATGTTGCGCACGCGAGCAGGCACGTACTGGTCTGCGAAGGCGCCTTTGCAGATCGAGTTGGCCAAGACGGGGTCCGTAGGTGTGCTGGAGGCAGCAATGACGAGAGCCACCAGGAAGGGCACATTGGGTATTACAAACATGATCAAACCGGCGACGATCAACCAGGAGCAGATCATGACGGGGAGAATTAGCATGGCCAAACTGCGTGCTTCATGAATAGGGTAGTATTTGGGCAGCTGAATGCCGACCAATACTAGCTGGATACCGATGACAATTCTACTGAAGCCCAGCGCAATCTTGTCGGCGTTTTCTTCATCTCCTCCCTCGCCAGACCAGTGCGTGATCCGTCCGAAACCGTAGGGGCCAAGGATGATGCCCAAGAGGACTGCTAGTGGCGCTTCGCCCAGATAGAGACGCTCCTTTACGTAGAAGGAGAAGATGCCGTAAAGGCAGACGAAGAGACCGAAGGACAAGGCCACGACATCGATTTCGTCTACTGCCATGACGAAGGGGGAGGTGAGCTTGGATGAAAGAGAAGTGAGGCAGAAGAGGCGGAGGATGGATGCGGAGCCGCTGCGAAGGGCCGAAGAGAATGAGCTAGGGGCCAGAGAATAGTTACTGTATCATATGCAAGGCAAGGAAGAGAAAGTAAAGAAGGGTCGATAGGAAGAGAGGAAGAGAAGGAGAAACAAAAAGAAGGAACACGATTCTGTTCAGACAAGGTTATGGTGGAGGAGGCAAGAGTCTCCCGTCCATCACCGAGACCAGCGCGCCTGTCTTGCATCCAAAAAAGCGGGCGGCTTGAGCGGTGGAGGCGGGGCTGTGGTGCGTATGGCCTGGGCCTGTGACGACACTGCCCCACCTGCACCTGACAATTACGATTCTGCCAGGGCAGCTCAGGGGGCCATGGCTCTGCGAAGACATGAACTGCGAATCTCTACTCGTCTCAGCTCTCATGGAACAAGAATGAACGTGGCGACCTACGAGTAGAGCTGGCTGCTGCTGCTGCTCCTCCTCCCTCTCCTCTCCCGAGGTGAGGACCCTGACGCGCTCGGGGGCGGGGCCGCCGGGACTCCAACACTTTTGCCGGATCGGAGATTGCGGGTCGCGTCCCACGGCGCAACAAGCACAAGCACACAAGCACACACACTCACACAAACGCACCCAGGCGCCGCCTCGCATTGGACCCTCAGCCACCTTGTATGCTCCTACTCTCTTACTCCCTTGATCCTTCTCTCCCACTACGTCCTTTCTGCGCCTTGACCATCACATAGAGTGCACACCACATCATCGTCTTGACACTCACGCTCTTTGACCTTCGTTCCGTAAAGCCTCCTCGTCCTCTGCCTCAGATCGAAGTCGCCGTACTGCGAAAATACAGCAGCCCTCGGATCCCCTATTTCCAAGTCAACGCCTCCTGTCCTCTCGTCGATCTCAGCCTCACGACACCCGGAGCTCTGCATCTCTCCCATACTTAGTTCATCCTCTCCGGCCAGTCGAGACCACTTCTACGCAAATTACCAACCCAGCAACGCACTGTATGCGCTGATCTCAAACGTACTTTTCCGCCAATCTATATGCTCAGTCTACCTTATTCTTCGGCCTCACTTCGATAGCAAAGCATTCTTCGTCTCATTCTCGGCCGACCTTCATCGGCCTGGGGCATTCTCAGAAGCTGCTCCTCTCCCAGACACAAGTAATCCAGTCTGCAGATGTATACTGTAGCTGAGCCCTTGCACGGCCACTTCCCCTACCAACACAGTCAAGGCTCGTCAGAAGCACATCGAGCCATGATAAATCAGCAGCCACACTATCAGCAGCTGCAGCAGGGTACCCCCTCTGGCGCCTCCTCTTCCTCTTCCTCCTCTGCAGCTGCCTCGACCTTCATTGATGGAACGCCATCAGGTCCACAGCAAGACTATAACAATACTCTAACGGACGCTCAAGTGGCTGAGTTCTTTGCTAGCGCGGGGAGGGGAGCAGCGGGAACTTCGGGAAGCCTTACTGTGAACGATATCGGCGCCACGATTTCGTTTGGTAACGCTAAATTGGGGAATGCTGCGATGGCGGGAAATGGCATGCACGCAGGCTCCCAATCAGGGACCCCATCGTCCCATCTCTCGCCTGCAGAGATGGGCGTCAACATTTCCCTTCCTCCTCACGATCCCCGTGCGGGTCTTGCGCAAGCAACGGGTCCCAATGCAGCTGGGCCAGGATCAGCACGTAGCAGCGCTGGTACAATCCCCAGTCATCTGATGTCAGATATGCACCAATTGCAGGCGACGCCGACTCAACAGTCTCCGTTCGTAGGAGCTTCGGCCACTCTACATGAATCTCCACTGTCTTCCTCACCAACAAAGCTTCACAGTGGCAGTCCGATGGGTCATTATCAGCAGCTGCAGCATCGCCAAGGCTCGAGGGATCAGAATGGCGCAAGCCTGATCAATGCAGCGGGTCGATCAAACCTTGTACCAGGAAGGTCAAACAGTGGCACGTCCACAAGCGGTGCCCTATCGATCTCTCGCGCTCCGTCACCAGGTCTCAAGTCTGAAGCTGGGCTTCCAGATCGAGGCATACCTTCTCCACAAGAATTTGACAAGGATGGAGATGCAGGCGGTGAGAAGCGCCAGTCCAACCGCTTCGTGTACAAGCTGATGAAGATGGTGTCCGATCCGGAGAGTCAACATCTCATCTCGTTCAACCCTTCGGGCACAAGCGTGGTTGTCACGAATTTCGATGACTTTGCAAAGGACGTCCTGCCAAAGCATTTCAAGCATAGCAACTTCTCGAGTTTCATCAGACAGTTGAACATGTGAGTACACAGAATGTCAAAGGTTGCGTTCCTTCTGCGTCGAAATGAGCTGACATTCTTCCCCCGCTGCATCGACAGGTATGGCTTTTACAAGGTGAACAAGACGCCTCGAGGGCAACGCAACTCCAACGACATGCAAGTATGGGAGTTCTCCCACCCCAAGTTCATCAAAGGCCGGCCTGACCTCCTGGACGAGATCCGTCGCAAAGCTCTTGACAATGACCATGGCCGAGGTGAAGCTCGGGACCTGCAATTCAACATGTCAATGGGTCAGATGCAGCTTCGCCATCACTTAGAAGAGGTGCAGTGGCGCCTTGATCAGACAATGGAGCAAAATATGCAATTGCGCGACTTTAGTCTTTCGCTCCGAAAGACGCTGATCGATGTTCTAGAGTACGTCAAGGTGACAAATGGTGGGCAACTGCCTTTCGATGTCAATCTACCCGGCACCGAAATGCTGACGAGCATGACGCCGATGATGAGCTCGGGACCGTTCATGGGCGGCAACGGACCAGGCGTTGGGGGATGGGACGGCCTGCATCAACAACCCGGCTCGGTCCCTCTACACGGCCACCAGCAGGATGGGCCATCCATCTTCGTCACTGAGCCGAGCTACGCAACGGCAATGGGCGGAGGCCCTTCGTCTGGCATGGGCAATGGCCTGCAGATGTCATCGGTACCTCCATCGCCAAACCACGACGGAGGCAGCGCCTTCTCGATGGCTCAATTCCAGCATGTCTCACCCCTTGGATCACGCAGAGTCTCCAACACCTCTTCGAGCGGCAGAGATGGCGATCTGCTGGACCCCAATACAGGTGGCCCAGTGCCGGCCGTCCTGAATCAGAGTGGAGTGCCCATCATGATGCCTCCTGCCACTGCGAACGGACGGATGGGCGGCGACGTCTTCAACTCCACACCTGAAAAGATGATGAGTCGGGATGGTCGGCCGATGACGGCTCCGCAAGAGTCACCCCTGGGTAGAGGCATCGCGTCCATGCCGCGACGCTCTTTCTCACGCCAAAACAGTGGGCTGGCAGTTGACACGACGCCGAATTTCGTCTCATCGCCGGTGGGAGATCGTGGATCTTGGTCAGCAGTCGAGGTCAACTCTCCCAGCACTTTTGGCGACGGAACGCCCGGCAGCGGCGTTGCGCCTAGCCCGCACCACCCTTCTATGATTCCGCCTGGGCAGCGAGGACAGATTTTACTCCAGCAAGGCGTGGGGCTCTTTGCCTCGGCGGTGAATACTCCCTTGCCACCTTCGCCCGCACCTCCCCATCACATGCAAAATGGAGTGATGTACGCCTCACCAAACCCTGATGCAATGTTTGGATTCCAGCCACCACCTCTGCCCCAGCAGGGCTCCTACCACGGCTTGGGACTCGCAGTCGGCACGCCCGGCAGCGGAGGAATTTCCCCGCAGATGATTTCCAATGGCTTCAGCAACGGCTCTCCCCACCCTGGCGAAACAGGGCTGGGCCTGAGCTATACGAATAGCAACGTCTACCTCGAAGACGGCGGAGGCGGAGAAGGGGGTGGTGATCTGCTGCAGCAGCCCAACGCAAAGGCGATGCGTACGCCGCTGAAGCGCACTGCGAGCTCCTCGGCGGAGCAGGCTAACATGGCGCGTGCGGCTGCCCTTGAGGCGGCGCTAGCGAGTGCAGGCAAGAGGAAGACGGCTTCGTGAGACACGGGAAGTGGGGCGCGGGTTGCAAAGTGGGAAGAGAAGAAGCATGGCAAGAGAGCGCTTTGCGGTGCGCTACGTACATACATCTATCTATCCTCGTCTGGGGCTCTCCGTCACCAGCTCTAACTTATTTTGGGACATTTCCTCTCTCCTTTCGCGGCCGCTTCCCTCCCCCACCTTCGTATGTCTGCTATGCTGCTCTCCACCATGTATCAATCCTCCTTTGGGCCTCGTTGAGCCCCCCCTTGATCCTATCCTCTGTAGTCACGAAAATGTCCATACCATTTGTCCACGCAAGGTTGAACGATGATCAACTCCTAATAATCATTGCAGGAATTACTACAGCCGGCTAATATACTCTGATGCTGCTATGCGATACCCTGCCTCACCTTGCCTACTTCCCCTCTGTGCCCCTCTCCCCGATCTAACTCCTCCTTATTCACCCCTCCTAAATCCCACTCTGTCCACCCTGCGTCTGCGTTCCCTGCGTCCCCTGCGTTCCACGCGTCCCCTGAGTTCCCTGCGTCCCCATCTCCTGCTCTGCCTGCTTCATCTTTGGATGCTTCACATCCTCTGGCAGTGTGTGCGACTCTCCCCTTACACGTGCAGCACCCTGCTGGACCTCGTGATCTTTACCAAAGATTTTGCCTGCAAAGTACCTACAGAGCGGGCGCCAAGGACAAATAAGGGAAGGGAAAGTCGTGAGTCAAACAAGCAGGAGAAGGAAAGTGCTGCGCCTCACTCTCGCTCTCGCTCTCGCTCTGACACTTACTTCGCATGCCCCTTTACCTGTTCTCCAAAAGGAACCTCCTTCCCCCCTTCAACACCGAAAACAGGAGCCTCACTAGCACTCTTGGGAATCTCAGGATCCATACCTGCGTGCCCTGGAATGGCTTCAGCCTGCGCTTCAGAAGTGGAGAGCTTGCCCGTGCCCGTGCCGGAGCCGGTGCCGGTGCCGGTAGTAGAGCCGGTGCCGGTAGCGGAGCCGGTGTTGGAGTTGGAGTTGGAGGAAGAGGCAGGCGTTGGAACTGTCCCCGAGTGGGTGCCTGGAGCTGTACTGCCTGCACCTACACCTGTACCTGCACCTGTGCCTGTGCCTGTACCTGAAGCGGCACCACTGCTAGCTCCAGCTCCATGACTGGGTACTCCAGCACCATGAGTATCAGGTCCCTGAGTAGAAGTAGAAGTAGAAGTAGAAGTAGGAGTACTACCAGCAAGGGGTGGTGCGGCAGTCGATGTGCCCGTCGGGTGTGTTGCGTCGGAGGAAGACATGGTTGCTCCTGTTCTTTGCTTCTGGGCTAATGGATGGACGTATCTTCTTTATCCAAGACTATCCAAGACAAGGTATACAGGTCAGTAGGTATAATGAGTAGTTGCGGAAGAAGAAAACGGAAAGTAAAGAAAAGTAAGTGTATCTCACGATGTCAGGGATTATTGAGAAAGGTGGACCCTGCACAGCACACAAGTCTAGTCTGATAGTCTAGGGAAATGACGTCACACTGCACTGCACTGCACTGCTTGGGCGTAGACATGCAGCAGATGGACATCGCCTTCTCTCAAGCTTCAAGCATCAGAGACAACACGCATCGCATCGCATCACATCGAGGGCTTCATTGGTCGAGTGGGTCGAGTAGTGGGGAATACGATTGCGGTTTGGAAGTGGACTTGACATTGGGCAAAAATAGTGGGGTCGACCAGGGATCCCTCGAGCAGTACAAAGACCAAAGCGGTGACTATCCTGCTCCTGCTCCTGCTCCTGCTCCTGATCCTGATCCTGATTCTGATTCGAATCCAAATCTCATTCCCTTTCACCGTCTCTCTCAAATTCCACTCAACAATCCCATTGCCTCCTTGTACGTCTTGAGCAACTCCACAAGTCTTGCCCTCTCACTTCTCAACGTCTCATCCTCCTCCAACAAACTCCCAAACAAGCTCTCCTTGTACAAGTTCGCCACCAATCGATTCTGTACCGATTCCCTAGAAAAGTTGACCAAGAGGTGCATGACTGCCTTTGGTACTAGGTCTTGAATGGATTGACGGACGATACTAAAGTAGGAACCGATGAGGGAGCGAATCAGAGAAGTTTCGAGGACTTCGCGTTCCGAGAGGCCTAGCTGATCGCTTGAAGTCGGGTCAAAGGAACCACCGCCTGCGCCTCCCCCAGAGAGGAAAGGAGCAGTGGCTTCCAGGTGCTTATCGAGGGACTTCATGTCGTAGGCGGCACTACTTCCCTCTAGACCTGTGCGGCCAGCCATAGGGTTGGGTTTGTGGTGCATGCGAGCAGACGAGTTGCCCATTCCTCCCGATGACGAATAGCCAAAGTGGTCCGACGATCCCACACCCCCGCCAAGGACAGAGTGGCGATGTGCAGCAGGCGCTGCGGGACCCATTCCTGGCACACCTTGTGCTCCACCGGGACCTCCACCACTTCCTGGCACGCCCGATGCTCCACCGAAGAAGTAGTCCAAGAAGGACTCTCGTGCAGAAGGAGGGGCATTGCTGTTGTCGTGGAGATGTGAAGAGCTAGAGAGGTTGTGCTGGTGGTGAGACTGATTGTGCTGCTGATTGCGCGAAGCAGGACTGCTACTGTCGCTGCCGCCTCCATTTGCACCACCGCGAGCACCGCTAGCGCTACTCTTGTTGTTGCCTCGGGACGAGTGTTTGAGGTTGGCTGTACTGCCATTCACAGTCGAGCTATTGCGCGAGGAGGGCTCGTTGTCATCGTCATCCTCATCCACAATAGCTGCCCCACCCTGCTCAGACTCAAACGACGATTTCCTCTGGTCAATCATCTGCCTCTGCTGATTCTGGTTCCCTTCCCTGGTCTCCCTAGCGATATTGGCAGAGTCTTGCACGAATGCAGGATGGTTCGTATTGATGTACGCAGCCTGGATATCGATCAAGCTCTGCACGTATTCGCTCGTAGGTCCCAGCCTCTCCCTCAGCAGTTCCGAGACGACCTCGATGAGCTGTGCGTGCAGGCGCGGGAAGCGTTCCAGCTCCTTGGAGGTGCAATTGTGGCAGATCTTCATGAGCTCCTCGTACACGAGCTCCACACATCGCAGCGAGGGTGGCTCGAGGAGCTTGATCTGAGGCTTAATCAGCAGCTCAAAGGCCGCTTCGGGCACAAAGAGACTTGGGCGGGGACCCGTCGAGTTGCGAATGGCAGTGCGGATATCCTGCACGGTAAGGTTCGTTGTCGGATTGATGCTATCCAAGGCATGACCAAAGACATCATGGAAGATGTAGTAGACGCGAGCACCACCACAGAGCTCCTTTGTCGAAATGTCAAAGGTGGTACCATCGATGGAAGCCACAAAGTCTCGTGCAAATTGAGTCATCAGCTTCAGGATAAGAGTGCCCCTATGAGCATCGCCCAAGAAGGCGGTATCGCCAAAGGCGGCTAGCTCCTGCTGTGTCTGACCCATCAGGGTGTTCAATCGAGCCTTCATGTCCGGCAGCTTGTCTCGAATGTGGTTCATCAGCACCGAGTTGAGCGTCTTGGCGAGATACTTGGTACCGCAACGGTGGGCAATGTTCCGATACGCTGGATGAGCACGGAAGAACTCCTCCTCCTTTCGGCGAGCATACAGCATAGAGACGTTTCCATTGATGTCCTGCTGTGATCGATTGACGACGCCAATGAATCCTAGCTTGAGAGGGTAGACTCTGCCTGTGAGAATGTCAAGGGCATGTGTACCCTGGTCCATCAGATCCAGCTTTGTGAGGACACCAATTGTCCTTCGACCCTGCGGGTCAATGGCGCGGGCCAGCTTCAGACTGTCTGAATTGGCCAGGTCCACATTGGCAGGGCTGACGGCAATGATGATGCAGTTGGGCTTGGAGATGTAGCTCGATACCAGACCGTAGATCTGCCTCTCGATGTCCGAAGGCTGATCACCCACGGGGATCTTGGTCAATCCAGGCAGATCCACCAGGGTCAAGTTGAGGACATTCGGGCTGAAGATCTTGAGATGGATGGGCAACTTGCTGACTCCCTTGTTCTGACCAGCCACCCTGAAAGTCTCGTTCTCAATCTCCTTTCGGATCTCTCCAAAGTCGGTAAAGCGCTTATCGAGGTGGAGGAACTCTCCGTATTCTGTGCCTGGAGCCAGGAAAGAGGAAGAGGAGGAGGAGTGGTTGCGGTAGGAAGAAGGGGGTGATGTGCCGGGAGAGGAAGAGGAAGAAGGGTCGGCTGTTGCGTATGGGTCCGCTTTAGCATCTTTTTGCGGTGGTGGTGTGTGGACTAGTTGAAGTACGAGGGGGCGACGAGTGACGATGCCAGAGCCTCGAGGCAGGAAATCCTTTCCGACGATACTGGTAGGGGGAGAAGAAGAGGGGCACAGATGCACAAGGGGATGTCAGGATCTTTCGTCAGCTACCTAGCATTCCTCGCTGGTATGATCTCCTCTGCTGCACTCACGTCTCCAAGACACTGCTCTTTCCCGAGCTCTGAGCTCCCACGACTACGCATTGTGGCAGATCGACGGTCTCTCCACCAATGGCAGAGAATGTGTCCTGTAGTCGGTTGACCACCTTGATCAAGTCGACGTCCATGGCTGTGAGAGGAACTTGTGGTGGGACGAAGTGAAGGGTGGGGAGTGGAGAGAGAGAGGGTGGGAAGGAGCTTCTTCTTCTTCTTCTGTCTTCCTCTGACGAAAGGGACAACTGTGGTCCGCTCTGGGTGGGCGATCTGAGCAGATGTGACAACTTCTTCGTGACTTGACTCTGCCTTGACTCTGCCTACCAGTGAGAAGGAAGCAGATACAAGGGGTGAAGAGTGCGTAGAGGAAAGAGGCAAGGGCGGGTGGGTGTGAGTGCGAGTGCGAAGTCTGCTCTGTCCGCCGCCGCTCAGGACTGAAGAGGCGGTGACCCTGGGCGGCGGCGGCTGGCCTGGCTCCCACGCCAGACACACACACGCGCCCCTTCCCCCCCGCCTGTGTTGATCTCAGCCAGGCACCACGCCTCGAGGGGAGGCACACGCTCACACACCCCTCTGCGCGCTCCCCCCCCGCCAGCCAGCCCCGCACACACACACACACGCCTGGGCCACCGGTACTGACTGGACCCATTCATCCAGGTGTATGGCATACATTCCACTGCAGTGGGTCAATTATCACACACACACTACACACGCTATTGCTTCTTCCCTCCCTTGCTCCCCGCACCTCCCTTCGTACTCCTCCTTCTCCCTACCCCAGCCATCCACAGACTCCGAGCGACAAACAGCCCAATCGTTGCCAGTACATTGCCTGCCAGCAGGGGATTCCAGCTCGAGGGATGCGAGGCAAGGTAGACGACTTTGCTCGAGAGGGTGGAGATGTCCAGGATAGACGTGCTGGGTTGAGGTGGGAGCAGCTGCAGAGTGAGGAGGATGTGAATCCCTATGGGCGCAGAAGGGGAAAGGAGTTCAGCTGTCTTAGCAAGTAGAGTAAGATACTTCAACTAAGCAGACCGCGGCACACTCACAGTCTGCAATGGCCAGCGCGATAAGCATGTTCCTCATGATCTTCTCTGCCCCGCGGATCGAGTGGGGCGTAGCCGTCTTGGGATTGCAGAGGGTAGACCGCACAGTGGGGATGACAAAGGACGAGAGCATGGCCAGAAGCAGATAGCCTGGTAGTTGGGTCAAACAGAGACAGAGGGAGGTAGTTGATCAGCTTCAGCGTGTCCCTCTCCTCTTGTTGATTGCGCCTCTGCGAACAACTCACAGCTTCCCAACTGGCTCACAGCCACTCTCCCTTCCTCTCCAAGCGCCAGCAAACTCGCACTACTCGCCCCAGTCACGCTCTTCAATGTCGCCTTGACACCGCCTGAACCCGTCAGAGTACCCCTAAAGGCCTGCGGGATGAGATCATGATAGAATTGCTCCGGAGTGAAGATGGCTACGTATGCTCCGGCGCAAGTGGTGATGGGCTCGAAGAAGGCAAAGAAGAGGAACCAGGGGAGCGGGAGCGGGTCGAGAGAGGGCAGAGAGGTGGAAGAGGACATGCTGGTGGTAGTAGTTGGTGCGTATGTGGTAGAAAGGAAAGGAGGGAAGGAGGGGCGGCGAAAGATGTCGAGGAGGAGAAACAGGAATGGAATAAAGTGAAATGCGGACAAGGCACCAGCCCTGCCATTTCCGCCAAGTTCCGCGTCTGCAGCGAGACGAGTGGAGGCCCAGAAATGCGGAAAGGGAAGCATCGTCGGCTAAGAACAAGACTACCATGACCAGTGACTAACCACTTCTTCGCACGACTACTCGCTGTACAGCATTCACCACTGCTGAACATCGGCGATGCCTCCCGCACCAACCCTCTCCTCTGCTCTCCCCTCAGGTGGCGGCTTCTTCCTCCCATCCTACGAATCCACTTCCGCATCTGCCGCTGCCTCCTCCTCATCCTCTTCGACTCATCTCATCCCCCTTCCCACCGAACCACAAGACGCACTCCGTCTCTCCCCTGTGCAGCTCACACGACTACGCTCCCATCTCGACTTGCGAATCCTTTCCATTCAGAGAAGATGGGCAAAGCGCTTCCACCACGCTCAGACATCCAGTACAGAGTCAGTAGTAGCAGGCACAGAGGCCCCAACGGTCAGCTCTAGCTCGGACCCGCTCATCAGCGGTGGTCCTCCTCTAGACTCGCCAGGGAAGTACGCTAATGCCTGGATGGACGAGGTACTTCCTCTCCTGGTTCGGGTGGACCCACTCGGTGCGAGTCAGAGCACGACGGTCCTGGCGTATGCGATGCGCATGACGGAGTTGTTGCTCGGGGGCGTGGTCGGGTACGAGATGCTTCAGGAGAGGGATAGGGGGGAGGAGAGCTCCAAGGGGGCTCAGCAAGGAGAAATGGGAGGAGGGGGAGAAGAGGAGCGGAGACCCTCTTCAACTTCTGGTCTGACAAGAATACTGCAAGCACTACACCTCGTCGATGCACTCTGGGCTTCACTCCTAGCAGGTCGTCGTCTCTCTCTGCCACACGCACTCGCACGATCTTCCGCTGCACTCTCCATTGCTTCTTCCAGCAACGGCAACAGCGAAAGCGTCTCTACCACCGCTCCTGCTCCAGCTTCATCTACACCAGGAGCAACAATTCGCGACTCTCTCCCCCTCTCCGGCTCAATGGGCATCAAGACCCTCTCGGGGACAGATCGTGTACGGTTACGCAACCTACTCGTCGACAGGAGAGGTGAAGTGAGACGCTGGGTTGCTGAAGTCCTGGGCGTTGTGCTTGCTGGACCTGCTCCAGGAGAGGAGGTGGATCGCTCGCTCCCAGGAGTGGAGAGGAGGGGAGAGTATGGTGGTTCTATACCGCCGATGCAGAGTAGGAGAAAGAAGAGGGGACGAGCGGCGCTCGTTGAGCCACAAGACGCTACGGCAGAAGCAGCGCAGAGGGAAAGCAGCGCAGGAGAAGTCAAGGAGGAGAGAAGCGACGTTGAGGACGTCAACCTACTCTCAGCACCTGCTTCTGCTCCAGCGACAAAAAGGCGCAAGCAGACTAGAGGCGATACGCAGCTTGCTACCCAGATCAAGGAGGAGTCGGACGACGACGACGAAGAAGAAGAAGAAGAGGACATGGAGGAAGTGGCCGTCCCCATCTCTGCGGCAAGTGGTGGCCAGCCCAAGCTGGGGCAACGATTCAAGGAGGAGGACGAAGCCGAGGAAGTCGATGCAGCGGAACCAGAGCCAGAGCCAGAGACAGAGGAGCATCGTCACTACCAAGCTCTCTTTGATCGTAAGATCGAGCTGGACGATGATGATGATGAGGCGGAGGAGGAGGAGGACGACGAAGATGAGGATGAAGACAGAGATGGCGGGAAAAGAACCGGGAATCCGCTCGACGACGATGAGGATGACGACCAGCCCCATCTCGCAGTGGACCAGGGGAGAGGAGAAGGCTCAGCGCTCTTCAGCCCGCAGAACAAAGACTCCGTCGCCCTTCAAGTCAATGGCAACACCAATGGCCACGACCACAGCCACGACCACAGCCACGGCCACGGCTACGGCCCCGGCGACTCGAATGCTAATGCGAATGGAGATGGGGATGGGGACATGGACGCGAGTCGTCTAGGCTCCTTTGAGCTCGACGTTCTCCTTGCGCGCCTCTTCTCTCGATCCCTCGCTTTGCTAGAGCGACTTGAGTGAATAGGATCGGGGACAAAGACTCGGCTGAATGGAAGTTAAAGAAGAATGGGGTATCTTGTATTTCTCAATCGCTTGCCTGCCTGCCTGCCCGCCTTCCTTGCTTGAGTGGCGGGGCTCTTGTACTTGTACTTGGACTGTACGTTCTGCATCACTACACGACACTTCTCCCTGTGTGTACGTCCCAGTTTCCTGCACTGCATCAAGTCGTACCTTCTACCTCTCCCTCTCACTCACCCAACGGGCGAGTCCCGTCCACTCGCACTGCCACTCGCACTACCACCTCCTCCAGCCAGCGGAGGCGATCGCAGTCCCCCCGGTCCTCCTACCACGTTCAAATGTCGACTGACCGTACTCAGCCCGCCATAAGCCCCCGTCTCCAGACCACTAACTACACCCATAAAGGAACCTCGACCGCGACTCTTGCTTGATGCACCTGCAGCTCCAGCTCCGGCACCTTCTCCGATGCTGCTACTGGAGCTGGAGCTGCTGGAGCTGACCCCGCCAGTGGCTCCGAAACCTGGACGGGAAGGAGGGGCGAGAGTACTTCCTGCTGCTGCAACTGCTGGCTCAACTACCGACACCGGCACTGGGATCGGTATCTTTCCCTTTCCTTCCTGCGAACTCCTCGGACCTTTGGCCCTGTCCCTCTCCCTCTCCCCTTTTGCCTCTCTCCTCCTCTTCCTCCTCTGCTCCGTCTCCCACTCCTCGCGCGTAACAGCCTCGACCGATGCGAGCTTGAGCGATCCAGCGAGGGAGGCTCCGAACCATGGGTAGATGAGGGGTGGGAGCAGGGGAGCTGTACCTCCTCTCGTACCCGTACCCGTGCCCGAGCCAGCAGAGGGACCGCTGGGAGACGTTGGGTGAGCAGAGCCTGTGGCGGTACGGGGCGTGGCAATGGAGCCCGAAGGGAGATGATCGTTGAGTACTGCAATGTGGCCCCGAAGTGGTTTGAGCGTCGAAAAGGTAACTTGATCCCTCCAAGGAAGCGTACAGCGGCTAGTACTGGAGTGGGGCTGTCGAGTTGCGGTGCGCGTGATCGAGAGCGATGTCGAGATCTTCACGCCGGGCGTCGTAGGTTGTTCCTCGTGCTGACCGCCTAGGCCCGGAATGTCAATTGCATCAAGCAAGCTTTCCAATTCCAGGCGGACACGGTGCGGGAAACCGGGAAAGGAGGCATATCCTCCGCTGACCAAGATGCTCCCGATCATCTCCCTACGTAGATCGATGGGCAAGCCCACAATCGTGTGCAGCAGCAGAGATGCGATACTCTCGTCTTCCTCGTCGCTCCCGCCCTTTTCTGAGCTCTGCTCCCAGAAGAAGTCCAGGAGGTGCTCGCGCAGCCATCCTGGAATTATGAGATCGCCTCTGGCTTCGCGAGGCCATGTTGCATCTTCGCTCGCATTGGCAGGAGACGACGACGTAGCGCCGAGAACGGTGACGGCCCTTGTTGGTAGGATACCCCATGCTTGTTTAGGAGGCTTGAGCGGGACGAGCATGTGACCGGCGCTGGTCTGCCGTATATAAGTAGTGCGCAACCTTTTCAACGTCTTGGCATCGTTTGCTTCATCGTACTCTCTTAACGCAGAGGTGGACTGGGAGATCGTATCATAATCGCCAGTATGAGGAAGCTGCCAATCAGGCAGTCGGCCCTCCTGCGGCTGCTGCCTGTTCCGAGTGCGGGTCGGTGATGTATCGACTGACCTGTCTGCGATAGCTATATACGAGAGAGGCTCCCCTACGAAGCAGCATTTGACGAGGATTTCTTGCAACATCTCCTGCGTGAGCAAGGCAGGTCTGATCTTCCTCGTGCGAGATGCAATGCTTGTCTCACTGCCATCCGAGCTGACGGGAAGGACGTGTCGCCCATAGCGCAGTAGCAGTGCTCTCAGTCTCCTCTCCAAGCCTCGTCCACCCCTCGTCGTCGAAGCAAAGTGTGTGAGCAACGGCCGTCCATGACATACCGGCACTATCCTCGTCTCCAATGCCCCCACGTCCACTACCAGTCCGGTCAGACAGCCCGTGGCAAAGACGGAAAGGAGCGCTGTACTCATGGGTGCAACCATCTGAACGCGAAGGTTGAGGAAGAGGACCTCGTATATAGTCTCGCGAATCAAGGTGGGCATGTGAGGGTTTTCTACCAGGATGACCTTGCGCGCCGCAGGGTCTGTGAGCAGATATTCGCTGTACACTTTTCGGAGGAGTACTGTGAGTCTGGCCTTGAGTAGAAGGCGGCGCGATTGGACACTGCTGGTGCTGGTGCCGCGGGAGATGTCGAGATCCCAGAGGAGGTCCTGTCGCTGGAGAGCGGCATCAGCAGTAGCAGCATCATCGACTTCATCGCCTGTGAGAGTCGAGCCTTGCGGGTAGCAGTCTGGCGCGAAATCTATCCCTGGCCTACGAGCTGCTTCAACCGTCTTGAATATCCTTCTAGGCTGTGCCTCACCGCTGAATCCCACCTTTGACCATCGCGAGCCAATGTCGAGTACGACTCGATCTTCTGTGCCGAAGAGGGAGTGTCGGCGGATGGGCGCTGCGTCCGAGCGTGAGGTTGGCACAGCGAGTGTGGACCGTGAAGATGCAGAGGATGAGCTGGCGGCCAGTCTACCGCTGCTGGCCATCCTCGCAGGCTGGCTGGCAGGCAATGGTACGGTATGGTACAGTGACGAGGAGCAAAGACAGGGGTGGAACTGGGCGAGGTGTTGGACTGCGAGTTGCGCCCGCACAGACGCTCCGCCTCTGGCCTCCCCTTTCCGCCCTGCGCAACGGCCGCCTCTGCTTTTCCACTCTCCACTCAGCCGACGTCGTACGCATCGCAGACGCAGATTCACACTCACATTCACTCACTCTCACACGACTCGTTACACTATAAGAACACAGAACAAGCTACGGCCCATACACAGAGTCTCGTACCAAGGTTTCTTTATTCCACTTATACTCTCACACACACACACACACTCATATATTCACAATGGTCTTTGGATTCGGCGGCGGAAGCTCCAGCGGAGGTTCACAGATGTCCATGGGCGGAGGTTCAGCCACTTCCCCTCAAATAGAAGCCGCAACAGCAGAGGTGAGTCAGACGTCTTCTACTGTCAAGTAGCATTCATATCACCCCTTTTCTAGCTGCAAATCTCGTAGACTCATGCCATCTGATCATCTTACCACGCCCCACCGCTCGACAGCTGGACATGATCACCGATGTATTCAACCGCCTCGTCTCCTCCTGCCACGCAAAGTGCATCAGCACAAGGTACCTAGAGCCAGACCTCAACAAGGGCGAAAGCGTTTGTGTGGACAGGTGAGTCAGCCTCTCCCCTCCCTCTGTTTCTCTCTTGCAGGACTTCAACTTGATGTAACCCACCTTTTGCGCTCTCTTTCCCCCCTTCTCCCCCTCTCACTCCTCATCACAGATGTGTATCTAAATTCTTCGCCGTCAATGCCAAAGTGGGAGAGAAGATGCAGGCAATTGGTCAGCAAGCCGGAGGTGCACAGGCTGGCGCTGGTGGTGGAGGGTCCTTCTTCTGAGCCGAGCAGCACGTACGAAAATCTTGGTGATTGAAGATGGAAGAGTAGGGTGGTAGGAAAGACTGGACGAGTGATGCAAGGACGCGGGATCCAGAAACTGGAAGAGCAAGAGGGCACTCGCAATACACACTCCCTTTCACAACTTCCACCATCATTCCTCCGGTCCTGAAGCCGGCCACTAGATGCATTATTTGCACAGTTGCGGACAGACAGGAAGGGACTTGCATAGATGCGATTGACCACGAGGATAAGTAAAGGACATCGACAGGCAGGTACAATGCTGCAGACTGTTCAAAATAAAAGGAGACAAGAGAAAGACAAAGTTGCCTCGGCTCGAGGCTCGCTCGGCACGACAGTACGAATGCAAACGGGTATACAATGGACCAAAAAGAGAAGCCGAAGGGAAAGGAAACGTGATAGTAAAGTAGTGGGTGTTGCGATGCGGTTGCTGATTCAGATAGAGTCCATCTGCTTGCGAGATCCGGGCGGGTATTTCGGGCGAGTCGCATTGCGTTCTTGCGGTCGTTTCGGTCTTCGTAGAGTATCATGAAGTGAGGTGAGGCGATGCGAGGTAGGGGAGGGCCGGCCGATGTGGGCTCTCACCTACTTCTTGAGAGCTTGTGACAGCAGCGTCTTGAACTTGGGCGTTCCAAAGCCTGTAGCGGGATCCCATCCTTCCGTGGCGGGGAAACCGTCCGTAGAGCATCCATACGAGTTGCCACTGGTGACGTCAGTGAAACCCTTGCCGTTGAGAGAATAGATCCAAGGGTTCAAGAAGCCCAACGTCGACTTGCCCGCCTTGAGACGGGCGTCGTTCAGCAGGGCAATGATCGACGCCATCGTCGGCGTGGATGCAGAAGTGCCAGAAACAGCATAGTACTTGCCGCCGACGTAGATCTTGTAGCGGGAGCCCTGTGCGGCAACGTCAGGGTAAGCACGGCCAGTGGTATTGTACAGACCAGCATTCTCAGTACCGAGAGTCTTGAGGTATCCCTGGACCGCCGTCTTTTGGTAACTGGGCCTGGCAAAGTAGTTGGAGAAGCCAGCGCCGCTGGTGATGTACGACTCCTTTGCCTCTGCCACGACCTCGGGGGCAAAGTCCATTGTGGCACCCACACTCGTTACCCAAGGGCAAGTGGAAGGGAACACGGGCAGGAAGGTAGTGGTGTTGAGGCCGTCATTGGTTTGGCAGGAGCTTGCAGCACCGACACCCGAGTCGCCCGAGGCAAAGAGGATCGACACACCGCGAGCCGTCAGACTGGCAAAGTCTGCGCACACACGCTTGGCATACGCATATGGTACCGTCTGCTCATCGTCACCATAGCTGGTGGACAGGACAGCCGGAGGGTGGGTCAGACCGAGCAGATAGTCCAGCTGCTCAGCGTAAGGCTCATTCGTGTTGGTTGGCGTCCCTTTGTCGGCTTTGAAGGGAGGTGAGCCGCCAGTAGAGTAGTAGGTACTCCTGATGGGAGCAGCAAGACCGGCGACGACCTGGGTGTCGAGATTGGCTTCGGCTCCCGGCTTGCTCTGAGTGTTGTGACCGCCATTGATTGTGGTCACACTGAACTTGTACCCCTCCCTGGCTTTGCGCTGGTTCTTGAGGTACAATTGCAGATCATCGAAGTTGGCATACTCCTTGCCGAAGCCACTGATTCCGATGTGCTGGCCTTTGCCATAAGGCTTGTAGTCCTCAGTACCGTACAGGTAACGGAGACAGTGGGCAGTCACGTAATTGAAGTTGCAGGAAGCGGGTGCACCCGACGCGGAAGAAGCCTTGACTACACCTGGGGTAGAGTCGTCTCCCTGCTCTTCCTGAGTCAGAACTCGAATGGGCGAGCGGAAAGCAGACCCTCTGGCAAAGTTGGCAAGGCCAAAGATGGTCTCGATGTGAGGGGCGACGTCGCGCGGGAGTGAGTAAGACTCGGTCGTGATCCTCTCCTCTCCCGTGTCGCGATGCTCGTACACGTGGAACTCAGCATCTCCAAGCATCGCTCGAGCCTTGTGAATCGGGACGGTGACCGAAATGGAGTTTTCAGAGACACTGCGCTTTTCGATGTGGGAGTCCATCAAGCCATGCTCCTCAAGCCAGCGAGAGACAATAGTCCTCGTCTCTGCAGAAGGCGCGGTGAAGGCGTCGACTTCATCTGCAGTGAGCCACTCGCCGTAGTCTTTGTGGTCGGGGTCAGAGATCTCGAGCAAGCGTGCTTCCAGACCGGCCTGATCACGCTTTGCGAGGCCGAGATGAAGGACGACATGCTCGTCAGAAGGAGCTACGGATCGGCGTGCCCAATCCTGAGGCGCGTTCAGGCTATCCTTGACGACGAATCCGGCGGGATTGGGCGAGGCGATAACCAAGGAGACTAGAGCGAAGAGAGATAGGAGGGAGGAAGAGAACTTCATGGCAGTCGTGCTTCGATTGACTTGTGTGTAAAGACAGTGGGTTGAAAATGAGAGTACGTCACGAGTTGGACTTTGAAAAGAGGGTTAGAGACGAGCGAATAGAGACAGAATTGAGGTATTAGCGGTGTGAGATTCCATACAAGAGACGGGCGAGTGAGGGACGAGGACGAGGGCAAGGATGGAGAGGGGATGAATGGAGGGAAAGGGTGTGAGGATATAAGCGTGACCGAGCGAGGATGGGGACGAGCCAGATCGGGGGCGAGGAAGCGCAAGCGTGAAGCGGACTGATTGGTCGAGCCAGTCTCTACTCCGCACCACAACACTATGCTTCGAGCAACCCGCGCCCCGCCCAGCATTCCACACAAAATCGTAAGGGTCGAGCGTCCCTTCCCCGACCTCGGTTGAGTGCTTGCCTGGGGTCCAGCACTATCAGAGACCCACTTCCGCTGCGGGGTGAATGAAGCTCCCGCGTTTGCTGTGGTTCAGACTTTGCCCAAAAGGCAGCAAAGAAAATTCTTGCGGAATGGCTACCCAAGCTGCTCGCGAGCTCACTGCTGAATCTTGCTTGGCGTAGGATGTCCTACGACGTTTCTAGTGGTCGCACCAACGTCTCTGAACCACCTCTCAGACTTCTCCCGGCAAGAATACCGTTCGACCTCCTCTGAACAGGTCGTGGGATCGTCCATGCTGCTTCGAGGTGTTTTGTGTTATTTCCCCCGCACGCCACATTTCTCCGCACCTCGCTTATTTTAGTCTCGCGTGCCGTTCGAAGCGTAATCGTCCGACCTTGCGCGTTGACCTCGAATGCTTATTAGCCTTTCGGCTGTTTCCACATCGTAGAAAGAGGTGACAGCAGCATGAGACACAGTCGTGCCAAGGGCGGTCATGCTGTTCGGCTGTCTCGCTTGCTCTCGTCCGTGACGGGCAGCAGGCGGCAGCAGGGGACGCGCCTGTGAGAGAAACACAGTCGGACTTCTCGCTACGGCTTTGCTCGGCGCTGCCCCGAAGCCGGACGGAAGAGGCCCGACGGCCTTGCGGGGAGCTGCGAGTCACTCCTTCCGTCTAGCTCGCTAAATCGCTACCAGTGAGCTCTCGAGTCCCCCTTCCTCTCCTCCTCTTGCACAATGTCTGCCTACGGTACGGTCGCAGCTCCTGCCAATAGCAAGACGCTTGTTCCTCGGCTCTTTCCTCTTCCTGAGCGTGTGAGGAGAGATCAGAATGACGAACGCGCCGCTGTGCTGTGTGTGCCCTTCGGCGGTGGCCAGGAGGGCAAAGTGAGCCTACCGACCGAGGCGAGGCAGCTCATGGCCGACGTCTTCAACAAGTGAGGAGAAAATGTAAGGGAGAGTCAGCGGACTTGGAGAGGAGCATCTGACCTCATCTTGTTACAATCGTCCCTCTAGAGAGCTGGAGAAAGGTGTCACATACCCGCAAAGGGGGCCAATGAGCTTGGAAGAGTTTTCAACATACTTCTGCTCTTGCGGTGAGACTGAAGGGCTTCTGCGAAGACAGGTCTCTAGCTTTGCCCAAACTTCTTATCTCATGCTGCCATTCTGCGCCACGTTATCCCTCCACAGAGCTCATCGTGGGCGTCTTCCTCTCAGCGGCCTCCCTTCCATCGAGTCTGAGCGCCGACCAATTGCCGTCGACCGGCCAGGCGCTGAGTGATCCCAACACTCTTCAAACACTACTGCCGTCTCCGTCGCAATGGAAGGAGTCATTGGCACTCTTCTACTACATCAAACCAAATTACCCTGGCAGATCCTCGCACCTGTGCAATGCTGGTTTCGTTGTCCCTCCGTCTAATCGGGGGCTTGGTCTCGGAGGTTTGGCCGGTAGAAGCTTCCTTCACTTCGCGGTAAGGAGAACGGGCAAACGAGTGGAACCTTTCGTGGAGGCTTTTGACTGATACGGTCTCGTCATTACCTACCCTTTCCTACAGCCCGAGCTAGGGTACCAGGGATCCGTCTTCAACCTAGGTGAGGCCGGTCAAAGGAGGACGCATCCGCCACGGTCAAAGCAATTGCGGTTACGTGGGGCAAGCAGGGTGTTCACCTTACCTTCTATCTTTACGTTGCCCCTCACAGTCTATGAGAACAATGTGGCGTCTCTGTCCATCTGGCAACGGTTGGGGTTCACACAGGTCGGGAAAATTCCGGGCGCAGGGCTGCTGAGGACGGCAGATGGTAAAGGCGAGGAATACGTCGACGCATGGGTGTGAGTATTACAATGCTCAAGGTTCCGGTGCTCGAAGAGGCGGAGCTAGCAGTAGTATAAAGGTGGTGACGACGCGGGACTACGGTCTATGATTTGTTCGGGCATATGTAGACTGACAAGCCACTATCTACCCCTGCCCCGCATTGTGACAAAGCATTCACTGCAACTTCGACGAGAGGCGTAAAAGAGAAGAGGCTGTGGTAGCCAGCCGTGAAGTGTCCTAGGTGCGGCGGAGGAGGAGGAGCAGCAGCAGCGTCAGCAGTACGGTGAGGGCCTCCCACCTCACGAGATGTTTCGGCCGAGTGCGACAGGCGCTTGACGGAGTTTTCTGTCGGACGAGAGTCAATGACGGGAAAATGTAGTCAGATAAACCGGTCAAGGCATATGCGCACACAATCACAGTGGAGGAGATGAGCCAAGAACATCGAAGTTGGTTCTGTATTCGCCCGTCTGAAGCCAGAGACAGGCATACGCCGGCGGTCCGCTGCCCGCGATCAAGGGACAAAGAAGGGCTAAGCCTGATGCATCCGACGATGCCGTGGGCACTGAAGCAGAGGTCGCGGTTGAATCTTATTTTGGCCGCGTGGGTACCGTAGACGGCCCGCGCCAGATGCGACGCGAGATGGATTCAGCCACCAAAATAACATGACGGGGGGGGGGTCCTGCGCCGGCCCTGCTGCCCCCTCGCCCCCCTCCCCCACCTGCCCGCCAATGCTTCTCATCTTCCCAGGGGTTTCGGAATGCAATGCGCCCCCTTTGTGATTTCGGGTCAATGAGTAGTGAGTGGGTGAGTGGGTAAGGGGAGCTATACAGAAAAGGATGAGGCGGCGAATCCGGGTAGACATTCAGCGACGACGTCTATTCGCGGGGTCCGAGGTAGCCGGCCGGTGTGATCGAGTGACAGAATGGTTTCTGACGTGTCAAACGGGACCGCCTCGGAGTGAAGGCGTCGATTGAGATGGGCATGTTTCACCGTGGATGCTGTGCTTCCGCTTTCTCTCTCTTTTTCTTCGTTGACGCGAGTTGCTGCTAGGATCAGACAGACGACGCTATGCTTCAAGGTGGTGGGTGTGTGAGTCGTGGCCAACTCAAAGTGGTGCAAGGTTAGAGGCGACGACGTCACGACGCTACCTCGGTAGCTAAATTGTCCTGTCCAACAAGGGGTGGGGTGTAGGTGCTGATGTCCAGCAGCGGTGAGTCTGCGAGGCGCAAAGCTTGTGTGAATGGCCCGGCTGCACCGCGAGTTTATGGGCGTGGGTGAAGTGGCTTGAAGTTGGTGCGAGGCGTGGCGCCTCAAGTCGCCAGGATTCCCCGCCTGTGTATCGTCGGGGATTCTGCGCCACGCCCTTTCGGGAGATGTCAAATAAGGCCGCACCTCGCATCGCCCTGCAAGCCGACGGCGCTGGGCCTAGGACGCCTGCCTTTGCCTTTGCCCTCGCAACGGCAGCAGCAACAGCAACAGCACCACGACGATGTACCATCCACGTTCCGCGCCTCGGAGCAAAGGCAACACTGCAACCACTGCTGCTTGACCCTGTACCCCGTCCACCCTATTTCCCCCACGACATCCTCTTGTTCCCCTTTACCCATCTATCCTTTGTCCTGTCCTACCTGCCATTACCAAACTACCCGATCCATACTTCGTCTCGTCTACCGTCCCCACGATTTCATCTACGTCCTCTGTGCGCCCCTCCGGACCTAGCACGACTCTCTCGTCTGCCTACCACTTCTTGCTGCGACGACCTTGGCAACACCTCGGACCTCGGAACTGAGGGCAGAAGGAAAGCGCCCCACGAAGCCAAGCTGTAGAGAGGTCCGAGCGGACCAAAGGCACCATACACAACCCGCAATCGGTCACAAGGTCGGCACAGGTGAGTAGCTAGTGGTCAGCTCCATCACACCGAGGGAGAGAGACAAGGTTGAGAGGAGCCGCGGAGTCCAAGCGACGCTCCGGATCCCATGGGTTATCAGGGTCTGGGATGAAGTGGGGCACATGGCTGGCACAGACATTGCCTGCTCCGCCGAAGGACCTCACAGTCTGCAGGATTTGCTGTACGTGTTGGAGGCCCCTTATCCGCCATACTGAATGCGATTCTCTCTCTCTCTCTCCCCTCTTTCCCTCGCTCCTTTCCAACATGCCCCTCCTCGATACCCCCATTCCTCCCGATATTGCTGCATCTCTTGATGAACCCTGCATCAGACGGCCTGTGTGGACAATCCCTTCGTCAAGGTCTTCATCCTCGACTCCTACCCAATCATCATTCAGCGGACCGAGCGAGGTAGCTGATCCAGTCCCTCTCACCAGGGCTCTGGCAAGCAGCTGGCGTAGTCGCAGTCGTAGTGTGCTGACTGTGGCTATGGCCTCCGCTCATACATTTGAGCGGTCCCACCAACCGCAACGTCGCAATCGCAAACAAGATGTGCAAGCATCTCCATCCGGGACAAGCTACTTGCCAGCGGTCCCCCTCAACGGAGAGCCGCATGGGTCCGAACATAGCGATCGTTCTTCCGCTGGCAGCATGCTCCAACTCGATTTGGAGGGCTTGGACTTGGGTGGACCTTTGATGCCCTTCACACATTGTACGCCTCCTTCCGAGGGACATAGCAGCCCCAAGAAGTCGTCGTGGTCGAGGAATAGCCCGCAATGGCAACCACAATCACCCTCGCAACAGAGCAATACATACTCTGGAAGTAGCAGCAACAGCAAGAAGATGAGTGCCGCACTCAACTTGGCAAGAAGGTTCACACCCAATGCCACGGGAGATGCCCGCCGCACACCCTTCCAGTCCACGCAGCAAGGCATCGAGATCGACTCTTTCGTCGCCCACCTGCGTGATGATTGCTCGGGCACCAACGAGATTCTGGGCTCAGACGCTATCCTTAGCGCCAATGCCGTTGGTGTTTCTGCATCCACAAATCGCGGGGGAGCCTTGATGCTGGACACGGGCGCCCTTGCAAACATTGCTTCGACCTCTACATCTCCACCCCATTCACCTCCTTCTCACAGTATCAACATTCCCACACCTCAAGGTATTCGCACATCCTCGTCAGCCTTTGCAGAGCATCGTGGCTCGCCTCCGGGGAAGCGAGCACCTTGGCAGGAGACAATCTCGGAACAAGTTTTGGGTGGGTTCGCATCGCTAGGAGTGCCTTCTTCTTCCACATCACAGCACCAAGCATCCGGATCCGCTACAGGAAAATCGCGGCCCACTCTAGCAGCCTCTGCCCGATCGACTTCACGCAGTGGAGGTCTGGTGTCATACATGGGTGACAGCGGTGTGAGTGAAGCAACGCCTCCAACTTCACCCATGTGGTCGACCGACTCGTACAGCAAGCCGCGCTGGCAGACGATGATTCCAGTGAAGAGACAGTCTGAGGCGTCGAAGGTGTTAGAGTTGATGTCCATAGACGAGCTCTCCCAGCATGCTATCGATGTGGGCCATCTGGGAGACTGGGAGGGCGCTTCCTTGGTTCCAGCCGACGGTCCTTACGAAGGCGAAGAGTCAGTAGCAGCCTCATGGCGAGCGGCAAGACAGACCCAACAGAAGCGGCAGTGGATCTGTGCGCCCGTTGTACCAGATGACGAGTTGGCGGCAGAAAGAACCATTGTCGTCTCGGATTGCAAGGCAAGTACATCAGCACGAGCAGCTCTACCGTCCAATCTCAGCAGGGGTCCTCCCCTTGCCTTCTCTGGTCTCGCAAGCTTCGAACTGCGCTTTTTGCGTGGTCGCTTAGCAGATCGGCGGGTTCATTTAGCCACCCCTGCTCAGCTGAAGGAAGTCTATGGCAAGTACGGTACCACTGGCAGTCGGCAAGGGCAGGAGAGGAAACCTCGCTCGCACAGCTGGGGCACTACAGAACGTCCGCGGATAGTAAAGAAACTGTTTACGTCTGAAGGGTCTTCAAAATTCAAGGCTAACAATGGTGGTACAAGCCAGGCTTTGAGGCGCACCAGGTCTAGACCAGCGCTCCAGCTTGATCCGTTTGGCCTTCCCGACTTAAAGGACTCGATTGCTCGGTCTTCTCGAAGGCTGTCCTTCGATGCTAGCGCCACTCAGAGTAGCTCCAACTACCCTTCTCTACTCACGCCAACCCACTTGCGCAGTGGAGACTTCCTTGCTCCCGGTGATGCGCTTGGGTCCACGAAAGCCGATGTGAAGCCGTCGAACGCCTTCAGCGGTATTTCCAACGGGCCGTTCGCGAATTACGCTATGGACTCTTGCTCTCCCACCGCAAGTGGCTCTACATCACGCAGAGGCCCAGCCTCGCCTGTAAAGCCAGAGTTCCACACCGGCATGGCGTCTAGCTTTTCTTCTCCACCTACAGCTACGCCGCTGCAGCTCAGCCCTTCTCTGTGCAGCGAGGTAGAGCAGGAAAGGCAAGCAGAAGCAGCTGCCTTCGCAAAAGCTCTCCCTGCGCTACCTATTACCAGTGATGCGGGATCCAGCGCAACAAGCAGTCCCTCGAAGACGCATAGTGTCAGGACTCGAATGACGTCTGCTCCGCCTGCTCCTAGCGCTACATTGGTCTCGCAAGCGGCACCCGCTGAGCACACAGGCCCGCGTCTTCGCAAAGAGCCATCAAAGATCGGTGGCTGGCTCAAGAAGAAGATGGGCGGCGGCTCTAGCTCTGCTAATGCAGGCAGCAAGACCAGCTCTAGCACAATCACGGCCAAGAAGGACGAAGCCGAACAGTCATCTCTCAAGGCCCCGCCTGCAAATGCGAACATGTCTGCTGATCCATTCGCGGCGTATCGCGATGCAGAACGCCGACCGGCCCTCAAGGACTCGGGTGTACGTGCACACAGCTTTTACCACATGGGACACAATGACAGAGACCTCGACGTCCTGTCTGATATGGCAGACGACCCGCACTCCCTCTTTGCTGCCAATTCCTTTCCCTTTGGGAAGCCCAATGGCGACTGTCCCAAGAGAGGTAGCAAATTGTTGCAGAAACAGGGAGAAGCTGCACCGAGTTGGTCCAGTCGAGGATCTCTTATGCCTCCTTATGCTGCTGGCAGGAGGGCGAGCGCGAGTGATGACGACATCGTGGCACATGCTGGACAAGCTGCTCGGAACTTGTCCTTTGGCACTATCGGCAAGAAGGACAAGTCGAGAAGCACTCTCGGCTCGAAATGCAGAGCAGCGGCATATGCTGCTGGCTCCCCTGCCCTCAAGCCGTCTGGACTGGCGGCTAGCTCTCAGCCACGGATCTCCTCGCCACTGGCGCAACGGGCGGCTTTGATCTCCGAGAAGCCCATACTGTCCCCGCCAGAGACGGCCAAGCCGGGTCCTCTGCAGTTTGCAAAAGGTACAGCCTTGACCCGGCTAGCCTCAGATGAGTCCAAGTTGACCTTGGGTTCTCGAAGCCTACAGCTTTTGGGCATCGAGAATGTTCCTGCCGACGCGTTGAGCATGATCATCCCTCTGCCCCTCTCCTCAACCTCAGGTCGTCAACAGCGCTACCTTCGCTTGAACTACGTGCCCTTCGGTCACGAGCACAGAGCAGAGTACCGCTTCAACAGTGACGGCTCCTCCAAGTCGTCGCCACACCTGGGCAGCCACCCGCCCTGCGCAAATGGGACAATGTCTTTCTCTCCTCCATCCTGGTACCACCGCCTCGGTGCTGCCAGCATAGGGCACACCAAGCCCATCTCCAGTGAAGAAAGCTACCCGTACGAAGGAGCAGGCTCAGCAGCAAAGCCCACCTACCTCTTCGGAGCAGGACCAGCGGCAGCTCACGATGCGCAGGCGAAGAGCGCCGCGGTGCCCAATCGCCAGCAGACGGGGCCAGAGGCGTTCCGTGTGACAGCAATGGTGCTTGCTGCACCCGACGAGGAGGGAGAGGCTGAGCTCCGCCCCCCTTCGAAGCTCCTTGCGGCGGCGATGCGCTTTTCGCATTCCAGCGGGACAGCCAAGAGTGGTTCTGGTACTGGCAGGACTCAAGGGGATGATCAGTCAACGCTTGAGAGGGACAGGCAGGAAGAAGACAAGCGCGCTGTTTGCTGGCTTCCTGAGCCTACACCCTTCCCCATTGTCCTGGTGACGTGCTGTGGAGAGTACGTGGACTTTGTCTCGGAGGGATGGGAGGCGCTGGGATTGGGCGGCGGGCCCATCGAGACGAGCGGCGATGGTGTGCGCCATGAAGAGGACGACGAGGAGGAGGAAGACGATAGGAGCGCTCTTTTTGGCGTTGCGGACCTGGTGGCAGCGGGGTGCGCTGCCGTCATGGATCTGTGAGACGCTTCTAGCTCCTGATGCGGTAGCAGTAGCGGTAGCGGTAGCAGCTTCCTCTCCCTTTCACTTTAACTTTCAGTTTCAATTCTTTCCACTATAATTATTCATGACACGGGGGATAGAAGCAGAAAGGGCACACCTTCTTTATCTCGAAGCTTACCTCACTCTTCATCGTTCCTTACTGAATTGCAATCAGAGGAGGATTGCTGCGAATAAACACTCTATACCAGAATTCGAATCAACTATATTCCATCCATCATCAGTCTGTACTACTACTTGCAGCACCCTGTCTGTTCTCTCTCATGTGTCTGTGTCTCCCCAATCGTCAGCGTCTTCCTCTTCCTCTTCCTCTTCCTCTTCCTCTTCCTCTTCCTCTTCCTCTTCCTCTTCCTCGTCCTCCCCTTCTCCTTTGTCCTCCCCTTCTTCCTCGTCCTCGTCTTTGTCCCTCACGCCAATGGCCCTCATCGGAGTCGTGTGGGGGTGGGGGTGGCTGGGGGGCTCGTCTCGTCTCCTTTCAAACTCATATGCGCCACCGCCACTGCCACTGCCACTGCCCCCCACCGGAAAAAGGCGTGAGGCGTGAGGCGTGAGGCATGAGGCGCAAGGGGCGAGAGGCGCGAGAGGCGTGAGAGGTGAGAGGTGAAAGGCGCGAGGCGAGAAAGTCAGACAGAGGACCTGGTCACCTTCATACATCCTACTAGTCTACCGGAACTTCCGTCCTTGAAATTTCGAATCCCTCGCATTTTCCGAGCACTGAGCACAGAGTACTGAGCACTGAGTACTGGAGGCTGGAGGCTGGAGGTAGGACGGACAATGGAGGGTCCGAGGGTGCATGGAGGAGTCTTTCACGTTTCAGGAAACAAGACGCATGGTGCCGAGACAGAGGGAGATTGAGGGAGGGGAGGGAAGAGGCGTGCTCCATGGAGGGCGTAACAAACAGTGAGCTGATCTGCCACGCGAATTCGATGCCTCCCCTGCTTCCTGCTTCGTGCCTCATGCTTTGCGCTAAGTGCCAAGTGCTAAGCAGTACCATTGCTATTGATTGATTTGAGAGTGCACGATCCAGTGCGGTGCAGTGCAGTGCGGTGCGGTGCGGTGATGTACAATGCAACAAGAAAAGAAAAAGGAGACACATGAAGTGGGTTGGAGGGGAACCTTGACGGCGAAAAGGTAGAAGTGGAAGTGGGAGAGAGAGGCAGAAAGGGTATAGAACAACGTCTGCAAGAATAGGAGTAAAGGATGCAGGAAGCAAGAGGGAAGAGGAAGCGAGACCATTAGATAGCCACTTCCCGTGTGCCAAGAAGTCGAGTTGCCAAGATGCCAAGGAGCCAAGAACGCGACGTGTCCAATCAGCCCGGCGAGACGCAGACAGAGGGAGAGACAAAGAAGAGGTCTGGTCTCAGCCTCGGATCTCAAGGTCCGTCCAGAGGTACAGGCATCATCTGTCCAGTAGCCCTTCGCAGGCTAGCAGCATGTTCCCCTGCAGAGCTCGATCCAGAGAGCCTACCGGCATCATGATCCCGGTAGCCACTACTGCTGCCTCCCGCCCCACCGCTGGCAGTAAGCCTGAGTCTAGTCGCGGCCCAAAGTCGGGCTCGACGAATGCTGGGCACCGTCTCGGGTGGAAGCTGTTCTTCGCGAACGCCCGTCTGGGCGAGACTGCTGACGAGGTTGCGAAGCTCCTCCTGCGCTGCTCCGTCCCCTACAATGGCTGCGGGGAAGCGGATGGCTAACCGCTGCTCTGCGTCCATGGATATCATTAGGGCCAGGAGGACTCGATCGCCATTGGTGCTTTGTCCGTGGCCACCGCTCAGAGGAGAGAGACTTGGTCTACGGTCGGAGGGATGTTGCGAATTGGGAGGTGTGTGCAGAATGCTGGGTGAAGTGGCGCCACTGACCGTCGTGATCCCATGACCAGCAGGGGACGTATACACAATGGAGATGTTACCCCACTCGGTCCCTCGTACACTAGTCCTCACGATGCTTTGAAGAGCATCACCGCTGGCGTATGCACTGGGCTCGACGTTGCCCAATGCACGCTTCGCACGACGGCTGGACCAGCCTGCGAGGGCTGCGTCGTACATTCGAGAGGTGATGCGACCTGTACCCGGAGGAGCACTGTCCATGCCCAGGGCGTTTTGTAAAGCTAGCGATTGGCATGCTTTAGAGAATTCTCCGGGTGTGATCGACATGACTTTAGCCAGAGAGCCTGTAAGCGAGACGAAAGAGCATGAGAGATATGAGTGACGGTCCTCGGAAAGTGCCCTTGTCTTCTGTCCAACACCCTGTGCGCATACTCACGATGGAAGTGGAACGTGCTGAGCCCTGCTCTTGCAGCATACTCCTTGAGCGTCTTCTTCTTTGGCTCTCCACCTTCCTCGGCCGAGTTGGTGGCAGCCATCATCATGTGCCTCACGCATTCACCGACCGCCACCACCGTCTGGTCTCCCCCACCAGACCGATCAGGCTTGCAGCGTCGGCAGCTACGGTAGCCCGCTGCCTCGGCCGCCGCGGCTGCGTTGGGGTGGGGGAAGAACTGAACGCGGTCGCGTGTGGGACGCTTGGAGGCGCACGATGGACGACAGTAGATGTGAGTTGTCGATGCACCGTAGAGGTAGTACCTGTTGGCAGAGTGCGGAAAAGCGGGCAGAGAATCCAGGGTCAGCTTACCAATCCGTACGTTCCATTGTGATGAAAGTTAGCGCTAGATGCGCGTACCGACTACTCACCTGTCTGCATGATGGGATCGATTGGCCACTCCTTCCCACCTAGCATCGTCATTGTCAAAGTCGGATCTACGGCTACCCACAAAGTCTTCGGCGCCCTCGCTGCTAGAACTCTGCAGCAGTGCTCGACCCGAAGGGCTCATCACGGTAGAGGTAGGGTGATGGAAGCTGTCCACGCTCGTCCATCCGCCATAGCCACTGCTGACCGGATCAGTACCACCACTGCTGCTACCGGCAAGTGCGGGTACGTCATTGACCGAACCGAATGCGGTCCCTGGAACGGGTCCAGCAGCTCCTGTTGCACCAGAGGGGATTGGACCGCCATACTGGCCAGGGCTAAGGTATTGCTGCGATTGATGCGGTTGCAGGTACATGCGATCACTTTGCGGTGGGTAGTACTCCATACTGGAGCTGACCGGTGTCGTGTAGGTGTCTCTTGCTTGTACCGCTTCTGAGAACCATGGCGACGGAGACAAGAGGTCAGGTAAGGTGACGTTTTGGTTGGTTGCGCTGCCCTGCAAGCTTCTCGGTTGATACATACTCGGCAGGGAGGATGAGCCTGAGCTCGACGAGCCAGGATAGTCGAGGTAGCGCGAAGTGTGTTGATATTGCTGAGGTGATGTAGAGTTGGAGGACGACGACGAGGAAGGCGGTAGGCTTGACTCCGTGCTGACGCTACCCTCCATGCTTCCTTGAGCGGCGCCCAGACCCGACCATGGTTGGAACGAGGAGGGTGCACTTTCTTGAGGGTAGCCCGCAACGTTGATGAATGGGACTGACGCCTGATCCTTGGTATGCCATCCTTGCATTGTTGGAACTCCCGAGGGGTAAGCAGAAGTGGGCGAACCGCGTGATTGTGATGCTTCGTAGGGCGGCCCTGAGAGATTTCGATTGAGGGATGGCTGCTGAGGGAATCCCATTCTGGAATTGGAGCTAGAGCCGAGCTGCTGTCCACGCGGTTCAGCGCCAGCGAGGGCGAGGCTCGTACTCGATGCAGATCGAGGGTAATTGGAAGACTGGAAGGCGGCCTGTCTGGGTGACAAGGTGGATCCGGATGGCGAGGCCGAGTACAAGGCAGATGAGGTGAAGAGCGGGGACTGAGAGTCCTGCCCAGCGCCAATACCGGCTGGTGCGTGGCTCCTATTGAAGAGACTGCCGCCTGCGTAGGACGATCCGGAGGACTGACTGCTTGCAGAGACTGGCGCACCTTGGCACTGATGGCATCGCCTGCCCTGAGCAGTGCAGATCCCCGTGCAGCCAGGAGCGGCAGTCAGACCCCTTTGGTCGCCGTACGAGCTCGAGCTGCCTTGGCCATCGCTCGGTCCCGCGTTGCCCGAGGAGGCAGGTCCAAAGATGGGTGACCTGTCATACAGGCCAGGCAGAGTAATACCAAGATGAGAGAGGGGCATTGCGACTAGCAAAAACAATGAAGGCGCAGGGAGGATTAGACAGAGACCGGTCTTGAACACTCCCGTACGATGTCCGACATGCGCTTCTAGCTAGATGGGTAAAAGGTGGTTACGCTGGGTCCCCTATATCAGCGTGACTTTTCAGTGAACGCCGATGCGGTGTGGTAGAGCGCAAGGGCCTCGTCGGAGGAAACCGTCGGGATGCGCAGAGAGGAAGAGGACAAAGGGACAAAAAGCGAGATAAGATTTGAGTGGGGTGCAAGATCCTCTACGAGTACGAGGGAGGAGGGGATTATAAGCAACGGCAGATACTTTTGGGAGGGGGAGGGGACAATCACGAGAAAGGAGGGGGAGGAGGAGGAGATTTGTTAGAGCTGAGCCGAGAAGGAAGACGCTTTTATGAGAAAGTCATGATGCCTCCGGAGCTCGGTGGTGACAGCTTGGAAGGACCAAGAGGACCCATGAATAGACCTAGTGGCCCAAGGGGAACGCGGGGGGCTCCGGAGGGAGATGATCGGCAGCAAGAATTGGTATAGAAGCGGAGGTGAGGCCATCGAAGAGGAGAGCAAGAAGTGGTCACTCTAGCTGCAGTCCTTCTGCACCTGGATCGTGGATACCGAAGGCAGCGGGGGAGCAGACTGCGAAAAGGAGCGCCGCCCGAAATAGGCAGCGCACCTCCCTGCCCGAGGTCGGAGTAGGCCCGCCGAGCCACCACCCACCCACCACCACCTCACCCGAAGACGACGCCCAAGGCTCGGGTGGGCGAGGGGGGATGGTGACCCCTCTGGCCTCGTGGCCAGACCAACCCCACGGCACACACTCGCCTCGTACCACTGCCTGCCTGCCTGCCTGGCCCCAGCAGCCGACAGGCCTCGCCTCGCCTGGTTTCGAATCGCCCCGAAGCGAGGAGTGGATCGCTGCAAGTGTCACACACACACACACACCAAAAAACTCCAGCACCGCTACCGACGCCTCAAAGGAGCCGATGCTTGACACTTTTGCAGGAGCAGGAGCGTGGGATTGCCGGGTTATCAGCCAGCCCCCTCCCCTTGCCTGCCTGGTCTGTCCGTCTGTCTGGCCCGCTCTTCTGAGATCACCCTCGGGAAGTTTACCTCGGGGGGAGGGCTTCTCTTTCACGCACTGGGCCACAGCCCGCTGTACAAAGTCCCAGGTATGTCTCACCCAGCCCGGAGGTATGGACACAATAACGCCCGTCGGCCTATTACCGACGCACGAGGGCCGACCATGACCGACGACCAACCATGCTTCCATTTGATCTTTTCCCTCTCCGCACACGCAGTGCGTGTGTGTGTGTGTGTGTGTGTGTGTGTGGATGTGCTGCGACTAGTAAAGACAGATGTACAGTCATTTCTAAAGTTTGCTGACAGTCCCAAGATAAAGAGGCGCATGGCATGCCGCGGCACCGTATCAAAGGTGGCGAAGAGAGGGGGAAGAGGAGGAGGAGGAGGAGTAGTGCCCAAGGCCACCCGTCCGTCGTCCTTTGCCGACAGTCATGCGCAATGGGAATCTCCGCCCTGGACCAGACAGTCGTGTGGCGCATCCAGAATGTCTGTCCACTGATTCCCGCGGCTGCGACGACGTTGGGCACTGCCCGCGGCACTGAATCATCCCAGCATAGACTCCCGCCTATCCCCTTTTATGGTGATGGCGATGATGATGATGATGATGCCGCATTGCATTGCATGAAGGCGGACTCAATCCCTAGCGCTGGTATTGTCACTCAACTCCGGTGTAGGTGGTTTCTAATCCAAAAATGTCGTAGCCACTCTTCTTGGGCCTAGGGTTAGACGCACACTCCCTACATCCGTCTCAGGTGGCTCTGATCCTTTCCTCCCACCTTGTGCACTTGGACACGAGAGTATGACCACCTTTTGCTTCTTGTCCCGACCATGCACGCCTACCCTCTTTGCTCCGGTGGGGCCGAGGGTTTGGCTGACAAGACACTGTCGCGTGAGCCCAAGCGAGATCTCCTCCCCCCCAACCCACCCAAATCGCTGACTTGAACAACGACTTCACCGAACAATGCATGAGGAACTCGATTTCGGGAAACACGTAAATCTAACCCCTTGGACCCGAAGCTGCAGCAACACGGTTTGTTCCTTGCCGGCCGAGTAGTGCAATGCAGAAAAGGATGCACAGGTCAGCTCCGCCGGAAAGGTACGATGGAGTAAGGTTATGCGATAGGAGTAAAAACGACGAGCAAGCAGACCGGAGCAGAGGGGACTTTTCAAGGTAGAAGAGCGCCGTGGCAGGGCAAGGCAAGGCAAGTAGTGGCAAAGAAAATAAAAATGTGGGTACATCCGCCGGCTGTAGGAATTGACCCGGATAGACGGATGCTATTTCGGAGACATGCAGAGGACAGCAGGGGCTACAAGACAAACTGGGTCTTCACAGCGGACCAAACAGAGCAAGAATTGACAGCGTCGGGATTGGGCGTCGGTTTGACGCCCTCACGATCCCGCTTGGACGACGACGACGACGGCGATGCTGCCGTCTGGTATGTTCCGATTCAACCAACGCCCAAATTCGGAGTCGGACAAGGCTTCTATCGCACGACGCCCTCGGAAGTCAAGCGGACCTAAGACATTCCACTCACGCTCAGATCGACACAATGGGCCCGAGGGGTGTCTTAGTTGTAAGATTGTTCTTTACATGTTTTGATGGCGAGAGTATCAAGGAGAAATCGGCCGCGACGAGCATGTCAAAAGTTGTCTTGGTGGTGAGATTGTTCTTTGGATCTCTTCTCTCGGCAGGACAATCAAGAGATTGAGCCGCGATGAGCACCTGATGCGGTGCAAATTGCTAGTTACAAGATCATTCCACGGCCACGCGAACCTCTCTTGGGCAACTTGTGTCCTCCGCGTGGCTCCCAACATTGCCTGCTCCCATCTCCCTGCTTCCCGTTCCGAGACACCTTAACGGTAGAGGTGATCGGCAGCGAGGTTGGCCGCGTACTCTGACTCGGTCTTGTCACCATTGGCAAGCAGCTTCTCCTTGTTGTAAAGGAGCTCCTCACGCCACTCTGTGCTGTACTCTACGTTCTGCGTCTCGACGATGGCATCGACGGGGCAGGCCTCCTGGCAGAACCCACAGTAGATGCACTTGGTCATGTCGATGTCTGTGGCATGAGCAGTGTCGAAGAATGACGTAAGTATCGAGTGACAGAGATGAGCAGCGTAAAGCCGCACGGGGCAAGTCTGTGTGTGCAAAGCCAGTGTCATGCACATCAACACTCACCATACCTGGTAGTCCTCCTTGCTCCATCATCACGAGGCTCAGACTCGATGGTGATGGCTTGAGCAGGGCAAATGGCCTCGCAGAGCTTGCAAGCTAAGCGGGCAGAAGATCGTGCGAAATGCATGTCTGTGCGTCAGCATCAGTGTCCGGAGAGGAGTGAGTCGAACTGTCTTTGGTTTGAACTCACCAATGCACCTCTCCTCTCCTGATGGGTATCTCCTCAAAGCGTGCTCTCCACGGAAACGAGGCGACATGGGTCCCTTCTCGTGAGGGTACATGATCGTGTACGGCGGCCTGAAGAAGTTCTCGAGCACGATCCACATGCCTGGGTTGGAGGATGAAGGTAGGCGCATGAGCATGGAGCACTAGCAGTTGTGACCCGAGACCACTGAATTCTTCATCGCCAGTCTCCGAGGCCAGTGACGGCCCTAACGCCCTCCTTGATCCATCAAGCACCACGAGTCTTTCAATGACGGCCGAAGTCGCCCGCCGTTCGATGTAGGCCAGGGGAGTCTCTTAATTGCCACAGAAGGATAAGTCCTCTCTCTCCCACTTGCGCCGGCTGATGCTCCTCAGCCTCTGCAGTACATCCCGGCCTTTGTAAAAGCTCCCACAGCTATGCTTCCACGCGCACCACTACTCACCCCTGAGAATCTCTGTAAAGAAGAAGAGCTGCCCCGCCTTGTCCAAAGCGCTAGGTCCCTTTGAGTAATCGGGATAAGCGCCACTCGGTCCCTTGCTAGTGTCCACCTCGTACTGCAGACCTCCCTGATAGTCCAACGTAGCCGCGTCATTGATGGGGATGTCCTGCCCTTGAGTGGCTGGCACCTGCGTCGGACCCGTTTGGGGGCGAGGTACCGATCCTGATCCTGAGCTGACCGGCGTGGCGTACCGGAAGGCGGGAGTGGTGGAGAGGGCTCGCAACATCTGTCGTGGCGGGATGGGGAGGGCCATGGGAGTAGGAGAGGGACGCAGGAGGGAGGAAGAGGCAAAGGTGGAGCGGGTGGCTAGGGTGCCCGTTCGCAGGGCGGAGCGAGCAAAGGCCATTGTGCTGATGACCACGGGTGAGGATGAGGGTGCGGGTGTAGATGAGGGAAGCAGTGAGGTGTTGCTGCTTGATGAGCTACGACGTCTGCCTCGAGGGAGTGAGTAAGTGAGCACAGAGGAGGGTCGTGCGATCAAGGTGATGATGATGATGTGAGACGGACGTGAGACGGAGGAGATCGGTATCCACCGCCGCCCCCTGGGGAGACGGGCGGGATTTCCAAGCCAAGGCCTTCCTGCCCCTCCAGCCACCGCGCGCAACGTCCGCCTGTCCGCCTGTCCGCCTCACGCCCCCGCCCCGCGCCTCATCGACGCCGCTTTTCTAATCAGCCTCGCCGCTCACATACACGCGTGCGGGGTCATCAGGTCAGTCAGGCCACACACATCCACCAGGCACATGGACTTGCTGATTCCGACACTTGTCTGCGACCAATTTCGCACAGCTTTGCAGTGACCCAAGACGGAAACGATAAGAGCAATTACATGGTGAAAGCATGATTGACGTGAAAAAGCAGCGTGGAGCAAGGCCCGGGGGAGTGGTGTAGTCTTGTTTTGTACATGTCGACAAGGCCGACGAGAGTCTTCTATCATGGAGGCACTGCCCAGTCTGTACGCTTGATGCTCTGCCCTTTCCTCCAGCTTCAACTTGAATATCTACCATGGCTCAGCACCAGCTTCCCTCCTTGCGGCGTAGCCTGCACTGCCGCCCCCGCTGTAGCCTGGCCTACCAGCTGTGCGTCCGCGGGGGTTTTCTCTACCAGCACCGAACCCTGGTCGAATCGAGCCACTGTCCCTCGAGCCACCAAATCCGCCTCTCGAGCTACCATATCCACCCCTTGCGCCGCCGCTTCCACTATCTCCGAATCTTGAGCTTCCACCACCCTCTCGGTCGCCGAACCTTCCTCCGCCACCATCTCGGTCGCCAAATCTTCCTCCACCCTTGCCTCGATCGCTGAAACTGCCTCCACCTCTGACTCGATCACCGAAAACACCTCCGCCCCTAGGTCGATCACTGAAACCACCACGGGCTCCACCACCACGGCTACTGTAGCCGCCTCTCGATGAGCGGGCACCACTCCGTGCCAAGCCGAACATCTCGGCGATCCTGGTAGGCAGGTGCACATCCGCGTCAGTGAGACCTAGAGAGCCCTTTGCCCATTCGCTCAGTCCGTGAGCGACATCAGCCTTGTCTACCCTAAAAGTCTGGAATTGGTTCACGTAGAAGCCAATCATGCTCAGGTAGATACCACGGAGAGCGCTGATCTCATTGTTGTCATCAGCTTTCATCATGGCAGGGGCGATCCTCTCTGAGATTTCAGACAGAATGTGTGCCTTGAGGGGCCCCTCGTCGGCACTGGTCAATAGGTTCGTTTGAGATGACTCGTCCTTTGCCTTGCTATCCCAAGACTGTGCCAGCTCTTGCTTGAAGGCATCGTGAGACACAGGCTTGATTGGGAATTCCTTGCCCTCGAAGCGAGGCCAGCCGTCCTCCCAATCTTTCAGAAGGATGAGATCTGCGATGCCCTCCTTTCCGGCTCGACCGGTCCTACCGATGCGATGGATGTAAGTGTCTCGTGACTTTGCAGAACCGAGTTGAATGACTCTTGTCACATCGGGGTAGTCGACACCTCGAGCGGAGACATCAGTTGTGACCAGCACGGAAGCACTCCTGGTTCTTCTGAAGACGTCGGAGACTCTACTTCTTTGCCGCTGCTCTAGCTGGGCGTGAATCTCGAGGCCCTGGAAAGTCGGAGCTGTAGGCGCGATACGAGCGGACATGGGTTTCCGAGCGTCTCGTTTGGCGGCAAGAGTGCGTGTGGATGGAGGCTTGTCGAATGTAGAGCAAGGGAACGCCTTGATCACAGTGGGATCTTTCAGCATACGTGCTACTAGCTGAGTATGCTTGGTGGTGTTGCAGAAGACAATGACTTTCGATCTGCTGCCGTGCAGAAGCTGGTCTTGAGCAATCAGCTGCAGCAACCTGGGCATGTGCTCTTCCGGAGGAACGACGTGGCCATACTGCGGGATTCTCTCGTGAACCTGCACTTCCCCCTCTGGTACGCAGTCGATCATCTTGTAGCTCCGGTCGAGCGTCTGGGCGGCAACGCGCTGAATGTCGCGGGATACGGTAGCAGAGAAGAAGAAGTTGCGTCGCTGGTCCTTTATCGGCAAGAAAGTCTGAATCCTTTCGAGCTCGGTCTGGAAGCCCATTTCGAGGAGGGTATCAGCTTCATCGAGGACGAACGTCTCGGCGCAGCTCATTGCCGTCCGGAGAGCGGCGGAGTCATTGAGAATGTCGTTGATTCTGCCCGGTGTAGCGACAATGATGTCCTTTGTCCGAGCGTGAAGCTCAGACAATTGTGTGCGCTTCGAATCTCCACCAACGAGCAGGTGAACATTGATGCCACGATGGATAGAGGCGAGCTTCTCGGCCTCACGAGCAATTTGAGCGGCAAGCTCACGCGTCGGACTAAGGATCAGAGTACCAACGGTTTGGCTCTGGAACACTCTGCTTGCAAAGCGTCTGCGCTCGGCCTTGTCCATCCGCGAAAAGTCTGGGTCACCGCCCTTTTCAGCTAGATCTTTGAAGGTCTTGAGTACTGCTCGAGAGAAGAAGCCATTCTCTGCAGCTTCGATCGCTCGCAGCCTAGTCTCCAACGCAGGCACGAGGAAGGCAAGTGTCTTTCCAGTGCCGGTCTTGGCCTTGACGAGGAGGTCAGTTGGACTCTTCTCTGCCGATTCTCTATACCGCTCTGCAACCTCCTCAGAGATACCCTGGCCGTCACCAACAGTCACAGAAGGATGGAAGTCGGATCCTCTGACAGGGGTGACTACGTCCGAGAGCTGCCCGAGGACGGCAACTTGTACGTCTGACATGCTTTCATAATTGAAAGGACTGCCGGTCAAGGCTTGGTACGTCTTTGGGTGCAGAACTTTCTTGAGCGAAGAGAATTTAGTGCTTTCATCTTCTTGTGCCGGGGCGGCTTCCTCTTCTTCTTGAAGGTCTTCACCATCCCTGGGTAGTGAGGGTGTCAAGCGACAAGAGGAAGAGGAGAAAGATCGTGAGATACCACTGATCCTGCTGGAAGAAGGCAAAGCCGATCTTTGCGAGAAGATGGGGGATACGGAGGTAGGTCCAGTGCTTTTAGAGAGTGAGCGCAGGGAGGGCAACTGCGACGAGCTGGCAGAGAGCGGAGTCGAAGTGCTTGGAGCTCGAAGTGCCAAGCGAAGTGTCCGTGTGCTGCTTCGCAGCATCGACTGAGCGGTCATCATGATGAGATACGAAGACGTTCGAGAAGGAGGAGGAGGCGGCAGATGAAGGGGGTATCAGGGGTGGCGGGGAGGAGGATCGTGAAGCCCGCAAAGAGCCGAGGCGAGGAGGGGAATGAAGGTGAAGCTAGGCTTCGCGAGTGACCGAAGCGAGAGTCTGCTCTGCTCTGACGCCTTTGTATGCTGCTCAATACCTCGTATGGATGTGTTGAGGTGGAACGAGGAGAAGGACTTTACCGCTGAGGCTGACGGCATATCCGCCTCAAGAAGATTTCCAGCCTCGCCCAAAAAGATGGAGCAGCATCTGCAGGGCTTACGTAATAATCACGGAAAGGGAGAAAGGATCGTGCATGCAGCACCATCGTCATCGTCTCTGTACCTCCATCGTCTGGTGCTCACGAACAAGACAAGCTTCACGCACGCTTTCAAGGGCTGAGGAAAGACCGCAGCGGCAGCCGACCACCAGTCAGCGCATATATGGCCACAATTGAGGTGTTGATGAGGCGAACGTGAGAGGCGCTCAGCTTGGTTTGGCAGCCAAAGGTGGTGGCGCTTTGGACCATCGTTCAGGTGTTGCTTTAGGGCTGGCTCAAGATGCCTGTCCACGGCAGCTCGCTGCCCAAGAAAGGCCGCTATATGCCGAAGGCGGCTCAAATGGACTATTCTGAGCCCACAGAGTCGCCTTTTGCCTCATCTTCGAGGGGTCACTTCTCCGCCAAGAACGATCTCAAGCTCAAGAATGGAGCCAGAATAGCCCGCTACCAGGTCCTGCAGGGCCACGGAAGCGAAGAGAGAGCAATGGAGATCCTCAGAGAGGTCGGACGGGAGGTACGAGGCGTCATGCGAGGAAGAGGGTGGTGGTGTCCGCTCCTCGTCGAGTTCAATGGTGCTCCCGGTGCTAGATCGAGTGATCGGCAACTGCTAGGAATGAATCAGAACGCAGGACAAAAGATTTACCTTCGTCTGCGGGAGCTCTCCAGCACAGACGTCACAAAGCCCATCGACTCGTTTCTACCTCTCGAGGAGATCATCTCAACTATGCTCCACGAGCTCGCACACAACGTTCGAGGACCCCACGACGAGATTTTTCAGCGTACGCTCGACGAATTGCACGAGGAGTACTTTGAGAGCAAACGTCAGCGCGCAAGGAATGGAGGCAGACTAGATGGAGAGGCCTTTGATACGCCTGGCACGCGTCTTGGTGGATGGTCAGGGAGCGGGATGGGCGACGACCCGCTGATACGACATGTGGGGAAGAAGGCGGCCGAGCAAGCAGAGAAGAGACGGGCTGCTCAAATTCTCATGTCTGGAGGACATGGAGGTGTGAGGCTGGGCGGGGCAGCTTCGGGTGCGCACTCTCCAAGTGGAGAAGCTGTGGCGGCTGCCAGCAGAAGATTGAAGACGGAGCAACAATGCCCTTCCACTGCTGCCGAGCAGGAAGGTGTTGTGAGGTGGCACGAGGAGGAAGAGCTGAGACATGGCATCAAGGTGAGACCTCCAGCGTTCGATCGCCCTGCTAGATGGAAAGCTCGTCAGAAGCTGACCTCATCTTTCCTTCGCTTTCTTCTCGCAGGTCATCACCATCCTCGACGATGACGACGACGATGGAGGGTCAGGCGAGACAGAGAAGGGTCAATCGATTGCGCCACAGGGCGCTCCTTCATACATGCAAGGCAAGCTGAAATCGCAGCTTCTCCAACCGTCGAACATTGTCACGAGTAGTGACAGCGCGAGCACAAGCAAAAGCAACTCGCCCCTCGCTGGACCTTCGAACACCACAAGCCGTCCTGTCCTTGAACCCATCGCAATCGACTCTTCTGATGACGAAAGCCCTCAAATCATTGATGACGACGGTGACGGCTTCCAGGAGGTCCGCGCCGTCATCAAGAAGAAACCCCGTCTGGCTGCCAGTTCGTCCAAGAGTAACGCTCCTGCACAAGGAGCAGGCCGGCAGACTTCTTCAGCTTCGTCTTTGAGGCAACAGCAGCAGCAGCAGCAAAAGTCTGGCCCGCTAGCACGCGAGTCCATCGCGGCAAAGGTCGCCCTAGAGACCTATAGGGCCATGCAGGCGCGCCGTGCCCAGGAGCGGCAGGGAGGTACAGCGAGCAGACGCTCAGAGTCTGGCTCTGGCTCTGGCTCTGGCTCTGGCTCTGGGTCTGGGTCTGCACACAGAGAAGGTGGGACAGATGAAGTGGGGAGCGCTCCGCTCAGCAGCTGGACGTGCCAGACTTGCACATTGTACAATCCTCCGAGGGAAGAGCTGTGCGCTGCGTGCTCCTCTCCTCGACCCGGACTTCGACTGGAGCTGGGCTTGGACGAGTAGACCTTTCTGCTTTTGGCTTTTGGCTTTTGGCTGAGGACGCAGGACGCAGGATGCAGGGTGCGGGGTGGAGGGTGGAGCTCGATGTCGACGTTGGGACAGGGAGGGAGGGAGGGAGGAGTGGAGGGGCTCGTGAGGCTCATGGACTGAGCTGAGCTAGTGAGAGCTCCCGCCATTATATTTGCCAACGTTTAGACTTTACAATTGCCAAAATTCATGTGATGCAAATGAGGAACGTCGCGAAGAGCGTGAGAGCGATGTGATTGAGTTGACTTATTAATTGCAGTGAGCGAATGAGCAGTGTAAGGTACAGGTATGTGATGGTGGTATGAATCGTCACGGGCCCTGCAAGCCCTGACGACGACGACGATGGCGATGAGATCCACATGCTGTGACGGGACTGGGACGAGAGGGGTACGGGGCTCCACTACTCCACCGAGTCAAGAAGAGAAGAGTGGTGCAAGACTTGTACAGTCAGGTAATTCCTTCCGCGCCGCTTGAGCAATTCATTGTAAGACGGGGTTCACTCAGTAGATAAGATAGCTGTGCGGAGGGAGAGAATCAAGGCAGTGTAAAAGTGGACTGTCAGTATCCTCGTCCAGTCGTGGAGTGCGCATACAGACGGCGACGACGGCTGACTCACGCAACGTTGAGGAGTGGGAAACCACACATGAGTCCTACCCAGAAGATGAGATTGCCAAGAGCTGTAGCGCGATCCGCGATCCCAGGGAGCGGCGAGACCGGTCAGCTGTCTGTGTCATCGAAGCCTCAACTACGCTTGACCACGCCCACGTCTTGTTACTCACTCTCGTTATTTCGGATAAAGGGCACCTTACTGAGCAGTATCAAGGGCATCTGTGCCATCTGTGCTCCGAACAGGTACCCCCTAATTTTGCCACTGACAATCGCCATGACCACCTCGTGTAAAAAGGCGCTCAGTAGGAAAGTCACAAACATCGCTGCGCCTTTACTAATCCCCCAACTGGCAATACTCGAAGCATACACGTGCTTGAGGAGGAAAGAGTGCACTGGCTTGTTCCACTTGCGGGAAAAGACGTCCATGCTAGTTGCGTTCCACCAGTCTTGATAGAATTCTCGATCGGCAAATCGAGTCAATTCGGCAAAGCCATTGCAGACGCATTCGAACATGATGTAGAAGATGAGGAGGTAGTTGATCATCATCGGCAGTGCTAGCTTCAGCATTGTTTCGATGATGGGCGTGTCTGGTTGGGGTGAGTGCGGGATGATGAAGTGCTCGGTGATGACGTAGATGACAAAGAAGGTGCCAAAGGTGGCGAGGGTCTTCTCGAGGAGGTAGAGGGGTCGGACTCTGTAGGGGAAAAAGCACACCGCCGACGGGGGGATATGGTCAGTCATTTGAATTTTGGGCTTATACCAGCCTTCGCTACTCACGACTTGGTCCTCGGGTACTCCAGCTCATACACCAGCGTCGGCACGAGTAGATAGTCCCAAAAGTTGGCATACGTCACATTGTCCGGCCAGCAGACCCTGCTCTTCTTACCTCCCGCCCTGGACTCAGCAGCGCCGTCAGCATGGCCCGGGTCGACGGACATGAGCTCTTCTCTCAGCCCCTCAATGTCCCTTGCGAGCGAGGAGATGACTGCGTCGGAGTGCGTTGCAAGGGGATGAGGGTCTCTCACCACTTCCGAGTTCGAGTCGTGCTGATCCGTCTTGCTGCTGGAGCCATGGTTGCTGTTGCTGTTGCTGTTGCTGTTGTTGAGGTCAGCAGCTGCCTGGGCTGCCGTAGGGGGTACCATCTTCTCGCTCAAGGCAGACTTGCTGTTGCTACCACCGCTAGCGCCAGCGCTGCTGCCGCCGTGTTCATTCTTGTACCGGGAAATAGTACCGGTGAAGGCCTGATGCCTGTATGCCTTCATCCCACGCTGATTCTCACGTAGAGTCCAGGGAGGCACACATTCAGACTGATCCTTGTGCAGCGGTCGACTCTCCTCGACTGTGTCCGCGGAGTCCCTGGCTGTCTTGATAGCTCTCTCCCAAGCCCTGTCCAGAGCTTGCTGCTGCTGAGCTCGAGCCACTTCCGGTGAGCCGGCATCTTCAACCGAAGAAGGAGCAGCGGAATCGTCTCGCTCGACTTCGAGGACACGCTCCTCCAACTGCTGCTCGATGCGATGCAGACGAGCGCTAGCTTGGGACATTGCGCCGTTCACTGCAAGGTAGCTGTGCATCTTCATCATCATGGAGAGGGTGTGGAGGACAAAGAAGCCTGATTGAACCCAGGGCCACTCTCTGAGAAGCAAAGTAAGTGGAGATCGTCAGCATGCGGACTCGTCTCACCCTCGAAGTCTCCACAGTCTGCCTCACCTGTAGCGAGCCCACTTGATGACGCCTCCCAGGATCGCCCCCTGCCAAGCATGCTGAATCACAACTCCCGTCGGCCAGTACCTCATCCATCCCCTCTTGAGCGCCTTTGCATACGGCACACATAGGAACAAGCTCCCCACCAGCAGTCCATCACTGAGCGCCAACACTCCAGCATCTTGAGAGAAGAGGGTGGCAAAGGTGAGGGAGATGACTTGGCCTGTGCTGGTAAAGGAGGTGTAAAAGGTGTTGAGCATGAGGATGCCCATGCCGATCCAGAAGAGGGTGTAGAAGCCTCGGAATCTGCACAGAGGAAGGGAGGGGCGGGTAGGTGAGAGTAGTGGGATGAGAGTCAGCGACCTTTACTACAAAGTCGACTTGCCCTGTCTGCCTACGGGCAGCCTCCACTACAACTCACGGATCCTTATCGCCATCGTGATTGAACGAGTCAAACCTGCTATTCCTAGGCTTAAAGCTAACCAGTGCCCTAATCTTCTTTCCCTTTCTCCTAGAGCTAGACGATTGCTGTGGTTTCAGATGCACTCCCCCATCTCGATCAATCTGATGTTCCATCCCCTTTGCTCCAAGATGAGTGACAGTGGTAGTCTTGGTATCTCTTCTCCTACTAGCAGTAGCGCTTCCCGCCTCTCCTTCGGCAAGAGCGCGATCCAAAGCCTGTCCTAGCTCTCCCTCTGAGGTGTTCCCACTCTTTTCCCTTCGTTGAAATTGAGTAGTGACGGTAGAGGTTGCGATGAGCTCCCCTCCCGATTCGGAACCTGGGGTATCCATGCCGGAGCTATTGGGATTGCTGCTGAATTCGGCGTCTTGGTCTGCGGCGACGATGCCAGAGATGCTGCGTGGGCGGCTGGAGGAGGGTGAGTCGTCTGCCATCTTGGGCTGATCGAGGGGATTGAGAATGTGTGCGGTAGTAGTCTGCAGATGCAAGAAGTGAGGCGGTACGTCGTTGTCCAAGAAGTGCAAAGATGCCAATGTGAAATACCCCTACCACGAACCAAGGCTCTGCGATGTCCACTGGAGAAGGAACTGAGCTTCCGAGTCGAGGAGATCCTCGGACCGAGGGGGCAAGCGGAAGTCGAAAGCCGAAGAAGTCGTACGGAAGAAAGATACCCGGACGGGGAGGCGTGGGAGTGGAGAAGCGCACAATGGAGCAAGGACGAGGAAGAAAAGCACAGAGAGCGAGCGAGAGAGAGAGAGGAGAAAGGAACACGCCCAGCCGATCAGTCAGCTGATCGTATGAGACGAGGTGAGATGAGGTGAGGTGAGCTCTTGGCGAGTAGCAGTAGCTCCAGGACCAGAATAATCCAGTCTACCAGTGCACCGCCCTTGCACTGCACCAAGCGCACCTCGTCCATGCGCCTGTCTGTCCAAAAAAAAAAGAAATGTCAAAGCGCGGCCCGGGGTTGCTCACGCGGGAAACGACGCACTCCAACTCGAAGATCATCAACGCCAAAGGCCACTCCACGTCGGCCCGGTACAGCCCTTTTTCAGTAGCCACAACGTACGTCTGTTCAGTAGTAAAGCTCGTGGATGATTTCGTGGAATTAGTATGAGAGATGGACATGCGCGGTAGAATAAAATGGCAACTGTTTGTCTAGTGGTACAGGTATGGGGACGGGGATGGGGATGGGCAGCTTCTTTGCCTGGCTCGGAGCGGCGGGCCGTGGTGTGAGTGTTGTTGTACATGAGGGTATGAGGACTGCCACAGGGCCACGACCTCAAAGGCTTTTGGGCAATATCGCTCATGCCAGTGCGGAGGTGGGGATTCCTGTCTGGACCAGCGAGCGAGCCAGCCACCCAGCTAGCTAGCTAGCTGGCTCATTGCGCTACCCACCGGCAGGCGAGAAAGGGACGGCCGGTCCACTCTCCAGCATGGCCCACCTCTGTCGATGGGGCGTCAGATCCTCGTTCGTCAGATTGTCGCGCGTGGGCTCCTCAATCTTGAGTAGCGGCGGTGGGGTGAGGTAGCTCCGTGGGTCGTCCCCGTGGAATGAGTGAGGGCGACGTCGGACCTTGCCTGGGCTGGGGAGAGCTGTCGACTTCGAGACAGTGGCAGTGGCCGAGGCCGAGGCCGAGGCAGAGGACGAGGCAGGGCCGGCGAGAGGCTGCCTCAGAAGTGACGTCGTGGCAGGCTGATCGTCTGTACGGGGCTTGGACACTAGGATCTCCTCGACGGCTCCTTCGTTCCAGTGACCAAAATAGTCGGTCCTAGCAGACTTGGCTGCAGGAGGAGCTCCTGCACCTGCACCAGCGTGTCTTCGGTCAGATGGGACGGGGCTGATCTGTCTAGGCTGCATTGCTGGGCTCAAGCTGAGCTGGCGTGATTCCGATGGACTTGGGGAGAAGACGACTCCTCCGTGCTCATCTTCCGGGGTGAGACTAGGAGAAGATGTCCTACGCCTCTTGCGACTGCTAAAGGGAGACTCCTCCTTGGTGTGTGCTGAAGCTGTGGTGTAGGGTGCTTCAGAGCTCTCCTTGGCCGGATGAGCCTTGGCTGTGAATTGAGAAATGAACTGAAAGGGGGCAGAAATGAGCGTGTCGCAGTGGGACAGCGAGTCGTCAGCAAGTGGACTTCGACAGATCCAGCCTTCAGCAGCTTGCAAGCAGTCTGTATGCCCTTTCACACCACTTTTGACACTCACGTCTAGTTCTAAGTCGATGTCACCAGCAGCTTGAATCATGAGGTGGCTACTAGCCAAGACCTGTGCGAGATTATCCCTGATTCCATTTAGCTGACTTGCCAATGCCAGCAACCGAGCAGTAGCAGCATCCCTCTCCTTCTCTGCGCCAGCTGATCCTCCTCTTCCTCCTGGAGCATTGGGCCTCACTCCTCCTCCTCCTCCTCCCGCCACTCCTTCTCTATCAAGGGGGCGATTGCCATGGAGTCCCCTCATGAGCGCCAAGGTCTCCAGGTGCAGCTTCGCAATGGACACAGAGGGCGACTGTAGGTAGTCATTGAGATCCTCCCAAGACTGAGAGATTGTGTCTGCCAGCTGGGCAAAGGAAGCCTGACGCCGCCAAGCCGCTTCCTCCTGGGCGTCTACAGTAGTGAATGGCGGTGGCGGCCTCAGATGTAGTCTGGAGCGTCTGTGGTGGGACGATGTGACTGCTGATGCTGCCGATGCTGCTGTGAGTGCTACGGCTGGGCGGAAGCGGGGGAACGAACCACCCTCTGTCATCTTACGATGTCAGGTAGGGGGCGAAGAGGGGGAGGAGGCAGATGACGGGCAAGAGGGCAAACGACGTTGGTGTGTGAATGAATGGTAGTGATGGAAGCGGAGTCAGAGGAGAATGGCCATATTCAACAATGAATGAGACAAACCACACGTCGGGTGGGGGGAGAGGGAGAGCTGACCGAGCGGAGGCCTAGGCAGACAGTCAGGCAGGCCGGCAGGAAGGCAGACTAAGCGGTGTGACTGCATGTGTGCATGTGTGTGTGTGTGTGATTTCTTGGAAGTGTCCGATGTAGGTGGATCTGGGATCTGGGGTCGAGGGCCTATTTGCGGTCCTCATCGGCCGGGCGAGCCCAATTTCCAGGCGAGGCTGCAAAGTGGCAGGGCAAGCAAGCAAGCAAGCAAGCAAGCAAGGAACGGCAAGGGCACGGCAATTCTCAGAGCAGATGGCCTCAGCATCAGGGCCCTTTTCCCCTGGTTGTAGTAGGAGCAGTGTAGTAGGACTAGTCTAGACTGAATCCAGGGACAAATGTCCGCAAAGTTGCTCTGGCTCCAGCGATCGAAGCCTCGACTTGGCCATGCGCTCCCAATGACACCCTCTTTCCGCCACGATCGCGGGCCGAGCCTTGCCCACCCGCTCCACAACTCACCCACGGCCACTTCTCCCGGGCCGTGGGAGAGAGGCAGAGAGAGAGGCGCAGAGGCGCACAGATAGATGTGCGGAGACTTCCAAAAGTTGCGGTGGTAGGTCTCGCCTCGCCGAGCCTTGCCTAGCACAGTCGAGGTCTCAGAGGGTTGCTGGCCCACCAATCAGCCGCTTTGGTCGCAGCCAGCCAGCCAGCCAGGCAGCACATGGCAGGCAGCTAACAAATTGAGATCGCCAGGAGAGACTCGAGGATCAACCGCCGGCCGATTGAGCACGTCACTGCTAAGGCAGCATCATCTCGCCTCGCCTCGGCATCGGACAGAATCAAAGGAAAAAAAACCCCAAGACGCAGAGGGAGGCGGAGACAGGGTGGGCGTCAGACGCAAGGTTGATCCTGCTCGATCGCGATGGAACTTGCACATCACTTGCTACCTACGCGGGCGGGTACTTCCCAGGCTTGTCCATGCTCTTGCTCCCCTCTCCTCCCGCTTTCCCTGTTCCTCTTCCCCTCTGTACCCTAGATCCAGCTCATCAAGAGTCAAAGCCCAGACTATGTACACCACAGATCGCGCACTCGTCATCGGGCCCCTTCCTCTCTCCCTAGACTAGACTAGACTAGACTAGAATGAAATGAGAATCACAATCACCCGACCGATCCTGGCTCTGCTAGTACCGTCAGCATGGGTCATTGTGGATATCAGTACCAGCTGGGATGGTCAGAGATGCCAGGGGTTTGGGTTAGGAAGAGGAGGGAGGTTGGGTACGAATGGGAATGGCAATCGGGATCGGGATGGGCAGAGTAGGAAATACACAGGAGTCCCAAAGTCCATGCTACTACGCTACGCTTGAAAGGGTTTGGCCGGTTGTGGACTTGCAGAGCATACAGTTGCACCCTATCCCCTCTCACACACACACTCTCTCAGTCTTCCGATCGATCTCACATCCGACTGACTCCCCGCTTCCCAGAAGCTGACGCACTTGACTCTCCCTCTTGTGACACCCGACGCCACGCTACGCTGCTCCAATGCCTGAGCTTTGCGATTGTCCCGCCCCTCAATGTCACCACCACCACCATCAGCATCAGTGCACAGGTTCAGACGACGGTAGCGTTTCGAAGTGGGTAAAATATAACAATTGCGCCAGACAGGTCAGAGGGAGGCAGAGAGAGAGAGGCAGCGGAAGCGACAGAGACCCCGATGGCTTGCCACTTGCGCGAATTCATCGCCCCCGTGAAGATCCTGAGATAGCTACTAGTACAAGAGAGTAGGGGAGAAGACATGGTAATCGTCGACATGAGACATAAAAGGTACAGAACATGGGGAAGAAGCAGTCGGACCTGGGTCGACGAGTGCTGATTGGGCGCTTGCGGTCGTTGCCAAGGTGAGCCACGGGCGATGGTGGGGGCGGACAGCGCTAGCTTGTTGACCTGCGTCTTATCGTCCATTCGACCACGAGAGTAGACTTGCTATTCTTAAGCACCGAAACCGTAGAGGGTTCGGCCCTGTCGCTTGAGTGCGTAGACGACGTCGAGGGAAGTGACAGTCTTCCTCTTGGCGTGCTCAGTGTAGGTGACCGAGTCACGAATGACCGACTCGAGGAAGAGCTTGAGGACACCACGGGTCTCGTCGTAGATGAGTCCCGAGATACGCTTGACACCACCTCGTCGAGCAAGACGGCGGATAGCAGGCTTGGTGATACCCTGGATGTTGTCACGAAGAATCTTCCTGTGTCGCTTAGCTCCACCCTTGCCGAGACCCTTGCCACCCTGGAGAAGAGAAGAAGAGGAGAGAGGAGAATGGGTCAGTGAAAGTGTCGCCGAGGCAAGAAGGTCGCTTCGTTGCTTGAGCAATGGATAGGTACTCACTTTTCCTCCTACGAGATGGCAATGGAGAGGTAAACCGGAGCGAGAGAGAGGGAAGAACGTGAGATCGAAGGGAGTACATAGTCAGCGCATTGCCCTGCTATACGAGCGGCCGGCTGAGTCGCCACGAGAGGAGCTCTAACCCCCACCTAGCATCCACCCTGAGCCCGTCGCGTACTACTCCCGTATCCTCGCCCAGAGCATCGAATACTCACGTCCAGTCATGTTGTTGAAGTTGTGTTGTGTGGGGGTGAGTGGGTGGTTGTGTGAGTGCCGTGAGGTCGAGCAAGTGCTGATGAGTTGGTGGGTGAGGATGGCGAGGTGAGATGGATGGGTGGCCCGGCTTAAGTAGACGGAAATGGGACACGCGCGGGGAGTTGCGATCAGTCGTCGAGGCACCGCGCCCATCAATGCAGGGGGGCAGATCACGAGGCACAGATCAGCGACCAGGCGACAACCACGCGAGCCAAGGACACAGGCAGCAGCAACACACCAACACCCACGCACGCACGCACAGTACACACACCACACAGAACACACCCTTCCGCCATCCTCCTCCCCCTCCTCCTCCTCCTCCTCGTCTCCTCTCCACGGCTGGCTTCATCCTCCTCCACGATGAACGGCTCATTCGAAGCTGCTTCTCACCTCGAGCGAGCCATCCGCGCCGGACTCGAGGATCAGTCCGACTCCTCCCTCTCCGCACCAGGCCTCGCAAGACGAGCAAAGTCGGCCTCCCTCAGCTTCGCAACGGACGAAGGCAGCGATGAGGGCCATACAGGGCAGTCCTATCAGCCATCCACGAATCGCATCTTGGACCACCTCTCCGAGTACGACAGTGGCGCATTCGCTGGCAGGACACCCACCGCAAGGCGCATGGTCACGGCCACCCAAAACATCACCAGCCATAAGCAACAGCAGCAACGACCCTATTCATCCCCGTCTCAGCCCCTCACATCCTCACGCAATTCGGCACGGCGGATTAACAAGCCTGCCCAGTATGCAGAAGAGGATGAAGACTCACGCGACGATTCCATGCTACCACCCCCCAAGGCAACAGACTCACGCTCCTCTTCCCTCTCCAGTAGCGAGTCTGGCATGAGGACCACTGCGAGGGACATCTCGCATGGTTCTGCTCCCCTCACGTCCACTCCTCAGCGGAGCGCAGCAGCCCAAAGGTCCAGGGACGCTACCAGCTTCTATTCACAGCGTAGCAATGGCGATCCCACCACAGGCCGCCTCAACCTCGCCAAGCGGGCAGCCCAAAGTGCCGCTCGCGATGCCTCCACTCGAAGCTTAGGTAGACGAAGCGATGCTGCCCGCAGTGAAGGAGAGGGAAGCCATACACCTTGGGGCTCTGCCAAAGAAACCCAAACAGGTCTTGTCCGAACAGTGGACGAGAACCACGATGATCATACCGGCAGAAGTGCAGCTCTTTCAGACGGACGTGACCTGAGCATCAACACCATCGAAGAGGCCGACTCAGCTGACCAGACCCGCCAAAGCGAGGAGCTCACTGGAGGCGGTGTCCCAGAACAAGATGCTTCCCGGCCGGAACACACTCAGGCCGACTCGATTGGACAGACCAGCCAGATGCACACCTCGGACATCCGGCCTGTCCACCAAGCGGGGACCGAGGCTGACATCACCTCAGCAAATCCGGACGAGCCAACACAAGACAATCAATCGCAGTCTCACAATCCTTTCGCTCGCTCAGGAGTCGACGCTGTGAATGAAACTGAGAATGTAACAGTCGAAGCTACCCGCGACAGCGCACCTGAGACTTCGCCATCGGCAGCGCGAGCTGCTCGCCAAGCTCTGCCACCTCTCGCTGCTACACCGTCGTACAGTCAATCTCGCGCTCCCTTTTCCATGGCGACTCCAAGACCTGCAGTGGATCAGCGCAAAATGCAGAACTATCTCTTGAGCGTGGTCAAGGACCCAGCGCGAGAGCAGAAGATTCAAAAGTCAGTCAAGCGGATGCGAGCTCAACGAATCCCACTTGACCAAATTCAGAGCGAGGAGAGTAGCATGGACCGTAGCGGACCTCAAGCTCCTGTCGGTCGTGATTCGACACCACTCAGTAGCGCCATGGCCACCCCTCTTCATCGAATGGACCGGCTAGGTCGGCCTATGACCATCGGCGCTGGTCGGACCCCGCTCCCACCTTTCCGACCCTCCGGTCTCGCAAACCAATACTCTGCAGACGACAGCCGGTCTCAAGCCTCCGATCAGTCGTCGGTCCATGACTTGGTCGGGCCAAGTCGCTGGGAAAACAAGTCTGAGCCTGGAACAGTTGCGAGGGAAGGCAAAGTTATCGAAGCCGGTCTGCGAGTGGATGGGAACAGACTAGATCGTCACTTGCATCGAGTCAATGCTGAGCTCTCCAAGGAGAATGATCGTCTTGCCGATGAAAATGCTGCCAAACAAGGTGAAGTAGAGACGCTCAGAAGACAACTCAATACAGCATTGAGGGAGAAGGAGATGCTAGTGCGGCAGAGCCAAGCTTCGGATGGACGCTTGTCGCCAGCTAGCGTGCCCTTACCGCCTAGTCCCGCTCCAGACAGCGCCAAGGGCCACTCAGAGGATGCAGAGGCTCTTGCATCCGCTCAGGAAAAGATCACCGAGCTCGAAGGCCACAAGGAGCAACTCAACGATATGCTCGACGAGCTTGAGGAGCAATTCTTGCAACTGCAGACGGAGAATGACCAATTGAAGCAGGGCAAGACATCCTCAAAGCAGCAAGACGACGGTCGTGAAGATCAGACAGCTGCTACTGCCACAGACGAAGCCGACGTCAAAGCCCAGCTTGAAGAAGCCATTCGGGAGCTTGACCTGCTCGATCAAGATTACCAAGACAAGGAGCAAGAGTGTCAGCAACTGCAGGAAGCCTTCGAGGAAGCCAAGGAGTTTGCTCTTCAAGAATGCCAGAAGGCCGAAGAGGAGCGCGATCGAGCACTCAAAACAGCTGCAGACCGAGAGAAAGAGATTCGTGACCTTTGCGAACAGATTGGAGAGCTGGAAACCAATCTGCAGCGACTGCGCCAGGAGAAGGTTGAGCAGTCGGACGACCAGGCCGCCACAGTCGAGAGCGAGAAGCTCAGAGATGAGGTTGCCAAGCTGCAGAAGGAGCTTGCTGCAGCTCAAAAGGAGCTCGAGGCGGCTCACGAGGAGCACGATAATGTCAGGGAAGAGCTCGAGGCTGCACTGGAAGGAAACGAGCTTCAATTGCAAGACCTGGAGAAGGAGAAGGCATTAGTCGACGAGGACCTTCGACAGGCTGTGCAAGAGGCGGCCAATCTCAAGGATAATCTCGACCGTCAGGTCATCACGGTCAGCGAAAAAGAGAATGAGATCCTCAAGCTCACTCGGCGGGGACGCAACGACGATGCTGCAGTGCAGCGGCTCGCTGAGCTGGAAGCTTCTCTGGAGGCGGCTCGACACGAAGCAGCCTCGAGCAAAGACAAGCTGGCGTCGATGGTCAGCAGGAGCGAGCATGACAAGGAGTTGAAGCTCAGGCAGGAAGAGATCGATCTCCTCAGGAAGCAGAAGACAGACATTGAGGCTCGCCTCGAGGACTACAAACAGCAGGCCAGCAATTTGAGCCTCAGTCCCGGTGGAGGGCAGCCGAACTCTTCCATGCTGAAGACTCCAGGCATGCACAAGGCTCTACTCAATCTTCGTACGCCTATACGTACACCCCAGTCACCAGGTCAGCTCTCTGCCGCATCATGGCTCAACGACTCGACTATTGGTAACGAGAGCGCTGTCATGCACATCCAAGAGCTGCAGCGGCTGCTTGATGAGGCCAATGTCAAGATCGATGAAAAGCTTGCCGAGATCGATAGGCAGGGTCTCAGCCATCTGACGGTGACCAGGCGACTTCTAGAAGCTCATCAGCGCATTGAAGAGCTTGAAGCTGAATTGGCCAGGCTTCTTGGCAGTGGTGGGGAGCTGCATGTCATTGACCGTCGACTCAAGAGCATTCGTTGCACCTCTTGCAAAATCACATTCGACGCTAGCAAGCAAGTTCAGGCAAAGTCCTTCGCAAAGAATAACGCTGATGACGAGAGTTTTGCGGATGTGACTGTCACGTCCCACACTGTCGGACAAGGCGACAAGAAGGGCATGGCCAAGAGCGCGCGCTCACGGCAGCGCGATCAAGCACTGGCCGACTTTGTTGCAAAGGTGCCTATTCTGACTGCTCGCCTTGCTCAGGTTGAAGAGGAGAACCGAAAGCTGCGAGAGGGCGCTGCTGCAAAGGGCAGCGCTGGGAAGAACAATGCAAGGAGCGATGCTCGAGCTACAGACGCGGCCAAGAATCTGCAAAAGGCTACGCAGTTTGAGATTGAGAAGGCGCGCGCTGCAATTGTCGATTTGGACTCTGAGCTCCAAGAGGAGAGGAAGCGACTTCCCGAGCTCGCACGCGACTCCAAGGTATTTGGCGATCTCACCTCTAGTGCAGAGCGGGATCTTGCCAGGACGGAGCTTCGCTTGCGCAACATCGAGGTCGAGCTACGACGCAAGGTGGAAGACCATGGTGAGCTGTACAAGGAGCTGCTCGAGAAGTCTTCTGTCGGCAGTGATGTGCCTGTGCAGCTTCAAGTGCTGCAAGCCCAGGTCCGACAGACGGCCATGGACGTAGAGCATCTACGGGACGACCGCAACGCCGTCCTGGAAGCGAGGGAAGAGCTGCACGACAAGTTCCGCAACGCCAGCGAAAAGTACCTCACCATCCAGACGGAGTTGACCACGTGTCGTCAAGCAGTCCTCTCGCATGCCTCTCAGCTGGATGAGCAGACGCAGAAGATTGAGGAACTCCACGCTACACTCAAGGAGCAACATCGCGCCATGCAGCGCGTCGCGGGGGAGCGGGATCGACTGTACGCGCAGAGGGAGGGGATCATCAATGACGTCTCTTCCCTCGAGGCGGACCTTCGTCGAGTACGTGTGGAATCGCAGGCATTCGGTAGGGATCTGGAGAGACTGCGCAAGGAGCGAGACGAGCAGAAGCGCAGGGCTGAATTGGCACGGGAGACGTCCATGAGTATCACTGCCGAGGCGCAGGAGACTATCAGTGTCCTCAAGGAGCGTCTGGACCAAGCACGACGCATGATTCGTCAAGTCGAGCTTAGCCAGACCGCCGAAGGCGCCCAGGCGGACACACAAGCGCTCAGGGAGAAGCACGAGCGCGAGTGCAAAGGTCTCCTTCTCCATGCACGCTACCTCAAGACGAAGTTCATGCGCGAATCGGACCTACGTGCTGATCTGGCCTTCCAAAAGAAGTACCTTCTGCAGATCCTTGGCGGCTTGGACATGAGCGAGAGGGAGACGGTACGATTCCTCAGCGATCTGGAGCGCAGTCGTGGGCGTGTGAGTGCTGGCAACCGCACCGTTGGTGGTGGTGGTGGAAGTGCACCCAGACGCTCCCCTGCCACGCAGGCAAAGTGGAAGAAGGTGAGCACAGCAGTCCTCGCCGTGGCTAGGATGAAGCTGATGGCAGAAAGGTGGCAAGAGACGCGCAAGGTCAAGGAGGCGCTGCTGGGTGCTCATGAGGCGGTGAAACTTGCGCGGGCTGAGAAGGAGAGGGAGAATGCGAGGAGTGGTGGTGAGGAGGAAAAAGAGAGGATGCTCTACCACAAGGTTGCTGCTTGATAAGTGGGTGAGCTGAGGGAGGGGCCAATTCTTTTTGCATCGCTTCTTTTGTTCGTTTGTTTGTTTTGGTTTCGCTATACCCGCATATACCTTGTTTGTCTACTACACGATACTCTGTCGTCTCTCAATCGACACTTCTCAATGCATCCCTCAATCAGGCAGCAGACGAACGGACAATAGATGTGCGAAGAGTTATCTATGCTTGAGCGCCAGCGCTACACTCAGACTTTCACTCATAGTACACCTATTGTGTAGCAAGGAAGAGGATCGATCGGAAGGAGACATCGGTCAGCATTTGGAAGGGCTAGGAGCATGCGTCTCGGGGTTGCAACTGACCTTTTGTGCTCGGTACATCGTCCAGACCGGTCTTGGAGACGGCCTCCTTGATGGCCAGCGCGAGGGCCTTGAAGGCCGACTCGGAGCTGTGGGTAAGAGGGGAGATCAAGAGGTGAGTGTGAGACGATGATGACTCTGACCGGTACAGCCGTCTGCTTCTCTTCTCTGCAAACTCACCGATGATGGTCATTGTCTCCCCTCAGGCAATCCACATGCAGCGTTACTCCCGCAGCCATTGCAAAGCTATGGAATACATGTGGGATCATCTCACAGCTGAGATCTCCAATCTTCTCCCTCTTTAGTCCAAGCTCAGCAACACAGTAAGGTCTTGATGAAATGTCAATGACGGCGCGAGAGAGGGCTTCATCGAGGGGTGCGTGACCAGTGCCATAGCGCTTGATGCCCTTGATGGGACCAAGGGCTTGCTTGAAGGCTTCGCCTAGGGCGAGAGCGCAGTCCTCGGCAGTGTGATGGTCGTCGATCCAGAGGTCACCGGCGCAGGCGAGGGTGAGTGACATGCCGCCGTGCTTGGCTAGGGCATGGAGCATCTGCAAAGAAGGAGCGGGAGAGGAGACGCTGATGAGTATTCGCATGAATCGAACTGATGAGGATTACATGAGACTGCCGGCATTTGATGGGCTACTCACATGGTCCAAGAACCCGATGCCGGTCTTTACGCTGATCTCCTGAGGTGCAAACTTGGGATGCACATCCAGAGCGAGGGTGCACTGGATCTTTGTCTCATTTGTGATGCGCTCCACAGTGGCGGTGCGAGTGGTAAAGGGAGCGAATTCAGACGCAGAGGCAGCCATGCTGGAGGAGGTACCGTTGCTGTTGCTGGCCATGGATGCTCGATGAGGCGATTGGTAATGCAGGACGTATAGACGATTGTGCGGATAGGCGAGGGAGCGACTATCGGTACGGATGGAGCTCAAAGTGGAGCCTCGGCCCAACTTCCTTGTCCTCTTCCGTTCCGCACCGTTGGCCTGAGCGCAAGACGGAGCGGAATTTAGGGCAGAGGCAGACAGACACGGGAGAAGTGGCCCCCCCAGGGCGGCGCGCGCTGTTGCCTCCCCGCGCCTGGCTGCTCCGACGTCGCCCCATGCATCTACCACAGCCAGGACCTTCCCGGCTTCCACGCGACCCCCGCCGTTTGTTCTTCTCGCGAACCATCACAACCATTACAGTCACACCCAGCGCATATATTCACTCTGCATATATTCAATTCACAGGACTCACTCCTTCAGTCCTTCTTAGCCTTCCTTTCCATATCCACACACGCATTCAAGCCAGCCCCCATCCAGTCACTTTCACCAAACACCACCACCCTTCTTTACCCCTGTCTCACCTTCGATCATGGCTTCTTCTACACGACCACAGAATGTCGGAATCAAGGCAATGGAAATCTACTTTCCCAAGAGGTGCATTTCTCAGGATGAGCTCGAAGACTTCGATGGAGCTCCCAAGGGAAAGTACACCATTGGATTCGGACAGCAGTTCATGGCCTGCACCGATGACCGAGAGGACATCAACTCCTTTCTCTTGACTGGTGAGTGTGACGACGTCAGAACGCAGCATACAGGGGAATTCCTGATATTGACTAGCTATTTTCGCTTTCTTTGCCCCATCCTCGCCCCTCCCCTCCCTAGTCACCCACAACCTTATGGAGAAGTACAACATCGACCCCAAGTCCATCGGCCGACTCGACGTCGGTACCGAGACCATCATCGACAAGTCAAAGTCCGCAAAGACTGTCCTGATGAACCTCTTTGTCGAGTCTGGAAACTCTGACATTGAAGGTCTGGACTCCAAGAACGCTTGCTACGGTTCCACTGCCGCCCTCTTCAACGCCATCAACTGGGTGGAGAGCTCTTCATGGGATGGAAGGGATGCCATTGTCACTGCTGGTGACATTGCCATCTACGCCGAGGGGTCTGCCCGACCAGTAGGCGGAGCTGGTGCTATCTCCTTCCTCATCGGACCCGACGCTCCCATCGTCTTCGAGCCCATCCACGGTACCCACATGGCCAACTCGTGGGACTTCTACAAGCCCGACCTCAACTCCGAGTACCCCACTGTCGATGGACCAGAGACCATCCAGACCTACCTGGGTGCTCTCGACCGAGCCTACGACGCCTACAGGGCCAAGGCTGCCAAGGCCAAGGCCGCTCAGTCTGGAGCTGCCAACGGAGCTGCTTCCAATCTGGCTTCCGTCAAGGTAGACGACTTTGACTACACTCTTTTCCACTCTCCTTACGGCAAGCTGGTACAAAAGGGTTTCGGCCGTGTCGCTTACAACGACTACCGCTCAGACCCCACCAACCCCATCTACGCATCCATTCCCGAGCACATCAAGGACCTTGACAGGAAAAGTACCATCACCAACAAGGAGGTCGAGAAGGCCTTTGCTGCCTTCACCAAGGACATGCAGAGCAAGAAGCTTGCACCTACCAGCGACACTGTCAAGCGCATCGGCAACATGTACACTGCCTCCCTTTACGGTGGTCTGGCTTCGCTCATCTCCAATGTTTCATCTGACGATCTGCAGGGCAAGAGGATCTTCTTCTACGCCTTTGGATCAGGAAGTGCTGCTTCCGTCTTCGCCGCCCGCGTGCAGGGCTCGACTGCTGAGATTGCGGCAAAGCTGGACCTGAAGAAGAGGCTCGAGTCGATGGTCGTCGTACCCTGCCAGACCTACGTCGACTCCCTCAAGTCTAGGGAGGCCACCCACAACGTCGTCGACTTCACTCCCAAGGGTGACATCGAGAACGTCTGGAGCGGATCCTACTACCTTGAGAAGATCGACAAGACGTGGAGGCGGAGCTACAAGAGGCTCAACAAGGACGACCAAGTTTTGGCTCTTCCGTGAGCTGCTGCTCAAAGGGGTCGAGACCGGAAACTAGCTGTGCCTTTGCTCCGCTCGTGGCTCCCCCTCGCACCTGTTCGGACGACGTAGATGGCCCTCGTGAGGAGGGACTGCGCATTCAAAGAGGCCGATACCCCTCTTATCGCAGTCTTTGGCTTTTCCTCAATCGCAAGGTCCGTCCATCTATAGAAAATCAAGAAAATCATCATTCAAAAACATGCAAAAAATACACCACCCAACCAAAAGCCACGTTGTATGAGAAAGGAAGCTCTCTGGGGATAGGGGAGAGGAAAGCTCTCGTTGTCTCAGTCGCTCGATGGTTTGCTTGTCTGGTATCTTCCCGCTCCTGCCTCGAGGCATTTGCAGGAGATTCCTAGCGAGCACTTCGTCTTGCCAGAATGGACAAAGCGTTGTCTACGCTCTCTATCATCTCATCTCCCCTGCATCGAACCACTGTCTTCTCTGCCCTTGCCCCCTTCAGCGGGCAGAGGAAGTCCTATGAGTCGATGTCTAGGGGAAAGAAGGATCAAAACTCACAGAGTCCCACATGCTTGCTTGCTTGGCTTGGCTTGGCTTGGCTTGGCTTGGCTTGTCCTGCTTGGCTTGTCTCGACTTGACTTGCTTGCCCCACCACACTGCATGCAATGCCATCGTTCCTTCTCGTCTGCGTACACAACTTCGTCTGCTCGTCTGCTTCTGCTTCTATGTCTGTCCCTTCATCTGCCTGCAGCTTCTGTGCCGGTACGTGGGAGAGGTTATAGAACTGAACTGAAACGGAGAGCACGAAAGGAGACGCCGAACCATGTGAGACTCACACACACTGGAAGGTAGGTAGGGTAGGCTAAGGTACAAAGATTGATTCTGGTCGACTGACTGACTGACTGACTAGATCACTGACGCAAAAACGGGAACAAGACCAGAACAAGAGAAGGCAAGACAAGTCAAGACAGAACAGGACAGGATAGGACACGGCAGACAAGGGAAACCAGTACAGAGCCGGAGCGTCGGCAGCAGAGCGTAGCACGAGACGAGACAAGATGAGATGACACGAGGGTAGCGTAAGGTAGCGTTGCGTGATTTCCTTATCTCCTTTTGGGGTTCAGGTCATCTCAAATGGGACCTCTTCACATCCTCCTCCTCCTCTTCCTCGATCCGGGCAAACTCTCATCATCGCGCACTTCCTCCTCCTCTTCCTCCTCGGCCTCTGCGACACTGCGAGGTGAGGAAGGAGCAGAGGAGAGGCTGCCACTCTCGTCTTGCGCTCCAGCATCCTCTTCTTCATCGTCTTCGTCTGCATCGGCAGCCGTTCGTTTCCTTCCCCGCTTCGCCGCACTCGATTGAGCAGAGCCAGGGAGCCCGGCAGGACGAGCACGTGGCCTCTGCTGCTGCTGCTGCACGGGTGTACTGGCGACGGGCAGCACGCGATTGGGAAAGTCCTCCTCTTCGTCGTCTATCTCGTCGTCTGCATTGGTGGCTGTACGACGCGCCTTTGAAGCGCTTCCACCCACACTGCCACTGCCTCTACCACCGCTCTTCCTGGGCGTGGCACCCGCCGCAGCTGCAGCTCGAGCAGCCGTGGGAGCAGAAGGCGCGGCCCGCTTAGCCATTAGTGTAACCAATCTCTTCTCGTACTGCCTCTGCGGATCCCATGATTTGGACGCGGGCGGCACTTCGATTCCAGCATCGAGGATGGCTTGCTCCATGGCCGACTTGATCTTGTGTGCATCGCGAGCACTGGCGGAGATGAGCAGGTTGCCCAGACCCTTCCAGAAGGCTGGTGCGCGAGCCTTGACGGCCTTGTTGTTGGCCTGCTCGGCCGCTTTCCACTTCTTAGCAATGTACTCGGCGCCGCGCTTGTGTAGGTGGAGAAGCGAGGGAGGATCGATGGCTCGCAAGATGGCCAGGTGCGCACCTCGGATGACAAGTGCAGAGGAGATTGATCGGGAGAGTGAAACGAAGCGGGCCTCTCCTTCCGCAGTGCCTTCTACGAGATAGCTTTCGAATGACTGTGTGCAATGAAAGAAGGGATCGTCAGATTTCCATCACCGAGTGCACTTGACGTGTCACACTTCTGACTCACCTCTCTCAGACTGTCGAATACTACATCAGCAGCATTCTTGCCATCATTGGCAAGAACACCGTCTTCTCGAAGAACCTCGATGAGCAGTTTGACCAGGACGTCGAACATCTGTCCCAATCTGCCAAATTTTCCTATGACGGGCGCCGCCAAATTGATGTCGACAAGGCCGAATCGCATCGCAGAGACCAGCGGTGCAGTCAGCTGATTGAGTTCCACCTCTCGCTGGAGTTGTGCTTGCGTAGGGAGTCTGGTCACGCTTTGTTGGGCGCCATTCGTCTTCTTAGTGGCAATGTCTTTCCTCTTCTGAGGTCGCTCTTCATCGTCGTCGTCGCCTTCGTCGCCTTCGATTTCGTCGTCGGGATTCATGGCTCCGTTTGCCTCTCTGTCCTCTTCTTGCCTTAGCTGGATTTGGGTGTCTAGCTCGGCCAGAACGACTTTGACGCATCCTTCTTGCACAGGTCTGGGAATGAATACGCGAAGCCGTGACAGTAAGCCGCTGTGAGCTCTCGGCTCACCTGCTTCATCTTGCTGCTGATCGCGCTCCACTTCGATGGTCTTATTCCGAGCCGTCCCGCTCTGCTCTGCTGCGTGGAATGCCAGATAAATCTGTAGCATACGAGCGGCGGCCAAGACCTTCACTTCACGCAGAACGACAGCGCGGTCAGTGACGAGATCTTCCATCAGCTCCAAAGCTTCCGTTCGCTGCGCCAGAATCGCATCGACGAGGGCTTGACGATCCTCCTCTGCGGTGGTGAGACTGCTCGCCATGAGTCCTCGCAGCTTCCAGAGCAGGTGGATGGTGATGACTCGCAAGCAGTTCGAAACCATAGCCTCCTCACCCTCGTATCCGAGCTTGCCTCGAGATGCTACCTCTCGTAATATCTCCCAACCTGAGGTGACTTGGCCGTTCTCGGTATCCTCAATCACCTCAGAGCAGTCCGTGGCACTGCTGAGTCCAGCAAGTCGCTGCAAATTAGCTTGCAAGGCGAAGATGGTGTCCTCGTCCAAAGTGGAGGTGGCTACCTCTTTGCCCTTGAGAGGCTCCCGAAGAGCGTTGATCAGCGACTCTTGCAGCGCAACAAGCTTCGTTGTCGTCACCTCATCCAGGCTGCTCTGCGTTTGTGCAAAGCTGACTAATGACCGAATGGCCGATGCGCCGCGCTTGAGCAGGATGTCCTCCGAATGGCGTGAGAACTGACCGGATACTTCGTCCCAGAGGTGTGCTAAGGCCGACACCTGGCCGCTGGCAGCGTACAGGTGAAGGTTCAATTGTGGTACGAGCAGCAGCACCTCTGAAACCCGTGCGGATTCCGTGCGATACTTTGCAAACAGCTTGGGGAGCGCAGGGATGAGGGCGCGTGTGAAGTCGTCCAGCTTCTCCTGGTGAACATTGTCATCGTCATCGCCCTTGTTGGCAGCCGCGGCTAGTGTAGCTGCAGCAAGTGCCAGGCGCCTGAACTCGTCAGCAATGGCAATCAGAGCCTCGAGAAGCACGGTCTCTTCCGTTGGTTCCAGTCGGTAAGCTTCATTAGGGGGCTGGCTGCCAGTGTATCCCACGACAGCTCCAATACCTGAGACAGGATCAGCGGCACCCGGGCCTTTGCGGCCACCCCGGCCTTTCTTGCTTGCTGCCGACTCTTGCGTCGAGTGATCGTACAAGAGCATCTCAAGCAGACTTGCCCAGCCGGACAGGGGTGCATTGTCTTTCTCGAAGGACCACAAAGCCTGCACCGCTAGTGAGATACGTCCTCCACGCTCGGTCAGAAGCGTCGACTGTAATGCAGCAGGAGGCACGGCACGGCTGCGCTTTTGTTGGGATATCTCTGCCGATCCTGAACTACTGTCGTCAAGGGTACTCTCGTATTCGACGAGCTTTTGCGCCAGGATCTTCAGACGCAACTTCTCTACCTCTGCCTCCCATTTCGCTCTGTCCTCTTTTGCTTTCGCATCTTTACCTCGGGCAGCTGGAGCTGGTCCAATGATGTCCGTGCAGGTGTCCCGCACCTCCTCTTCGACGAGACCTGTCAAGAAGCGCGCGATCTCTTGCCGGATGCGTGGCTCGACGTCGAAGATGTGCAGGCCAATCTCATCGCGCTGATCATCTTCCAGAAGCCCGCGACGCTCGATATGGACTAAGACGTCGATGGTGGCGGCTCTGACAGGCAGCTCAATGTCGCACACCGCCATCTGTACCAAGCGGGCTTTGAAGAGCTCAGTGAAGTGACGCAGAGGATCGGGGAAAGAGGACTCAGAGTAGACCTGAGCAAGAGCTTGGATAGCGGCAACACGGACAGCTCCACTTGTGTCGCTGAGACACCAGCCCAGGTAGCGGGTGTACTCGTTTTTCATGAAGATCTCTGGCTGCTTCTTGATCCATCTGCCCAGCTCTTGCGCGCAGTCTGTTCGAATGAAGGGGTCCGCGTCACGATAGCGATGTTGATAAACACTACAGAGAACAGGGGATTGATCACGACGTCAGAATCGAACTGAAGAATTGCAGGTCTCTCTCGCCTCTACTCACCTGTCAATGAAGTCTCGAATGCCGTCCATGAGAGTAGCATCTTCTTCCTTTGCTTCTCTCCACTTGTCATCGAGGGCTTTGACTCTGTTCTTGTCGACGCGTGGCTTCTTCTTCTCGGCATCGCGCTGTTTGCGAATACTCTCGACATTCTGGCGCTTGGAGATCACCAGGCCGGCAGTGGCTCTGATGATGTTCAGCACAATGAATGTAGATGTGTGGCGGAAGGAACGAAACGTGGAGGATGAGAAGGAAGAGAGCCATTCCTTAAGGACATTGATGAGGGGTGGCTCAGCGACGAGCTCCGAAGATTGAGCAGTGATGGGAGCAGTGAGGAGCAGCTCGGAGTCTGACGCTGTCATGACCAGGCGTTCGAAGAATTCTGCGAGGGAGCTCTTGAACTTCTTGAAGGCAGGTGCGCGCGACACGATGGGGTACGAGGGATTCGGACTCTGCTTGAATTGCTCTTGTACCTGTTCAAGAGCATCGACGACATTGTCGAGGTCCATGACTGCAGCCTCGTCAACTGTACTGTTGCAGCCACAGCACCTGATGACGAAGTTGATGAGCTCCACGAGAGCAGGCCCAGGCTCGCTCTGATATTCCACTACCCAGTCATCGACGACGCCTTGTACTGCAACGTCGGGATTCTTGAGTGCGTTGAAGAGGTGAATGTCATTTTTGATTTCGAGCTCTGCCTTATTGGCCACAACCCTAGCGCCGCCCCTGACAGTGGCTGTACTCTTGCTCTTCTTAGCGAGAGAGGTGGAGGCTGTCCTGGCCTTGACAGCCGTCGTTGTGCCGCCGCCGGCTGCTGCTGCGATCTTGCTCGTCTTTGAAGGCTTGCTCTTGGCTATCCTGGGTTTCTTGCCTTTAGCACTCTTGCCTCCTGGCGCAATGTAGTCATCGGTCTCGTCCATGTCCTTCTCACTTCCAGAGTCAAAGGAGTCGACGCTCTCTGTCTCGTCGACGTCCATTGCGCCATCTTCACCGTCCTCATCTTGCTCCTCGGCTCGCGAGCGGCGGCGGTTGGTCGCGAGTGCCTTTGCTGTGGTTAGGCTCTTGCGGGCGGCTGTGCGCTTCGGGCGAGCTGAGACAGGGAGGGGAGGGACAGGGGTAACGATAATGTCAATGAGCAAGTTCTCGCGTCCGCATGATAGGAGGAAGTGGCGGGTTCTGGACTCACATCCGCTGGTTTGCTCTTCTGCTTCTTCGTCTGATGTGAGTGGTGAACCTTCGCTGCCGAAGCGGTTGGACGCCGCTCTCCTTGGCTGTGTCCTTGCCATGGTGTATGTGGGAGGTGAGTGTGGCCGCAGGTGTATCCCAGATGCGAGCTGGATGTGGTGGTGTAGAGGTGGGTGAAGGTGGGAGTGGACCTGAGGAAGATGGGAGAGTAGGCAAGGGACAGACTACGCACGCACAGGCGCCCCACGCACAGAGACACGACGGAGGCAGCGTCAGCAATCTCGCGTCTCCCTTTCCGACGTGACGAGACTCTGGGCGGGATCCACTTTGAGGCGCGCGCTTCTGCCTCTGCCTCGCCGCCGGTGGGTGTGGGCCCGTGTTGGACTCGCGCTGCGTCCATCGTCCGTCGTGCGCCTGGCGAGGGAGTGAGTGCGTGCGTGCGTGCGTGCGTGCGTGTCCGCCTGTGCGTGCCGTTGCCTCCGCCTGGGCAGGCGGCGCCCTTTGTGTGAGGAGCCAAGGCGGGTGCAGAGTGCCGTTGGTGGTAGCCGTCCATTTAGTCGCGCCCCAGTCATTGGTTCCTTCGTCGGCCATCACGCTCGGTCCTCAGCTCCCTGCCTCGCCTCCTTGTCCTGGTCATCGTGGAGAGTCTTTCCCCGTCAGCTTCGTTGCTTCATCTGTCTCCCCGCCCGCCGTTGCTCTTGCAGTCGATATTGTCCTCGCCGAAAAGCCGCACGGCTCAAGACGCGTCGACTCGATGGCCAGTCCAATCTCGTCCCCATCCTCACCATCAAAGCCGCCGCCTTTGCCATCCGCTTTGCATCAGCAGCAGCAGCATCAGCAGCAGCAGCAGAGTCAGCACCAGGGGCTGCCCACAGGAGCCATTTCTGCGCCGTCGCCTCCCTTTGGCACATCACACAATTTCAATAGACCCTCGTGGCTTATCAACCTCCCACCCGGACCCAAGGATACCCCTACGCAGTCTGTCAGGAGGAAGCACAAGAGCGTACGGTCACTCACTAGAGAGTACGAGTCCTCCGCTACAAAGGAGAATCTCAACCCCGACACAGTCGACGTCGAAGGCTCCTCAGCACCGCGCTCGGCCGACAGCTCGTCGCCTTCCAAGGCTGCAGCAGCTAGCAGTGACGCTTCCTCTCGCTCGCACGCCAGAAAGAGCTCCGTGCTGCTAGCTTCAAGCTCATACCCATCCAGCTTCGAAGTACCCAGCGAGCAGAACGGCAGGACCAGACCCTCGCCCACGGCACGGATACCTTCTGGCAGCGGCCTTCCATCCTCTTCCAGCAGTGAAGCAGGAATACGTCTAGCTTCCTCTGCCTACCCCTCGACATACTCATCTGCAACCCCACCCTCTGCCATCTCCCCACACCCTTTGCCCGCGCCGCCTCCTCCAGCCCCCTCGCAACATCCTGGCGACATGCCCGTCTCTCAGGATGGGCCTCCGGTCTTCTCAGTGTCCCTTGACAGCCCTCATTCCCCTGCCGCCGGACAGTCTGCTCTGCCCACCCTAGAGACTCCGACTCGCCTGAGCGTCAAGAATCGGTCTAACAGCAACCTTGGAAGGAGCGTATCTCACGGCCATACTCCCAGTCGCGAATGGCCCGCTGCTGAGAATGCTACACCGGAGCGACCCAGGGCTGTATCGGCATACGATGCTGCTGTGAAAGACGAAGAGGGAGATACCGTAGGGGACCTGATGCGGACACAGTCCACTTCCGCCCGGAAGCCTCTCTCTCAGATGACACCGGCAGAGAGAAGAGAGCATTCACGCAAGCACTCGAGAGTACATTCGAGGAACCTCAGCGTCTTCTTCCCACAGCCTGGTTCCGCTGCCGAGCAAGAGGCGGACCAACACCGCGTTGACATGAATTACTCTAATGACAGACCGCAAATCTACGTGGACACAGCCGGCGCCCAAGCTCGATCCAATGACTCCGAATACTGGAGCACCACTCCTGAATCAGCTTCTGTCCAGACGAGTCCCAGCCAAAGTCGCCGCGGGCACCACTCGAAGCATAGCGTCAGTCATGGCATCTTCCGCCCACCTAGTGGAGCAACCCCCACACGCCCCGGCCTCTACAGAGAGGACAGCTCGGAAAGCTTCGTGTCATTTGCGCCCAATGGGTCTCCAGAGGCCCTGAAGAGTCGCAGCACGAGCGTGAATGCTAGTCATGACTATCCGCTACACCAGTCGGCGCATCCACATGATCACCACGGCCACACACATCAACATCATCATCAACATGCCCACACCCCGCACAAAGAAGCCGTGGGGAAATTCGCTGCATTGCCATATCCTCTCTCGATCTTCGCTACGCTTCCGCCCCTTCCGCCGAAGCTCGCTCCTACTTTGGTATTCTCGCTTTGCCACTTCGTCCTTGGCTCAGCGCTCTGGGTAGCTGGGCAGTCGAGCGATTCGCTATCTGTGACAGGTCTGGGCTACTTGGTCGTCTTCGACTCACTTGGCATCTTCAACGAATCACTCTCAAGGTGGATTCTAGCCGCCAAATCGAGCTCAACTGCAAATACGCAGAAGATCAGCTCGGCCTACTCCATGCATCGGACTTCGACTCTGCTCAACTTTGTGCAAGTGATCTACCTGCTCTTCGCGGCCGTGTATGTCTGCAAAGAGTCCATTGAGCATGCACTTCTGGAAGGAGATGATCAGGCCGTCATCAGTCCGCTAGCCGCGACGGAAACAGCACATCTAGCAGCCGGTAGTCTGGCAGGCAGCGCTTCAGTAGTGACTGGTGGCGGTGCAGGCCACCACCAACATGAAGAGGGTCTAGAGGGTCTTGAGCTCAACCTCCCAGTCGTCAAGATCGCTCTTGCTGTTCTTGCCTGCCTGTTCTCGAACCTTGTCTTGAGTAATCACGCCAAGCTCGTTGCCGCATCTGGAATCTCTACCACAACGTCCTCGCCTGGAACGACCAGCCGACGGCATTCTCGCTCACAGTCGGTTCTCGTACAGACAGCAAACTTGACCGGCCCAGTGCTGTCTCTCCTGTCGAATCCGTACACGATGGCGGTACTCTTCTTCTCCACTACTCTGCTATTCTCAGCTCTTACCATGTCGCCATTCCAAGTCGCCGCGCTGGACAAGGTTCTCGCCGGTCTTGAATCTGTCACAATGTGGTACATTGCTCTTCCCGCAAGCCGGGTCCTAGGAAAGGTACTGCTCCAGACTGCTCCCAACATCAACAACGAAGACGAAGGAGGCAGAACCAATACCTTACAGCTCATGAAGGCCATCAAGGCCCTAGAGGACCACCCACTTGTGCACTCGACGAAGCCGCCGCACGTCTGGCAACTTACGCCTTCGACGTCAGCTGTCAATGCAGCCGCAGGGGGCGCCAAGAATTCGCTCGCTCTGTCCTCCTCCTCCTCTTCACGCACGGCAAAGTCGCCTACACTGATCGCTTCTGTGAGAGTCATCCTCCACAAGCATGCAACTGATGCTGATATCCTGAAGGTGACCAAATGGGCGTACCAGAGGTGTGCGCCTAGTGTCGGAGCAGGCATGGGAGTCAAGGTTGGCGAAGGGCTGCGAGGAACAATGCTTGCCGGAGACCTTGTGTTGGACGTGAGGAGAGAAGGAGAAGAAGCAGAGGAGACGTGCGGACATGATCATCATGGGCACGATCACCATGGACATGGTCATGACCACAGTCACGCTCACTCCGGTCACAGCCACGACCACAGTCATGCTCATGCTGGTCACGGTCATGACCACACTCATGATCACGCACGTGCTCATGCCCATGCTCATGATCATAGCCACGCCCATGATCATTATGGCCACTCTCACGAGCACGATCACTACGGGCATCATGTTGCGCTCGCGCCCCAGGCGCAGTCCCATGAGCATGATCACGATCACGACCACGACCACAAGGGACATGCGAACAGCGGCCACTCGCACGGAAGTGCTTCGGCCCACCATCATCATTCGGGGCATTCGCACTCTCATCAGGGGCATGCTTCATCCGCCCAGCAACGTATTCCAAGCGGACATCATGTTCACTAGGCGGGGTGCATTGAGGCGGATCATTGACCAGGACATTCTTCTATAGACTTCCACCCCCTTCTCGTTCGAGGCTCTTGTGCCTCCCATCAGCGTTGCATCAGCGTTGCATCAGCGTTGCATCACTTCAGATGCAATCCAGCGCGCGGATGGCTTTCCCCCGTAGATCTGTACACCTGTTCATACTTTACATTCAAACGACTCGCCGCGCCCCGCCCCGCCCCCACATCATCATCGCCTTTCTCACTACCAGCATCATCACCAGAAATCATCATCAACGAGATCGTCGACTGTTCCGTAGTGTAGCCAGCACAGAGCGTCGCTTGCCGACTGCCATGCCTCGATAGTAGGGTGGTGCCATGTCTTGCTACGAGATGCAGGGCCTCACTCAACGTGGCTTGCCGATTGAGTTGAGTGGCGTCGGGGATCTTCGCCTTGATTTCCTGCTTGCTTGCTTCTTCTCCACATGACGGGCGGGAATTGCGGGGTGGAGATGGCCGAGGGAAAAAGACAGTCGCAGCGCCCCGCCTGGCATGCCCCCCTCGCTTCCATCCCCTCGTTCCGTCAGCCGAGGCAGTTGGAGAGAAGAATTGCAGGCCTGTCAGCATGTCAGCTTCGTGCGTAGAGAGGACTTCTGCGAAAGACTATTTAGATGGGACATTTCCTTTGGCATCATCTTCTCCTCGTTTCGACTCAATCGAATCCTGACCTCTACCACTACTTCACAACATGACAGCCGTACCCTCCAACTCTGAAGCTCGCGTCGCCCTTGGAGAGGCAGCCGACCGCAAAAAGCCACCGCAGGGCCGTGTCGTTGTCACCGGCGGCAGCGGCAAGCTGGGCCGAGCAACTGTGCAGCACCTATCAGACGCAGGTTACGAGGTGATCAACTTTGACACGAGAAGGCCGCCGGGAGCTGCCGAGGATGGCAAGACGGGCCTCAATGGAGCTTATCGTCTAGTGGAGGTTGAACTGTCTGATATGGGCCAAGTGCTCGAGGCTCTCCTCGAGATTGATATGGCTTACTCTGGGGTGGACGCCATCGTTCACTTGGCTGCTATGCCTTCCCCTGGTCAGAGTGCATCGTCGAGGCAGTTCATGAACAATGTGTCGAGTACCTACAAGTGAGTAGAGGATGCAAGACGATGTGATAGTGGATCAACAGGACGCTCACATTCTTTCCCCCCCTCTGTTCTTTTGCACACAGCATCTTGGAGGCTGCTCGCAAGCTCAAGATTACAAATGTCGTCCTCGCCTCGAGTGAGACCCTGATTGGCATCCCGCTGCTGCTCCAGCAGCATCCCAAGAAGCTTCCCATCACCGAGGAGACTACACGAGCTCCGCAGAGCGCCTACTCTCTGGGTAAGCTCATGGGCGAGCACCTGGCCGACCAGTACGCCGTCTGGTGTCCCGAATCAAAGTACATGTCCCTGCGCTTCAGCAACGTCATGCTCCAGTCGGAATACGCCGGCTTCGAGGACTGGCAGAAGGACCCTTCACTGCGATACTGGAACTGTTGGGGATACATCGATGCCCGCGATGGAGCTAGTGCGATCCACGCTGCGCTGGTCAAGAAGACGACTGGACACCACCAGTATCTTGTGGCGAATAGTAATACGTGCATGAGGACAAGCAACACGGAGCTTATCAAGGCTACTTTCCCCAACACACCGTACGAGCCAGTGAACAAGGATGACCCGAATGAAACTCTGCTGTCTATCGAGAAGGCCCGACACGAACTCAACTGGACACCCAAGTACAATTGGAAGTGAGCCAGGGATACTCATGTGTATCGGCAGCTCGACGTTCATTCCATCCTGTCCAGTAGCGTCAATGTTCAATCCATCTTGTCCAGTAGCGTCAACCTTGATAGAAAATGCCGTACCAGTGTCCGCTTAGTCAGCATTGAAGCCTGCCCAGATTTCAATCTCCGCGTCTCGGCCAAAATTTGAGTGCTTCCTTCCTGTGGTGAGATTTTGCATGGGCCCACGAGCGGAGGATCCCTTGCTGCAGTACCACTCCATCTTGCTCCATCTTCATCTCCCTCCTGAGCTCCTCATCTGACTTTCCTTACGATGCTCGCCATCAAGAAGCCACGCAATGCTCGCTCCAAGCGGGCCATGGACAAGCGCCAGCCGCAACTAAATGAAGGCGTAAAGTCTGCCCTGATCGTGAACGCGAGCCACTCTTCTGCCCTCGTCTCCAAGGCGATCCACCAGCTCTCCACCCTCAAGAAACCCCATGCAATCCCTTTTACCAAGAAGAAGTCCAATGATGTGAACCCTTTCGTGGATAGTGGTAGCATCGAGTTCTGGTGCGCAAAGAACGATACACCACTGATGCTCGTGGGTGATTCAAGGAAGAAGAGGAAAGATAATTTGACGTGGATCAGGCTCTTCGATGGGAGGGTTTTGGACATGCTGGAGATGGGCATCGACAGCATGAAGGGCGTCGAGGAGTTCAAGGTGTGTAGCAGAGACGCAGCATAGTGGTGAAGTATCCGTGCGAACGACTAATATCCCTTTCATCTGCTCCTGCTGCCTTGCCTCGCGCCCATCAGCCACCCACACTCCCCGACATTGGATCTCGCCCAATTTTCCAGTTCAGCGGTCCCCAGTTCTCTGCTGATGCAGCCTCGCTGTACCCTGCCCACGCTCACCTCAAGTCTCTTCTCCTCGACTTCTACCGGGGAGAGGAGGTGCTGGAGAATGGAATTCCAACAGGCGGCAGTGTGGCCCTGCAGAACGGACTGCAATTCGTCATCAGCGTCACAGCAGGTCCCATTGACGAGCAGACCGGCGGTGCAGGTAGCTCGACAGGACAGGGTACCTCACTGGCAGATCTCTACGCAGCAGGCGCTGCCTCTTCGAGCACCAATGGCATCGGATCTTCTTCCTCTCCCTCCATCGACACCTCGGCATCGGGTGCCAAGATCTACTTCCGGACCTACTCCCTCGTAGTGCCTCCCAAGACGCCCGCCCGTGCTATCCCGAGCAGCTTCGAACTGCACGAATGCGGGCCCACCTTTGACTTCACCCTGCGCAGAAGACAAGCGGCGGATGCTACGCTGCTGTCGCACTCGCTCAAGAGGGGCAAGACACAGGCGGAGAAGAATCGACAGGGCAAGAGCGATACGTACAAGAAGAACATCGAGACGGACGAGATGGGAGACATGGTCGGTAGAATCCATGTTGGCAAGCAGGACTTGACCAATCTACAGACGAGGAAGATGAAGGGTCTCAAGGCAGGCAAGGAAGAGGATGAGGATGAGGATGACAGCGACGAGGAGCTGGAAGCCTTGTCGGAAGACGATGACGATGAGGAAGATGCGTACATGGGACTGGGTAATGACAGTGATGAGGATGAAGAAGAAGAAGACGAGGACGAAGAGCTGGAGATGGAACAGCTAGCTGCGGGCTCTGCCGATGAGGATGATGAGCCGGCCGAGTCTGCACCGAAGGGCGCAGCAAATGGTAAGAAGAGGGGACGGAAGGCTTGACTCTAGTCTCTACCAATGCACATACTGTTCCTATTCCTTGAAAACAGCCTGCGATTGTTGGGTGTAGTGTTGCTGATGGTGTCGCTCTCATCCGCGTGGCTCCCTTTCCGCCTCGCAAGCCTCCACGCACCTTCGCCCGCCTCCCGTTAAGACCATACATACTCTTCCACCATTCCCACTGTCCACCACCAGCATACCAGCATACAAAGGGATTACCCGCGTCATTCGCCCTCTTCACCACCTCCCACTTCATCTGCTCCGCCGCTCGCGATAATCAGCCCTCCCGCCCGGCCTCTTATCACAGAGTGTGTGCAACTACGGGGGATTCCACACAGTCTGTTGGATCCACCCTTGACAGTCGTCGTCGAAAGCGCCGTTTGAACTGTATTGCTTACCTCTCTCTGCATTTGCCCACTTCCTCGCTCTGCCTTGCCGGTGCCTCTCGACACTGCGTCCCTCCCTGCCTTGCCCTACCGTCTTCGACGATGTCTCGCCCGTACCGATCAGACGCTCAGCCTCCCAAGAGAGCATACCAGGGGGACTCGCGTCGTCCAGAGGACAGCTACCGCAACGGCTCTGCGAGACTACCACCCTATCCGGCGGAGAGGAAACATCTAGAGCGCCAGGGCTCGCATGACCAGTACGATGCTTTGTCAAGAGCTGATCGAGAGGCTGCGCGCCAAAAGCGAAGGCGCGGGGGCCTAGACGATGATGTTGGTCCCTCATCATCTTCTCATCGGGACAGCAGGACAGCTGACGCTGCGAGGCAGTCGAGTGTATCAGGCGAGAAAGAAAGGTCCAACGCGTCTGGTGCCAGTAGCTCTGCATCGCGTCCTCACTTCGACAATGACTCGGGACTCAACCAAACGGGTAGCCTGGAAGCCGGCAAGGACGACGCAGGCGAGTTGAGCTTCGATCTGGAAGACGAGGAAACAGAGCAGAGGCGCATTGAAGAGCAAAGGCGGCGGAGGAAGGAGCTCCTGGAAAGGTACAGAGAGCTTGACAGGGAAGACTCTCTAACCACTGGCTCTAGGCCTCAGAACGGTACCACAAAAGGAGAGGACTCTGCTCCTTCGACTGGTGAGTGACTTATGGATCGCCGGCGCAAGCGGTCATAATGGCTGACAATCCCTTTGCTTCTCTTCTCACAGCGAACACTTCCAGAGCTCGCACAAGATCGCCTTCCTACGATCCGGCCACTCCGTCCGGCAAGGATGCCGACTTCGATCTATCAAAGGAAGGGCAAAGGGAGATCGATGGCGCGCCTAATGCAGACAAAGCCGCAAAATCTGACGACGTATCAGCTGCCGACTACGATCCTGTCGTTGACCGCAAGAGGGACGAAGAGAGAGAGACTCGCCGCTTGCAGAATCCAGCAGTCTCCACATCAGAACAGGGTCTTGCAGAAGGGGTGGGCGAGCCTGCGACCAGACTGACGGCGAATCCCTTGGAACATGCCGAAGCAGAGTCAGACTTCGAAGAGGTCGAGGTAGATGACGAAGACGACGACGACGACATGTTCGCAGTCAGTTCCGAAGCCAAGAAGAAGAAGATTGTGCGAGTCAAGAAGAGCAAGACGAGTAACGGGCAAGAGGTGAGTACCGGGCTATGCAATCAGTGTCAGTAGACATTCTCGTTGAGCATAACGCTGACTTTGGGTTCTACTTGCCAGGTTGCCGCTTCGCAATTCAAAGATGCTTTGCCCTCGCACGGCGGCCTCACGGACAATTGGGATGATTCAGAAGGCTACTACCGCATTGTGCTCGGCGAGAAGATTGGACCGATGGGGCGCTTTCACGTCTTTGCGAATCTGGGCAAGGGTATGTTCAGTGAAGTTGTCCGCGCCAAGGATCTTGGGGAAGATGGCAAAGGCAGTGGAGACAAGGAGGTGGCCATCAAGATCGTAAGGAGTCAAGAGACGATGTGAGTTCAGCGAAATGAGCAACAGCTTATCACAGAGGCTGATCACGCACTATCCCGCTTCTTCAGGTACAAGGCTGGACTCAAGGAGATCGGTATCCTCAAGAAGCTCAGCAGCCTCGACCCGGAAGACAAGCGACATGTTGTCCGCCTCACCTCCCATTTTGAGCACAGAGGGCATCTTTGCATGGTTTTTGAATCGCTGAGGTACGTTAGAAGAGCGAGTTTGCGGACGTAGATCTCTCTGCCGGCCAAGTGCTGACCTCTTTCCCTCCCATGTCTGTAGTATGAACCTGAGAGAGGTCGTCAAGCGCTTCGGAAAGGATGTCGGACTGAATTTGCGGGCTGTACGCGCATACGCTCATCAAATGTTCCTCTCGCTAGCACTGATGAAGAAGGCTGAAGTCATGCATGCAGACATCAAGCCAGACAACATCCTCGTCAACGAAGCCAAGACGATGCTCAAGATCTGCGATCTGGGATCCGCATCGGATCTGACCGAGATGGAGATCACGCCATATCTGGTCTCGCGCTTCTACCGAGCGCCCGAGATCATCTTGGGCCAGCCATATGACTGCTCATTGGATATGTGGTCTATCGGTTGCACGCTCTACGAGCTCTACACCGGCAAGATCCTCTTTCCTGGTCGCAGTAACAATCAAATGTTGCTCTTGATGCAGGAGTTGAAGGGAAGGCTCACCACACGCCAGATCAAAAAGGGCAAATTCAGTAGCCAGCACTTTGACGAGTCGAATGCTTTCCTCAGTCGAGAGATGGACAAGAATACTGGCAGCGTGAGTAATGGTAGCATATGATTGTGTCTAGATCGCAAGGCTAATCTAGTGCTTTCTTCTACAGGAGACCGTTCGCAAAGTCGTGCTGTCGACGAGCCCAAACAACGACCTTCGGTCCCGTCTTCTGTCGTCTTCCGTTGTCAGAGGTCTCACTGAGGACGAGCTTCGGCTGACGCAGCACTTTGTCGATCTCCTCGGCAAGACGCTGGAGCTGGATCCAGCCCGGAGGATCACGCCCAACGAAGCACTGAAGCATCCTTTCCTGAATTGAACGGACGTTGTTCCGATGCATCTTGAGATACACTGGCAGTATGATGAACAACCTTCTTCTTCTTCCACCCTTGTGCTGGTATCATCTGTGAGAGTATTCTATTGACATTGGAAGCCGAGGAAGATGCCTTGGCTCCTCTGTTGTGTGGAGTGGAGCGGATTTCGAATTTCCTTTCCGCCTTGCGCTTTTTCGAAGGAAGGTCACTTCTTCTTGTGTGTTTCCGGTTGCGCCCTGAGTCGGTGGCCTGACCTCCTATCCATCCCACCTGGTTGTGTACACCGCAAGCATAAGAGGGATGTTGCAAAGAGGAGTGGCATCGACGCTGCGGCGTATGGCTGTAGCAGCAGCGGCCAGCCCCTCTGCGCCATCCACGGCAGCACAGGCTTCATCTTCGAGATATCCACTCCCTGCGTATCACACTCCCTTTCACTCTCCCGCATCGCACTACGCCTACTCCTCTGCCGCTTCATCTTCCTCCTCGTCTGCTACTCAGAGTGTAGCGGATGTGCAAGACTCCTCAACACCTTCCGAGGTAGCCGAGCCAGATTCCTCGTCGGGCGTCAAGAAGCCCAAGAAGCGTCGTGGACCCATCAGCCGTGCGCGAGCTGAGACCATTGCCGCTCGGCAAGAAGCGGCCGCAAAGGCTGCAATCCAGCAAGAGACAGAAGCACGGCGCCAAAAGATCATCGATGCCACACCTGCCCCACCCTACAAGCTGCGGGTTAGTGCAAGGGCCAGCGGCCCCCCAGATAAACCTATGCACGCCAGGCCGGCCGAAGAACGGCAAAGCGTCTTGCCCGAGCACTACTGGTCTCACTTGCCTGACCCGGCTGTGTGGCACCGGTCTACGCTCAACAAAGACAGGCCTGGTTTCTTGGGGAGACACAGGTACTTTCTCTCCAATCGGAAGAGCGTCAAGGAGCTCGTAGACTCCATTGGCTTGGAGGATATCTCGCAGCAAAACGGCGGAGAAAAGGTCACCGTGGTGGAGGCATTTGCAGGGGCTGGAACGATTACCTCGGAGCTTCTCAAGCGCAAGGAAGTGGGTACGGTGGTTGCTCTGGAGCAGGAGACCTCCTATCTGCCATGGCTCGAGGAGCTCGCGAAGGACCCGACCGTTGCAGATGCAGATGGGGTCGGAGCCAAGGACAAGTTGAAGGTGCTAGATCGGACTGGCTTCAATTGGGTGACGTACGAGATGATGGATGAGCAAGGCATGCTGTCCCATCTCAAACCGATAGATCAAAAGACCACTCATGAGGCTATCAGCCCAGCCCCGCTAGTGTTCATTGCACAATTGCCCAACAGCGTCCACGGGGACCAGCTTCTGGCTCAGCTGGCAGCAGCTGCATCTGTCGGCCAGTGGCTCTTTCAGTACGGCAAAGTGAAGCTGGTGTTCATCTGCCCCGAGGTTGTGACTAAGGTGAGTTGGATCTGTCGAGTCTGTTAGTACATCGTAGGGTCCTCGAGCTGACAACGTTTTGCCCCAACCACATCTGCAGCGCTTCCTTGCAACTGCGGGAGACATGTCTCGTTCTCGTCTCGGGACAGTGGTGTCAATCCTTCACGAAGCCAAAGTTTTGCTCTCTCACGAAGCTCACTTTCTACCTCAGCCAAACCACGTCTTTCCTCCGAACCTTGGTCCTGGAAAGAGAACGCTAGCAGTGACTGCTATACCGAACGAACAGTATGGGAGTGCTCAGCCCTTTGCAGACCTGTGTGCTTTTGAGCTTGTGCCGCGGGATACGCGCATTCTAGCTTGGAGAAAGGCTAGAGGCATCAAAGAGGATGCAGAGGACATTGCAGCAGCTCGACTCTCACAAGACGTGCCGGGTCTAATGGGTGACGAGTACGAGTCCCTCGAATATCTACTGCGCAATCTTTTCGTGTCTCGCACGCGAGACCTCCAGTCCACCCTGGAGAAGACCTACCCCGGCTCATCGTCCATCCTCAAGAAACTCACTCCCGAGGCTGTAGAGGCGGCTGCGGCTCGCAATGGCTCCAAGCTAGTCCCGGTAGCCGGTGAAATGCGCGTCAATGATCTGACCAATGATCAATGGGTCTCTCTTGCCCAGATCTTCGAGCGATGGCCCTTCAGACCACCTCACCTCTTCGAGCGAGCGAATCAAGGAGCAGTCCTCACAGAGAGGGAAAAATTCAAATATAAATCAAAGGCCAAGGTGGACACTGCTGCGACTATGGGTCTAGAAGACGACGAAGCGGAGTAGGGAAATTTCGAGACATTCCCGAAGCGAATGGGTCTTCGATGGCCATTTGCCTGAAGAGCCTTCCGCCTGAAGAGCTTGGTCATCTGCAGCTATGGGGTATGCTCTGGGCCGAATAGAGAAGGATTGAGATATCTGCAGACAGGCAAACGCCACGGTCAGACCTAGGACGCCTCGTAAAGTCTTCGCCCGATGGTACGTCATTCACTCACATAGACAGTTCGAAGCTTCCGTCGTCCTTTCGGCCCAAGCAGAGGTAGGTCTGACGTCCTTTGCTGCTGTCAAGCGGGGCTCCTGGATAGCAGTCCTCAAGCAATTTCGGATATAGACTAGCACTAGATGTCGTCTCATCTCCGGAAAAGGAGTGGACCAAATTGACCACCGCTCGAGAGATGCTCAGGTCGTCTCTACACCAGTGGCGGACCGGTATGTAGAGCTTGGCGGTCGGTAGCTCTGCACCCTGAACGAAGCTATAGTAGATGAGACAGTCTGTTGTCGTTGTCTCGCGTTCCCCTGACGCCGGAGCTGGAGAATTCTCATAGGGGTCCGTCTTCATCAGGGCTACCCAACATCGACGGAGCGGCTCGATCCAAGGCAGACGACAGGTGCGACCGCCGAGGGACAAATGGCGCAGAATCTGGGGGGAAAGAGGCAGGAGAGGGTGTTAGACTCTAGACTACAATATCATCAGCATCTGTACCATCGCAATTGATATATCCCACCTCTTCAAACGATGACGTCGGAAATCTGAAGTAGATTCTGTGCGCAGACAGGTCAAGGAAGCGAGATTAGTCCTTCGTGATTGTAAATGATCAGCATAATCTGACCTGCACGAGACACTGACTTGAGTCGTGCTGCGTGAAGTTGCGTAATTGCATCTGTACTTAGGATGATTGCTTCCGGCCGTGCAGGCTCTGGTAGTCCCTCGTCCCTGCCATATGCTTCGCCTGTCACGTATTGATGTATGACATCCAGTGCTCGGCAGTCAAGACCATTGTCGATCACTGCGCGGTAGATGATGTCAAATGAACTGCATTGTGATAGACGGCTACGCAGTAAAGGCACCAGATAGCCCTTGACCATGATGTCGCCGCTGTATAGCAAGTCGAAGCCAAAGAAGATCTGGGACCTGGTGACTGAGCACGATGTTATTGCGGATGCTTCGCTCTCCGACAGGCATCGTATCGTCGTAGAGGCCATGAGCTTCTTGAAGAGGGTAAAGTCGGCAAGTCGCTTGCTCTCCAGAGTGGACATCAAGCGCATCGAAGCGGCCATGTTCAGACCTAGTGATCTCGCCATCTCATCTTTGTTGCTGATGGCCTCTATCGAGAAGCGGACACAGGGCTTGCCTTTGCCCCACAAGATGCTTAATTCTATAGGAGAATAATCTGCTGTGGCAAGGGTCAAGGTGCACTGGTCACTGCAATAGTCGTCGTCGGGAAGCGTCTCCGCACGTCTAGCTTCTCACCATCACACATGAACGATTCGAAGACTGGAACGATCCTTCCTTCGGAGGCGAGGGAGGGAGGCGCGCCCATTGCAGGCGAGATGACTTGATTCACGAAAGTACAAAGCTTGGCGTGTACATCTGTAGAGTAGCCTGCAAAGCGCAAGAGGCGCGAAAGTGATCCTATGATGACGTGACTCCAATACCCGTCCGTATCCGGTCGGTGAACGACCTCCTGCGATTGATCCCTTTGTGGTGCCATAATACCAGCACACGTGGCGGGTAAAGGACGATCAAGGTTGGTGAGGTCACTGACGATCAAGGACGTGAGCAGACGAAGTATGTTCGCGGTCATGATGTCAGTGTCAGGCTATTGCGAAAGCGATGGCAGGGTCACAGGGAAAGAGAGGCAACGCAAGGATAAAGAAAGGGCTGGGAATCGTCGGCCTCCGGCATTTGCTGCGGCTCCCCGACAAATTCCCATACTCCAGATTTCAGGCCCCGAGACAAACGGTCACAAGGCAACGTGGCCCAGGCTACCTCTCCGGCGTTGCACAGGCATTTTGCCCGCGCAAGGGCAAAGTAGCAATTCAAGTGTATCTCCGCTACCCGCTTCACGACTCATTAGCATGATCAGTGAGTCGATGACGGCGACATCGTAGCAATCACGTGCCCGTCTCACAGACTGTGCAGAGGATGGCTCTACCGCTTCGCATTTGCCTACTGCTCGTACTATCGGGCTCTATATAAGATGACGATTATTGTGGCAAACAGCCTTCAGTTGATTCGTCTAGCGGTGACTGCATATCTGTTGTGTTCGAAATTGATAGGAAGCGTGCTCAGCAGGCTGATGCTCCCAGCGACTGTGAACAGTCTTTGGCTCACGTACTCACCTGATGCCACCAGAAAGGCTTTTGTCATCCCAGCTCGGTACGACAGCGTGCTCGAAACACTCTTGCAGCGCGGCTCCCTCTTGGACAACGATAGTGCCATGTCGCAACGGAACGGACATCATCGTTCGATCATGAAATGGGATCGAGAGGCCCTCGATCGCACTGGACTGACCCTGTCGGTAAGCTCGGCTCGGGGTCTGACAAAAGAGACTGGCGCGCTGCAAGGTCTCCTTTGCTGGCACTTCCACAGCAGTAACTGTCACAAAGCGACGCTTGAGGCGAAAGACCATCTGGGCAGGCACACCTCCTAAAGACAGGGACGACACGATGGGTCCAAGACCAGGCTCACCTGCAAGTAGAGTTTGCAGTGTACTGCGTCAGACATATGAGAAGGTTACGGCACATCCAATGCTTACCGTCATCGTGAAAATCTGCAAGAGTCGATGGAGTCGATCTTATTAGTACGTATCCCTGGTAGGGCTCCGCGACGATATCACTCACTCATCTTCATCCCTTGTTCGTAAGCGCATGGATAGAGCTCGTTGAAAGGCTTCTCGAGCCTGGCAACGAGGGCCGTTCTCTCCGTCAAAATTTCTCCGGCTTGAGCCACACAGGTCGGCGCTGCATCTAAAGGTACCGTTTCCGTAGCCGTCGAATGCTTGTACTGCTCACCTACGTTTTGGGTATACATTTGAGTCAGGAGTCTTGCTTTGGCTCCACTTGCACATGAGCGGTGCATGCTCAGCTCGTGGCGACGCAATTTCAAACGCCCCTCCCAGAGTGCGTCGAGCTCACATGACTTCAAGCGCTTTTGCATCCCTCGCTTCCGTGACAGCACAGGCTGCTGAAACGCCGAGAAGATATCGTTCGACGCTTGATCTGACGTAGTCGCATCGCAGTGCTGGATGGTGTGGATTCGAGCTCCAAGATAGGGTTCAGGTAGAATCCACGAGACGATCTCTAATGGGCCCTCCCTCCGACGTGAGACCCTGACATCGAAGCGCGGATTTACAAAAGCGTCGTGTAGTAGACCACTCTTCAAATTCACGTTTGATATGAGCTGAGGTGGTATGCTTGGGGGCGACACAGTGAAAGCGCAGTGCGAGCATCGTTCGAGGGCGAGATATTCTCGACACGACAGTCGATGGCAAAGAGGGCAGAACATCCCTGCGGCAAAGTTAAGGGAAGTAGAGGCGCAAAACATGAGCACAGAAGTACACAAGGGTGGCTGAGAAGGCGATACATACCTTTGACAGAGCGTTCACGTTGTGGCTGACCGAGTGCTTCGGTGGTTCCAGCGGTACTGGCGACCGGTTGCACTGGAAAGGGAATCTGGTATAGCTCAGCTTCTACTTTTGGCGGACGTAAGAAATGCTGTGCGAATCGTAGAGACGTCGGTATCAAGGGAAGCTGCCAAAAGCCTCTGGAGCATTCTGGCACGAGACATGTCCATCCAGCGTTGTACACTTGAGGACTCGATAGCTTGCAGTGCGGGCACGTCTGGGCAGCGTCTTGCCCCTTCAGCCTCCTCTCACGCAAAACACATGAAGTCTGAATAGTCTTCTCTTGGCCTTGCTTGAACAGCGGCTGCGTCCTTTGAGGGTCACGCGGGAAGCAATGTTCAGTACGACTGACACCGACAGGCAATGTACTCATTGATACATGCTCACCTCTGCAGATCCCGCTGTAACAACCTCTGCTGTGCTTGGCCGCCAGGCTTTTGTGGCCGATCAAGAAGAACATTCGCGCTGCTAAGCTCATTGTCGTATTCTAGAGCCTCTGCGGCGCGAAGCTTCCTCTTCAGGTCTTTGAGAATATGACGCTGGGGTACCTCTACCCGTGCTCGAGGATTCCAACATTCCTGCTCAACATCGTTCTCCTCTGAATGCGAAGCTTCGATCTCTGGAAGCCACCATGGCTGTCCCTGGCTTTCCACCCACTGCAATCGCACCTTCCACCGGACCATGTCGTTCGACTCCTTCTCAGCCCAGCATGCAGTCACTGCATACCAGCCGAGAACAGCAAAGGCACAATTGAGGTTGAAGTCGATGTGAGGGTAATTCTCCCCTATGATGAGTATCAAAGGTGTCGAATTGGTATAGCTGGACAAGAGAGCTGCGACCCGAGGGTCATGCCTAGATTGCGAAGATGCTAGCTGCGTATGCTGTGCGGCCTCCTCATGAACACGTTCTTCGGGATTGCCTAGAGAGCCGAGGTCGCCTGGAGTACGTTCTGCTTCGGCATGACCGCCGCTGTATAGGACGACAATATTCGCATCTGTTTTCAGTCCGTCTTCCCTCGCAACCAGTGTCCGCTCTCTGGTCCACACATCCCACACTCACCCATGTGAGACTATGACCCTACCGCCCGCCGCCCAAGCGTCCCTCGCACTTCCAAAGCCTCCCAATAGATAGCCATAAGACGTCTGGTCTGACGTCACTGGACCATCCCCATATGCATGAACACAGTCTGCTGCGCTTTTGCGAAGCTCGGCATGACCGCATAGAGGCCCTACCGTGTAGGAACCTGACTGATAAGCACGATAACTGCAGAGGAGTTGAGAATCGAGGGTTTCCATCAGCAAGCAAGCTCGCAGCTGCTGTCACGCTGGACAGCCTGTGTCTGATTGCAGACTGACTACGGCAATGACTCAGCTAGCTCTTGGCGCGTCTCTATCAGGGCGAAGGTGATGATGGGAGGAGATGCATTGGCCGCGTCAGGAACTGCATTTCAGGCTGGCATGGCACTGCGTCCATCGCGACTGACCAGCCCAGACCGGAGGTGCCTTTGCAGGCCCTGGCCTCCTGAGGCGAGCGGACGAGTCTGGCATATGGATCAGTCGTCAAGAGGGGACGATGAGCGTCATTGTTTCAAAGTAAAGCAAAGCGAGAGGTGTGAATCCAGGCAAAGGTAGCGTCCCCCTCTTCTCCTTCTGCACCTTGCAACCGGAAAGGCAACCCCTCCACACAGATTTCCACTCCGCCCAACGAGAACGCGAATTCAGGCGCCCATCACAGCAGTTGGGAGCTCCCCCCTTCGGTACAATGGTCTTACAGAACAAGTACAAGGCAAGAGCATCCAGACGCTACCAAGCTCAAAGGGGAGGAGGCTCTGCACCGCAAGGCACCAGGGGCAGAGGCGGCCGAAGCGCTGGACCGTCGCATCAAGCCGCGCATCCGGACGCAGCGGATTACGAGGAGCATACCAGCGGCGATGAGGCCAGTGACGACGAAGACGACGAAGGCGGTGTCGGCCATGTCAGCGTGCTCTACGGAGCTCAAGGAGAAACCGGGAGTCCAAAAAGCGGTGCTTTGTCTTCCATCGCTGGAGCCGGGGAGCCAAAGCAGCCGAGAGGTGCTGAAGGGTCACAGCGCAGCAAGTACGCGAAGCGCAAGCTCGAAAGCAATGCTTGGAGGTTTGAGCGGTCAGATGGCGAAGAGGGGGCAGAAGGTGAGATCGCCAGTTCTAAATTCCGGCTGCTTGTTCACAATCAAGCAGATCCCATCAGCGATCCTGTTCACTGACACTTTGGCGCCCTTGCAGATGCATCACCAGAGCCAGAGGTCGATCTGACGGCTGTCTTCGAAAAAGCTAGAATCGCACATCAGGCAGGTAAAGACGGCTCAGAGACGCTAGGCACGAATTCCACAGATGATCTGGAGGACGTCGATCACAGTCTTGCTTATCTTCATGAGAGAGCCTCGACTAGGACACGAGGAACGTCTAGCAGAGTCTCTTTGCCCTCCAGCTCTTCGAAGTCTCGCATGGAGCACATCTCATCATCACGCGAGGGATATGAAGAAGCACAGAGAGCCAACCGACAGGCAAAGGAGCGGAGTGATGCGAAAATGAAGATATGGGGAAAGCTGCAAGACGATTTGAAAGCCAATACCCGAAATGACAGAGGCGGAGGTACGGACGGGCGGAGTGTAGGGGCGCCTGGAGCAGTCCAAGCAAGAAGCAACGACAAGGCAAACATCAAGGCTCTGGATGGGGAAGATTTCCTGGACTCGGTATTGAGCTAAGAAGGAATCCATCGTAGATCCCGTGCTGCTTGTAGCAAGTGGACTGAGCAGGAACCAGGCACACTTCGGCCCATTGCCATTCGCCTCTCTGTATATCTGCCGGCCTGTCATTGCTTGCGGCTCGAAAGCGTTCATATCCGCATTTTCCGACCATACCGGCCAATGTCCGGGCACAACAGGGGCCCTAGCAATGCCAATTCCTTTGACAAGGGTGCTCAGGCACAAATACATGCACACTTCGCTCAGTCGCGGAAGCTTATTAAGCTGAGCGACTCAGCACCGGACTCGACGTTCTATTCATCAATGTTGAGCTCTTTCTTACAGTCGTGTACAGGAGCGGGACGAACATGGGTTTCCCTTCTATGCTACATCAAACACGCTGCCCATACAAGCTTACCAGTCTCACATAGCCACTCATCCTGTCCATACATTCCCAACATCACTACCTGGAGCGAGTCCTGAAACAACATGCCGCCCGGCGTATCTTTTGCCTTATGTCCTGACGACAACAAGCTGCATATCATCAGCAGCTGCCGAGACCTTGACTTCACCTTTGCTTTTGAAGAGGGGTGAGTTCCACGAGCTGGACAGATGAAACGTCAGATGACTGTGCTTGACCTCGCTCCCTTCCGCTGCTCAGATTTCTTGTGCTCGGCCTCTCTTTGGTGGCAATTCTGAGCTGTGGGGCAACTCTCTGTCGAAGCGTGCTGGGACGCTTTCTCGCACCAGATGGATCAGGGTCTGAGAAGCAGCACAAGATTGCGCGTGAAGATATTCGGTCGTTCAACGCCCTGTACATCTTCGAGAGAGCCGTCTGGCTCATCTCCCTCTCTCTGTCTATCGCAAGGCTTGCTGTGATACCTTCCCCAGCCGTACGCTCAGTGCTTGAGCACTGGCCGCACCGGTTGGTTGTAACTTCTAGAGTCACCGTGGTCTGTGCACTAGTGAGTTCTTGCACTGCACCACCTCTTCGATCCGCAGCTGAACATCTTTTCGAACTCTGTGCGTGTACCAGCTCATCTTTTTGCCGACCGCATACTTGCTACATCGATTCAATCGTCGTCCTCGCACACGATTACAGCTTTCGTGCTTGTGCCTCCTGGTTGGCCAGGTCTTCTCTTCGCGGACGATGCACAGAGCCTCTCTCCAGCCGCTTTTACGCACAGACATGTTCCTTCAATTGGCTTTCATCGCCTCGGTGTCAGTCTTGCTTGCCTTTGAAGTCCTTATACCTCTAACACAAATGCCACAGGGGCAGACCAAGGTAGGTGGCCTTTGCCTTGTGTGCCATCGCAATGGCATGAAATTGCGCCTGTCTGCTCACTTAAGTCCTCCTCGTCGTCCCTATACTGCACAGACAAACGTCGAAAAGCACGTTGGGATTTTTGGCCGCGCCACCCTCTTCTGGCTTTTCCCTTTGCTTTGGCAAGGTAGACATGCCTCGTTGAAGCTCGAGGACCTTTGGCCGGTGGCACCGGAGATGTCGGCACGACCGGCATCCGAAGCTCTGCAAGTGCAATTGGATCGCCTGAAGTCGGCAAATTGGAAGAGATCATTCCGAGGTGCACGCCTACTGCTGGCGTTGTTCAGGGCGTTCCCCTTTCTATTCCTGGCTCCGATCGTGCCTCGTCTACTTCAGCTCATGTGCACACTCATGCAGCCCTTGATCATCTCCGCATTGATCAGCGCTATCAGTCCTTCGACGCAAGACGCAAACTCGACTCAAGCGGAATTGGATCCTTTCCGGGCCTGGAGCCTTGTTGCGGTGGTCCCAATCGTCTACTTGGGTATGCCGTTATTTCAGAGCATCTGTAGCTACCACCTGTCAATGCTTGACGTCACCTTCAGGAGTGCCGTTATCAGCTGCGTCTTTCGAAGGATGATATCAAAGGAGAACGAGCTTGACGGCCCACGGAAGGCTGCCCAAGACCAAGATGCTCAGGGCAGAAATCACACATCAGAGGAAGCGGGATCCGACACTGCCAGCAACGCCTTGGAGACTTCGAATCCTGCAACGGCCGATCCTACTGTACTAATGTCTGTTGACGTGGAGCACATCGCCAGTAGCATGACCTTCTATAGCATGTACGAGCTCTTAAGTATAGGCCCATGTGCTGTGATTGGAATTTGGATGCTGTTTTCTCGTGTCGGAGTGGCTGCTTTTGCGGCTGTTGGCACATTGGTACTGTTCGTAGGGATGGGGTCTACACTGAGTGGTAGGGTCGGTGCACGACAGGCAGCTTGGCTACAAGCTACCACCTCTAGAGTGCTGTTTACCGTGAGTTTCCAGGGCTTTGCGAATCCCTGCAAGACGCTGACTATTCGGTACATCTGCAGTCCTCTCTTGTTGCCAACCTCCGAACGATCTTCGCTTCGTCGTACCAGCCGTACTTTCTCGACTATTCCCAAAGGCTTCGGAAAACAGAGATGAACAGTGTTAAACGCTATCAGACGACCTTGGCCATCGTGGCAGCTCCGTTCGGAGCCGCCCTGATGGCCTCCATTGTTGTCTTACTGGCCGTCACAAGAGCTCTCGAGGCAGAATCTCAAAGCAAGCTCACACCCGCCGTCATTTTTTCATCGATCAGTATTCTGAATATCCTGAATTTGCCATTGCAAATTCTCTCTTCGTTGCTGAGCTCTTTTCTCGGTGCTCTCGCCAGTTTTGATCGGCTCGAGCTATACCTCCTCCGCAAGCCGGTTGAATCGCGCTGCGAGGACGCGGTAGAGGTTGTTTTGGAGAACCACACTCAAGCCATCCTTGCTGAAGTGCTGCGGAAGCTTCGGACAGCTGAGGAGCAACAGACCTCGGAGGTACTCCATCTCATCGGACCAGGTGCCACCGGAAAGACGACGCTTATTAAGCGTCTCTTGCGCTCTATCGGAGAGAACAGCGACCTGAGTGTCGCATATGGCCCTCAGACTGTCGCGCTCTTTGAGGAGCGTTCCATACTAGACAATATCACACTATTCCAGACGCCCGAAGCCAAGCTTAGCTCTGGTTACGGAGTCGAAAAGGATGACGAAAAGACGCAACAATCCGAGTCAAAATCTCTACAACACCAGGTCGCGGCGGTGTCCAAGGTTCTGAGATTTTGCGGCCTCGATCGGGACCTGATGGCTCTCGAGAGCGGAGTCTCGACCCTGGTCAGGGACTTGAGTGGCGGTCAGAGACAACGTATCGCTCTCGCTCGTGCACTGTATTCCAAGGCACCGATCATCGTGTTGGACAATCCTTTGTCAGCTCTGGATGCGATCACCAAAGACATGATCGAGGGACACTTGTATGGCTACGGCACCTTTGACGATAAGGAAATCCTACACGGCAGGGTGATACTGTGGGCTTCTCAGGAGCGGAGTACCTGGGACGTTCCCTCTTCGACACTCTTGAGCAGTCGAGAGGCTTCCGATTTTCGCCTTGCCAAAGCGGCTGAGGATGGAAATGCGCACCCACGAGATGTGGAGGCTGTTGTCAGCTCAACAGACGCTGTAGAACACAAAGCGGACACCGGACTGGTGATCGACACAAGCAAGGCCCTGCTCGAACATGCTCTTACGGCGAGTTGCGAAACGAAGGAAGCTGCAATTGAGGAGCATCCCAGCCATTTGGGCTTGGCGCCCTTCCGCTTCTACTTCAAAAATTCTCCTTCTTCCTGGATCATCACTGCTGTCATCTTCCTGCTCGTAGTAGTTGGCGCCAGTAACGGAGTACAATACGCCGTACAAGCATGGGCTCACTATGCAAGTCGTCGCACCGGTGAAGCCCTACCGAATCCGGTGTCTTGGCTGACACTTCTTTCTGTGCTGGCAGTGCTGGTACCGCTCGCTTTGATACTGATGTGCATGGCATTTAGCGTCAAAGCGGTGCCACAGACCGGCTTTCAGATACATGAGCAGGCAATCGCGTCCCTGCTCGCCACCTCGCCCTACAATGCGCTGCTCCCTGCCTGCCTGAAAGCTCGGTTCAGTCAGGATATCTACATCGTGGATGCAGCTTTTGCAGACCAGATCCTGAATGCCGCGCTCTCAGCTGCCTTGTTCACTGCGGCTGCCCTCACAATGATAGTCGCAGTACCTTGGATGGCACTTTCGATTCCACTATTCGCCGCGGAGCTCTGGATTGTCAAACATCTCTATCTAGTGAGTGACAGCAGGGCACTCGCCACAATGAGCAGGGGTGCCTACGAATCGCTGACACGAGCACGATCTTCTCCAATCCTCAGCGGAGCTCGAGGCAGGTCCGAGGCATGGAGCTCGAATCAAAGTCGAATTTGTTTGCTGTATTCTCACAGGTCAGCACTTGCCTCCCCTCCCTCCGATCTTTGCGTCTTTTGGAGGCATGTAAGGAGCATTGCGACACCGTTCTGGACAACGCTCAAAGACCGTTCTATACTCGAGAAGCGATGCTGAGATTGCTGCGAGTCGTCTTTGCTTTGGTGGCAGGACTTGTCACTTCTGTCCTGGCGCTACTGGCGGTGGCACTGAGCCGCAGGGTCAACCCGGCGCTGCTCGGTGTTGCCCTGGTCAATATCAGCAGCTTGAGCTGGTATCTCAATGCGACCCTTCAAGGTGTGGCGCAGATAGAAACAGACGCCGTCGCCGTCGACAGGATCCGACAAATCGTGTCTTTGCCGGCAGAAGAAGAGGTGACTCATGCAACAGGATCAGCTCAAGACCTCGTCTGGAGATCGCCAGGGTCGCTCGCGCCACCTTTCATACTGGATTCTGTGAATCTCAGCATGCGGTACAGGTGAGTCGAGGAGACAATGCACAGCGCATCCTGCCCTGACGACCGACTGACCCAGACACGCTCTGTCTACCATAGCCCCGGATCCCCCAATATCATCAAGGACATATGCGTAAAGATCCGTCAGGGCGCTCGAGTCGGTATCTGTGGACGATCAGGATCCGGCAAGTCCTCTTTCCTAGCTGCTCTTTTGAGAGGAGTCACAGACTCCCTCTTGGAGGGCTCTCTATCGCTGCAAGGCGCATCTCGCGAGTCTGTGGGCCTCCACCGCTGGAGGAAAAGATTTTCCTACGTCACTCAAGAGCCACTCATCTGGGAGACTTCACTACGGGAACTCCTCTTCGTTCGTACTGGTGCCACAAGCCACACAGAAGAGAGACGCGCCTGGAAAGCGCTCGATGCAGTCGGACTGGGAGATCTTGTGCGCCCATCTCCTCACGGTCTCGATGTCAAGGTAATTCCTCCTGGCAGCACCGAGGCCGCAGGATGTCTCGCGCTGTCGACATCGCAGTCTCATCTCGTTGCGTTCGCCAGGACCCTGGTAGAAGTTGATCGACCTCTCCTCCTCCTCGATGAGCTCTCCTCCAACCTGGATGAGGCCGCGGAAAAGCGATGCCTTGATGTCATTCTGCGAGGAGACCTTCTCCAGGAGCGAACGATTCTTGCGGTCTCTCACCGTATCTGTGAGTCAGGACAGAATTGAATCAGCAAGAGAAAGCATGCCTACTGATAAACCCTGCTCGCATCGATGACACAGCCTTCATCGCTTCCTTCGACCACATACTGCTCTTCGATGATGGGCAGATAGTCGAAGCAGGATCTCCGGCTGAGCTTCTCGCCAGCAACACCATCTTCAAGAGACTATGGGAGCTTCAGGGTTGCCAGTCCGTGTGCTCAACGCGGAAAGACGAAGGGTGGTTTCCGTGCCGAGTAGAACCATTGTGAAAGACGTTTTCGCTTCTTGTGCGCCTTCATACAGCATTTTTTCCACGCTCTTGAAGAATCCGAGCCCCTGTGCCAGGAAGTGGCTGATAACGTATCATGTCGACTCTTGGAGGCCGGGCAGCTTCCAAGAGAGAGTTCTGCCCAGGAACACCTGTCGGCCGCATGACACAGCGACAAGAACGGAGGAGAGTAGCGCTTCCGAAATGCTGATCATCCGTAAAGCTGAAGCATGACGATACAAAGTCGCCCTGCAGATCGAGTGATGTGAGAACACCCGAGTCCCACTTCTCTGTCGTAAAGCTTGACCCTTGCGGGGGACCGCTTTGATCAGCGTTGCCGTCTACGATCTGATGGTCTGCGTGGGCAGCTGTACCGCCTCGACCTTTCGCAGAGTGAACTCTGACCTGGCATTTTGGGCTGGACTGTCTTTTTCCTGTTCGAGCATACCTGTTGCAGCCCCACTTGAGCTCGGTGTGGAACCATAAGAGATACAATCGCACGCCTTGACAGTGTTGCAGCTACTGCTTTCGGAAGCAGATTTTGAGAAGGTAGAGTGGTAACAGTTGCAATCAGAACAGCTCTTAACTAGCTTTCCGACAAGGACTGCGGCCAGTGCCTAGGATGGAAATCTGTTACGAATTCTGACAGTAGGCACAAAGGTCAGAGACTCCTCTACCTTCTGGCTGGACGGTACATTCAAATACGTTTTGCTTCCACGCGTTGTCAGCAGCTTGTGCCGCTGCTCAGAAGAGATCCCTGCTGCCAGTTCTGTCCGGGCTTGCGAGGCGGTCTGTCAAAGCGACTTGTCATGCTCCAAGATTGGGCAACATCTGCTTACAGTGGAATGGTCACCCGCCCACCCGATCAATCGTCTGCAGCAGAGACCCGTTACAGTACTTATTAGAAGGCCGCCCCTGCCCCTATCCCGATCCGGTCTGGATAAGAAATGTTCGCCTTGACCGAGACTGTGTCTGACGCACCATCTGAGAGAATGTTGACTCGTCTCGACTCCGCTGAAACTTGCGTACAGTGCCTTGTGCAAGAGCATGTGACCTTGCAGATAGCACAAATGCATACAGTACGATATTACCACTGAATGCAACGATGCTCACTGAACTTTGCAGGGCACCTCTGGATGACTCAGGTAGATCTTTGACGCATTCGAGATAGCTTGATACTGACTGCAAATCAAGCTTGAGAGCAATCCGCTTGTTTTTTTCGTACATAACCGCATTTTTAGCCAGCTGCAGCAATTTAGCCCAGATCTTGAGCAGGACAAAAAACTTTTGGCAGCAGGCACGCTCAACGCTGGCAGCCAGGCGCGGCTGTAGTGTCATGCCTTTGTTAAAGCGTGGCTTGACTTTGAGCTCAGACGGCCACATTTTGAGGAGAGTCAGCCAAGCTTTGCAACAGCCCGCCAAGCTGGATCCCTTTTGGCTAGAGTTGATTGACGAGAGGAGTGGTCTCATTGAGGTCAAACACGGCAGCAATGTTTTGGAGATCACACAGAATGTAGAGATTGTATTGCTGTTCTGGCCGAAGAAAGAAATGAGACCGATGCAAAATGATGGCAGGAGTAGGTGTCAACCTGCGCTCTCGAATTCTGTATGCACAACTCGGGTACAGTAGTATATTGTGAAAAGAATAGAGTGTGGGATGCGACTGTCAGTGTAATACTGAAAGTCGGCAATCACGCCAATGTTCACTTTGCCTGTGCTGTACGAATTCGATTCCATGCAGTAGACTTTACCGTAGAAGATGGCAACGATGTTTGCTATTGTTGCATTACCCAGGAAAGACCTTGATTCTGTCTAGTATCTCGGCTCTCCATGACCGGTGAGAAATGATCTAAGCTGCAGCCGCATACTGTACAGTGCTGTACACTATGTCATTACGACCTTGAGATGTGACGCAAGGTCTATGATCCAAAAGTCACTCCGTAGCGAAGACGTCTTCTGGTACAAGGCGCATGTTTTTCTTTGTCTTTCTTTTCAAGCTCCAACTAGTCCCTCGCCGCAAGATAGCATCTGCAGTCACTTGACTCTGCATTCACCGACCCACTCTTTCTGAGTCAATGATGCAGCACTGTACCGCAGGTCCAGATGGGAATCTTCGCAGCCGATCGTGTTATGCAGTACAAAACAGCGCATCTCTAGTTACTGTACAGTAGAATCAGTAGCAACAGTGTGTGCAGCCCATCGTGTGGTCACTGCACGAGGGGCATTTTCCATACTGTACAGCAACAAGATACAGATACAGTAACTTGAGCCGGATATACTCCTTTCGTCACTCAATTCTAGCCAAGTGAGACTCAAAGTGGCAGGCTTCTGCAAAGTCTGGCAAGCTGTCCCGGACTTTAGCCATCTGGGTTTGAAATCAAGCCACACTCTAGCAGAGATAGGGCACAAGAGCAGTGTCTGCCTGCCAGATTTGAACATGCATGCTGCCAAAATTTTTTTGTCATGGCTAGAATTTGAGCGGCCTGGCTAAAGTTGGCTGCAGCTGGCTAGAATTGAGTGACGAAAGGAGTATCTGCCTGGCTTCACGGCTACTTTACTTTGCCATAAAGAATTGAGAGCGCAGCGGGTCCGCTGAGTTCTATTGCTCTAGTGTGAGCTGCAAGATCTGCTCCGCAGTTGCTGGTTGGTGCGTCACCTTGCGTAATGTGGCACGAGTCGTACAGTACATGGCAAAGTTGTGCAATCAGGTCGCTGCGTTGAAACCTGCTTGTGCATTCATTGTCGTCTTTCTGTCACTCAATTCGAGCCAGCTGCAGCAAATTTTAGCTGAGTGCCACAGAGTTTAGCAGGCGCAACGAAAACTATTGAGCAGCCTGCAGATGCAAGTGTGACAGTCAGACACTGCTTCAATGTCGGATTCTGCTAGACTGTGGCTTGACCTCAAGCTCAGCTCGCCAAGATGCGAGGCAAGCCGCTAGACTTCACAGAAGCCTGCCGATGTGGTCCTCACTTGGGTACAAAAGGAGTGCTGTAATGATAGTTCACAAATGTCCAAAAAATTTGCGCAATGATGAGCGAAGTTCATTTCAGTGACCTGCAGAAGTCTGCACTTCACGGCGCAGCAGTGGTGAGCCGCCCCTTTGGGCAGACGCCTGGACTCACTCGACTTCCTGCATCAAAAGCACAAGTTGGTGCCAGCCTTGTGCATCTGGCTGCAAGAATCAGACAAATAGAAATCCTACAGACTCCGGACAATGCGCAATGTACAACAAAGGTGAAAACCTTCTTTTGGCTGCGAAACGTGAAGTGCACAACACATTTCTGTCGACGGTGGCGCCAACGAGATCTCCCGGTGTATGCTACAGAGCACGAGACATGCAGTGAGATGTCCTCTGGTTGGTTCAGCTGAGCTTTCACGAGACTGTGGGCTAGCTTTGGCTGACAAGAAAGGAATAGTGGACTGCAGAGAGTGGAACGCACAGGTACGATAGCGTGACGCCAATTGCGGTGATACAGTAATTTCCAGTGTGTGAAGTACTGGTAAGGTTGAATACGCGCACTGTCTTCCGCTGCTTCTTATTGTACTTTCCAAACTCAAGCGGAGCGGATGGCCTCCCCAAATCAAACGGAGCCAGGACAGAGCTACAGTAGAATAGCAGCTTGACACGAAGCTTGGGATTTTCACCCGCACTTTGCCATTTTAAACCCTGAATCAGAAACAGCCTCGTCAAGGTTAGACGCTCGACGCGTGACATGCGGCCAAGCTCGAGCTTACAGGCTACCAGGCTCTCTCCCTTGCCACGGCAGACTATCCATGACATGGCTCGATTTTGCTGCTACTGTACTGGCTGGAAGCAAGTGACAAAGAATGTACTGAGAGTCAAACCTGTCGGTCATAGTACCCAACCCAACTTGACAGTACAGTACTGTGCGTTACGCCTCCTCCGTCGTAGTCAAGCAGCAATAAGAAGACACGCCGCGACTGTGGCTCGATCCTGTTGTATTGCACTGTAGCAGTACTGTAGAGTACTATTAACTCAACCACGAGCTCGCAGGACTACAATCTGACTTGACATGGTAAGTCCTTTTGCAGGCATCGGCTAGGCCGTCGTAGGACGCTCGAAGATTCGACTCACTCCGTCGACCCCCTACCAGTAGGCATTTAATGTTTCAGAGCGCTGCATTCAGACGGCAAGGGAATGATTTGAGGCTCTGCACCTCGGTGATTATCGAGCCAAATGGCTCGATAAGTCCCACACCCAGCTCCGTCACGCATTACTGCACCTTCGGAGTGGTACATATTCACATTCCTACCCTGCGTCTAGCTCTGACACAACACTCCGGCGTTGCTTTCGTCCATGAACGCCTCAGGTTCTCTGCTGCTGAGGCTATCCGCGATGCCCCCTTCAGACAAAAGGAGCACTTCAATGCGAGGCAAGCCCGACTTCCACCTCTCAAGCCTGACTTCAACGACCGCTCTCTCGCCCCGCACCGGCATCGCTCTAAACTTGACTCTGTCTTGGAGAACCCATTCGTAGTCAAGGCATTCCTATCCGACCACAGACCTCGAGCTGGCCCCGACATGTCTGTGGTTTCCCGATGTACGGGAGCCAAGTTGAGCCGGTCCCTTCTCAGTCATATGACCCTCCAGAGAGGGACTGACATACCGTGGAGGAGAGCAATTCTGTCTACGAAGTGCAGACATCGTGAGGCAGAAAGTGTGCAACACCTATGGCCAGTAGCACGTCATGCTATAGCTCTAGGTACACTTGAAGATCCCAGGATAGTTTCCTTGGCTATGCGGATCAGGATCTCACTGGGGAGTGGCAGGAGCGCCGCGACCGTCTTGACACGCCTTCCCTCCCAAAGACCTTTAACGTCGACCTCTCGCAGAAAGCAAACGACTTTGGATTGCAATGTTCCAAGCGCCCTGACAAGCAAAGCATGGATGGCAAGACCTACCACGCACAGATGTCCTGAGGGTCGACTCTCCAGTCCCGTCCACTTGTCTCGGCCAACACATTCGATCTCCGGAGCTTTATCACCCACGATTGCTGCTCCCACTGCAAACGAATCCTCCAGTTGTGCTCTGCCTCACCTTTCTTCGTTCGATCGTGGCTCTTCGCAATCAAGCTCGGCGATGGCCCTCACGCACCAGGCATGCTCACCATTTGCGTTGCTGCGCAGTCATGCTGCCGATGGCCAGATTACCTCATCTCCACGCACTGCTCGATTGTCTTGTCTTCGAGACTGTGTTTTGGGCTGATGAATTCTCACTTCCCTTCCAGCTCGCTGAACCACCTACTTGCAAAGCCTGTACCTAGTTTCCCTCTGGTTCTTTCTACATTCGATTCCACAACATTCGATACACCCCTCAGAGATCCAGTTTGGGGTGCTGCTCTAGTTGTGACCGACTGAGAATCTGCGGCGTCTGGAGGAAATTTGTACTGTATCCGTTTGATAGGGAGCATCTGCTTTCTTGATTCCATTGGAGACGGCGATGAACATGCAAGTAGCTGCGTCAGCACCAATCAACGATGCCGGTTGTAAAAGTGACCCTGAACCCCATGAAAGCTTCCTGTTGCCTCGGATAGGGCCTTGTTTTTGGCAAATTTGGTAGCGCTGACCGTACGGACTGAGTAAAGAACGTCAAGCGACCTTTAGGCGTGAGTCGAAGAGTATCCTGCTCCGTGCTCATATCAGCTGCATTCCGAAACCAGACAGGGTAGAATGAGCAGAATAGTACGCCCAGTAGCGTTTTCCGTCAGTATGTGATGATTGGGCTGCTCAGGCTGGGCTCAACTTTACTCAGTCAGCCCGCAGCTTTGGCAATTCCCGCCAAGGTGAGCACTCTGGAATCCATTCACCTCGAATATACGCCTCGCCAATGTGATATCGGCCAGGGCAGAGACTGTTTGGGTCCCCGGTCCGAAACATCGCTCTGCAGTCCATTCAATCCCAGTGACTCCAAGGTTACACGTACGCAACCACGAGGTCCTCTCGCATGATTATCGAAGGCAAGGGCGCCTCCCCCTCGATCCTTTCACGATGGTGCTGAAGGCAAAGGCCATGGCAGAAGAGTAATTCTCTGCTGCCATAGAGATAGATGCTGCTGTCAAAGGGTCGATGAGCCTCGTCGGCCGCGGCACATGACCACACCGTTCGCGCAGTCACGCTGCACGGGCCTCTCACCCTTAACTCCGTCCGACCACGGTCTTATCTAGCAGTCGTCTCCCTCCCAGCAGTCGCTTTCCGATGTGACTCATACGCTCGGCGTCCTAGACTGCCGACGGCAGCGTCACCGCCTCCGTCATACTCGTCATGGTAAGTCCGGCCTCAATCACGCTTTCTTTATCTTATACATACACACACGCACACATACACATACGAATTCAGTGCATCAGAAGCCACATCTGTCTGCCTCAAAAGCAGTATTGGCGAAATGCTTCACCAACCTGCCGCCGGTGCCGCTGTCGCTCCTGCTACAGAGAGTCTACCAGCTCGCGCCTGCATTTCTTCTTCGGCAGCAGCAGCTGCCGCCTCATCATCATTGTCATCAGAATGGCCGAGCACAGGCGCATATCGCACTTTGCCTGTCTGGGAGGGTGCTGCAGGTCCTGACGCTGCACAGCTTGAAGCATACCTCATACCACACAGAACGAGATGCCTAGCTACTCAGCTGCCTATCCCGTGTGCTGCTGCTATCCAAGAAGGAGGTTTGCAGTCATGTCCCTGTACACCACGCGTAGCCCTGGAGCAAACCGAGCTTCCTACAAGCCGACCAACCACCGTACTGTCGCACAATCATTATCAGCCTCATCTCCTCAAGTTCCGTGGTCGGACCATCGTCACTGATCCAGCGTTCAAACTCTCAACACTAGCCGCTTGTATGTTCCTAATGGGCTGGTGTGATGCTTCAAACGGCGCGCAATTACCTTATATCCAGAAGTACTACGATCTACAGTATCTACAAGTAGCCACCTTGTTCATCTCGAATTTCGTTGGCTGGGTCTTGAGTGCTGTCCTGAACCCTTGGCTTACCGACCGACAGGGTCTAGGCAGAGCTCTCATCGTCGGCGGCAGCCTGCTCAGCGTTGCCGAGGCCATCATTGCTGCTGCTCCCCCCTTCTTTGCTGTAGCCCTAGCCTTCGTCGTTGTCGGACTCGGCATTGGCGTCCTCGGTGCTTCGACGACGAGTTGGGCCAGCGGCCGACCTGATCCGACAGTCAAGTTGGGCATTACTCTTGCCGTGTATGGGTTTGGGGCCTTACTGGCCCCTATTGCTGCTGGGGTCTTGGCCAGGGCTGAGGTCTTGTGGTCCCGCTTTTACCTGGTCTCCCTTGGTCTGTGCATTCTGTGCACCGTCATGGTGGCCATTGCTTTCAAGGGCGAAAGTGAGGAGAGCTGGTATGCAAGGCGAGCTGCCTATAAAGTGGCCGTACGTGACACCCATAGCCCCTTGGCGAACTTGAGCATCAACTCTCCCGCAGCAAATTCTAGGACAGGTGCGCATGAGCCTGTCCATGCGATGGAGAGGCGAGATTCCCTTCCTCTTCCTCTTCCTCTTCCTCTTCCTCTTCCTCTTCCTGAAAGGCATCCAAACGCTGCGCTTCGATCAAGCACAGATGCAACGCACGAATCTCAAATGAGTCCCCCAGGCGATAGCCCTGGCCATCCAGTCGAGAGAAATCCCAACGACGCTCGATCGATGACGATGGCGGACGGGACCGAGGCGATCCGAATGGAAGAGCAGCAGCGTCCACAGCAGGTGCTGAGAAACCGACGAGGGAACGCTTCCGAAGAATCAAGAGAGCCAGCGACAGGAAGCTATCCGCACACGGCAGCCAAGTTCAGGGGTTTGTCTCGATTCAAACTCATGTGGATCATCTCCGCTTTTGCCTTCGCCAATACGGGCACAGAAGTGGCCATCGGAGGCTGGACGTCCTCTTACCTTCGAGACTATCGAGGCAGTGGAGGGGAAGCTGAATGGATCGTCAGCTCGTTCTGGGGCGGTGTAATGGTAGGCCGTATTGCTCTGATACCGGTCAGTCGCCGGATCGGCGAGCAGACGGCCATCTATACCTACCTTGTTGCCTGGCTACTTCTTGAGGTCGTCGTGTGGGTAGTCCCAAACCTGATTTCGACAGCGGTAGCGACCGCTTTGGCCGGCCTAGTTCTAGGGCCATGTTTTCCAATCGTGGCTTCTTTGACCACTCAATTCGTTCGGCCGCGGGCTTTACATACAGCAGCTCTTGGACTAGTCACCTGCTCAGCACAATCGGGCTCCGCATTCTTCCCATTTGTCGTCGGCCTATTGGCTCAAGCCAAAGGAGTGAGGGTGCTTCAGCCTTTTGTTGTTGCTTGTCTGTCTGCTCAGATCGGCGTCTGGGTAAGTATGCCGATCGAGCGGCTGATACACTCGTTACCTTGTACGGCTCACCTTTCTTTTCATACCTTTTTCGTCCCGCTCAATGAAGGTGTTCTTTGGACTCTCAGGGAGACACAGTAGTAGCGCCCAGCGGAGCCAAGATTGAGGTCAAGATCATCTGGCTCTAGGTGCATACGTTTTAGATAGGTAGAGAGGTACGCCACAACTTTCATACACGCATGTCAGCGCCCCAGTCGCTGCGTCACAGCGCTCCCATCTTTCACGCGTGTAGCTTCACTATGCCGCTGTCCGTGCCCTCCTGTCCTGATCCTTCTGCGGATCCTTCCTGCTTCTGTCAATCCCCTGCTATCACTCATCTGCTCTCGACTGCCGCGATTGTTGCTTTTTGACACTTCGGGGACGGCATGCTCAGGGCATGTCCGACTTCTACATAGTCAAAGGGCTAGAGGACACGGAATGTGGGCGAGTGGCCACTGCGGAGAAGCATACGGACACAACGGACTCAAATCCAGGGGACTCTGGATGTCGCGTGGATTCTTAATAATATGGAAGCCGCGAAAAGTTGCTTGCGAACCGTTCCCAATTGCGCTCCTGCTGTCCAGCAACTCTGCGCTTGTGCAAAGCGTCGCGCTGCTCTTGTAAACTCCAGCGTTGTCTTGAAGGGCCGTGGTCGTTGCGAAGAGAGGCTCAATTGACTCTAGGTCCAATGTCTGTCTGGACTGCTGAGTGACACCTCGCAAGGCCCAACGTCTAGTGTCGGATCGTCCCCCATCCCACCTCGATCGTCAGGGCTTGCATGTCGTGTGAGGGTCCAGGATTTTCGCAAAAGATCAGGGCGCAGAAGCAGGCGGTATGCTTACGCTTGATCTGCCTCCCTCTTCAACAGGAGGTAAGCCGTTCTGACCCCGAATGGCACTTGCTGCTCTGGGCATCACATCCTCGAGGCTGCTTCTTTGTGGCCTGCGTCAAGAACATGATTGGTCCGGCCCCGATGAACAGCTTGGGCACAGGGAGCGTTGGGACCAAAAAGGACGTTGTCCAAGGGTCTGCTGATTAAGATCGTCCGCTGGAGCCTTCTCTCGGCGCCGCACCTTACTCAGTATCCCTTCAGGGCATCGTCTCTGTCCGCAGCAAACACCTTTGTTTGGTTACGAGCAGAAACTGTCGACAGTCGGCGTGAACTTGTATCTGCAGTCACTGCTGCGTGTACCCTCCCGCTGACTAGAAGCATGACGCCAAGGCCGTTGACCGCAATGATCCACTGGTAAATCAGGTTGCCGATTCTGAAGCGTTCCAGTGAGCCGCTCCCGTTCCATTGCCAGAGCCCGTGGGTCGTAAAGGCTAGAGCGGCTATTTGGGCCAGGCCACTGACAGCAATGACAGAGTAGAAGCCGCCCAAGACGATGATCGACTCGTATATGTAACGCCGCTTGCTTATCATGTCATCCGAAGAATCTGTCGTGCTTTGCAAACGCTTCAGGATAGTGAGTTGATGACTGAGTACGAGCAAGACTCGTAGACCTACTAGACTCAGCACCAAGAACTCTATGGTGACGAATATTGCCCAGACCAATGCCAGGATGCCAACATACCAAAAGCTGCGCCTCAGGTCGGCCCCTGCTTGGAGGAGGGTATCGAGCTGAGGCGCTGTCATTGCCGCGGTAGGCGCATCGGAAACAGATACCGCTGCTTGAAGAAAGGCAAGTCCCTTTAGACTTCGTCGGAGGTATATTTGCGCTAGCATCAGGAAAGGCAGCGTACAGCCGAGCCACACCAAAGGTGCTGCCACTGTTGCGATATTGACGGTGTACCTGCTGCTCAATACTTTGCTGGCCTTTTGGATCGGACTCAAAGACTCCCAAGTAGAGCCTGCTGGGAGATCGCGAGTCGAGCCTGCCAGGGCGCTTGTGGTACCTAGGATGGTATTCATGGCGCCGAAAGGGAGAGCAATCCATGACGCAAGCACGACAGCCATATAAGCTTGCAATGGCCCGATCGACGACGAATCTCTGAAGCGGAACTTCAGACAGACAGAAGCGAGAACTAGCATCCCTGTTACCGCAAGCCATGAAGAAAAGACGTTGAGAGGATGAGTCTATGATAAGCAGCATTAGTCCCGACACAGGGGTTCGGTCAGCACGAGATTTTCCAGGTCAGGCTCCGCAAGTAAGCGCGCACTTGATGCTCACCACAATGGAAGTGCCTGACCCCTTGCTTCGCGTCAATCGAAAGAACCATAGCGTGCCGCTATTCCACAGACGAAGGTACACCAGTGCTGTGAGCGATGTGAATGCGGATCCAGATCCAGAGTGTACGTCAGAGTCGGGGTCAGAGTCAGTGTCAGTGTCAGAAAGAACTCGTTTGTTGGGGTCCGATGTCCCTGCACATCATATGTACCTCTGCCGGCTACGTGACCCCACTCACGTGTTAAAAGGGTCATGATTCCGGTGAGGACAGCAATTGCGATCTCACTGTTTACGGGCGCGGTGATTATCTTCGGATTGAAGTACGCCAACAACGAAGAGACTCCATCGCTCAAGGTGACATTCGCGTTTGCCTGTGAGTGAGACAATGCATTCACCATGACAATGCTGTCCTTGAGCTCGAAGAGTCTGTGTGTCGCACCTATCCTCTGAGGGAGTTGGGATCCTGTGCCGTTCTGCAAGCCTTCGAGCTTACTAAGCGGGCGAGTGAGAGTAGATCGTGCCTCAGACGAGAGCGCCAGCGATGTGGCTCGAGCCAGATCGATATCGGCAAGAGGATGTCAGAGGGTACGGAAGGAATTGCAGAAGTGGATGAAGATGATGGGTCCCTCACCATCTGAAGCAGTCACTGGCATCTCGATGATGCTGTCCCCGCGGAGCCTGACTATCTGTAGGGTCTGCCCGACTCGGAGGACTGTGTTCTAGACCAGTTCCGCGTGGCCAACGGCAAGAGCGCGCATGGCTGGACGCAGGTCCATAGCCAAGCATTTCGAATAGAGTTTGGATGCAGCGGGTCGGCTGACAAGCATACTGCATCCGTACCGTGTTGTGGTTTCATGGCACTCGTCAGTTTACTCGCGCGACAGAATGGGCCGGCGGGGAGTACAGCATGTGGACTACTTCGGGGAAATGTATGTGCAGCCACGAACATGTAGCTGGCGTCGCGCACGGACTCAGTTTGAGGCTGAACGTGCAGCGGCTTTTGCGGGGCGGCGCAATGTGTGTGCGGCGACCTGTCATGCACGGGCGCAACGTCGGAGAGACCCTGTCAGGCGCGAGCGGATCGGGAAAGAGAATGGCAGCGGCGGGTCCGGATACTCTCTTTTGCTGCTTGTCATGAGCCGGTCCCTCTGCTCTGGCTCTCCTCCTCTGTGG